CGGACGACTTCAGCATTCCTTCAAAATGCTGTTTGTTTACGTTCAACTTACACTTGTACAGGTGGAAAGGCATGCTCTTATTTCGATCAGAATCTTCCATGCTGGAAGCATCAGAAAGTTACCCCAGAAATCTTGCAAAGTATTGAAGCATTACGAACAGAGGTACTACAGTATGATCTCAAACGGAAAGCAGTTTCGTAAGCATTCAGAATCGATTCCGAACGGGTTCGGAACCCTTTTAGAAATAATATACTAATACTTATAAATAGATGGGCACAAGCACAGATAAAACGTTTCCAACAACATACCGCCTGCCGACCGTTTACAGAAAGATGTAGTCTTGAAGTAGTTAATACAGAGTATGGGGTAAGAAGCCTTTCTGAATGGATTGGGAATCAATTTGGAACTGATTCGGAATCACTTTAGTATATTCCAGGAACTTCCCAGATTACAGCCCGCTGCATCTGCTGGTCACAAAGTCTCCAAGGAGAAAACCATTATATTGGCTTTCCTCCAATCGAATTCCAGCTATATTTACCTCTAATCAAAACTATACTTCAAGGGGGAAGTATAGAAGAAAGCTCCCCTACTGATAGCTGTTATCTTTTTGCTAGCAATAAGAGGAGAATTACACGATGCGGTAAGTAAATTAGTATCGAATCGATTCCAAATGGGTTCCCAACTGATTCTGAATCAATCTAGACGCTAATCATATCGTTCCTGAAACAATTCTTCAAATTACGTGTTCAGTAAAATGGAACTTCTGGGTCCCGCTTGATCTAGAAGCTACCCCAGTTATTCTTCTAACTTCTCATGGGGTCCATTTACATCCACCACCACCACCAGTTAGAGCCCCAGCTGGTATTATATCTGGGCTGCAACAGGTAGTCCAGAAGATCAATCAACCTAGAACGGGGTTAAGTGAGAATCCTTTTAGAATCGTTTCCGAACCGATTCAGAACTAATCCAGTATTGATTCTAGATGCATTCCTACAATCTCGCGAACTTCAGGAATTCTGTGATACTTATAATAGCCAGACTATTACAAGCGTTCATCAAAGTCTAGCAAATACAGACTTCTTACGCTCAATTATCCGTAAACAAGAAGCAATTAGCTTTCCAGCAGGCTGTTCACGTCTAGCGATTTGGTATGAATACCAGTATGCTCAAACTAGGCGTCAAATTCGGGTATGAAGTGATTCTGAATCGGTTCTGAGCGGGTTCAATACTAATTTACTTATAGTATATTCAGTACTTTAATGATGACGGCAATACATACCTATGTATTGTATTTCATGCAGAGCAAGCTGAATTATGGAAGAAAGAGGCTTTTAATACTTTCCAGGTAGATACAAACTATAAACATCTAGCTGGAAAGGAGGAAGTTGAGGTTATTTGGGGATGGTATAATTCGATATCTTCGAAAGGTGCGTAATCGCTTCTAAATCGATTTAGAACGGATTCTTAACAGATTCCTAACTATTTTAGCAATTCCACTTATCCGAGTTTTTACCAATTCTGAAAGTACAGAAATGTATCAGCAGATGTATACAATTGTGTTTAAACTACTTTATAAGAAATTTGGATATAAAGTCAAGTGGAAACACCTTCATGGTAGGGGTCTACTAGGTATTACAGTTGATCAAGACCATAAAAACCTTATTGGTATGGGTTCTTAATAGTTTCTAAACCGATTCAGAACCGATTTATAACTAATTATCTAGGGTTTGGGAAATATCTATCTCTGGAATGTGACCCAGAGCATAGACCATGGGCATGGCAGGTTGAACGCTCTGTACGCTTCTGTTTAATTCATTTCCAACGAGGGATTGAGGCATACTGTACAGAAGACCGTAGCCCTGACTCTCTATGGAATCAAATGCGCAGCCTACTATTCTGCCGTTCCTCAGAAGACTACTTCGCTTTATGTCAGGCATTTGAGAGTAAGGATCAATTCTATATCGCTTCCGAATCGCTTCAGAATCACTTGGGAACTAATTTACTTAGCTGAACCTCAAATAAAAGCATGGGCTCAACATAAAGCCCGAAAAACAATTGCAGCTGGACTTAATCAGAACTGCTCTAAAATCCCCTTATCAGATTGGAGTCAATTCATACCTAATACAAATACTGTTGAGGTTTTACATGAAGCCTCATATACTTGGAGTAATCGGTATTTACCATTACTTACATGTATCCAGAAGTAAGTTTGGAATCCCTTCTGAATTGATTCGGAATTGGTTTGGAATGCGTTGAGAACTAATTCAAAAGTACTTAGATGTGCAGAATACGATCGCCATCTTTTAGAGCAGGATACAGTGTTTACAACACTAGGAATCCGGCTTTCCTGGAAAGATGTTTCTATTATTGGCCGTTATAATACAGCTGCAAGCCGTTTACGTAAGTTAAAAATACTTTAATATTTATTAATAATTATTTCTAAATTATTTTAGAACTTAAACGCCAACGCCAGAGGGAATCCCGTGAGCAACTAGATAATGAACGTGTTGAAAGGCTTTTATCAACCCGACTCTTTACGTCTAGTCCCTCAAGGGGTACTAATTCAAGAAGTCCATCCTCAATTCCGAATCGATCCCGAAGTCTTTCAGAAGCGATTCGGAATCGATCCCCTCGTCTTTCCCATGCTTCATCTTCTGGGGTTATTAGGTCAAATACTCTCCAAAGAACATCTATTTCTAACTTAAGAAACGAAATCAGACAGGGACAACAAGATGACTTTGACTTACAGAAGCAAAGTCTAGAATTAGAAGAAAAGCGATTAGAATTAGAAGCAAGAAAACTTCTAGTTGAAAAACAGAAGCTTGAACTACAAGAAAAGGAACTAGAGTTAGCAGAGCGGCGGAGAAGGTTAGGACTTTGATAGCATATAGGATAGGTAGAGAATCGATTCTAAATCATTTCTGTATTGATTTAGAAATGCTTTTTTTTTAAAAAAAAGCTTAAAAACCGAACGCCCCGGGTATCTATAAAGAATTGATTCTAAAGCGGTTCCAAATCGGTCCCGAAAGAAGTCCCAAACTGGTTCCAAACCGATCCTGAATTGATTCAGGCCTCATCTTCTTCATCATCCTCAAAGCGGGCCCAGACCTCACATTCCTGATCGCGAAGGGCGGGAGGACATTCTGAATCGATTCGTAATTAGTTCTGAACTGCACGGCAAGAAGGGGGGGAGGGGTCTGCGCCTTCCGTTTCTTGGAAGGAGTCTGCAGCTCGCTGTCATCGCGAGCGCCGATGGCGATGCCGTGGATGCGGTCGTAGAATTCTATTCATAATCAGTTTAGAACTAGTTCAGAATCGGTACAGAATCAGTTCAGAATCACTTACCAGCTGCATCATCGTTCTCCTCGACGGAGTTCGCGCCGGACTTGCGGCTCTTAACCTTGGCCGGGACCCCGTCGAGCTTGTGCTTCTTGATGTGGTTCTTGAGGTTCGACTCGCTCGAGAACCGCTCCGTCTAATCGATTCGAAATTAGTTCTGAACTGATCCGGAACTGATTCTGAATTACCTTGGTGCACGTGATGCTGCTGGATCTACCACCCCAGCGGCAGTAGAGTTCGCCAGGGGCGAGCTTGACTTCGCCAGCCTGAATCGATTCAGAACTGCTTCTGAATCGTTGTGGAATCGCTTCTGAATCACTTACCTCGTTGAACTCGAAGGGAGGAAGATCCTCCATGCGGTGGTTCTTGCCGCCCTGGAGAAGACCTTCTTTGTAGGTCTTGTAATCGTCCTGATTCTGAATCAGTTCTGAATCGATCCTAAACCGATTCCATTGTACTTACAGAATCCTTGTATGAAGGCATGATGTCGGATTTCTGAACTGATTCGGAAGTAATTAGGAATCGGTGCGCCAGGGGGGGGGGGGGGCGCATACGATTTGAAAGGGTTACGGAGGGAAAAGGAAGAGAATCAGAATGGAATAGGGATTTAAATATTAATATGGGGTATGCACCCCAATCAGTAGTGGGACGCAATCAGTAACTGGTCCGTGCACCTGACCGATTAAAAATTCCATGGTCAGGTGGACCCACTTCACCTCAATACAGCCAATCATAAAATTGGTCAGATAGACCCATAATTCATTTAAATAAGTGGGTAATTGGTCAGGTTATCCCCCCCCCCCAATGGTCGCCTTGACCACACCCTCACCGTCAAGCCCGGGCCGCTTCCCCACCACCCTGAACTCTATCTCTTAACCGAACGTCATGTCGATCTCGGCATTTGTGTATTGAGCGTTCAATCAGAATAGCCTGTGACCTAGTAATGGTACGGCTTATGAATTTGGTCGTGTGTTGGCGTAAGTGTATACAAGTACAGATATACCAGTGGCTTTCGGTCACCAGCGATGTTGTGCCTACTCTTCGGGGAAAATGATCACAAAATATTAACACTGAGCTGACTGAGTTATGTTGTCTAGATTTAATGGCTGAAGATTGACAGGTACTATATAAATTCCTTGCCGCCAATTTTATTCTCGATTCCTGCCCTCCAGACCAGCTGCTGATGAATGTAATAGACATGAGGAAGTGCTAACGTATGAATCGTTCATGCCCATGGAACCTAAAGGAATGACATGATCGAAACCCAAGGCAGTACAAGATAGTTCTCTCGGGGGTGTCCATCCAGAAACGTCGAGTTCCGCAATTCGTCCGATCAAGCTCTTAGACACGCCAGTTCTTCAACATCATATTGGGCTTGCTTCTCTACTACACTTCATCGAGCTGGAACATCAATTTGCTGTATTCTTTCTCAAGGACCCCAATCGTCTGTCTCATAATGACTACAGTTGGTAACTTGAGGAATCAAACACAACACAGGTGCCCTGCAACTGAAAGTCTTTGAATATCTTTCTTGTGGCTTTGTACAATGTTCTATGATATATACACGAATTGATCCAAATATCGTGTCATGCGAAGGCCGCTGACTCTTTCATCATGTCAACCACGCCTCCTCCTACACGAACTTCCTGTTTCAAGGTAGTCTATTTGCAGCTGCTGCTACCGGGAACAAAGGTACCGTCCGAGTTCTCGCAACCGCAGATGCCGGTCTGGGGGTCCTTGATGCATCCGACTCCCTCGCCGCTGGAGGTACCAGAGCCACTGTTCACAATTCATCAGCATCACTGCCTTTTACTTTTACACACGCACCTCCACGCTACTGTAGGGAGGTTAAGGAAACTCACCTCCAGAAGAAAGTCCAGCAATCCGCATCCTTCGTCATCTGAGACTTGGTGGGAGAGACGCAGTTGTAGGCCGAGCAGGTGCCGTAGGGGGCACCCTTGACCTTGTCGTACTGGTGGTCGGTCTCGAAGACGGCGAAGGTCTGCTTGGAGGTGCGGGTGTTGTGCGAGCACTCGGCGGCCTGGATGGCCTTGGAGACCTTGACGGCGCTGCAGTTGTAGACGCTCGGGCAGGCGCCCTTGGTGTTGGAGGTGGCCGGGTCGAGGGTGGCGGCCACGAGGGCGGGAGCGGCGAGGAGGAGGTAGGCGAGCTGCATTTTTTTGGTAAACGAGTGACTTTAGTAAACGTCTGAAAGGGAGCGAAAGACGGTTTTTGGATGATTGCAGTTCTATTGCTTGGCTAGACTCCTTAGAAACCGAGAGACAGAGCTTCCTTCTGGTCTTATACGATTCACACCCCGTGATGTTTTCCTTCTCCATAACACCCTCCTGGCTGAACCCGCGTAGCGTCGACATGTAAATTGGATGCTGGGGCCCGCCGCGTTTCGAACAGATTCCCATAATGTCACTATGAGGAATCGGGCTGCCTAGTCGGCACGTTCATCCTAGCCGGCCGGGAAACATCCCTGCTTCCCGCGGTGGTCTGGGCTATCGCCCTGCCCGCGCTCCCCACTAGGTACTATGTTTTGTTTACTTCTGGAAGCATGCCCGTGAGGTCATGACAGTTGCTTGAATCCCCTGATTTTTTTTTCTTTTTTTTTTTTTTCGTATTGCTCACCCAGTTTGGGCACCTCAGAATCTCCACAGTCAGGATATGCCGGAGTGGATCTTGCCGACACCCGTGCGGTCTTGCATCGAGTTGATTGACTTGTTGCCGAAACCTAAAGACTATAAACGCTTGGAATTCAACAACTTAGGGTAATTATAGGAGATAGACAGGTTTCATGCACTCGATTGTCTTGAGCTTTTGTGTATATACCAAAACACACACGTCAACATAGGTTCATCCAATGCGTATGATCTCCACACAATCGGCTTACGGCAGCGCAGCCCTGCTCAGGGGGTTCTGGAAATTAAAGGCGATCAGTGGGGTTTCTGCGCCTTACAGTCGCCCATCTCTCTGTAACTCGGTAGGGACAACGTTCAAGGGGCGATGAGAGTCAGGTTGAGCGGCGGATGACGACGCCCGTTGACTCTCATTTCTTGAAGTTTTCTGTTAGTAAGAGTTTGTTTAGTAGACAAGAAGAGACTGAACTGGTTATTGTTTCATAGTGGAATAGTTACTTCCAGATGTAAGGGTCCGCGTTAGGTGGCGGTTGGGATGAGCCAGACGTGTTCCCCAATGCTTGAAATGGTGCCATGCTAAGCTCCTCGAGGTTTCGAATAGAGTCGCCAGCGCAGTGTCAGAACGGCATGATTGGTCTCAGTCGTCAACTCACTAAACTCGCGACATGTAAGTTTCTCTGTGAAGTATGATATTTACCTTCTCGGCCGAATACTGCGAATCAACGGGGCGCTTCCCGTGTCCGGTCGGCCTCAACCACAGCCCTATCTTGGCATCGCGCAGGTGAGATGGCGTCGTGCGGGAGGATCAGACGCAACCAATGGAATCCGAGGAACAATCGGACATTTTTACGTCGCAAAGTGTGGGGGGTGCTGCAGTCAGCGGAGGTTCCAGACACACCTGGGATCCTCGGTGAAGGATGGGATGACACTTGGGTGTTGATGTGATGTAATATGCCAACTACCGCTCTATGTCATGAACTTTATGAAGGCATCTCGGCGTCTCCCATATTCTAACAATTCCCATCCATCATTCCACTCATTTCCTCATATCAAGCACGACATTGGCCCCCTTCTCCCCCCTCACAAACCCCCTCAGATTCTCACCCACAACCCTCCTGATGTTCACCCGCGTCTGGTCCGCGCACCACGCAAGATGCGGCGTAAGCGTCAAGTTCAACCCCCTCGCCTCATCCCCGAGCAATACGCTATCCTCCCCGCTGCCCGCAGGCTCAACCTCATAGACATCCGTCGCGGCGCCATAAATCCTGTTCTCGGCAAGCGCAGAAAGCAAAGCCTTCTCATCAATCGTCCCGCCTCTCCCGACGTTGACGATGACGACGTCAGGTCTCATCATCCTCAGCTCCTCCTCCCCGATCAGATTCTTCGTCTCCGGAGTGAGCGGGACGACGAGGAAGAGCGTCGTCGCGCGGCGAATCACCTCCTCGAACGGCGTACGCTCCGCATCTCCATTTCCGTTCACAAGCGCCGACGTCGGCGGAGAAGAGGATGATGGCGAGGGAGCGGACTTCCTCGCGGCGACCAGGACTTCCATCCCTAGCGCCTTGCACATCTTTGCGATCTTCTGCCCGATGGGCCCGTACCCGAGCATCCCCACGACCTCGTTGCCGCAGGTATGCGGCGGCCGGCCCTCGGAGTCCAGGAGAAGAGAAGACATGCTTCCCGTCGCGCGCCAGGCGTTCGCGCGGGAGGGACTGTGGTCCATCATCGTGTTGTGGAGCTTCACGAGGCGGCGACGGGTCGAGAAGTACTGCAGTCGTCAGCATGCCTCGAGCGAAACGGCTCCAGGGGAGAGGTTTGAAACACTTACAAACCCGATAGCGTGTTCAGAAACAGCCTCGGCCGTTGCATTGGGTGAGTACATCACTGTAACCCCGCGGCGCTCGCATTCTTCCAGGTCAATGTGATTCGTGCCCGTCGTCTCCGTAATGACGCATTTCCTTAGGACTTGTCAGTCTTTGTTCGTCCACCTTACCATTTTTCATGCAAGCAAGGGGTCCTAGTTAAAACTCACAGATAAGGCGCTTCCCCGAGCGTCTCTGCGGTGATCGGCACCGTCGTGGTGATGAGGATACTCGCGGGCCGTACCCTCGCCGCCGCCACAGCGGTATCCGTCGGGCGCGTGTACTTGTACCCGATGACCTCGTGCGTCAGGTCTCCCGTGTCGATCTCGGGGAGGGACACGTGGATTGTCTCCAGCTTCACGATGACATGGTGTGTCGCGGAGGGGAGGCGGACGGCGGATTTGACTTCCGTTGCGGGGTCGTCGGCCATTTTGTTCTGATGCGTGTCTAATAAACTGTGTCTATCTAGACTCAATGACTCGCTCCTTTAAAAAGAAGTGATTTCGGTCTCTAACAATAGACTCCGTGCGAAAATAATGCGGACAATTGGCGGTTGATATAGAGTTGAGGCTGTAAAGATGTCCAGGGTGCCGAGAGTGGGGAAAAATGGCCGAGGTTATTATAACAAGGTATCCGTATATATATATTGAGGTGGCTGTTTTTAGAGGGTTCAACTTAAAAGTGTTTGATAGAGTTTGGCAAAGTAACTGGGTGATTCAATCTTAAATGGTAAACATTCAAGACTGTAGGAGTATAACTCTACTTTATATCTCATCGATAGAGCTTCACTTCCTATATACGCAATCTGTCGAATCGCTCCCTACTCACCGCGTTAGCGCCATGCGGACCCAGAAAGAGGTGATGCATCGACCAACCGCATATGCATCTCGTCTACCATAGGGCGCGGGGTGGAGGTACCCTTTTGACATCTCGCATACAATCCACCCTTGGGATGAAGATCCATCCCGCGCCATGAGGTGGGTTTTACCGGTGGGATAGTCACTGTTTGTCTGACCTTCCGGCCACTAAGACCGTTTCTGGGCTTGACATCCCGCCCTTCGCGGGGTCTTGGATGCTGCCCCAGACGCAGGGCGCCTGTTGTCTCTCAATAAGCGGCGGACGGAATTCCGCACTCTCGGAAAGTTTGAATCACGGCACATACCACCCATGAGAATAGTAACATTATGGAGTACAGCTCTTTCAATCTTTTTAGTTATTTTATTTTATTTTTTTAATCCCATGCTCATCTAGCAATGGGCCGTGATTTGAGGCGAGACCGCCCCAAGAAAATGCTGAAAATTATCACACCCCGCCTCCCTTTCCCCGCAACCCCAAGCCACCACCTCATCTCTTAAAGGTGGCGCTCCTCTCACCTCTCGCAGGAGGAGCCTTGCGGGCAGCCTTGGGCGCATCATCTCCCGTCTTGGAGTACGGGTCGAACGTAGGCTTCGGTACCCTGCTGCCTCCACTGCGGTTTGCATGCAGCACCGACGCGGCCTGGCCGTAGTTGAAAGCCTCCTCCTCATTCTCTCCCTCGTTGTTCGCCGCCTTTGCCTCCTTCTTTGCCTCCTTCTTTGCCTTCTTGTCCGCCTTCTTCGCGTTCTTGTCCTTCTTCTTAGCATCCTTTAGTGCCTTCTTCTCCGCCTTCCGTTCCGCCTTTGACTTGCGGTTGCCGAGCGCCTTAACGTAGTTGTCCAGCTTTTCCTTCTTCTCCTGGGCGACACCTTGAGCTTCCTCGAGCTGCGTGGACGACGCGGGGTTTTGAGCGACCTCGCCAGTGAGGCGCTCGACCTCGGCTTGAGCTCGCGTATAGTCTTCCGTGTACCGGGCGACCTTGGCTGCCCTCTTCGCGTCGACGTTTGCCTTGCGCTCGCCCTCTGTGTGTTTCGCCTTGCCCTTCTTGCCTCTGGGCGTGGTCTGCGAACCGGGCCTCTCCAAGACGAAATCGATGGAGCTCTCGTCCGAATCGGACTCGTCTTCGCTCGCGTCTGATGCATCCTGTGCCGGGGTCTTTCGTTTCGTTCCGGCCTTGAGCGTGAACTCCTCCTCGACTTCCGGCTCAGGAGCAGCAGCAGCAGAAGCCTTGGCATCTTCCTCTACGCCTCCCTCCATAGCGACATCTTCCTGAGCAGACGCCTCAATCGTAGCCACCTCCTGCACAAACTTCTGCCACGGGAGCATGACGTACTCTCCAAGGCCATTAGCCGCAGAGGATGTTGCTTCCCACGCAGAGCTTAGAGGCATCCCGCCGAACAGCTGAGACTGCTTCAGCTGAGCAGGTTCCAGGGCAGCATCGACCGCTTCGTCTTCCGCAACCTCTGCTAGCGGTTTCGCTGCCGTTGTAGGCATATCTGAGCGGAAGAACTCGAACAGGCTAGGCTCGTTGACACCCTTCTCTCTCGCCTCTTGGTAGCGCACCCAAAGGTCGTTGACGTTTCTCCTCGCGATGAATGCGTTGTTCGGGATGAGCGCGTGCAAAGCTTTGGCGTCGGGCGGCATGCGTTTGGCGATGTCGCCAACAATAGCGTTGGGCAGAACGTATGCGGTGCTTTCGTCTTCCCTCCGTGCCACCTCGTCTCTCCAAGCCCAGATAGCTCTGTACACGGCGAATTGCTGACCGGAGAAGGGCGAGGGGTGCTTGAGAAGGGAACCATACCAGCCTTTGCCGCCCTTGCCGGAAACAGGGTCGAAGAAATCACCCTCGTATCTGCCCAGCGATTGAGCCTTGGACTTTTGAAGCACCATCTCAATGTAGTCGGTACTGGGATTGCCACGGTCTGACTTCATCACAAGTTCATTGCGAATCTTGTCGTAAACGTAGAGCAAGTAGTGCGTGTCAGAGCGCGCGTAGTAGAGCATCTCTGTGGGCAACGGTCTGTATCGTGTTAGTGTTGATCTCCCTGGGCTTCCGACTTTCCACCTACCGCATCCGCCAATCGGCCATTTGATATCTCTTGTCGGCGTTGAAGTTTGCAAACTTGCTCAACAGGAAGGCCAAGCTCTTCTGTGGGTAGTTCAAGACTTCGCATGCAAAGAATGTGTCAAAGAGTCCGTTCACGTATAGACCAAGATCACGCTGCAGCCATACAATGTCCATGTATGCGCCGTGGAAGACCTAGATTTGTTAGTCACGTCGGCGGGGTGAGACTGAGGCGTAATTACCTTGATGATGTTTGGGTCGGCAAAGACTTCGTTCAGAACTTGGAGCTGCTGCCTCCACGGCTTCAAGGTATCGACGATCCAGTCCTTCTCGCGCGTGCTGATCTGCATCAGTGAGGTGAGGCCGACGTATGTCCTGTAGTCGTGGTGTTCCAAATCCACTGCAATCTCCTTTGCCTTCTTGAGCTCCTCCAGCATCTCCAACACGCCCTCGTACGTATCAACCCATGTGGGTTCGGTCTTCTCGACTGGTTGCCAGGGAATCGGCTCGGCTTGTTCGTAGACTCGGTCGGGATATTTGGCCTCGAGAATCTCGGTTTCGTACGGATGCTTGTACCTGATTGGGCTGTCAGTAACTCGAACAAACGGCCTCTTTAGTCTCTTGTGTTTCTTTTTTGAGACTATCGGTGAATTAAAGGTGGCTGGCAGGGGCGACAGTAAGGAAATTGTAGTATCGTACTGGACGAAACCCGCGTCCGTCTCGCTGGGCACCAGGCTCTGTTCGAGTGGCACCTTGGCGTGAGGCTTGCTTGTGATGACGGGCTTCCATGGGACATTGTTGTCGACTGGGGGATCGAAGTTGAGCTGGGGCTTCGTGATGTTTGCGTTGCGGATGACTTTGTCAGTTCCAGTGGTCGTCTTTGTCTTCTTCGCCTGAGAGGCCTGCGCGCTGGGTCAATATACTGTTCGGTCCATGCCGAATCTCAGAGGGCTCACATCTGCGGTCGGCGCATCCTTTCTCTTCAGGGCTCCTGTATACTCGTCGATTGAGGTGTCGGCCTTCTCCAGGACGGAGTCAATCACGTCCACAATACCCCGCCAGCGCATGTCGACATCGTCCGCATCTTCGAGCTTGGGGGCATTGAGGCCACAGATTTCGGCAGCCGACTTGAGGAGAGTGGTCGACAGCTCGAGGAGGCGTTCGGTTTTGGCGTCGAGGTCATCGCCCACGCCGGGGTTAACGGCGCGTTGAAAGGCGAGATCCTCAGCGGCAATGCGGTTGACAGATCGAGTGGTGGCCACTAGCGCGGACTGAATCTTGTCCTGGAGGGACTTGAAGTCCTGGGGAGACGTCATGGTGTTGATATGGCGCTTAGGATACCAAAAGCCTTGTCGCGGCTTCACTGCGAAGTTTGACGATCACAAAAATTATGCCCGCCAACAAAGATCCCTGGCCGATAAGATTAGAGCATCCCCACTTTGTTATCGATAAGGATAAGCGCACAGGAGCTTCCTACGCAGTCAGCTATACCAAGGGGAGGCGAATGCCAAGAAGACGGTAGAAGAAGTAGCTAAGGAATATCGGTTTCGAGAAGGCAAAGCTAGAAAACCAATGATGCATGTGTGACAGATTGCTGAAGTAAAGCTATTTTGGTTTATTAAATTGAAGAAAATAGAAAAACGTGATGCGCGGAGGACGGTCCCAGGAGCAGTTGCTTGGCCAGGCTTCCACTTACAGCGGGTGTAGCCGCTGTGACGCGCCTGAGTGCCTGGCGCCAGGGTAGATGGATTTTGCCTCTGCTTCTCGCCGCATCTCTCAACTTCAACCTCAAGCCTTCCGCGGTATCCGTCAACACATCAAGTCACCATGTCTGCCTCACTAGCGCCCGAATGCAATGAAGTCAAGGAGTAAGATTAGACTAAGAGGTCGTCATATGAGCTTGACTGATTTTCGAAATAGGCGCTACGATACGTGCTTCTTGAAGTGGTACAGCGAGAGTGAGTTTCCTCGCCACGATGGAAGCCGTGACGACTTCAAGCTGGTATGTAAGAACCAAACTCTAACTTGCCACAGAATACCTCAGAGGAGCTGGAACGGACAACAACGAGTGCGCCGACCTTTTCAAGAACTACCAAAACTGCTTGACGGTAAGTCGCGACGGTTTTTTGGCTGCCGTGGACCAAGAGACGCTGACGAGGCGGCTTGACAGGGGGCGCTGAAGGAACGCGGCATAGACAAGCTCCTTGATGAGGCACGGGAAGATAGCAAGGAGAACGACGCAACATACTTGGGACGCAAATGTGAGTTTATGCAGCACCCTTATCGTTGTTGAGTCTTTGGTGGGAGAATCTAACCACTCGTGCAGGACACATTATATAAGCTAGGGGCATATCTCGCGGTTGAAATGGCGTTTTCCAGGGTTGCATTTGTTGGGCGCAATGTGGCAGTGTAGAAACCGCAATCTCAATAAGCCCCATTCTCTTCTCCATGACGTGTTCAGCCATAAGGAACGGAATACCTAACCTAGTGTGGTGGTGTCTCTGCATTTGGGTGTGCTATGCATCCCTGTGACTGACTGCCGGTTCGGAGGAGTGTAAGCTTGAATTCCCCGGCGGAAAACCTCCTTAAATTTATGGTGTGCGGAATGATCAGAGGAAAAAGAAAGCATCATGGTCAGTGTATTCGCCTGATGGCCTCATGTTGTTCTTGTTGTTAATCTGCTCTTCCCTCCCAATGTCCTCCTCTCCGAGCAGCCTGTTGTGTTCTTGGCAGCGCTTCCAACGGTCATTAGGTCCAATGTTGAGAGATGATCCGCCATCCTCCAAATAGGTACGCTTACGACGTACCCAATTTGAAGAAAAACCTGCATGATGCATCACCTTTAGTCGAAGAAGCACAGAAGGTTCTCGGATCTCCCAACTGCACCACGTGATTGCACATTTTTCCCATTCCATCCAATTTGAGCTTGCTCCATCCCGTCCCAGTTCCAGATCGCGTCAAGCAAGGACCACTCCTTGACCAATCCAATTGCAGTTCTACACGGTTTGTTCTAGGTTCCAGACCGCCCACATCCCAGGGGACCCCCCCTCCCCCCCTCTCTCTTAGGTGCCCCCCATCCAGCATGCCAGAGGGCTCCCTCCCACAACCCCCCCCGTCACAGGCGCTAGAACACGCTCTGGACTGGCTAAGACACACTTGTCAACCGTGTCCAGTTGCAGCTTCAGCAGGGCCCAGTGGGCCTTCTCACTCACCCAATGCCGACCCTTCAGTGGGCAAGACCCGCTGGCGCTGTCAAGAGATTTCGCTAGTGGGAGCACATCGATGCATTGAACAGGGGGGGAAACAGGCCGTTCGCTGCCAATTGTTATATTGCCAATTCCCGGATTTGCGAGGCTCATCAATGAGCGAAGCTTGTCCCTTGCCCTTCCACCTCCACGCCCCGATACCCACGCTTCTACGGAAACATCCCGTCTCCAACTCCTTCTCCTCCCCGTTTCCCCTTCTTCCCCAGACAACGCGCCATAAACACGGCTGTCGTACAACCCGAACAAAAACCAACCTGCCTCGAGTGTTTCCTCCCACCGATCGCCCACCTTTCCATCTCGAAATTCTCCGGAAACCGAAGCTCGAATTAAGCTTGCGACCCGGTTCTTCTTAGACCGCTGAAGCTTCTACCCCCTCTCTTCTTTCTTCCCCCCCGCGCTTGTCCCGCAGTCGCAAACCCACAGCCCGCCGTCTTCGATCCGACCAATTCTGAATCCCTCCCCAAACTCCCCAAGGCGCTCCGTGTTTCTCTTGGCGACAAGCCTCGGCATGCACTGCCCTAGGGAATAGCGATTCTATGCACCCCCTCTCTGTTCTCAGCGTTGGGATCTTCGTAGCTGGCTACATCACCGCCCGATGGGACCTGGTTACTCGTCTTTATGAGCTTGCCATTTTTGCCTGGAATTACGGAGTCGTGGTATGGAGCTTGCCTCTCCCCCGCCCCCTCAACTTCGCGTCCTTTTTCGGGGTTTAACGTTAGCCCTTTGTTTTCTTGCGCCACCTGTCTCTAACGTCGACGCCTCAACAGACACGCGCCGCCAAGGGTTTTGGCCTCTTGACCCTCGTCTTCCTCCTCGTCTTCATCCCCGTGGAACGCCTGGCTACTAGAGAGGCGAACTTGGTACGACGAATTCTTCCACCGTCCCCCGCTGAGATATGTATAGTTGCGCAGGTGGGATACAGCTTCTAGCTAACAACACGCTCGTTCTACAGCATCCAAGATCCACCGGAGCTGGCGTCTCAGCCAGGGAACAGTTGCGACGGAGAGGTTCCTTCTAAGCGCCGTCTCCCGTTGTTGGGTGCTTGGTTGATATGCCAGAAAATGATGGCTTGATGAGGATATTCTGGCCGACGGACATCCAGCGCTCCGACCTGCCTGGCGTTGTCGTGGGATGGAGGAACTCGAGCCTGGATGTCTTCGTCGTGGCCATCCTTGACGATGTCGATGTCAGCATAACCGCACCCTTATACCGACCGTATGGACACCAATTGACGAATCAACAGGCCGGCCATGTGGAATTCGCCCTGAAGGCGGGCACGCTATTTCGCAACTCACCTCACCCTGTCAATAGCATATACGAACGATGCGGCCATGGCGCTATGCATGTGCTGGGCCTGACCAACCCCAGCGATGCTGTGGTTCTCGACCCTTCCTTGTTCGTGGCGACGACCCCGGCGAACGCAAAGGTCCCTTGGATCACATGCGCAAAAGCCCTGAGTATCCAAATTATACTCTACGACCGACCCCGCCCTGGCCGAATGCAATACATCTCGTTGAACCCTATCTCCCTCGCCCTCGGCAACAAGGAGGCCCCCGGCCTGCCACCGACGGAACACATGGCAGAGGAGGAAAAGTACGAGCTAAAGATGAAGGAGCAGAAGAGGAAGCTTGTTGAGAAGCTGAAGCTGCATACCATCGTCAAGAGGACCCCGTCGCCGAAAGAGAAAGCTCTACCGAAAATTGTGAATCAGATCAATTGGTCCTGGGAGCTGGAGCAGCTGTTGCAGAAGAACATTTCTCGAATCGGTACCAGGCCTAAGCGGTCTCTGAGCGTTTCCGAGAGGGTGGTTGAACATGCGACGACGATGCGGAATTTCGTATGGGATCTCTTGATCTTATACGTCCTGCCACTGATCCAGTGGGGTTTCGTCTACATGTTGATGGGTCACAGAGCGGTCGCCGAATTCCTACTTCAAATTTTGGAGTTCAGACTGAAGGACAATTATTTGGCGCTGAAGGATATTTCGGCAACGGCGCAGCAGGTAGAAATTCGGCTCCAGCAATTCTGTTATTGGCCCATGCAGTATACGACACTGCGGCAGCGAAAAAACGACTGGGAGAGTGTTACGACAAGCCACCCCGACTACATTCGGTTCTATAACAGCTTATGGCTTGTTGCCAACGACGTCATCATTGGCATTGCGCTGGGTTCGTACATCATCGATAACGCGGAATGGGCCGCCAATGCCATAAGTGAGCTCCTTAGCAAGTACACTGTTGAAGCGCTACAGCGAAGCATATCATGGTTGATGGGCTGGCCCGCCGGTTTGAAGATCAACAGCGAGCTGGCCATGTTTCTTGGTGACCTTTTCCTTTGGGTCATTGATTACTGGTCAAGTAAGTCTCAGCGACTCGCGATGGGGCGTCCAACGCTAACTTGACAGATTGTATTGCTGCCCTTCAGCCTGTGCTGCCTCACATCATTTGGTTCATCGGCTTTTCGAGCTTTGCCGGTGCCAGCATGCCAATTGCCATGTTTTCTGATTTGCTATCCGGGCTGACTGTCCACATTTACTCTTTCTACCTTGCATCCGCCCGGATCTATCATTGGCAGCTGACGATCCTCATCTCACTCTTCCATCTCTTCCGCGGCAAGAAGCATAATGTCCTCCGTAACCGTATCGACTCGTGCGGCTATGACCTGGACCAGCTTCTCGTAGGCACCATCCTCTTCACATTGCTTTTCTTCCTCCTGCCGACGGTGGTGGTATTCTACTTAAATTTTGCCATTGCTCGCATGGTCATTATTTCTTTGAAGGCCGTCTTTGACACACTTCTTTCTTGCTTAAACCACTTTCCCCTCTTCGCGCTGATGTTACGGGTTAAAGACCCGAGACGACTTCCAGGTGAGACCAGTTTGTCCTGAGACAAAAGGGGGGATGACTAACATTCGTACAGGCGGCATCCGTTTTGAACTTCGAGATACCCATGATTATAGACTTAGTAATACTTCCAACGAACCACCCACCTCCGTCATCTACCTTAAGGTACGAGCCATTTCTCGCCTTGCCGAGTTCTCGATGACACGACTAACAGCTGCAGTCCATCCCTCTTACTTTCCGTGCTATGTTCCACCAGTACTTCCAAATGGGGAGCCGCATCCGCAAGCATTACCTCTCACCTCGCGTCCTGCTCTGCCTCCTAACCGGCAGATTCGTACCGCCTCTCAACCGCAAGAACCTGTACAGCCTGCAGTACAGCATGCTGCCTGCGCGTCGGGCGGGGATCCGCCAGATGTGGGACGCCATCACGACCGCGCAACCTTCGAGGAAGCTCGTGCCGTTCATGATAAACGGGAGGAGGTACCCCTCGGGGCTTGGTGGGGGCGGGAGGACGAGATACCACCATTAGATACGAATCGACGTTATAATTCATTGTTCCTGCTGCAATACGTTGATGATTTAAGTGAGATGACCTGTGTAACTAATTCTCGCAACGGCGGATTTCGGTTAACCCCCCCGTAACCCACGAATCTTGCCCGAACCCAAACATGTAACTCAGCTTCAGATCATCAGCCAGGCTATCTTCGTCGTCTGCATCTCCAAGGCACTCTGTCCCTTTGCTCCCAGGATCCTGTTCAGCAACCCAGTCTCGAAAGTTAGGTTTCTCCGTGACGCTGTGAGGATGTCCGTTCCAGAGGCCGAAAAGGAGACCGCCACAAGTTGCCACGCGGGCCTCTTCTGCTTGTAGCGTCAGAGGCTCTGTGCCGTAGAGGGCGGTGAAGACCGCTTGGATGGTCTGCAGGCCCGTGAGGCCTGGCGCGAGCGGGGCGTGGGCTGTGCAGTTCCAGTAGGTTGGCTGCGAAAGAGACCGAGGGGAGAGGTTGTCGCTGAGAGTCGGGAGGTAGTGGAGCAGGTTGAGTTTCTGGGGGTGGGAGGTTAGGTTGGTGGTGGTTTACTTTGTAATGGGAGACTTACCATCTTAAAACTGGGGATTTGGGCTGAGTTAGTGGCCTGTATGATGTGAGTAAGTTTAACATCTGGGAGTCTTAAGAATCAGAGTGACGGTTGTGGCGGTTTAAGACCAAGTCTTAACGCACGCAACTTTGGCGTTTTCTTGGTGGGAGAACTTCACGAGGGACTTTTGAGGGACACGAGTGTGAGACATCACGGGTGATGCGTTGTACGGATAACCGTTTACCGACGAGGTTTGAGTAACTCAATATCAAGTCCAATGCTTCCGACGAGAGACAGCCGTTGAATGACAGGTGTCAAGGACGACATCAAACTCAGGAACGGTGAAACATGAAAGAGAGACTGTATGACATTAATAATCTTTCTGCGGTTCTCGTAAGCGAAAAATCAAGGTACGACGGACTGGTCGGGGGTTCTATACATCCGTCACTAATAGCAGGTCCGCGGATCGCGCTCCCGCCAACTTTAAACGGCTTTTACTTTAGACGGCTTTTACTTTTGCCTCGACCCCCTGGATCTCATACCCAACGCTAGGGTAATAACCTTATCTGCTCTTAATTGCGGTTGACTCCAAAGCGGATGAAGCGAGTTGGCTCTCGGCGCGGTGATCCTTTCTGTATGAGATGGCAAAGTGAAGACATTCCCCTTCCGTAAAAGAATGAAACCACAGCTTGATTGACGAGGAACGCGTACAGACTTGTAAACCCGAATCCGAACGGCCTTCCCACGGTATTCTCCTCCGGTCCGCTCATCGTAGTCGGCGTAAAATTACGAGTAAAGTCGCCAAGACGGATTTTCTACGTCTCAACGCACTTCACTATATTCCTGACACATCCGAAGTAGCCAGCTCGTACTTGTTATAGATTGTCCTCTCAAAGCGCTATTTGATACCCTATGAAGCAGCGCGAGTAAGACGCTCTACCTAAACTTTAATTGATGAGCCAGTGGGCTACTTACGTTCGAGACAACTTGTGATTGGGCACTAAAAGGCTCTTCAGCGTCTCTAGTAAATTCTGCCCCCGTCACGCTGGGCTTAGCCACGCTAAATTACACCGGCCCTGTTCAGTGCTGGGACACCGATCATGGTACGTTTGTGACTCGCGCGAGATACGATGCTGAGTTGAGATATGCCAGCCTCGAAGAGTATTTAAAGGGTAAACAGTCCTCGCCATTTCTTGCATCAGAAGAGAAATTCAATCCAGTCCAGATTACATTCAGGGCTGAAATCACCAATCTTCCTCCCCTAGCAACTCATCCGTTTCTCAAGATGAGAGTACAAGAAGTGTTTGTGCTTCTCACAGCGGTACGTAACCACTAACACGCTTTGCTCGGCCGGTATCACCTAACAAAAAAACCACAGAGTCTCTTCGCGGGCGGCGCATCCGCAAAATGGTGCAACAACCAGCCCAGTCTGATATGGCAGTGCCTCCGCAGCGATAACAGCAACTCGGGCTACACTGCCTCGTGCTGCCCCGGCGGGAGCTTCATGCAAGACGGCTTTGTGAGTTGAAAATACATACCTTGACACCAGGGAACCGAGACTTGGGGGACTGACGGAGATAGTGCTGTACCAACAACTGGCGTGGCTTCCAGTCCTGCTGCCACGCTCACAACGGCTACCGCGCTGCCAACGGCTAACAAAGCCTGGCTTGGGGGTCGAATAGCCTTGAAGGAGGCTATTAGTAGGAATGTGTTTGTGCTTTGATTTATGGTGTCTTGGAGCGATTTTGGATACCAACATGTACATATTAAACTTCAAGCACATATGAATCATGCACTGTTTTCAAGTTTGTCGACTTTGGGTTAGGAGAGCAGATCTCCGTTTTGTTCGATGTGACACTCGTGCGGTAATGAGCGTCGATTTAAGCAACCTGATCTGAGTTGCATTCTGCTACAGTCAGCAATCTATGCCAAACAGTCGTCTACCATTTTGCTAAACTAAGCAGTTGGGATAATTCATAAGGTAAGACAATTGCAAAAAGTACATCTTCTGTATACCAGAGATTTCTGCTCCTATCAAAGGGGCTCATGACATCTGTCGTGAGTCTATCCAGCACACCTTAGTTCGCCTATCCGGCCCGTCGAGACAGGACCTATGATATGTATATCATTATCTGCCGGAACTGGACCGAAACCAAAGATCGTATTCAACAGGCCCGCAGTCTTAAGTCGTAGTTGGACCGTGTTTATTGTCTTTCTTTGCTTGTGTATTGTTCATGGAATCACTGCCAATTCCTGGATCACTGTCACGAGTCTTCCGTGGTGCAGACTGGTGCAGACTCTGGCGGATTGCTGCAGCAAGGTCAACCAGGCTAATATTGAGAGCAGCTCACCATGAAAGCACAAGTTCATGACAGGAACAGCAAGGTTGGCTGTCGGGATAAGGAGGCCGCTAGAGCGACGACAGTTGTGCCGTTGGCCTAGGCCAGGCCGTTTCAAGTAGACCAGTATCTGTCTTGAGGCCCGAGAGGATGACTATCTTGACTTATAACGACAAACGCATTTACCCTGCCGAATGGCCCACGGCTCAGCGGTCTGTTGGCTGATCATCCATCCCATCATCCCCTGTAATTTGGAACAGAGTGCCCGCAGCGCCCGCCCAAAATGAAATGACACGTTCAGGGAGACCCTGCGGTATATAACATTTGCCAAGCCCACCACGCCAAACCTACTGCTTTTTGTGATTATTCTGGTGCACAAGTCGATGTGTGCGAGTAAGAACGGGCGCGCTCCAAGGTCAAGCCCAGCTCCCAACCCTTGAGCCAGGCCTCTATAGACCTGCAACTGTCGTTTGCGTCGCAGAAGCTTGCAATTAGCCGTGTCGCTTGTTGATCTTACTGACGAAGAGATACACAACTCTCTGTTTTTCTGTGATGATAACATCAATGCTTACCCCATACGCCAAGCTTGGTACGGTTATAAGCTATACTGCGCATGCCGCAAACTTATTTTTGCGCGCGTTTCTGTAAATACACTCTATGCTAAATCAACTCACTCTTTACAAGTCTCCATATGATTACCGTATGCTTAGTCGTCGTCCTTCTCACCAAGTAGCCACCTGGATCCAGTCACCCACCCTCTCAGTTGGGCCTCACGCGAACCGGCCACCCGACAATTCCCAGTGACGACACGAGCATCATCGACCCCAGGTACAGAATCAGCGGTTCAAACCGGTTGAGTCCATATCCGGACTGCACCGGCCCGCTCATGAGCGGCACGCTGATCGGGCCCGTCAAAAGGTTTCCGACGCCCTTGCCGAACGCCATCATGCTGTACACGGCGCCCGGGTCGTCGGACAGGATGCCGCCGAATTTGGGCCAGAGAATGACGAAGCTGCCCGCAAACCAGCCGTAAATGATGGAAAAGGCCATTAGCGTCGGCAGCGACGAAGCGAATCCCCACAACAGGAACGCCGCCAGGGCAGACGGGAACGACGATAAGAAGACGAGCAGTAGCGCGTTGCTCGTCCTGTCCGACAGCCATCCCATTGCCAACTGCCCAAACGTCGTCGACAAGTTGAAGAGCGCAAGGATAAGGGCACCGGTCGTACCGGACAGACCAAGGCTAGATGCGTACGTCGGCAGGTAAATGCTCGGGATGTAGTACCCCAGCCCCTGGAACAGGTTGGACAAGGCAAAAATGTAGAAGAGCGGCTGCTTGAAGAAGCTGACGTCCAAAGCGCGCAGGGCACCGCCGTGCGCCACGGGGAGACGGCCCTTGAGCAACGGCAGCAGCGGCAGGGTCGAGATGGCGATGCCGACCGCGACGGCGCGGAGGGTCGTCTTGTGACCGTACTTTGAGAGGAGCACCTCGAGCAGGAACGGGAACCCGACGCCGCTGAAGCCACCGCCGGCGAACATGATGCCGTACGCCATACCGCGACGCTCAATGAACCACTCGTTTAACATGCGCAGCACAGGGAAGTACAGCATCGTGAAGCCGACGCCGTACATGACGCCCTGCGTGGCGACGAGGCCCGAGACAGACGTCGCAAACGAGGCGGCGACGAGCGCGACGACACAGAGGATCGACCCGACGCCAATCATGTGCGTCTGCCACCGCTGGTAGCGCTTCACGACCGGGGTGACGAACGGCGCGCCGATGAAGTAGATACTCGTCGCGAGGGTGCCGACGACGGCAATGTTACCCGTGTTGCCCTCGAAGTCCGGGTGCGTCGAGTAGTACTCCTGGAAGACACCGTAGGCGAGGGGGAATCCCCAGAGGAGCGCCTCGACGACGAAGGCGCTGAATAGGAATTTCCAGGCGGCGATGCCACGGTCCGGCGGCGCCAGGGTCTGGACGAGTGATTCCGTCGCCTCGCGGTCCGACTCCTCGGCGCGCGCGGTGCGGTTGGTGTTGAAGGTTGTCAGTTCGGCGGACATGATGGGTGTGTCGTCGTCTACGCTGAGACTGATCGATTTGAGGTGTTGTAGCTTGCCAGGTATGCTTGTGGGAAACCTCTCAGTTTTCCCCTCGGGGTCGTGATAAAGATTAAATCCAACCCCCAATGACATTCTTCTCCAAAGCAAAGGGCGCAGGCCAAGACTGGCTATGACTCGTCAACTCATGGATCCGGTCGCGGGCGGCGTCTGCATCGAGGGCCCGCCCGACATCGGGGAGCGCCCGCACCAGTCCAGAGGTGCATTGGCCGGAGAGAGGTGTGCTAGATGTGGAGCCGGGTGAACAGGCCGGGTGAGCCGCTGTCATTAGAGCTTGGCCGGGAACTGAGCCGGGCCTGAGGGGACCTGTCCTGAATGAAGCGGCATTGCCTTATGTCAGCACACTGCCATAACGTGGCTAACGTATCTGTCTTAGAGCCTTATGGTTATAATGTTTTATCGTAAAACTGGAAGATGCGAAAGAGAACTCATACGTCGAACTGCTACGGGTAATAAAGGCTTTGTTAAATATGTTTATCTGGAGGCTAAATAATTATTTGAACATAGAGGGAACAAGGGCCGGACTTAAGTGAAGGCATATGTGTTGGATTGTCGTATGTCATCGACTACAGAATGTCAACAGGTACAATTTAGCCCATTTGCTGTTAATGACCCATGTTTATCAAATACCAAATAGCATAGAGCTCACTAGGCGAGCGAAAGTTGCAGTATCCGTGTCTGTATGGTTGGCATCCCGTAGGTCATATGTCTGTTGCAATTCCCCAGCCGTTGGGATACGCGGTACCCGAATTCTAAACTAAACTTAGACTTGCTGATTTACTTTCGAAGCACGGAACCAATGAAAGATGCCATCTCATAACCATCTGCTTAGTCTCAGCAAGAATGAATATAGTTCCTTGCTAAGGATTATTGGCGAATGTTTCATTCGAGCCTTTTCGTCAAATTACATTACAATTTCAGGATCCTTTGTATCCCAGTTATACTTACTCTTCAAAAATCGACAAGACAGTATGAAGTGCTCTTCATTCTCACGTGATTAAATCTACCTTGTCATCGTCGAGAAAAATAGAAGTCCATCGACAAACACCTGCCCCAACGGCGGCCTCATTCTCAACTTCTAACTGACGCTCAGACGTGCGACGGGCCGTCTATATCGTGACTGGTAAAGCGAAAAGATCTACCCAGGGGTCTATGACAGCGTCGTCATTCGCATCGATCGTCTTGTTGCGTTTCGCGTTTCTCATCCCAGCTAGTCCCTCGTATTGATGTCTCAACTCCCCCGGCCAACTGCCAAATTGGTGCGCGACCTCGGACTTGAGGTTCCTAAACGCAATTTCTAATCCAGATTTTTGGTACCGAAGATCTAGATCGCCCGTGTCGACAATGCTGAAAGTGCTGTGATTTCTTACTCCACGGTTCTGATACGATGTCGGACTTGGGGTTTGGGTGTCCAGAACGACCCCAATGATTTTCAGGAGTCCCACTTGGCGTTCAACAACAGTGGTATCTAGGCGAGAGTTGCGTTTCAAGCCGGAAAGAAATTGTCACACAATGACAGACGCGAAACCCCCCCTCCATTCCAAAATAAAATTCTGAGGCGGGGTAAAAGAAAAATAATTGCTTGATAATACCATACGCAAAAAATGCCGCCTTTTCTTGCTCAGCATGCCATCGTTTCATTATGGTTTCCATTTTTGCAGTCACCCCCAGGGGATCGTGACACCCTTGACAACTTTGACAGCCATGATCGACTTAAGATCTACAGCAACCGAGCTCCCAGCTCTGCACCTCGAGACTTCACCGTCTCCCATCGAGTCTTAGCTGGCCCACAAGATCACCAACCGCCAATAACGTCAACATGCATTCGGAAGAGAGCTTCGGAATCCCCAAAGGCTCTACCGTTCTTGTGACGGGCGTGAATGGCTTCATCGGATCCCATGTCTGTAGCCAACTACTGCAGCTGGGCTTTGATGTCCGCGGAACCGTCAGGGACAGGACGAAGTACGCCTGGGTCGAGGACTTGATGGAAAAGGAGAGCCACAGGGCCAGCTTTACGCTGGTCTCTTTGCCGGACTTGGAAGAGGAGGGTGCATTTGATCCTCTTGTTAAAGGTTTGTCTTTTTCAACTCGTCAAAAGTGATTTTAATGACTCTGAGCTTAGACGTATCGGCTGTTATTCATGTGGCCTCCTCTGTGTCTTTGAGCCCTGATCCAGAGAGCGTCATCCCCAGCAGCATTACCGGGGCCATGAATGCACTCAAAGCCGCAAACAGATCACCAAGCGTCAAGCGATTTGTCCTGACCAGCTCTTCCGTCGCCGCGGCTCTGCCTAAGCCTGATCAAAAGGGAGACGAGATCACAACAACTAGCTGGAACATCGAGTCGGTTGCAGTTGCCTGGGGGAAGCCTCATCCACACCAAGCATGGCACGTCTATGCGGCAAGCAAGATTGAAGCGGAAAGGACGGTATGGAAATTTTATAACCAGGACAAAAGCTGCCGGCCGGACTTGGTCGTAAATACAGGTAAATACACTGCCAGACGCATCGAAACTGTTGAACAAACGAAGACTGACCTATCCATAGTGCTGCCTGGTTGCAACTTTGGGCGAAGCCTTGACGTCGTCAACCAAGGCCATCCCTCAACATCATCCTTTATTGAGAGCCTATGGTACGGGATCAACATGGATCGACTTGCTTGTAGTCCACCACGTACGTTGAGTTGTGATAGACGCCTTGTCACAGTAACTAATGGTCGTAATAGAACAATTCGTCGACGTGGAAGACACTGCAAGGCTCCATGTGGCCTGTGCTGTGCTACCAGAAGTCCATGGCGAAAGAATCTTTGCGTGGGCCGAACCTTTCAACTTCGATGTTGTTCTAGATGTTCTGCGCAGGAAATTCCCCAACAAGCATTTTGTGGAAAACTTTCACCATTACCAAGATCTCTCAGCCGCAGACAAAGCTCGGGCACGGGCGAACCAGCTTCTGAGACGCCTAGGCAGGGACGGCTTCACTTCTTTGGAGGAGAGTGTTTTGAATAACGTTGATGATTTGCCTTGAAGGAAAACACCGGTATTGATAGGGGACTGGGCGACGATGCGTTCGAGGAAGAGGCGTGGCCGACAGGAGGGCAAGACGACGAAGCTTGATGGACGCTTTCAAAGGCAACACACTTTCATTCATCTTTTATATATTTTCCAACTATTTTACATGAGATACGACATCTCTCAGCTGTTGGCCAAAGCGTCACATCGATGCTGCTGCACGCAAGGGTGCAAACTCAGGACGCCCATCTAGGCGGAGGAATACGGCCAACTCTCCACTCCTTAGCCTTGGCTCAATGCCTAAATATACGTCATTGGTATTCAACTTGGAGCGTGCCGCTGAACTGTCACCTGATCTGCCGAAAATAACTTTAATTCCCAAGGTTTCTACTATAGAGTCCGGTGCTACCTCGCTGCCACGGTATGCAAAAAACTGCCCGTATCGGAATAATGCAGTAAAGTCAAGGTCCACTTCCTGCCATTTATCGCGCCTACATGATGATCCAAATAAGTCTTTTTCAAGACCAGTTTGATTCCAGCATTTAGTTACAAGCGGCTTCCATTTGAACCTTTCATCAGATATCCTTGGGTTCAGCATCTCAATGTAGACTGTTGAGATCTGTGAATCTCGCAACACAAGAGCAGTTCGAGTATTGAAGCTGGCGAAACCACTTGGCAGATAAACGACTGCGACAGATTCCAACAACTTTTTGTAATCGACGAGAAATCGCGTGGAAGTGGTAAATGGGCTCATCTACTGAGACCACACCTGCAGTCCGAGGGCAGGAGAGTCTGAGGAGATTCGGGCTGTGGTACAGGTATCTCCGGCGCCGAGGGGCACACAGACAGATCCGTAGACGCAGAACAGCAGCCACTTCTTCGACGTGTTTTTGACAGTGAGGGTCTTATCGTCCATTATCATGGACCCATATGAGGGTGATGTGGCGGTGTAAGTGCTGCCGCTTTGAGTAAACTTTACGCTGTCGACTGTGCCACACCCGGGGCATCCAGCATCGCGGACACACTCAGCGGCGAAGGCTGCGGGAACGAGAGGCAGTAGAATAGCGGCGAACTTCATTTTGAAAATGACTGATTGAGTGTTTAACGATAGTTACTTGGCGCAAGGGAAAGATTTGGGATTTCTGATGTGTGTGAGATGTCTTCGTGATTGTTTGGTCTCCGAATCCATTGGGGTATTCTAACCAGTTTATATCTTCATCATTTAGCCTACTAGCAGGGTATCAAACTATCCGAAATTTCCATGATCTTACGATGCCACTTATTCCCGCCCTTTTCCCCTTCAAGTGTTGACTCTTCATGCGTCACCGATATGAACAGGGGCCACATAACAGCCTATCACCAAGTGGTATCTATATGCAAGAAGGATACTTTCTAGCTGTATTGATCTCGGTTTGTAAACTCCGAGGATGTAGAAGACCTACCCGCGCGGTATTGTGTAGTAAGGTAGTATAAATGCGACACTATCCCCGCTTCTAGCAACCATTAAAGTCAGGCCACTGACTCGATGTGGAAATCATTGCCGATGGGACCCCGGCCGGGAACTTGTACAATGTAAAGAATGATAAATGGAGTCGCGGTTGGCAGGTGCTGTCTCTGTAAAAGTATGACAAACCGGTTCTTAGGTTTCGGTGGACCCGGAACTACAGCGGCAGCGCAACTCTTGTGTGGATGGTTCGTCTTTCAGGCAGGGGCAGAGGCCGCTCTTCGAGTTGTTTGCAGCATCTTTCGCCGAGAGTTTGCCTCTTAGAGAACCTTGCTTCTTGATTGCAATCTAAGGCCCTTTTATATCCGTACCATAAGCAAATGAGCAGACTGAGCAGCGGCCAACTGCCATCCCATGTAAGTGATCTGCAGGCTTGTTAATGCAAGACCAATAAAGACTCTTCAAGCATAACACTATAATATAATGCTGTGTAATATCTTGTGAAGGTGACAATTAGGGTCAAAAGGTGGTACAAATCCGGATGACAAATAGACCTCTGTTGCATGGTAGCTCAGCACAGATGGCGTTACAATCAGAGGAAATTACTAGTCGTCATAACCTTAAAGAAGAACCATAGTAATGATTGATAACGCGGCACTCAAGTTTGAGAATTGTTTACTGGTTCTTTTTGGTGGTGTTGTGCAAAATTAATACAGTTGATTATCGAAACATATTTAGACCTTAACCAACAGCCGCCAACCTGGTGCTGCTATTACAAGTTGTTCACTCCGCCAAACCCCCCTCAAGCCTTCTTAACAAATGGGCTTTCTTTCAGCCAGTCTTCCAAAGTAGTTGCGTTTGGATGGACCTTCTTGACCTCCGCAATATTTGCTTTGTATCCGTCGTTCTTGAACCAGTCCACCATCACCCCAACCTCAGAAACGCCATGCTTCAGTGCCTTGCCAAGCACACCTAGCGTCGTTCCGGCTGGCTCTCCAGTCACTTTCTGGAAGGTTTGACTCAACTGGGCATAGGTAAGCTCATCGGACGCCAAGCCAATAGCTCTCTTGTTCCACTTTTCTGGGTTATGGAAAGCTTCAGCTCCAAAAAAGCCAATGTCTTTTGTCGCAATCCACTGCAGCGGCTTGTCCTTCATGACGTCCCGCAACAAAGTGAAGAACACTTTGCCGAAGAATCCAGGCTGCAGATTGTCCATGAAAATGACCGGTCGGAGGATGGTCCATCCCATTTGGCTCTTTCCATTTGCTGTGGAATCACGCAGATGGTGCTCGATCTGGTGTTTTGTAATAAAATGAGGTACCGGTGTTGGGTTGCTCCACGACCGCTCATCGCCGCCACGTTCTACACTGCTATAGACAAAGTGCTGGACACCAGCCTTTATCGACTCATCAACAAGGGCCTTTCCCTGTCTGACTTCACTGTCTGACTTCTTGCTGTTCATCGCTGGGACTTGGACAGAATAAACACCCCATAGAGGGACCGTTCCAGCAGCAGCCTTAGCGGAAGCGAAGAGTGCTGGTGTCGCGTCAAGATCGCCTTCGACGAGCTTAATGTTCTTCGATTTAGCGGCGAGACGCTGTGCTGAAGCAGATTGTGCGTTCCTTGTTACAGCGAGTAGGAGGAAGTCTGAGGGTTGCCGTTGGAGAAGGGCATTGATGACAGCACCGCCTTGCTTTCCGGTTGCACCTGTGATTAAGAGTGCCCGCGACATGGTTTCGATTTGAAGAGTCTCCCGCCTTAAATCGATTGAAGAAGTTTGTGTACTGAAAATGGACTCGGCGAAAAGAAAACAACTTGCAGGGGGATTCTAGAATTTTATATCGAAAGACCTCTGGTATACATCAAATTTGGAATTAATATAAGGAAACAGAAGCCAAGAGTTAAAATTTCTTTCTATTACTAACTCGGACATCTTACAGCGCTGATGCGGGTTGATTGCAAAGCCGGAAATGTCATGGAACGGGGTCCATCTCGGACATGGTCGGAGGCCGGACCCACCCGGTCTTTGTTCCGGATCTCAGCTGCATCACCTGAGAAGTGTCTCATTTGTAAGCCCTCTCCGAAGTTAGCACTGATCTGACGCATTGAATCATGAAGGCGAAGTCAATAGAATTTATTTTGGGAGTTCAATACTGGTCGGAATCATATATAAAAGCTTGCCGTCGAGGCGAGCGAGAGAAATCTTAAAACTCTACAATTATCCTACTGCACTTTTCAATCTATTTGAATCTCAATCAAACACATTATCGCCATGGCTATCACTGTTGGTTTGGCTGGTATCACCGGCAAGTTTGGTCGCCTTCTTGCTTCCAAGCTCATTCAGAATTCTGATGTCGTTCTTCGCGGTTACTGTCGCGACCCCAGCAAAGTCATCACCCCGCTCGCATCGTCTTCCCAAGTATCTTTGTGGCAGGGCGGAGCTTACGATAAAGAAAAGATCCAGGAATTCGTCAAAGGCTGTGACGTCGTTATCTGCGCCTATCTTGGAGATGATAAGCTTATGGTGGATGGCCAGAAGCAACTCATTGACGCTTGCGAAGTAGAGGGTGTGCCTCGATACATTGCAAGCGATTGGGCTCTGGACTATACCAAGTTGGAGTTTGGCGAGCTCTTCCCCAAGGATCCCATGAAGCATGTCAAGGCATACCTTGACACCCAGAAGTCAGTCAAGGGTGTTCACATCCTTATCGGAGGTTTCATGGACCCTATCTTCAGCCCCTTCTTCCAAGTCTTTGACCCGGCTACAAACACCTTCAGGTACTGGGGAGAAGGCACCGAACCTTGGGAGGGAACTTCATACGAGAACGCCGCAGAGTACACTGCTGCGGTTGCGACCGATCCATCTGCCATTGGCATCCAAAAGTGTAAGTTTAACTCCGCTGATTGTACGCAGAGTAATGCTAAATTGATACAGTCCTGGGAGACCGGAAAACCATCAAAGAGATCGCGGCCTCTTTCAAGGAAGTGTACGGCATTGAGCCCAAGTTGGAACGTCTTGGTTCACTTGATGAACTTAAGACTCGTATGCACAGCCTGCGACAAGAGAACCCCGCTGATATCTTCAAATACATGTCCTTGTAAGTCATATACACTAGTGCTTTGGCCCAAAACTGACACCGCCTAGGTTCTTTCTCTACTACTGGATCAACGGCCAGACTTTCGTCGGTCCAGATGTTCAAAACGACAAATACCCTGAGGTTAAGCCGGTGACTTGGGAGGCTTTCATGAAGAACCGAACCGTGCAAGAGCTGGCTGGTGCATACTACTCTCTTTCTTCCTAGTCAACTACCACAAGAAAAAGGTTCATTTGTAAACCAGGGCTACACCAAGCATGGACTGGACCAAGTCAAAGTAGGGTATATCTTACGATAGCGAGGTGGAAGAGAGGAAGTTTCTTACATGAGCCAGGACAAGTGAAGTGTGGGGGGTAACATCGTAGATTGCTCCTTAACTCTGATACATAGGGTAGCTTTAGTGTTTGTCACTTTCAACTAATAGACTGAGCCAATCTTCACTACCGCCTTGACTATGATAACTCCTGCTGTAGCTGCTGCTTCTGCGCTTGAAAACGAATCTCCAACAGTATACATGTAAGAAGCCAAGCGTTCCTTAAAAAGACAAACCCCGACCCTTGTTTTTGTAACAATCGTCACACACTATCTATCGCTTATACTTAGCGTTCCACGAGGTCCTCAGAGCTCCAAATCCCTTGATGATTTTATCACGTTTAGTCTCTGACTGAGCTTCGCCGTCGGTCTCAATAGACATATCATCATGCAATCCGGCAGAGCTTTCAACTCCCAGATGAGAGTCATCATCGTCATCTTTCGCACGGCGCCATTTGTCATCTGCGCCCTCGTTCATCGAGTATTTGGTCTCATCAGCGAGTCCATGCGAGGACACATCCTTGCTGTATCCTTCGTTCTGTCCAAGTTGCTGCGACCGCTGTCTTTCATCATCATTGTGGTGGTAAGACTGTGATTGTTGTTGCCTGTAATAATCAGACTCATCCCGATTCTGCCATGATTGTACCGTTGATGCAGTCTGCACGTGGTCTTGGGGTACTTGGTAGGTTTGTTCCGGTGAATCGTGCCCCTGCCATTCCTGGCGGGGCTGGTATCCAGCGGCTTCATCCTGCGATTTGTCGTAGTACTGATGCACGTTCTGCTGCGAGTGCCACCGGCTGTCAGGTCCATGCAGTATTTCTTGCGTCGTATCGTGACGGTTTTGCTGCTGTGTGGTATCAGGACTGGCTACGTCTCCTTCACTACTCTCAGGCAAGTAACCTCTGGAGTTCGTAGTTTCATCCCAGCTTCTCCCGTCGTCATCGTCGAGCGGGCTCTCCTCTGCGCCTCGTTGTTGTTCTCTCAATGCCCTCAACTCTTCGGGGTCTTCTATACCGTAGCTACTAGCAAGGTGTCTCAATGCACGTAGCTCCTCTGGATCTTTCGTGTCTTGTGACCGAGACAACTTGTAGTACTCGATCAATTCTTCTGCATCGTTGGGTTGTAGGAGCCGCGCAAGCTCGGCAAGTGCTTGATCTTTCTTATTGTTTCCATCAACTTTAAGGCCATCCCGCGCCTTGAGGAACATGCGGTATACCTCGAGTTCTGTGCTGTTTAGGGTGTGCGTATTCTTGATCAGAGCTCGCACTTCTTCGGGCTTGTCATCGAACTTTAGGTCAACGGCAAGCTTTCGCAAAGTGTTGACTTCTTCGGGGGCAATGTCAATATCAAGCACACGACATAGATGCTCCGTCAGGAGCCGTCGACCTAGCTTATCGTCCTCAAATGCGAGGGACTTGGACTTCTCGTTGGAGAATGGCGTTTTAGTGATCACCCATTTGTTGCCAGGCTCGCGACGTATTGGTTTCCACACTGCGGCCTGATCACCATCGACCGTCTGCGGAATGAAATAGAGTTGGTCATCGTCCGGTAGCTCATCGTTTATGCTGCTTAGGGCGATGCGGAACCCTATGAGACTGTCGTACGTGAGACGTTTGAGTAGAGCCGGCACAAAAACAAATGGCTCGTCGAGCTGAACAGCGGCCTCTTCTTCATCTGAAAGACGCGGACGAACCACATACCCAGCAGAAGCGAGTTTCATGGCAGCCAAGGCGTGTGATTGTGGGTTAACTTGCTAACACATTAACATCTTCAAGTAGTTTTCACGGGTATCGTTCCATCGTCTTTGTCGCCGGATATCCTCTCACCGACTATCCACCACCTTCTACTTGAAGGCGGTACGTAATATGAAATGATTCACTTACATTTTGAACTTGAAGATAGAACTCTCTTGCAAAAGTCGATCATTCGGGACTCACGGTCTGTCCGTCTCCGAGGCTTTGTGGGGTGCAGAATATCGAGGAATTCGGCGAATGTAGGTCGATAGTTATGGATGGATTCAACCTCTTTGGAGTAGTACCACATTGTGCGGTAGAGGTTGGGACTAGAGGACATGAAGATTGCCAGATTGAGTGCGTTGACTAGACATGTGGCCCAGTATCGTGCGTTCCACGTAGTAGCTAGGTTGAAAGGCTCAAAGCCTCTGTCCTCGAATGGATATGTTTCACGACCAATGTGGTGCAGCATCATAACGGGCAGACGCTCATCAGGTTTTGGGTCCATCTCTTCCAACAACTCCTCGACTCGACCAAAGGTATGGTCGTCTGTGGCCTTCAGTATTTCAAACAGGAAGCGCATAGACAACCACTCGTTCCTAGGGGGTAAAGGAATTTTACGGTCGTTGAAGTACCTATCAAGCCAAGGCACCATGTATTGCCAGTTCATGGCTTGCTGTGTGCGGTCCTCGGCTTGACGCGTAGCCTCGGCGGCTGCAACTGAAGCAAGTTGCTGCAATGCAACCTCGCCTGTCATAACGATACCGTTAATCAGATCCAGCATACGAACCACGTCAGGTGACGTTTCGCCGGCACCGGAAGGCTTGTAAAGGATATCATGCTCAATGTCTGACCAAGCATGCATAATGATGCTTCCAATTTGTATTTCAATATTGGTGATGCGGTCGCCACGAGCGTGCTCGTCAAAGTCGAGGCTTTTGTGTTGAATTACCACATGTGTTGCCCTGTAACCGGCAAAAGTCGATTCGACTGCTGGGCCGATTCTCCTGTCCTCGGGCGCATCCTTCATCTGGCGCTGTCTCTCCACCAGCTTGCGGACCTTTTGAAAGTCGCGTGTCATGCCTCCTTTTCGACTAGGTCCGTCGACAATATGGAACTTTTCGTCGAGGAAGTCCACCACCTTTTGCACGTCATTTGGAAAATAAACGGAGATGCGAATGCCGGCCAAATCATGCATGGCTGTGAACATTTGCTCAATAGAGGTGAAAGGTTCGGCTTCGTACTCCTTATCCTCCATATTCCAGATTTTGCAATACTCATGCCATGACTCCTGACGCGCTTCTACCAGCCTTTTCAATTCAACGAGCTGCTTTCGATCTTCTTGCCTGCGCCTGAGAGTTCTCAGGGCTTTGCTTTTGTCCTTGAGCCGGGCTGATATAGGAGTATGTTGAACGTTCAAGCTACCATGTCGAAGACCGTCTTTCTTGGATTCGAGGATATCCAATGCTGCTTTCATATGGGCATGGAGACCTCTTGTTCGGACCCAATGCTCCTCCTCAAACTCTTTGAGCAGCTTTTCGAAGCGCTCATCATCGTGTGTGTCTGCCATTATTCGTGACGTCCCGCGTAAGACTCATTCAAGAGCGTGATTGTAACCGTAAGCCAGGCCTCGCAAAGGGAACGATACGGAGGAGGGCGCGAGGAGAGCAGGGTCTATATATCTGACGTTGACCCAATGCCCTTGTCGAGCAAGCGATGAATCCTTGCTGTCACACTCCGGATTAGTCGATTAAAATGGAGCGGCTGGAAGGTGGGCTGCCCTACTCCTTGATGACAACCAGATCGGATAACGCAAGCCACTGGATACTCTGATGCTTTCAACTTCATTCAATGCCAATCTCACAGTTTTGGATTGCAGAAGCGACAGACTGTCATAGCCAGCGGGAACAGGGATACAGTATTCTCACTTCAAGCGCATCACACTTTCATGCTCGTGTGTGAGAGAGGGAGCAGCGACATTTTCCTGGAAACCCCGCAAACATACGGAGTAACATCATGACCAAAGTCCCGAAATCACTCACCACCCACCCTCTAGCATCTCCACTTTCCGCCATTCCCATAGCCCTTGTTATCCCGCAATCCTCTCCCGCCCCCCTTGACCAGAAAGAGAGAGGCTGACCATCCTGCGCAGGGGTATTCTAGGTGCCTAAACAAAATGTAACACCGTTCGCTGAACGGAGCAACCCCGGTATTTCTACTGAGCTCGCACCCACGGCCAATCCTATCGCTCGTCTAATCCTGATGCCATGCTTTGCGGAAACTCTCACGCATGCAAAAAGGATTAGGCAGCATTGGTCCAATTCACAAGCAATGTGTCAGCTTCTAAAAGTCTTGTATGCCGCACCACACCTGCATTTCCTCCCCACAAAGACGACAAGAATACAGAAATAATATTTCAAAAAAATCATTTTTTGACAAAACCGCCGTCATGGGGGGACGCATTCATGCCGCGATGCCTGATTCTCGCTCTATCCGGGTATTCACCTTGTATCCGGGAGTCCCCAGCGATCCGCTCCGTGGCGGGCTAGAGTTTGTGAACATCGACAGCGGTGCTGGCGCTTATGAAACCATATCTTATGTATGGGGAGATCCGTCAAAAACGCATGGAATGGTCTGCGATGGGGTCGAAGTGTTGATCACCAAGAGTCTTCATGGAGCGCTTACGTGCCTCCGCCTTCCTCATGCATCGAGGCGGCTTTGGGCTGATCAGATTTGTATTGATCAGGAAAATACTGAAGAGAAGAGCAGCCAGATCCCCCTGATGAACGTCATTTATCGAAATGCAAAACACGTGCTGGTGTGGCTGGGTCACGATGAGCAAAAGGTTGCGAGAGCGGCGTTCGACTTGGTTTCTGACCTGGCTGCAACGTTCGCTGATAGAGAAAGACGAGCAGCATTTGATCGCCGTCAAGCGGAGAATTCAGCCTCTTGTAATGATTCCCATGATATGTGGTCTCCACTAAGGGCACTAACAAGTCTTTCATGGGTAAGAGGACATATGATCAAGGGGCCGCCAGTGGCCCTCAATTTTGTCATCATCGATTAACGGCTTGATCCCAGTTTACCCGAGCTTGGATAGTCCAAGAAATAGGCACTCGAGCACCCGCGACACTTTTTTGGGGCGACGTATATATCGAGTGGGAAGTTTTGCACTCGGTCTGCAAAGATTTAACTGACTACCATCATCTCCGAAAAGAAGTCGACATCCAGACACCTAAGGTCAAATATATGTATCGCCGCTTCATAGAACCAGACCGTTCTTCACGGCATGCCAACCGCTTCAGCTTTCTATACGAGCTACATAGAGCCCGGCACCTGATGGCTTCCGACCCCAGAGACAGAGTGTATGCTATGCTGGGTCATTACTCAATCCGAAATACCCCAAACCAGGAGATAAGAGCTCTGAAGCCAGATTACTCCAAAACCTTGGAAGAGGTTTACAATGATGTGGCAACCAGAGGCCTGATCGGAGATGACAAATCCCTCCTGACACTGGCTTCCGTCCAGCATAAGACGGTACCCTCCAAGCAGCATGCTTTAGAGCTGTCCAGCCTGGACTATTCTTCCGTGTCGCCCAATAAATTGCCGTCATGGGTCCCTGACTGGCGAACGTATCAGTCACACATTCTCTCAGAACCGACTAGCCCGCACCGTGCCAGTGGAGCACTTAGATCAAGCCTTCAAGTGGACGGGTCAAGCAAGACTATTTATATCAAAGGGGTAATAGTTGACACCATAGCCGCGCATTCTAAATCCTTCCAACCCCGCGAGTTTCATGTCAACGGTTCCGAATATTCGAATGTCATCGAGAAAATTTGGCGTGAGGTATGTGAAGAGTCCGACTTTGACCTAGCAAGTCGATATCTTCCTACAGCACGTACGACTTCCCAACAGCAAGACAAGGAGAAGGGCCTAGAAGATGGCAAAAGCAGTGCAGTCTTCGCATATCTTCAGACACTAAGTAACGCTTGCGTCGCGGTTGCGTGGCAAGACAATCAACCCTACGAGTCTGCCTCAAAGGACATGTGGTTAGCTCACGGCGCAGCGTATCTAGTTCGTGCAGCTGGGAAGTCTTGCGCCATTTCAGAATCTCTCCGAGATTTGGCGAAAGCTGGGGATGCGGCAAAGTGGGCGCGTGCTGCAAACGGGGCGTCAAGAAACCGGGTATTTGCTAAAACGAAAGACGGCTATTATGTCCTTGGCCCAAAGACGATGGAGCCAGGAGATATTGTGTGTGTTTTGTTGGGGGGCAAAATGCCATTTTGTTTACGACCTTGGGGAAACAAATACTTGCTCCTTGGAGAGTGCTACGTACACGGGATTATGAATGGGCAGGCGGTGGATGGATCTCGTGGAGAAGAGATGACAAGGACAGTGTTTGAGATAGTTTAGTGAGACTTAGTGGTGAGGGAAATAATTCACGGTAGATTAACATGTCAAGAAACCATATAAGTGTGCCTCGGTACGAAAAAATCGAACGCGGATGTGTTCTTTAATACGAGGCCATTGTCACGTTTGTCATCTAGAGCCGCGATATCTACTTCAGACGAAGCTTTAGTGAAGGTAGTTGCATAAGAAGAATGTTTGGCGAAGAGGCAAATATGTATTGTCAAACCAGAGCCAGGTCTACTAAATATAAAGTGATGATCTGGTTGTTCTGTGCTGAGAAAGGAGCTATGCCAACACTGAACTATAAATTACTACCGATATCGGTATTGGATCATCTGAAGATGGCTTTTAAGACGCCACTTTTAAATCCGAATGCCCCTGAAAGGTGAGTTTTTGACTCGATTTATCGCAAAATTTGGTAGAAATCTCGAAGATTACCTCTTTAAGGATCTACTTACGGCCCATGATGTTCTTTCTCTGTTCTGGAATGGGTTGTATTTAGATTTATGATCTTTTCAGTTCTTTGGATCTTGCTTATGATGTCGAATCTTTGGCTGACATAAAATATCTTTTGTTTTCTAAAAGCTGGAATATCAACTATCTTCGTCCGAGAATGATCATGCCAATGACCAGACCTTGTTGTTCACAAGTTTTGAGAAAGTGACGATGATGAACACGCTCTAGGTATCTAATAAGAGGCGGGGTTTTGTATTTGGATAGCCGATAATGTTTTTCTGGTGGTTCTACAGGCTAGATATAGGTCCAAGTTGTCCACTAGCTTGCCTAAATTTACTTTCCCAAAAATGTCCAGATCCTCGACTTCACACCACCCAAGAGCTGTTTGAAATTGATTCCTAATACGTGCGTCTGAGTCGGGTGATTTGCAAAATACTCGTCAACTGTCTCCTTCGGTATTATGACAGCTACAGGATCAACGCTGACCCTCGTTTTTCTCACCAGTTCGCAAGCTTGTCGAAATATTGCCTCCGTGGTCTCTGGCTTCGAAGTAGGAAGTTGATGAATTGATGGTAAGAAACAAGCGGTATCAAAACCGCCATTGTCTCCAAGCATATGGTCTTTGAAGATGGGATAAACTGATTTCGGTTGGTTGACTGCGCCTGTGTTGCGTGTTTGCAACTGCCTTCGCGCCGCGGTGATCCACAGCGGCATGCCGTCACCAAGAACGTCTACTATGACTTGGTAACCTGTGCATTCGGTGACACGCTCGCCACTGGTGAGATAATGTCGCTCCGGTGTTGCAGTAGTCCTAACTTCCAAGCTTCCCAAATCCAGGGCAAATTTAGGAAGCCCGGGAACTTTCCCCTTTCGTGCATCCAAGGATAAATCATCGCGGCTCCGAAACTCGAAAATCAGATCCTTCATGTCCCATTTTCTGCCACGTAAGATATCAGGACAGCATATTATTGGCAAGCGTGTACATGAAGTAGAAAGTTTGATCTGATATTCGTCTCCATTATCAGCTTCGAAGAGGGGAATTCTACATATCCCAAGGAAGTCGTGCACTTTGAGGAGCTGTGCAACGTTTTCTCGGTGCGACAAATGTAACTTTGCCAGCCAGTTCTGAGTTGTTGGTTCTTCGTAGAGCTTGCCATTTGCAAAGGTATCGATCCCTGTGTCAAGCCAGTCATGGAACCAATGCCACTCTTCTCCAGGAAGTTCGAACGGATTCGAGTAGTAAACTCGATCCATATGATCTTCATGTCGCTCAAGGGTCAAATCCGAGTCATCCGAGTCATCAGTGTCATATGTGTCAGCATCCGACAAACTAGACCTTCTGTCGCCCTCTTGCAAGGCTGGGGAGCTAAGATCTACTGAAATCGAGCCGTGAGCCACGTATGAGTCGTACGAAGAATCATATGAGCGAACTGACCTTTTTCTACACTTTTGCGTGTCGAGCTGGTCTGTTCCGCGGCAGAGGACATGATGAAAAGGTAAAATTGCGGGGATTCTGAGCTGGTGTTGATCAACTGGCTGCGTAGTGATTGAGACGCTTTTTACCGGAATATCGAAGAAAGAAAGGGTTGTTCGAAGTTAAGAGAGGCTGTTTGGTTGAGAAAACATTCCACTCTCAATTATAACTAGGAGGGTGCGGGTCTGTCCTGCGTCAAGGCTGTACTTTGGGCAGCGCCTACAAGCACTGTATGATTGGCTGGTCACTTCAGGTTCCTTGTAAACGACATAGGTACGGTATTTTTAGAATGGCCCTGGCTGCGGCGGCAAGTCGCGCTTAACATTGCTAGAGCGTGACCTCGCTCCAACGACTGCTCTAATCCTTGCAAATGCTGTGTTGCTTGCAGCCAACATGTCATATTCGCAGAGCACTCTGCTGCTGCTCACTGAATTGCAGCTGTGTTGGTTCCAGATAGAATGACTGGCGTATCGCTGCTGATGTTGGTAGCACTGGGTAACATCGGCCACTGGGCCATTGCTACGAATAACTACGGCACAGCGTTGCAGCAGCCGCCCATGCCGCTTTCTGATAACCAACGGGCCTGCAATACCCTAACCGCCCTTCTTTCGTTGTACGTTGGCAATGAGAGATGCCGTGCTATTAGATACTTAACTCGTTCGCCTACAGTCTTGTTCATGATGTCCCACGTACTGCATGTCTCTCATTTCACCCGTGCTTCACTTTATGGAATCTGTGTCCTTGCTACCAAAAGATATTTTCTCAATTATCGGTGTATACGCTACTTTTCATATGCCAACAATTACCAGTAAGTATTCCAAAAAATAAAACACACTCTTTCTAATGCAAGGCTCCTCTTATTAACATGTTGTGCTGCAGTTACAAGTGCTCTGAGTTAGAACCCGGCAAGAGTCCACTCCCATAGACGTTGGCTACATCCAAGCCAGGTCAATTCTGGTTTCAACAGCGAAGATGACATCGAGCATCAAAGTTTCTAAATTCCCAAAGTCGGGTACAAAATTTTCTGAGAGCATTGACGAAGTCAATGCGGCCGAGCACAATTTCAACGTTATATTGCAAGCTGGCCGCGTGGTGTCCACGAAAACTCTACTATCCCATTTCGCCGATGGCATGCAAATCAAGCGTCTTGAAGACATGGTTGCCGATTTTCAAATTATTTTCAGCATCATAAGACGAGATATGAAGTCGCATAATAGTTCTGTCGATTTCACCGGCATGCGAGTGGCCGACAAGAATGTCGTGCTTCCGAGGCACATTACAATCGACCGCTACGATAACATCTGCCCGTTGACGCTTCTCCTCCAAATCATTGCCGAGAGCCTCAACAAACTGCGGATTAATGTTCGCCCCAATGATTGGAGCAGCTTGAGACCTCTGCGAGATGTTCTTGTTGGGCTGCAGCAACGTCTCAAAAAGGTTGAGCATGGAAAGGGTTTCTTTCCCGGTCTAGCGCCGTGCATCATGCTTCACGAAGAACACTCCATCTTTACTGTCGCTGCGACTTCAGCTCGTTACATGCGTCTGCAGGCCCTTGATAGCTTCGGCAGAGACGCTAGGTTCAGACATATAGACACGATGAAGGCAAGATGCACACCCGAAGCGGCGAGACGCATGACTGAGATTGAGAGATTCTCAAATGATATACGAGCACATTTGGCCGTTGATGAGGATGAGAGAGACAAAACATGGCATAATTGGGAAAATCCTTTCCGGACCGAGGCAAATCGTGCAGTAGTCAATGGTATGGGAGCCAGCTTCGAGCCTCAGGGAAAGTATAAGGTAGCTTGCGTGCTCGACTACTGGCGCTTTCGGATGCAAAGACCACAACAGGCCGAAGCCGCAGAGCTAGCTGTTCTTGAGGCAGAAATAGTAAAGAAGAGAGGTATCAGTGGAGCGACATCCTGCGCAGAGTGGGATTTATGGATCACCAAATTGTCCAGCCCTTCGGTTCAACCGCAGCCGCCCCTTCAGCCTATCCCATACAAAGCAGGAATGCCAAAGTCAGGAACATGGGGCACACCTTTACACCTACCACCACCTCCAGCTGTCCCTCAACGAGCCGCCGTGGGACCTTCATCAAGGGTAGAAATGTCGTCCGCCTACCCTCCACCGATTGGCTATCCAAGCAATGTCACTCCAGGAGCGAGGAGAGAGCAGAGAAACCCTCACGGACCAGGGACATGGCCGACTTCAACAGCTATGCCCCCTCTTCCAGGCCAACCTCTCCAAGCTGGGAGGCGAGACGCTGGGTCTAGGATGGGTTCAGTGGCCATTGGCCCACATGTCTATCCCAACACCAGCCCCTATGGAGCACCAAGAAGAGATGAGAGAATCCAGTCACCATCAGTATCCAGCGACGGGAAGAAGACAAATGGCAAAGCTAAATCAAGGGGCTGCTTTGGATTTCTGTAAACGAGTGGATGTTGTTATTGAGGTAGAGCAGGCGCAGGCTGTTTGTAGTTAGCAGACGGCAGTGTCTACCTTTGAACATTCGGCATTGTGTGATTGAGTGGCCATCTAGCTGTCATGTTTAAGATACCTGCTACTTGGACTATTAAAATTGGCCAAGGACCTGCAATGTACCTATATCGCTGTTTTCTTAATACAATTGTTCCAGCCCGGCGCTAGAACATTGCAAACATTGTAACGGCAGGGTTTGATGTCACTCTGCACTTTTCTTCTGTAACTACGTTGTCATCCCCAGAGACTTACACTCACTATGTTGTTAAAGAAGAACTGTCTTATTCTTAGGCGTTTGCATCGAGCCTAGGCGTATGATTCTAACTTCATTAATTGAGGTGTTCGTTGAAGTCTGGTTGTATGCCGACATTCTCGGCACAGATCGATAATTCATTTGCCAGCCACCCCGGAACAGGAACGAAAAGACGGGTTCCTGTTCTTACAGTGAAAGCCATAATGTGTACTGCCAGCAGATGCCCGGAATATAGAACAGGTTATACGCAGCATGATAAGTCATTACCCTGCTGAAGGCCAGCTTCGATGTTGAGGGGGTTGAGACAAGTGAGTTTTCTGCCCAAGCACATCCACACTTCACTATGTGTAGCTGCTGACGCAGCTACGTGCTGTCTCACTCATGACAATTTCATTATGCAGGAAACCAGCAGCGGCCGCATGAATTGGTTGTAATGCTCCTAGACAACTCAGTCTTTGATCACTATTAAAAGTCATGTCTCACTACTCAGGGGCCCTTCTAGGGAAACACGAAGTTCAAAATAAGTGTGGAACATTGATAGGCCCGGGAACATTCGTCAATCAAGTGGCACTATCTAGGTCAAGGCTGTGGTGACAGAAACTCAGACGCTCAGGAAGTCATAGGTTTGAATTCGGTCAATTGTCAACGCTATCATGTCCCACTAAAACATGGGATTCTAACGACGCTCTGTAATTCGTCTATTCATCATTGATTCATGGACCCTAAACCCGCAGCGGTATTAAACACCAGCGCATCCAGTGTATTGCTGCACGGCAGTCGCAGTGCTAAGTGTGCGTTAGCTACTATTGCAACGGTAAGATGATAATGGACAAAACTCACCAACCAGTGATGCAAGTAGCATCCTTATTGCATGCATTGATGCAGGCTACATGATCCGCAGCAGCCTTTGTCTCACAGGTGGCGATGTCCCCGCCCTCCTTATCACCGCCGTCTTTGGCATCGACTGGCATGGCAGTTGCGAAGGAAGCAGCGAAGATGGTGAAGATGATGGAAAAGCGCATTGTGAAAGAATTGGTGATTTTGTTAAATAGAGGCTTTGGAGTGTATTTTCAAGTTTTCAAATTTTTGAATCGTGATTTCGTGATGGTGTGATGAGTTTCTGGAGTGCTTATTTGCGAGTTCTCTTATTCGTGTTGGTGTTGATGCTGATCATTCTAAGTCAGGAAAAGATGGGTTCGACAGGATGATTATATACATATTTTTTACGACATTCAAATAGCTTTTCTTCCTTACAACGGGCTTCACTAGGTCTGCGAATACGATTACGTCGTCCCGTCAGATAAGGTACTTTACCGCCCATCCGGCACATGCATAGGCCATGACGGCTAGGATGCCGACGCTCCCGCTGTCAGATCTAGGGAGTGGCAGCAGATGACGTCTGTTGGCACTTTGATACTCGCATTAATCTTCCGCTTTGGGATTTACAAAAGAGGGGATGTGAAAGCCTAATGGAGTAAGTCCGTTACACCTTCGATTGAGTAGGACTCGACTGTGGCACACAGGATATGGTGGCTGCGCTTTCAAGCAAAAGATGGGACGACAAGGTCATCTATACGTCAAATACAGGGTCCTGAAAGTTTTAATTCCTAGCTAAGAGGGGGACTTGTGATAGGTAGGTGACTTTTGCTTTAGACGAGACGTCAAACGGGCGATCAGCAACGGGGATGGGTCTTCTAGAATCGCTGGAACTTCACAAGCAGCCCCCACGACCGCAATGCCTCGGACCTTCCGCAAGAACCTCGACACACGTGAACTAGGCCGACTCCGCCCAGACTATTACATCAGTGCGGCGTCCCAAGTCGAATTCTCCGCTTTTCTGGAAGGTTCAACGTTTGCTCGATTGGGCAATGCGATCGTGGGGACTACCAAGGACTGCGCTCCGGTGGGATTGGGACCCTACATGGATACAATAAGCTGCACTATGTGATGCGGCATGCTGGAATACTACGGTTACAGTAGTATGGAGTCCACCTGATTCCCAATCATGAGGCTGAGACTGGTAATCCAGATCTCTGAATACAAGCGTCGATACACACATCTACGCTACGACTAATGTCCCAGTGGTGAGATTATGTCAATAGACAACCGAGGAATATGTAACATGCATAGTTATTAGTTGATCAACAAACCTGAGAAACACCATAGAAGAGAGAGAGTTCCTCGTGACCATTGACTTTCCGAATGGCGTCATTCCCCGATCGGAGGCGAAGTCCATCGGGGAGGAATCCACTCCGGCCCCGTTGGCATGAAGTTCCGGCACCCCACCCCACCACGAAGCTGCTGAGCCTCGGAGGCCTCGGCAGGAACTTGATATTTCGTATGATTACCCATATGAGCCCACCTCTGGTAGCTGTTCGAGACTGATCCCATAAGGCGGAATTGAGGACTGATGTCCTAATTAGGTTTTCTGACGCCACTAACTCCACAAGCCGGCCCTTTGCAAGTGAATCTGGGGTCGCTTACTAGGTGATCTTCGATTTTCCTGATTTCTCAATAGTAAGCTTAAGCAAGAACCTTGACCTAAGTGGGTTCTGTAATGCACGCAAAGGATGTTCATGCCTTGGATGTTACCCATTGCGTCAACCAACATCAACAGGGTATCAACTCAAGCTGCCCGTCAAACTGCTGCAGTACATTACATTGAAAGAGGCCTAGGTAAAAGACCCCCATTGTCGGTTGTCATACTATCCTAATGCAGCATTACGGAGTACACGAGCGTGGTATCTCAGTGCACTCTAGTCTCTTGCATATTGCAAGCTTGACGCCGCATGAGACTTTTGGATTGCCGTAATGGTTCATCCTCCCAATAGTGCGATCGAGACGAGAAGCATTTTAACTTGGATTAACCAAACTGGATTAATACGCAATAACGATGCTGGCTTGGTGAAAAATGTTGCCAATGTGAAGCTAGTATCGTAGTGGGATCATTCATTATGAAGGCGGATATTCGCTACAAGCCGACCCCTGTCATCGAGGTGTCCAAAGGCCAGACCAGAGGAACCATAGGAGTTCTCGAGAATCTTTCCTAGCTAAGATAGCAAAATTTAGGACCTTATCTTATCCTGCACAACATAATACTAACATCTCAGACGCCACATGGTATTTTTCTTAACTCAATTGCTCAGCTATGACTCACCATCTTTATTATTCAGTTTGTCTAATACGTGGTCATGCTTCCAAGGGACGCGGATGCAGTTGTGGTGGCATAAAGCTCCACGGCCTCAGACGCCGGAGCTCCGTTGTTGCAAGGACTTGCAGCCGCATTATGCTGCTTTGGAGCAATTTTCCGTTCGTGTCCATACAGATATACCGAGACATCAAGGTGGGATGAACCATCAAATCGTGCTTACGAAAAAACCAGTTTCTTCAGCGACTGCGAAAGTGAAATTGACTGAAGTCCCCTGAAAAAGGGTGTAAAGTGATGACACCTTTAGATATTCGCTGGTCTCGCAATAGATGCCGTTTTCTCTGCTACTGTTCTTCATACCGATGCATGGTAACAGGCGATCTGTCTACATCTAGTTGTCATTGCAAAACCTATCACTTCTTTGTCAGCAAAGTTAAACAGGCGATCCGCTTTGGGCATGATCATTTGTCAAATGAAGATTAGCCTGTCTCGCAATTTTGGGACTTGTCGGACTCGGAATTAAGGTCGTTTTGTCATTTTCGACATTTCAATTTCAGCCCGAGCGCCCCAGTTTGTGTTGAGGGGACGTAAAATTGGTAGGTGTAAAAGTACGATAGCATTTAAGAATAGCATCCTAGGATGTTTATCTTTGCAGCTTTTCACCCATGGAACTTGGGTCATGGTCGTGGTATCCTCTTCGATTCGGTCCGGGAGGGATCGCTCGGTCTCGCTCCATGACGCCATTGGCTCACATTCGAAACTGTGGGTCCAGTGTACAAGTTCGCACTTCATCGGAGACCGGCTCTACGCATTCGTCAAATGATATTCATCTACGGCGTAATAGGCAGTGGCATCTTACGTAGAATGCAACTTGTGCATTACTCGTGTCTTAAAGCCTGTATTATGTAATCATGCTCGTGCAATCATGGGATGAGACTTCAAAGAAATACGGTCTGCAGTTTTCGTAGTCGTTCATGGCCTCTCACCTCGAAAATGAAGTCACAAAACGGCAGTCAGATTGATGGATCAATGGCCAGGAACACCGGCGAGAACATATCTGCCACCCCATTTTCATGCCATCAGTGCCGTTATAGGAAACTGAAATGCGATCGAATACGGCCTTCCTGCGGCCGCTGTGTTCGGATCGGAGATGCCTGCGGTTACCCACAAGTAAGGCGAGCAAATGTGGGAAGAAGGAAACGGGTTCACGAACTAGAAACAAAACTAGGTAGGTAAATGACTTCGAATTTTTGTTTCCTTTATACGAAGAGCAGCTTCACTTCGAGAGACATTGGCTGATACCTGTAAGATCAACTCGAACGCTTGGCGAGAGGCGTTGAACAACCGAAAGCTGCCCAAGAAGTCACAGAGCAACAGGGGGCTTTCGACGATTCCAGAGACTTCATCATCAACACTGAAACCTTCAACAGTGAATCAACAAGCGCAACTCCCGAGCCCAGCCAAAGTCACTCTCAAGCAGACAATTATTTTGCAGAACTGGTATCAGTGGGTTTGTTCGAGCAACAACCCTCCATAGAACTTGTCACATTCTTGTATAGTATACTCACCACTTTTCCACAATCAATTCAACTAACTTCAGTCCTCAGGGTGAATAGTTACTTTGAAAAATGGCATTATGCTGCTCCCATGTTTCAGCAAGATCGGTACATGATGTCCTTGTACTTGCCACCTCATATGCGCCCGCCAATGTGCCTTCAATACATCATAATGGCCCTAGGCGCTGATATTGTCAAGACACATCGCCAATTAGCAATCCCCTTCTACCAGCGGGCTAGGGCTTATATCCAGTCCGACGAAATGAGAGTAAGTTGGCAGTGTGTATCCGCTTTGTAGGCGTACAATGTATCTCACTGTAGTTCTAGGGCGAGGGCCAATTCTTTGCCACACTTGCACATGCCCAGGCTTGGAGCCTGATTGCGAATTTCGAAGCCCAGCAACTGTTTTTCGCCCAATCGTCGATGAGTCTCTGCCGAGCAATTAGAACTGCTCAGATGCTGGGCTTACATCACATTGATAGAGATAGCATGGAATCTCTACCTTTACTTGCGCCGCCAGCGGACTGGGTTGAGGCAGAGGAAAGGCGTAGGACTTGGTGGGTCATTTATTGTTCTGACCGGCTAGTTTGTGGCAGTACCGGCTGGCCAGCCATGATCGACGAGAGAGATGTAAGAGACTCTAACCCATACACTCCCACGCGCTGCGCCGGGGCCATACTCTATACTTGATGTTTACAGAAACACAGCTTCACACACGACTTCCGGCTTCAGAGAACGCATTTGAAACGGGCTCAGAAGAGCCCACGAGTTACTTGACTAGTGTATTACACCAAGAAGGGCAAGGATTCTCACCGTTCGCCGGCCGAGTCCTAGCTACATCTCTTTTCTATCAAACTTTCCAACATTCAACACAACTTCCTCGAAATGGAGTTTGCAGTGACGTCGACATAAGCTTATACTGGAAACGCCATCACGAGATCGACAATGATCTAGTTGCGCTCCTTCAAGGTCTTCCGGGTGACCTTCAACTTCCATGCAAGATACGCTGTCAAAACGCAACCTTCGTCAACATCATCATACAAACTTCGATTATTTGCCTTCACCGAGGAGTGTTGTCAAGCACACAAAGACTAGGCTTATCAGAACAAACAATACGCCAGAGCAGAGGGAGGCTCATTGCTGCTGCAGAAGAACTGCTCAACATCTTCAGAATGATGCCAGACGTCAACCAGGCGCTAAAGAACCCGATGCTCACATTTTCGGTGTACACCGCCTCTCTGGTTTTTCTTGATCAGCCGGTATCGGCAGATCCGCATTATCAACGACAGGATAGCCTGAACTTCATTCTCAGAATCATGATGCTTGCTGCCAAGACATGGGATAACCCGGTAACCGGCTCAATGGCTGCCCAACTGGCTTCAGATATGCGGCAACGTGGGATAGATTCTCCAGCAGTAGAGAAGGTAAGCCAAAGCACTTTCATTACCGATTAGTTGGTTTTAAGTAACATATGGGCCGTCAGGCAAAGGAAATGCCACTTCAAAGGAGCTTAGTACCTATTTTTGCCAAGGGAGATTCTCAATCTTCCAACTTTTTGTTTCAGCTCACAAGTCCCAATTCTGGAAGTACCTTGAGCTCTACTTCGGATAATCTATAAATAACGTCGCACACCCACTTCTCGCACACCCCCACATTTCGCACACCCATAAATTGGGTCATCATGAGGTATTCATCAACTTCATAACTATAAGTCTGATTCGTCTCCTGCAACTGTGATACTATCGCCAGTTTTAATAGGTAATTCAGGCTCGCTAGATTCATCTGAGCTATCCTCAATTTCGCCAGCCTCAATTTGGGCTTTGTGAATTGCCTCAATGTTGGCAAACTTCGAATTTGGGCTCATTTGGACCTTACGCCGCTTCCGTACCATTCCAGCCTCAACTTCTGCTTCCAACATTGCAATCTTCTTCTCTGCTGTAGCCAATTGATAGTCCTTTTCATCAAATCCCTTTTGAACCTTCCGAAACAACAGTCGCTGCGTTTGCTGATCTTTATCCAACTTGCTGAATAAGCTAAGTTGATCATATAGATCAACTGTCTTCTTGGGCGTTGACCAGGCTACTATGGATGTAGCAGATGCCCAGTTTTCGTCTTTTCCACCATCAGAGGCCCTCATAGGCGTAGAATAGCCTGGCTTTGAGGGCTTGGAAGCATTCTCAAGCAGTAGAGGGCTCATGAGCGGTCGAGCTATCGAAATGGGCCATAGTCCTGTTGCTTTCCAGCCGCTTCTGATATTCTTGCTTGAAAATGCCATCTGGCGTGCTTTTCCATAGCAGGTAAGAAAGTTCCGTTTGCCTACAACTGTAGAATCGTTGTGTTGAATGAGGTATCCAAGCTCTTTTCGATAGGTCGCCTTGAGAGGCCCAAAGACTGCTTGGTCTAGAGGTTGGAGAACGTGGGATGTATGTGGCGGTAGGAAAAGGAGATATATCTTGTGTTTATAACAGAGATACATAAATTCTGTTGTTTCATGACTGCCATGACCGTCTAGGATCAATAGTCTCTGCTCAGAGGGATGATCAGGCTTAGTCAGAGGGATAAAGATGTTCTCAAGCCATTCCACAGCTGTAGAGTCTGAAGTCCAGCCATTCTCAGTTGCTGTGAACTTCCAACCACTGTAAATATCACGTTTATGGATATCAAGAGGAAACCATTGTTGTTGAACCGATTTCCCTCGATAAATAACAAGTGGAGGAAGCGCCTGACCAGTTGCAGAGACACACTCAAGCATAGTTGTCCAAGCCCGAGACCCAGGCTGTTTTTTTCGCATTGATGAGCTTTCTGATGATCCCAGTACTAAGCCATTTGATCCTCTGCCTTCTAGAATACCAGTTTCATCCATGTTATAGCGATGATGTGGTTTGATCGCCTTGATCTCTGGAAGGGCGAGTTGTTGAAACCATTGCCTGATTACATTAGTTGAGGCCCCATTGACACGCTTAGAATCGATGGCTCTAGCTCTATGAACCTTGATTGATGGATTTCTCTTAATAAAGAACTGAATCCAGTTTCTCCCAAGTGGCTGGGTAGTGCCTCTGATGTCTAGGATTCGCTGGGCAAATTCCTTGAGTTGTTGATGTGTTGGCGGCAGCCCTAACGCCGCCTGGATACGCACCCATTCAGCTAAGTGACTTTCCTGTGCTGGAGATAGCTTCTGGAAGCTAGAGAAAGCTACATTTCTTGCCTGTGAACCCTTTAATCGAGACTGGAGGGTTGATGGTGGAATTCCAGCATCATGAGCTGCCTTTCGGACACTCTGCCCACTTGCAACTGCATTGAGAGCTTGATTGACTTCTGTTTCCGTATACTGGCCCATTAAGCGTATAAGAGTAACTATTCAAAGAATTATAATAATCGCTGTAAAAGTGGTGAAGATATTAAAGAATGTTGAAGAGGGTAAAATTCTACATGAGCGATTTATGGGTGTGCGAAATGTGGGGGTGTGCGAGAAGTGGGTGTGCGACGTTATAATACGTATGATACACAAGGTTGTGGAAAATAACAAAAGTTTTGAACAACAGCCGCTAGAAGTTGACCCAATCCAATCTCTGTCCCAAGCACCATAACCTGTGACATCTCTGTCCCCAGCTTATTGGGCGACAAGTGACGTGATATCGTTTTCTTTCAATTAATAAGCCTATGCGGGAGGAGCTTGCCGGCCAAGGTCTAGCTAAGACAAGGACCGCGCGGCAGTGCCGCATATGATGCTTCCAACGTATCTCTAGCTTACTATGCTTGCTTCTTGCTTCATATTTTCCTGCAAACCAACGCTTCTTGGACTAAAAACAAGTGTATTGAAATAAAAAGAACCCTTTTCCCCATGATAAAGACTAAATTAGTTCCTTACGCGTCGAAACAGTGCAATAAGGAATGCAAAGAAGGTTAGAAATGAAAGCAAAAGCCCAAAGATCCCAGTAGATGCTGGCTCTACATCTCGAGATGATAATCCTGGTTTGTAAACAATCTTGTTCTTTAAACGCCAAGCAGCTTTTGGATCGTGGGCTGGCAGCAATACTACCGACCGCTGTTTTGAAAACTCCTTCACTTTCCTCAAAGATTCAATAGCAAGATGCGGGTTGCTATTGACGCCGTCAGTAAGCTCTTGATCAAGCAAGTCTTGATCATAGGTGGCATCTCCAAGGAGGAGGTATGTTACATCTTCCCCGTATACGATCAAGGATAGATGACCAGGCACATGACCAGGCGTGTCAATGGCAACAACTTTGCCATCTTTGGTGATTGGATAACTACGGTTCCAGAGCCCAATCGGTCCTCCTGTCGGTTCAATGATCTCGGGTGCGAAACCTTTAGGCCATTGTCCGGGAACAGCACCTTCCATAGTGGCATGAAATGGGCTTTTGTAAGCATCCCAGTGCTCAGAGGTAATGTAAATCGGTGGCCCAATAAGATCCGGAAGCCCGTCGCCATGATCATGATGCAGGTGAGAAAGAACAACAGCTTTCAAGTCCTCTGGTCGAAGGTTGTTCTGTGCGAGCCGGGCACCAATTCCTTCATGCTCTCGTACGTGGATATCGACAGCCAGATGGTAGAAGGGCATCCAGATAGGGAAATATCCTGGTTCCATAGTGCGAGGCGACTCCCCAGAATCAAATAAGATGTATCCCTCAGGATGTTCGATAAGATACGTATTGATAGGCAACGGGATCGTCCATGATCGATCGAGCGCAACCGACAGCCGGCGCAACCATATCGGCTTGTTGGCTGTTTGATAACGGTGGCTGGGTCGGATGCGGATAGTTCCAGTTTCGAGGATTTTAGCGTTTATCCCCATTGTGTACTCTGGAAAGTTTCAAAGTTCAGAGGCAGAAAACGGACTTGTAGTCTGGTGGGTGAAAGACAGAGAAAGAGAAGATAACACAAAGTTGTAACCTGTGAGTTTGTGAAGCTGTGGTTCCCTTTTGGTCTTTGTGGTGGACTGCGATATCTTATAACTGACTGTAGCGCGATTTCAAAGAAAGCCCAAGGCTGCGATTTTCCAACTGTAAAAACGCAATTTTGTATAAAGGTTGTTACAAATTGATTTATATCTTGAAAGTCCAGTTCCAGAAATGGACCCTCGGTGCTCTTAATTACCGAGCTACCGTTCCCATCGGGCACGTAGATAAGCAGATTCACCATGAAGCCGCCCCCGAAAGAGAGAATGAACGAGTTATTGGTTTGTCTAAAATTGCCCGTCTCGAGTAGAAAGTGTGTTGTCTTGCTTGCATTTGGGTTCATGCCTCAGTAGTTGGGGCTGTCACGTCAAGAAGCTGAGATTGCGTGGAGCCATGACATGATGTTGGGTGGCATTTCTAGTCTAGACCTCCTGTTAGCCCCAATATTATCGCGTTTCAGTCGGTTCACGGGCCTTACGGCTCCGATATCACATCACGGACATAGCTAATGCCGATCCAAGTCATTGCTCAGTCATTGACCGTATATTTGGAAAAGATGCACTAATTCAATGCTATGGCAATCGCCAATCGTAATTTTTCATTCACGACAGTAGAAATCCCAGTCTCACACAATTTCCGAGAATCTCACACTTTTCGTATTGGCAGTTCTTTTATTAATAGAACAAATCTCATGTCTCTCTAAGAAACCCCAAATATGTGATGATGTCTTGATGTCTTGCTGTCTCTATACAAGGTACTTAGTGAAATTCTCTTTTATGATCCGCAGAATCGGTCTCTGTGCACAAATCTATAGAGTACAGAACAGTGGACAATGACAGCCGATTGTTATTCCCGGACTTTTTGCTTTGTGCTGCAGTGGGTGTCTTAATTTGCGTACAAAAAAAAGGCCTTAATTTCGAGCCGCCGTATTGCCGCCCCTAAGAACCGAGAACCGGAGCAATATAATTAGCCATAGGAGTGTTACATGGGTCAAAGATAGGCCGTCAGGGAGCTTTTAAATACCCGTTAGCCACCGGAAGCGGATGGCGGCCTGACCCCTTGATCCGTTGGGGAAAAGTATAGCCGTGATAGCTTTCTACTCCGGAGTTTCGCATTCACTAGAGTTGATGACATTGTAAGATATGCTCCAGAGTTGATTCTTTTCTAATAGAATGGCTTGAATTAACCATCCATCTTGAAGACAGGAACTCAGAATCTGCTCTCAATAGCGGCTGTAAGTAATTTCTTAAAGACTCAATTCTACTTCATGCAGAACAAGAAGCAAAAATGACCCTACCGAAGCGTTTTTGTTTGCCCTGCAAGTAGATTGTTGCGGTCTTGCTCTCTAACGCGAATACGTGAGAGTCTCAAATGTTTATATCTTGTAGTGTGCTTGCAATCCGACTAAACCTTGATTTTTGCTATCCAGACGCGCCATAATCATCTCTAGAGGCTGCATGCTGTGTCTCGTTCAGTCTTTGCCTCCAATTTTTAAGTATGCATAAGGAATTCTTTTGATATATGCAGAGAAAAAGCGTCAGTATCATTGTCGTATTGATCACTCCATGAAAATTAGGGTAGACCATTGAGTTGCAGTCAAGACCTCTTAACAGTGGCTTGTATTCTGATCTCTTGTCTAAAGAAACTTTTTGCTAAGGCGGCCAGTTCTTGTATGATCTATTTCTCGACGAGACTTTCTCTAAGGGATAGGACCTTAAGCTCATGAGCCAATCTAATCATTCTGAGTTTCGACAACTCCATCCATTTGGACCATTTCAAGCTCAGAAAACCACGGATCTTGCAAAATCTCCGAAGGCGACGGTCTTCTCGCGGGGTCATATTGCAGAATTCGCCGAATTAGCCTCTTGATAGTGCCGGCTTCCTCGTCACTTATATCTGGACCAGCCTCATCAAAAAGTTCTTCCATCGACGTCTCCTCCAGCATAAGGGGTTCCTCGCCTTCCCCACACCCGCCGACCTGGCAATTGAAGAGTTTCCCCTCAGGAGTGAAGTAGAAAGAAGACGTCTTCCAATGCTTAAAGAGCTCATCTGGTAGGGGGCCAAGCTGGGAGGTAAGCGAGAGTAGATGATCATCATCTTTAAACTCGCCCCCTGGTACGCAAAAGAGGGGTTGCCCGGTAATGAGCTCAAACACCAGACATCCAAAGCTCCAGACGTCAAGGGTTGGGTTGACGGCGCCTTTCAAAATCAGTTCGGGAGCTCTCAAACCGAGCGGTGTGACAAGCTTTAGTGGCGGATCCGTGAAGAAATATGCTGTTTGAGATGAATAGCAATTAGTACAAATCCAATCATTGACAACAGCGAACAAAGGAAGAATAAGGAGAGGAAAATGGAGGAGGGAGAGGGGTTTCTTACCGCCACCCATGTCAGATAGCTTTATCTTGAAGCCCTCAGTGTACTGAGTAAAAGTGCTCAGCGGCTGCGCGGTACAAAGATATCGAGGAGCCCATTTGTCTGGTTTGCCGTCCAGCCTCTCGACTGGGGGCGATATTGATCCGCCCTGTGCATCTTCCGCCTGTCGGAGCACGTCCTCAGGCTCCGAGTTGATGTCATTGAGAGAGAACAGCATGTTTCCTGGCTGGAAGTCTCCATGGGCGATACCGTTCTTGTGAAGAAATGCGAGGCCTTGAAGGGACTGCTTGAGGATCCTCTTGGCCATCTGTGGAGGGTAGCGAACCCTCATTCCAAGTGTACGAGGGTTGAACTGTGGTAGCTCCTCAACCATAGAGTTTACACTACTTCCCATAGGTTCAAGCACTAGGACCTTATGAACGCCATTCGGCCCGCGATGATCAAAATCGCCTAATAGATGTACAATATGTTGAGCAGCGTCTTTTTGGGCGACCTTGGCAAGGTGGCGCAAAATATTTAGCTCGGCTGTAGAACTTGAGACTGCCGATACAAGAATCTTCAGCGCGACATATCTATTTTCCCTTGAATACCGTTAGCAATCAAGACCAGAATGATGTTACAGGCAGACGGCATAAACCACAGCCTTACCAAACATCGCGGGCCAACCAGACCGTTGAGTAAGAGCCCTCTCCTAGCTTCCGGATAGCCTTGTACTGGCCGTTATTAAAAATGTCGCCAAGGTGAACGGGATGGTAACCGCCGGGATGGTAATCCTCCACCCATTCACAGGGTGTGGTAATAGGTTTGAACCTTTTCTCATCATGTGCCGGGTTCCTTGTTGGCGGGGTTGGAGGAGAATCGCTTGGAGGAGAATCGCTCATGGTGAAAAGCGGAGGTGTTGGTCCAGAAATTTCAGGCGAGCTGTTGGACAAGAGACGTGGGGTTATGTTGGGGGGTGCAGGTGATCACAGTTCCTAGGATTAGAAGGGCCTTACTCAATCAGGGCGGTGGCATAATTCCAATCAATGTACAAAGACTGTATCATGGCTACCTAACACCACTCCCAATCTACCCTTGTTGGCCCTCAGCTTACCTGATGCATCACATTACCATTAAAGCAGTCAGCAAACCGCCTTCAATTTGCGCTAACATATCATTCAAACTTGCCAGTGTTTCTGATCAAGCCGTTCTCCACAATTGTATGTCCTCGGGACTAAGTGTTTACAATTTTAGGCTCATCATTATCAACAGTTTGCAGACAATTAGGGTCCGATTCAATGGATTAGTTGCAACAAGCTAGAACCATCTAGCTATTCAGCTGAGGAGCCTCTACACTTGTTCATCTCAATTCCATCTTTTCTAACATAAAAAGTTTCCCGACATTATTCGTATAATATTCTCTGTTCTTGGAATGTCGGCGTCGAAACTGGGAAGTTGGCTGGAAGGCCAATAAGCAACCAACACTAGTTTGGTGATTAGCTATGTTGCGGTAAATCTAGACCTGGAGTCAGCAGAAAAGGGAAAGCAGATGCCAGGGTCTTCAAGTTGTAAGCTAATGGCTCCAGACCCCATGTACGTAGACACTGTCGCATACCCTATCGAGCAAAGCAGCACCTAATCGATCCCGAATATAAACAGACTCACAACTTTTAAATACAACTATTGAATACAAAGAGATATGACCTCCGTGCGTGGAATAACTAGGTCGATGCATACAAGCTGATTTTTTGTGTTGTTTTTGTTTCTTGATCACCTTAAGGAGATTATAAAACGAGCGTTGATTCCCTGTGATTCGTTCATAGATACAAGGCTATATATGTCATTCGTGGTAGTGCCATACGTAGAGCGGCTATCATCAAAAGGTAATAAGATGGACAATCATTACAGCACAAAAGCTTACGAAAACAAAGCGAGCCACTCCGAAGCTGGCAGACCTGCCGTTTGTCCCAGCAGTTGCAAAATTGCTTGGTATCATGGTTAATAGTTCGCCATTGGAAGAACCGCCAGCAGACGCGATCGTCTGTGCCACTTGCCCGTTTCCAGTTTGTATTCCGCTCACAGGAACAATCAAGCCCGGAGCACGAAGCACGGTTGCAGAACCCTGTATTTTTGTTCCAGATCCAGCTAGATCATTGTTGACGTTGGTGGAGGCGTGGCTTGGAATATCAGGGAAAGCTCCTAACTGCTTGATATCGGGATCAGAGCTCGGGGTGACGCCCTCTCGTCCTGGAACTCCACTATTACCCAAAAGATTGGTCTTAGTTGAGTAGATATCATCTGATCCTCCAGGAACAGTCAGAAGGATATGATTCGCCCCATTGTATCCGCATGCGCTGCAGTTGACGCTGAGAGTGGCCATGCTGACCTTTGGAACAGTTTGGGTCGGGCATCCGCAGTCTTCGTAGTATAGTGTCGTACAATACTCAGTTGGAATGAGAGCTGTGGGATTTTCCGGGTCGATGGTTGTGTATGACACTGTTGTCACCACGGAGGTGATGACAAAGGGGCCGAGATTTGTCGGATTAATCGTTCCTGGGCTGGCAACAGTATTTCCAGGCCCAACGGCGGGACTCACTTGTCCAGCTACTCCTGTACCTGCCGCTCCCACACCTCCTAGGCTCATTTGGGAGGTTGCTAAGGGCCCGGCAACAGTTGTTCCAAGCCCTGGAATACTGGTCTCAGGCTCGAGAGCGGTAGCTAAAGTTCCAAACGTTGTTGCGCCTGATGCCGTAGTACTGGTGATTGGAAGGGCAAGCGTGAACTCATAGATTATAAGTAGAACGTTCGACGGAGCAGCTCGCCCCAAAAGTTGCCGCAGATCCTTATGTCGACGGCGGTTTCTAGAGGTGTTAAGAAATACGTTCCCACCACACAACTGGGTACTATCCCCAGGACAAGGAATCGAGCATGCAGCAAGCCCTGTGAATGAAGTTGCTTCAAGCGTATCAGAAGCATAGCACGTGCTGCATAAGTTGTTAGAGATCAACTACTAAGCCGGGGACTGGCGCATACTCAAAAAATATTCCGATATACCTCCGTCCCGAAGCCAAGACAGTACACCTCTGCGGAGTCATGAATGGGTCCTTGCCCATCTCGGTGAAGCTGGGATAGCCAGATGAAGAGCCTACGCAGCCTAAAAGAATAAAAGCTCCGAAGCTAGACAGACTAGACGGATTTGGGCTGACTGACGAAGTTAAAGAACTACTGAGCGACCTGGCTATTGATCTGGGCAATGTAGGCGGTGTTGACGAGACTGACAGCGTAGCAGTTGATAGCGGTTTGGAGGTCAATGTGATTGAGGATGAAATTCTCGAGGATAAGACTGTTGAAGCTGAGCCCAAGGAAGATGGCCTTGTTGAAAAGGACGACGAAGAAGCGGTTGGCGAGATATGAGCTATTCCAGGTGTGGATATGGATTAGAAAGTTGATAACAACATTAGGAGAATTGTAAGAGGCTAGTTACTGTCACTTGTTCTGATTAAAGTTTTCGATCCCTCGGATGAACGACTACTTGTACTATTGAGTTTTAAAGATTCTAGTAGAATGGTAGAAGATTGACTAGTTGTTGTCCCACTGGAATTCATATCAATGGTTTTGGATGTTTTAGAACCGCTAGTAGTACTTGAAGCGAACCCGCCGGTTGAACTGTCGCTGGAAGTCGTAAAACCAGACGTTGTGCTGGAAGTTGTGGTGCTAGAAGCCGTGCTGGATGCTGTGATGCTCGTGGCCTCGCTGGATGTTGTAGTGCTAGAAATCGTGCTGGATATTGTCATACTCGAAACGGTGCTGGATATTGTAGACATTGTAGAGCTAGACCTCATGCTGGACGTTGTACTAGACGTTGCCGGAGGAAAGGCAACAACATTGAAAAGGATCGCCGAGTCAAATTGCCCGTCACCTTGATCGCAAACAATGAAAATCAATCGATGACGACCAGTGGCAGTATAAGTAAAAGTTTTAATATCGCCTGCGCGTGCGTATGAGAGGCCGTAATTTGCTCCCGTCTTGAGCAAGTCGGCAGCTGCGGCAGTTATCTCGCCGTTGATCGCATGGTCAAAGGAAAACCGAGCGCTGTCTAAAAATGTATTACCTTCACGATATGGGCTGCTAGTTGTCAGTAAATTTTCTTGAAAGCTTATAAAGTCCGAACTGAGTGGAAAACTCACATCTCTTGAGAAGCGAAGAGGAGGTTAACCTTGATACCCGACACGCTAGGGGGAATGTCAAAGGTAAAGTCTATCAACACATGCTCGTAGGATACCGTGGGAAGAACGCATCCATCCGGCGTCATCATTGAGTAGCCGAAGTTTACATTCAGAGCTTTACCGGCATCAGACGGTGCCTGGTTTGCAAGGCCAGTGGTTAATATAGCGCCGGCCTCAAGCCCCGGGGGTCCGTTTGTGAATGTCCCGGATGAAAAAGGGCTTGGATATCTATACCTCTCTGACACAACATTTTCAATGCGAGAATCTTGAATTGCACCAGAGGCTATGATGTCGGAGTCCACGCCTGGGTTGATCGTGATACCGGCAATACTACCAAATAGAGCTGCCGAAGCTACGACCCAGTACTGTCCCGGGTGTGACCTCATCGTATAATGATCAAAGATCTCCAATAAATTGTTCCTGGTCGAAAGAACCTGCTCCACTCTTCCTTGTAGGTACGTCGAGCAGTGCAAGATGTCCAACTTAACATAGCATTATAGACAGAAGGAAGAAAAGGCCATGGGCCATCGATTAAGACTAAAATTGAAATTGAACCAATAAAGCCTTGCCTTCCTTTAAGAATTACAGTATTGAGCTGCGTCGATAAGTCGGCTTCCGCTTGTTCAGCCAACAAATTATATAGATAACAAAAACTATAGTAGACATAAGATGAAAAAATTCCTTCGAACTCCTAATTACGGTCTGCAATCATCAGTGCATTCCTTTAACGGAATGGACGCTTCCGACGGCTCGTTGCTCTGGCAACATGGTCTGGAAAAGCTGATGGACTTATGTAGCCGACCGCTGCTGATTGACAACGGTAAATCTTGAGGCACGCTGCTATCTTGCATTACACGGTACAATAAATCAGCCCTCCATATTGTGGGAGTTGCGATGTCTTTCCACTCCTTCTAATTGTCAAACAATACGAGGGAGAATGTACTGGATCAGGGTCATCCTGGAGAGGGATTTGTGCAAGGCATGTTCAAATATAAGTTGCTATGCACCAACTAATGAAGTCGATATTGGCTGTTAACACTTCTTTGCAACGAGTCTATAGCTGGACGTGATTTTAAAATTTATGTGTAAAGAAAAGGTCATGGTATTACCTATTCACCATGTGTTCTTAACCATCGTTGAAATCACCGTAGCAGTATCTGGAAGACAACTTCGGTGTGGGAAACATCAGGCTGCCTGCGGCGAAATGTGACCAAGTATCTATCGAGAAACCCCAGGGGAGAAAAAAGTCATTGTACTGAACGACGGGCCCGTATCAACCCCTGCATCAGACCGACGGAACATAATCTCCTGGCTATGAAGATGTCTCACTTTTCGTGGCGCCTGCTTAAGATGATAGTTGCTTTGGACCTCAGCAATAACGTTGACGACTTTTAGGGGTCTGAAGTCTCCCTGCAATGGTTACCTACACTTGAATCTCCATAGGCCAGATCACTACGCCAAAAATTATCGCCGCAGGAGCAAGAGCTGCACAAATCTCCCAGCTCAAGGCCTCACTGGTCTTGGCTATCATGTGTTTCTCCAAGTGGTTGACACATTTGAGGGCACGACAGTTATTTTCTTGGTTTCTGTACCAGATATTCACAGGGATTGTGGCCAGCTATGGGACCATATGAGTGAAACCGGCAAGCAGTCATTTCCGGAGACTAAGAAGCCCCCTCGGGCCGACATGTTTCTGAAAGTCATTCGCTGTCTTATATGAATTGCAAACTAAGTCATTTCGGTCATAATTTTCAGCAACCTGGTAAATTCACCAACGCCTCAATGAAGACATGAAACAAGGTCGAGAAGGAGTACCTGAGGAAACAACGAACAAGGAGCGCCTTCATTCCTCGCGACAGCTAGCCTAGTGCCGATGGGAACTGGCCAGCTCTGAAAGGGATGCATCCAAAATTGCAAACTAGGCCGCACAAGTTAATGATTAATTTGTTGCAGATCCTTACGGAAATAGAACTTGCTTACTACCATGAAATCTTCATGGCTGTTATCAACGCCAAACCTAAGAGAAGCAAGACATATTGTCTATCCACTGTTGACACGGCCCGTAGCTAACGAGACCGCCTGGCCTTTCCCCGCCACAGCCTTCCTATTGGTGATGATCCTTGATTCTGTAAAATGATTAATGTTGCCTGCGGCATTTTCGACAGTTTCTTGCCTTTCTCTGAAGAAAACCAATTAAGACAGCTCCGCTGAAAAGCAATGGGAATAAGAAAATGTGACGAACTAGGCACATAGCAATCAGGCTAGAAAAGGTGTAAAAGAACGACTTGATTTACAAAGAGGGTATATGCGTTAGGAAGCACATACTCATACGTCTACGGTGTGTGTTTCATATGCCTTACGTAGACACACCTCACTCGGTGTGTTCGGTGAGCGTTGACACTATCGTCACAGAAAAGTTGATGGTTCAAAACCCAGCAGCAGTAGATAATGGGCGCGATTTGTCCCTCGAGCGGAAAATTCTCTAAAGTTAAGTAATCATTATTGTTACTGCAGGTATTACTTCTTACTGCAAACCCCTACGAGCGCAGTCCGTCCTGCTCAAAACATCTTTATTCTCCACCTTCTCTGTATTGCCGAGCTGCAACTGGTCAGATCCTCCGCTGTATCTGACAACAAATACAAAAAGGCAGAGAACCAACGCAAGAGGACCAACAACAATTCAAGGTACGAACCTGTCAACGCTTACTCATTATTACATGTCGAATGGCTTAATAATGAACGGTTTCCATATTTAAAGCTCTCTCGAGGTTCACCTACAGGCGCTGCTTTGAGAATAAGACGAAAATTAAGCTAGGTTGACAAGTAGTTTTCTCAAGATTATCAAAAATTGAATGTTGAGCGAAAATAACATATATTTAGTTAAGATATTAGAGAATAAATAATTCCCTTTCGGCCCTTTGTTCGCTTTTTCTATATTATCTATTCAACGAAGAGATAAGTTTGTGGGTTAATATGAATTAGCTTTTGCGAGTATAAATTAGTCTCGAGTTCACGGACTTACTGTGCATATTGGTCCGGATCTACACATTAACTGGTTATGCAGTTCTCATGCCCGCCCCGCCCCCACTTTAATAGGATTCCGGAAACAGAGCAGCACCGGTTACGCCGACATGAAGGTTTAGTACTCATATCTAGAGTGTATATGCACCATTAATAAGCCAGACTGAATTTTCAGAACTATCTCATCCCTTGGCTGCAGCTTTCTCTGTCTGCAAACCCATATACGCCAGTGACTAAGAACAGGGGCACTTTGCACCCATGTGCAAGTAGAAGCGTCCCTATTACTGTGTCACCCGCTTGCCTTCTACTCACATGCCAGGGGGAGATCGTTTTAAATCCCAGGTGCAATAGAATGGCGAGAAGCGGCTTTTGCAAGTAGGCGTGGCCTGGGCTCACACAATCAGTTAGAGTTCCTACAACTATTTCAGAATTTGTCTGCCTCATTTAATCCCACTGCTTGGGGCCAATGAGCTACTCAAGCACTAGCGTACCACGTAGGTGTCGGGGGGCTTGGGCGAGCATAAAGCGGCCATGGTTGAAGCAACTTGATCCAGTGCCCTGATCAACATGCAAAGCTCTCAATTACTTGGAAGTCGGTATCATGGGTTGTTGTGATTCTTGAAAGAGATTGCGCTGCATTGATGTATTTAAATAAACTTCATTCTAGTATAGTATGATTGATGAGATAGGTTCAGTGGCCGTAAGCAGCATTTTGGGATTCAGCACGGGGTGTTGTGGCCGAGATTGAAGCCAAGTATTTAAGCCACGCAATCGTCATTACCGTTGACCCAAAGACAGTACAGAATCATCTCAGGTCAATCTCAACGTCTTCTTTCAACCACGCAAGATGCAGTCCCCAAACCTTTTTCGTAGCCTCTGCGCCCTCTTCGTCGTCTTGATCGGCGCTCATCTAGTATCCACCTCCCCTGTGGCCATTAGCAGCCCGCAGGCCGCCACCGCCGACAACTCCGTCATCACGCCTCGGGCCGGAGGCGGTTGGTGCTGGCCCTTCTGCAACCCCTTCAACCGCGGCCTGCCTAACACCCCGACCCGCTACGACTTCCGCCCCCCCGCCTCAACGGCCCGCGCGCTCTACCTCGACACCCCGGACACCCAGGTCACTCTCCGGGTCGAGACCCAGACTACGGGCGCTGTAGTGGTGCTTGCGTCGATCGGCACACACTACAGGCTGCCAGCGCACGCTGAGATCAACGTTCGCCTGTTGATCCGTAACTCGCACTTCGATTTCAACCACTCCAACCTCCAAATAGGTAGCGAGACGGCCGTTGTGAGAATCTCACCCGAGCAGGCGGCGAGTTTCAGGACAGGGGACGGTGGCTCTGACGGGTCATTTAAAATCACGCTTCTGTATAAGCTAGGCCAGGACCTGTAAAGGAACCTGTTTCTAAGAAAATTGGGAGGGAGGATGCCCTCCCCATCGTCAAGCGTGGATAACCATGCATGGTCCAGGTCGGTGGCTCAAAGTTTTCGGAGGGGTTGACTATATTATTCAAGGAGATAAAAGCGTCTACGCGCTTGGGATTAGATGTGTATTTAAGATTTAGACGAATTGCTTCCAATTCGATGCTTGCATGTCTGTAGAGAAAATGATCCATGTGAAAGTTTGTGTGAGACACGATGGGGACAAGGGCTTGCATGATGACTGAGGAACACCATTGTTTTCATCGCGTATCGTGCTTAAAGTCATAATGCTGAGAGGGAGTTTTTCTAAACCTTCGAGCTACGAGAAAGAAAGCTAAGAAAAATCCAACCTGTTGGCAGCATACGCAGTAGATCTGGTCCCACGTATCTATCCACGGCGCAGCGTTTTCTAGGTGACAATACATTCGGCAAGTAAGTATACGGTAAGAAAGAGGTAGTAAACATCATACTACTATAATACTTAGGCACACTTGGGCTAGAGGCTGTATAAGATCATGAAGTTGATTACTAAAGAACTATCTACAAGCTTTAAAGTAAGTATTTAAATCTCCGTCTATACACAAGCCCTAATATCCCTAGTTATCCTATTGTATTATATAGATAAGTAGTCAAGAGAGTTACCTATCGGCTTTATTAACTCTTGTCTAAAGCTAGTTTGAAAAACGTTGAAGTTATCCATCGACTCTTACTTGATTAATTCTTTATTACATGACTTATTATAGTTCTTCTGTCCTAAGGTAACCCCTTTATTCCATTCTGTTCTACTTAAAACTTTCATATAGCCGCCAGGTGTCCTATGGGTTCGGTCCTGGTTATGTTATGCCTAACGGGTCGTAACACCGAGACATCCAGTCTCACCCTTAGCCTCACCCCAGCCTCACCCAGCTTCTCTTAGATAATAAGCTTGAAGCAGTGAAAATAAACCAACTCACCCTATAGGATAGCGGTTGATTAGCTGAGGAACATCCGAATGTAGATTCCATGGGATGAGAAGAAATCTAGAGCCCTGGGAGTGGGGCGTTAGAGGTACTGAGGTTTGCACACGAAGTGCCTTCTGTTATCCGAGGCTCAACAGGCAACTTTCATTACTGAGGAAGGCAGAAATACAGAACGATAGAACGGTTAAATCCCAGGGCAACATACACAAAAGGACAAAATTTGCTGCGCCTGGGACTGGCTTGGATCAAGACTTCGATTCTAGGCATGAACTCCACGCCCGGACAGCAATATACTAATAACTTGGAAGCCTAACTTTGTGCAAGGCTAAGCATCAGACTGCACATTTGGCAACATCGGGTACCCGACCAAATACCTACAGTGGGACATTTGGAACCCCCAAAGCAATACTCGCAGGGGCCATCGCAACGATTTCACAGCCGCAATACAGGACATGGCTGAGTGCCAGCGAATGCTTGGCAATTAACGTTGACAAGCACCGGGCTCTAATTGCCACTCAATAGGTGGGGCAATTTGGGCGAGAACAGGGTCGAGGACAACAAAGTGGAGGGGCGGGTGTCTTGCCTGGCGAACGATTGGATCAACGGATCGGACCGTGTGGAGGGTAAAGGGGCCGGGCTAGACCGACATGACCGAACAAGTTGAAGAGAGAAGCTTTTCTTCCCTTTTAGGAAATTAGGGGACTTCTGGTAAAGGACCTCGGCTGACATTCCCACTGGCCACTGTTCCTGCAGGATCAACCCTTTCCAGGTTGTTTAAATGCCTCGTCGTTTAGCTAGACCCTATCGCATGAACTAGTAATACCAGAAGGCCTGCAGCGTACGATACCCTGGCTTTAACATTGTCAAAATAAAGACGTTTTGAGGCAATGCTTGGTAGGGAGTGCCAAGCGCTCAAAGGCAAAGACAACATGTGATCACTTCTTTGGCCGACAAAGAGCCCTGTGAGATGGGTCTAAGTGGGGAAGTTGCCGCGGATGGATCGGAAGTGAACACAGAGCCGTCTAGGGGTGATGGCCTTCACGACACACCAAAGAGGAACGTGAGATTCGGTAATATTTGTGGGCAACAGGGTTTTTGTTCCAGCTGATTACCGAATCGGTTCAATTAGAATGCCCAACAAAGCAGTTGTAGTTGTCGCTGGAGTTCCGAAGCTGCGACTGCTACAATGAAGTGCAATGACGGATACAAAAGGCAGAACTCTTCCCTTCGAAACCTAGTAGCCAGATTATTCGCCCTTTTGGGAAACAGTATTGATTTAAGTTGTGTTATTCCACTTAGTTTTCCCATTGTATTGGAAGGATGCAGGATTGGGCCACGGTCCAGGACCCTGATGATTATCTTAACTCGGTAAGGCTCAATGGGAGAGATTTAACGCCGCAGCTCGTATATGCATATGAAATCGAAAGGGTTCGAGCTATGAGCCAATTGTAAGTCTTCTAAACTGGTAGGACTTTTCAGGATCTCGGTCCCATCTAAGCAGTGCCTCACGATCCTTGGCATGTCAAATACAAACTAGGCCCACCCGCAAATCTTTAGAGACCCTATCACGCTTACCTTCGAGCCATCTTTTATGTTGCAATTGCATCGAATACTCTGCGTACTAGTAATTACATGTTTAGGTTGCTCGTCACATCAACTGGGGAAGTCTGATTTGCAGTTTCCCCACGCTTAGGTTGAGACATTGAAAATTTCAACCAAAGCGAACTAAATGTCTTTAATTCGAAAGATTCACCTCTAGCTGTGGTTTTCATCAATTTCTTGTAGAGACAAAAAGTTCGGGAAGTCGAATCTCATGTTGGCAGTACCAAAGTTTGGGCAATTAGAGTTCGGTTAGACAAGGCCACGACAGATTGGACCCACTACTTTACTTTAACTAACTCACGAACACTGTTCCACTACTTCAATTTTCCTTTTTAGGCAAATGGAAACGTCCCACTTGTCTTGATCACCAGTTACTGGATGGAGCTGACTTGTATCCTTCACGTGGCTGCGCAATATCCTTTGGACAATCACGCGATCGTTGAATTTGGGTGGGATTTTGAATCCACAGCTAGTACGTTTTCGCCTTTTCACTTGCTGTTGTCTACAATCAAGTATAACGACAGGCGGCAGCTTGTATCAAGATTTAAACTATATAAGGAATGATCCCGCCGGCGCAAAATGGGAAATCTTCTGATACTTCATCAGCATCACTCACCAAGACAAGCACCCAAGCCTCCTAAACAGTTCACCAACATCAATTCCTCAGTCTTTGAGAAATATCTACATTCCAAATCATCAACATGAAGGTCACTTCTATTCTCACCACTCTTACCGTTCTCCTCGGTGTCGGTATCGAGACTGCCTCAGCCACGTGCTTTGTCACCGGTGCTTCCTACGAAAACAAGGAGACTGCCAAGTACCATGCTAAGCGGGCTTGTGAGGGCTATGACGGCAAGAAGGGCGCTTTCCAGGGTCGCTTCGCCCCTGGAGAGTTCAAGAACGCCTGCGTCAACATTTCTGGCACCCAGAGCATCAGAATGTCAGTTGGAAACTTGAACAAGAACACTGGATTCGACCTCGGGGACCAGGACTGCACCCTGCGTCTTCAGAACGAGATCAACAACTGCGGCAAGGGCAGCGAGCACGATGTCAGCGGCTGGCGCTTCCGGTAGGTTCTTTATCTATGAATTAAACACTAATGTACATTGCTAATAGCCTTTATCCAGCGTTGACCCCAACAACGAGCGCTGCTAAATGGGCGGCTAATTAAACAATCCGAAGAAGCGGCTGGTTGGATACTTTACACGCCAAGTCAATTTTAGTCGTTCATGAAGCTAGTCACAACGGATCGCATGGGAACTTTGAGGGGGGTTATAACTGCACATACTTCTTTCTTTCTTCATTTGTAAGGGGTGTCGGTCAATCAACTCTAAACAAAGGATGCCTTGTTTGCTAGGATAGTCAATATACATAGCACTCATAGTGCGATCATTTCCTGAAAGTCGCTTTTCAGTGCTTGAAAGTGCCCTAGAAATGAAGAAACTTGGCGCAGCCTTCAAAGCCAGGAGGATGCTCACTAACGCGCAGCAGCGAAATCACCAAAGCTTTCTAACCTGTGAGCCAAGACATGATATCACACTGAAATATTCATGCTTTTCTCATTCCTCGTTGGAAAAATCTCTTATCAAATACATGCGAAAGACAATATTAGAGTTGATTTTTGAAACTTCTCAACAGCGAGAGCCCATAAACTCGAGTCCTTTCCTCCGCCAATACAAGAACAATCCCAGGAAAACCCCAAGCCTGAATTGATAAGATATCCCAGCCATTATATCACAGTAACAAAGTTGGGCGCGTAACAATAGGAGAGAGAGAGATGTAATGTGCAGTGGACAACTTGGAATTGAAGCAGATATATTGTTGAGTTAGCTTTACAAGCACTTGCTGTTCGCTCCACGTGCATTTTCTTGTTTTGCTTTTTCCAGTCGCCACAACTGCGAGACAAAACAGGTATTTAGCTTTGTGCTTTCGCCCAGAGCAACGGCGAAGAATATGGAGCAGCGTTCAAACCTCGATTGCAAAAAAAGGAACGATCGGTCATTGTGTGAGCGTTTGAGTTCATAATCATTAAAAGGTGAACTAATGTGCTAGATCCAGCTGCAGTGTCTCCTTGGCAGGCAAATGACGCTTAGAGTCAACTCTGTTTCAAGGCCTCCACAGCGGAGCGGCTTTGTTATCAAGAGCAGGCCGCAAAAGCAAAAGGTTCCGGAGGCTGCATACAGTTTTAATACCCCCACGTGGTTGCGACGAAGTCATCGAAGAGCAATAGTAAGTCTGTTGTGCGAAATATGTGTTCTTCATTGCCTCCTTGTGAGGAACTGTCAAAACAACACCCCGCAGATTATACAGGGGTTCTACTAAAAAAAAGCTGGTTCCTTCCGCAAGTTTGCTAGGCTCTGTGCAGGCATCAGATCATGCTGGTCGCAATTCAACCTATCAACAAGCTACGTTGGGTCAACAACCACCAACTGCATACAGTATTGTCCACTAAGAAGTTAGCAGCAAGCGAATAGCTTGCAAATGTTACAGCGAGATGCTTTTTTGGGCATTTTCCCCCTCAGTTTCCAGCACTTGGCGAAAACATTGCTCCACCGCCGACACAAGCGATGCAAAGAACCCTGCACCAACTACCAATATATCAAAGGGCTTCGCCCCCATCAATGCAGGAGAAAGGTTCCTCACCATTTCATTCGCGAAAAGTGATTCCGAGCCGCGATTTAACGTAAGGTAAGCTTGAGAGTTGTTCGTACTTGAGGTTCTGAGGCATGTGTATTTTTACTGCTGCCGCTGGTGTGGCAACGTGCAGCCGTGTAGAGAATATCCGATCCTTCATGCCAAGCTGACACAATCCGCAGAACCGACCCATGTTCAAGGTCAATAGCTCCGCTATACAACATGCAACAAGAGCAACCTGCACAAGCTGTGGAGGACGATAGCTCCTCGGAGCTTGGAAGTGTGAGTGACTGTCAACATGCGATAAAACGATCGTTTACAGCCAGCTAAATGATTACATTTCAAAAGCTCTATGAGGATTCTTCCGTTGCCTCTTTGAGATCGAGCATCTTAGAGCACCAAGTCGAGAATGGGCGCACATACCATTCCATGAGTGCTGGAAGTAAGTGCGGCCAACAGTGTTGCTTCTTGTGCTAATATTGCGGCAGAGTATAATTATCCGAATGATGAGGTAAGTGGCGCATGTTTGCTACAGCAACAATAGTTGTGTGAAAAGAAGAAACCGTCGGCTAATAATAAGTAATAACTGCCTACAGCGAGAGAATGACAGATTGGGTGTGTATGAAGAACAACCAAAGCTTTCAGCAGCCTGGTTGAATATCCCATTTTGACCCATTAAAATTACTAATATCCACAGATTTCCAACACCGCATCTGGCAAATTTCTCTAGATGAAGAGTTAGCGCTTGCCCCTGGCCACAAAACAGCTAAGCGTGTCCTTGATATTGGAACAGGAACTGGTATTTGGGCAATTGATTATGGTACGTGTATAAGTCTGCATGAGACACCTCTTTACTAACAACAATGGTAGCCGACGCTTTCCCATCTGCCGAGGTTTGAATTGGAAAACAATCTAAAAGACGCATTATCTAATCTTTATAGGTAATTGGCGTTGATCTGAGCCCTATTCAGCCTGAGTGGTAAAGAGTTCTATACTTGTTCATAGGGTTCAGCTAGCTAACACAAGCTCCAAGGGCACCTCCCAACTGCCGCTTCGAAATCGACGATGTCGAGAAAGACTGGACTTGGACCGAACCTTTTGATTTCATCTTCTGCCGCGGCATGACAAGCTGTTTCGCTGATCCAGCAAAAATTGCAGAAAGCTGCTACAAGTGAGAAAACCACAAGACAGATAAACCATCATATCACTTACAGATCTTCATAGAGCCCTCACACCGGGTGGATGGCTGGAATTTGGAGAACTCATAATGCCACTGGGCTGCGATGATGATACCGTCCCGGCTGATTCCCACCTTCGACGCTGGCACGAGCTAGCTACAGAGGCAGCTGAGAAGCTAGGCCGTCCGATGAAGGGCCTGGCTCACCACACCAAGGAAATGGAGGAGATGGGGTTTGTCAACATAACGGCCAAAGACCTCATATGGCCGCTTAACTCATGGCCTAAAGACGAAAAGCTGAGTGAGATTGGAAAATGGCAGTATGTTAACCTCGACAGCGGCCTTGAGGCAATGAGTATGGCTCTGCTCACCCGTGCCTTTGACTGGAGCAAGGAGGAGGTTCTTGCTTTGTGTGCCCATGTGCGAAAGGACCTAAAGAACAAGGGTATGCACGCCTATTGGAACATGTGAGTCTTTATTTTCATTCCACATTATTCTCTCCTCCCAGCACCTTGCTTGTATGTTAACTAAGTTGGGCAGGCGTGTTGTCTACGCCCAAAAGCCTCTGAAGGCGGACGATGAAGATGCCGACGCATAGGAAGACTGAAGCTTCTTATTTCAACCTGGCACGACCATTTTGAACAATGCCTTCTGTTATGAAAAAAGAAAATAGACACTTTTAGATTTTCTTTTAGGAGATACTGAACTTCCAATGAACGTTGCCATGGCAGTTGTATCAAGATGCTTGTTCAAAGGCTTGCAGAAAATTTGAAACAGGCGACTAGATTGGTCAAGAATTGATCGCCCAATGGAACGCTTATCATTGACTGTGTATCTAATCATTAAAAGATTTCATGTAAGCAAGAATTGGACCGAACCCAGAAGACGTGATCGACAAGCAACCCCCATCGGCATTTTATCAGTTTGGTTCTCGCATTAATCGCGTTTGAAATATGATTTCTAATATTACATGGGGACTCTCAAAATGTATGGTTATCAACATGCAAGTCAGGTATAACAAGGATCTCTGATAGAGTTGTAACACACGAAAGTGAGAATGTAAAGCAGTCGATCTGGGTCTTGCATTATCATCCCAATAGTTCCCGGACGAGACACTGCAACCTTAGCTCAGACAATCTTGCATTTCTAAATTCATGAGCACCTCGGTAGAGAGCAGGGATCGGATTTGGATTTAAAACATGCCTTGAGCAGATACTTAATAAGTAGTTATTTTGCGACTGACAACTAATCCAACTTTATAAGTGGTCTTATCTTGTTTTGTATTTAGTAACCACGAGTAGCACGAAGGTCACTCGGTGTTCAGGTCAAGATAGATTCCAGATTCTTCAGAAGATGAGTCGACTCTTGTGGGCTGGCGATGAGGAAGAGAATAAATACAAAGAGCACATAGTGTCATTCAATTATCAGTTTTGTTTGCATTGTTGTGATTTGAAATTATAGATTCCTCAAACAATGATAAAAACCGAGTCTCATGCATTATAGCGGCACCGTGGAATCAAAAACGAGAGTCGTAGAAAGTAAAGAGGTAGACTGTTGGAACGAGACCCCATGCCGAGATGAGGACCATGAAGCTTTATTCGGCCTAATCTGCCACCCCTGCAGGCCTCTCGCCCTGAATGTAGGGCTGCGCCACATGGGGTCGTTGGGCCAAGGGTATCTGAGGCCAAATGGTTGGTTCATTTGGTCTTAGTGCTGCTGTTCTGCCTGTTGGGTGGGTTTATTAGTCTTTGCTGTGCCGCATTTCGCGTAAATTGGCACCGTCTAGGGACCGTACATAAGGTGCCTGGATCCTGCTTCAGAGTCATTGTCAGTAAATAATTGTCGACGCAAGTTCAATCTCTTTAAAAGCTGTGTATAAAATAGCTAATCGAAATCTCACCACATCCAACAACACTAAACACCATGTCGCAGCCGCAGACAGTCACGGCCGAGGCGCCGCAAGTTGCCGCAGTCCAACAACCAGCACCAACTCACGAGAGGGACGCGACGACCGCGGCCACGACGCAAGAAACTAGCCCAGCACCCGCGACGGATTTGCCGACAAATTTGAACGCCCAGTAAGGCTTTATTCTACCACCACCAATTAAGCTTGCATAGCTGATATCACGATAGGTCCAACTCCATGGCACCTCCCACGAACGAGAAGGGAAACCAGAGCGCGGCACTACCACCTGTGATGATCCAGGGGGTCACGCCACTGCACATGCTTAGTGACTCGCCCCAGTGGATCGATTGCCCATTCTGCCAGAGCAGAACGACAACTGTGGTTGACACTGAAGGTACTAGTATGCAAATGTAAGTTAGCCAGTGAGAAGAGCGATAGGAATTACGGACGCTGACTGTGACGTTAGTCTTGCTGGCGCTTTATGCTGCCTCGTCTGCGTCTGCCTTACGTGCGTGCCCTGCTTGGCAGGCTGGTGCGAGGATACCCACTTCTCGTGCTCCAACTGCCGTCAGAGGGTCGCGACGCGGCCGCATGACGGTCCCATCCAGGTCTTTGGGCCCCAGGGCCCAATATACCCGATGGTACCGTCTCAGTATGAACCCGTCGCGCCACCGGTTGCCCAGAATCAAGGTCTTCCGGTATACAAATAACCGACGGGGAGGTGTTTCAGCCTGTGTGTCTACGCAACATCTGCATTTGTTCAAGGAGTTTGGGTCGCATTGTTTGATTCCCGCTGAGAAGTCAAGGCACGAGAAGGTTTTACGTTTTACAAGCTTTAGTCCATCTTATAAGATGGTCTATAATGAACTCTTAATATAATCATTCCAGGACTTGTGAATTCTTTTGGCTTGTGGAGATGTATTGATCGTGTCATCTAGACTTAACTATCGTGCTGTCTTCCTAGCTCACGTCTATATCAGACTTGGTAGGCTTTTCGAAGGTGGTGCATGGCTTAGGTGCCGTTATATCCGAAAAATTGAACTTGCCCCTTCGTTTCCTCACTGGCAATTTATTTACACTGGCGTTGGAGCCCGAATTGTTTTCAGTGGGCGGATAGGCTCTTCACAGAATATTTAGCCAGGCCCTAACGAGATTCTGGGGAATCAATTTCATGTCCCTAAACTCAACGATATCAGGTTAGGAAGAAGAAGAACAGAGGGCTAGAGATTTCATGAGAGGCACGATTGAATGATGTGCGTCGAGGTTAATAACCACTCGGCAATCATTAGTAGCACGAAGTGTTGCTTGAAGCCTCATCCAGAAATATGACTTGGTTAAAATCTCAACTATCTACGAAAAGCCGATCAAGTCGAAATGTTTCTGCACAACGCTGAAACTCTTGTTTGTGTACTTAATAATGACTCTGCATACTTGAGACGGGAACGGCCACCTCAACAGTCAACCCAGGCGCCAGCGATGTGCTTCATACCCAGCCAAATCACCCTTGAACACATCAAAAACCATAAAAGTAACACGACCAAACCAATTCGACTGCAAGCCAAACAACTCGAACCCCCGAAACTGAGCGTTCACCTGGGGCCTCAAAGTCAACCAAACCCGCCAAAAGCGCGGAACGGACTCCCCGGATCCCCGACCCAGACCGGCCCACGGACTATTCACATGCCGCCCCACCATCCGCTGACCGCCGTTTCGCGGCCCCAGAACCCGGTGCGTCCCGGCAAATCCCCCCCTCCCACCCTCACGCCCAGACGTTGTTATCCAGCTAGCCCGAGTGTCTCATCCAAATGAACCTCTACAATCGTCAACAAACACATGCCTTCCAACAAGGTAGATTCCAACGAGGTAAGCGAATCCAACACATGCAATTCGACGAATTCGCAGCATTCACCAAACACGTGCTCGCACACCTCATCCAAGCGGCCCCCAAATCCCCCCCTCCCCGCTCGCCTCACTCACTCACATGACAACATCCAATGAAATCACCGACGAAAACATGAGCCAACAGTAATCTCACAAAAAAAAAAAAGACCACTCGACCCAATAAACGAACATGTCCCGGGGCTACGCGGAAGGCCGGGTCATTTTCTAGCTGGGCGTGCTGGCGTACCAAGCGTGTGTACACGCACATGTGGACTGAGTGAGAAAGGGTTAAAGCCTGCACAACACAGGCAAACCAAACCTCCGCCCCCCCCTCCTCCTCCTCACCATTACCTCCCGCTGCACGTCATCGTCCGGGTCCCCGACCATCATTTCTACACACCGCCCTGATAAAAGCCCGTCGAGCTAGAGACGGGCGTCGACGGCGGCGGGGATTTTTTACTTTTTTTCTTAGTTGCCTCCCCCACTTCTGAACACTGCTGCTACTTTTTTTTTTACTAGGTACGAAGGGCGCAGACTAAAGATAGACTATTCATGCGAAGCACCGAGAGACAGAGGCGTGGGAGACGTGATGGTAGGTAATCGAGGGTATCCATTTCATCAGAGCGATGAGGCTCTTCAACGTACACCGGTTCTAACGGTAAAAAAAAAAAACTAAACAAAGCACTCCAGAAAATCGTAAAATCGGCAGGAAAAAAATAATGCTACTCCGCGCTGTGACGTTCCTCCAATGTTCTGTGCCCATTCCCGATAGATGCTGGAGTCTTAAGATTGAAAAAAAAAAAAAAAAAAAAAAAAAAAGGTTCGAGGTATCACTCATCAAGAGAGTAAATAGAAAAGCCTCGAAAGGATAACCACAAAAAAGTCTTCGAGACTTTTCTCCCCTTCATTTCCTATCATCATCGTCGTCGTTGTCGTCGTCGTCATTCTATACTTCCCCGCGTATATGTTCATTTCGTGAAACATCGTATTTGCGATCCGTTGATACCCTGGGTCTATATATACCAGGTGTTCTTTCTTCCCCAACGTGATGCGATACACCACCGCGATGTAGCGTGTGGTGGATATATATATAAAAGTTTTTAAAACAAAAAACGTATATAGCGTAGCCGTCGTGTAGCAGGCCGTTATAAGACCCCGCTCACGGGCTAGGGCTTTCGTATTCCATTATCTCAATGGACCAATACGGCAGTTCCCTCGCGAGGGTCTCGCCGTCGCAAAAGTAGACGGCGCCCTCGACCTCGCTCTCCGGCTCGTCGCACTCGTCGATGCGCGGCGGCGGCGGGTCCTGGAACTGCAGGTGGATGAAGCTCCTGCGGTCGCCGACCCTGCGCCTGAGCCTCCTGGCGCTGGACCCGACGGCGTCCGGGTCGATCGGCGTCCAGTCCTCGTGGTCCGAGTCGCTGCGCTCCGAGATGGTGCGCTTGCCGATGCTGGACCCGTGCGTGCGGCGTTTGCGCATGCGGAGCTCCCGTTGCATGCGCACGAACTCGCGGTGCGCAGCGGCGTCCTCGTCGACGTCCTCGGAGGAGTCCGAGTCCGATTCCGAGTCCGATGCGCTGCAGTTCAGGTTGCGCATGTCCTGGGTGAAACCCGGGGGGAGCTCAGCCGGCGCCGCGGCGGCGGCGGCGGGTGCGCGGGAGCGGGAGCGGGCTGATGCTGGAGAGGAGAAGCCTGACGGGGCGATGGTGCCGGTGCGGTCGTGGTCCATTGGGTCAAAGTCGGACATTTCTTCGACGGTGAAGTTGGCCTTGGGCGCGACGGCGGCCGGACGGGGTTCCTGGGGGAGTTCGGGGGCGTGAGGGAGGATTTCAGAGTCCGAGTCCGAGTCTGATGCTTCTTCTTGTTCTTCTTCTTCGGAATCATCATCTTCTTCGTCATCGTCGTCGTCGTCATCATCCTCCTCATCTTCGTCGTTTGATTCTTCCTCGGAACTGCTATCGACGGCCATGCGCGGGGTATGCAGTGGCGCTGATATGGGCGGCGGCATTGATACTGGCATTGGCGCCGGCATGGGTACCGGAGCTGGGGCGGGAGGATAGATGTTCATGGAAATATCACCATCCTCATCTGATTCTTCCTCCTCATCGATGCTTTCTTCCTCGCTGTCGTCTTCTTCATCGCTGTCCTCGTCCTCATCCGCCGGCATTGGTTTTGTCCGGGGTGCTTCGCTCTCATCAGACTCGGATTCGGACTCGGATTCCTCTTCCTCGTCGGAATCATCTGACGATGTGCGAGGAGACAACTGCGCGAAGCGATTGGAAGGAGTAAAGCTGAAATGGTGGCCGTTGCCAGTGGGTTGGATACCCGAATCGTCCAGCAAGACCGGACGGTTGATGTTGTGATATGGTGGCAAATGGCGGGCGGCGTACTGCTTGTGATTAAGCATAGGCGAGGTTGAGGTAGGGGACTGGGGCGGTGAGTTGGGGCCGCCCCCCAAAGGGCCCAGCATCATGCCGGGCGTCGATGTGCGCAGCCTGCGAGGCATGATTTCGTCGTTACGAGGCCAAACAAGAAAAAAAAAAAAGGTAATTGAGGCTCTATTTGGTCAAGAGACGATCTAAATGTCGAGGTTCAGAGAAACCAAGAGCGTGTGAATGGGATCGACGTCCGCCGGCAATTGTCGACTTGTTTCTGTTTCTGGGCGTTGATCTAATCGATCGGGGCCTCTCCAGTTGGGAACCCGGGTCTTTTTTTTTGGGTGTTTGGTGTGGGGAAAAAATAGGAATTTGGCGGGGAAAATGGGAGGGATCAGATCAGTTTTCCCACTAGCGATGGCCACCCGGTAAGATGTACTACTAGTAAGTGTGCGGTAGTCGATGAGTGGTGGAGATGTGCGGTGAGCAGCAGCAGCAGCAGCAGGTTGGGTTTCTTTTTTAGAAAAGGCAAGCAGAATGGTTGTAACAAAGTCAAGGGGTCAGTACCCAGAGTAGGAACCTCCAACAAGGAGAAGAGGATATTCGGCTGCGGCTGTAGGTTGTCATGATAGATCTCGGGGGAAAAGCGAGAAAGACGGAGCTGGGGGCGGGCGCTTGGAGGGGGGAAGAGAACGGGTCCGGATTGCGCTTGTGATACAGCAGCAACGGGATGTCCCTTCGAGGAATGGATACAAAGTGCCAATTGCGGACTGGCAAAAGGCGAAAGGCGATACCGAGGCAGTCGATTATTGTTTTTCTTTCGATCCCCAGATCCACGTCTCAGTCCCTGTTGTTGGCGTCGACAGAGACAATAGAGAGAGTGTGGGTGTGTGTGTGAGAGTGAGTGAGTGAGTGAGGATCAGAGTGAGAGGAATGTTTCGGGGAACAAGGTGCGGGATCCCGGCTGTGGGGACGACGAAAATCGGGCGGGCGGTGACGATAGGACGGACTATCTGCTGGGCGACAAGGGATGGTCCTTGTTGAGAGGGGTTGCAGCAGCAGCAGTAGCAGCACGGAATGGCTGACGAGAGCAGAGTGACGAAGGAGAGGAGCGGTGCTATGCGATGTATGTGTACACGCGAGCAAAAGCAATGGTCAACAAGGCGAGCTCCGATATTGGCCTTGAAGGGAGATAATTGGATGAAACGGTTATTGGAGAGAAGACGAGAGACAGGCGTGGGGGGCCCGGCTAGTGAAAATAGAGGCTCAGGAATTTGTTGGAGGCGAGCTTAGCTATGTCGGAGGGGTGGGATGAAGACCGTAAGCCACGGGGCTACAATATAATGATGGCAAGATAAGAAGAGAGAATTCCGGAATTGCCGCGCACCGCGCAAACGTGCTTGATTACGGATTCGTTGTTGATGAATTGGTTGTTTCAAGTGAATGAACAGCCAAAAAAGGGACGGACAGCCGAAAGAGGAATATTGTTTAATGATTCTTGGTCTCTGGCTGCGAATTTGTGGTGGATGTGGATGTGGATGTCCGAGCTATTGGGGGCACGAGGAGGAAAATCTCACGCCTTCCTGTCTCTGCTCTGGCTATATTCGACTCGAAAGGACGAGGGGGGTTATTGGTGGCGGCTCGTGATAGGTCGGAAGACGTCGATGGCGCGACCAGACAGTCCGGTCTTATAGAAATGGCTGATATAGTCTGTGTATTCCCACAGATTTGTCCCGTTTACGTAGTCTGTCGCTCTGTCTTCCCCGGCGAAAGAGAAACGGACCGACTAACAAGGGGAACAAGGACAGAATAGATCAGATAGCAAGATGGTGATGGTCCAAGAGGAGGTAGACATGTGTCAACGACGAAGAAAAGAAGAGAAGGAGAAAGAAAAAAAAAAGAGAGAGGAGAGAATTTCTACGAATGTGTGTGGGATGGAGGAGAATTAAGAATTATTAAAAAAAGAGTCATCGTATGTGCGCTCACTGCAGCTGTGCCATGCCCATGCCATGCCATGCAGCAAAAAGGACTGGAGTATCCAGCCAACTAGTCAGCCAAACGCCTCTCTTTCTTTCTGGCTGCTGGGTTTTGTGGATGCTTATGAGGCTTTGTACCGCTGGGCCCTGCTGGCACCTCTAATTCAGTCTCTGCTGTCATACCATACAGTACGTAGTGTGGTGCAGAACCCTTTTACTGGTACTCTCACGAGTCTTCCTATCAGAAGCCCCAAAAGTAGAAACAAGACAAAAAAAAAAAAAAAAACAGTCTCGCGATAGTGTGTGCGTGTGTTTGTGTGTGTGTGGTCGGCGGCTGGGGTTGGACCTTGCCGTACATAGTAGTACTTTACTGGCCCCCCCGGGGCCCTCTTTTGCGCATTCTCGCGGGGCGCCGCAACGCAAGTTCGAGCCTTTGGGCAGCAATGCTCCCAGGATTCCCTGGTCTACCCGTGTGTATCCCGCAGTTGAGTGAAAATTGGCATGTGTGAGCCCTTACGCATTTGCGTAGGCCGCACCGGCGGGCTCGCTGGGCTTTTGCGGGCTAAGGAGGGGGGTGGGATGGGAGCCGGACCGGCTTGACTGGCTGCTCGGGTGGACTGGACTGGATTGGGAGAGACGAACAGCGGGAAGAGGACCAACCCAGTTGCAGTGTTCGAGAGACAGGACCCGGGAAGAAGTGGAGGGAGGGGTAGTAATAGCTCTACTAGTAAGAGTTGGAGGGGGGTTGTTTGTGGAGAGGCGTAGGACTTGGGTAGTGTAGACTAAACGTCAGATCGCCGAACCATTGGCGATTTTCTCTAATGTTTTTTTCCCCCCCTCTATTCGCTTCTTGGTGATGTTTTGTTTCACCGTGGACGTTTCCTTAGCTCAAGCTTTATGCAGCCTGTCAAACTTGTCTGAGGCAGTTTATCTGTCCGTCTCTGGCCTATCGACGCCATACATCAACGGTCCGGCGTGACAACCATTAGCCGTATTAGGGATTCGGCGGGCTACTGCCGAATCATCTTCTGTGGCAGTGTAATTGTTTTTTTTTTTTCTTCCTTCTGCTGTCAATGCAGCGGCATGAGAAGAGGTAGGGCCCAGCCATCTGTTCTCTTTGAGCGCAAAGACTATCCATCATGCGTTCCATTCCACCCTCAACGCCGATGATTCGTGTCCCCGGCAAGCTTTATTAGACCTACTACTGAGCGATTTCCATCTGTAAGGCTACCTGCTTTCCGCCGGGGGGCAGCGACAGCGACAGGGACCGGGGATGGATGACTTTAGCCACAAGCAGCATATGATGGGCATAGGGACCATATGGAAACGGGTAGAGAAACTGGGAAGAAAGAAAAATAAATTGCAACAAATACTGAAGGGGTCGGCTGGGTAGCAGCACTTGTGCCCAATGAACGAGGGTTCGAAAACGAGACGGCAACGGAGCGGAGGCCAGAGAGAGACCGTGCTTGTCCAACTCCCTGCAGGTTTTTTTGGTCCTTGCAGCTGGACTTGCAGCACTATGTAGCAACTAAACTGCACCTCCAAGAAAGAGAAGGGAAGGAAAAATTCAGAATCGGGGGTTTGATGTGGCTGGGTTGGATTTGTGGAGAGAGGATATGAGTGAGTGAAAAAGAAGGCGGTCAAGACGCACACACTGAATGGAAGAATCAAACCGCCTCAATATTTCCAGCTTTCTAGAAGGTCTAGGTTTGTCTCGTCTCGACTCTCCCTTTCCGTCCTCTCTGACGTCCGGTGCAGATACGGCGACGGCAGCTTTCACATCGGGCCTCGACGTCGTGTAACTTGAGCCGACGGCAATTTACCATGCCACGTTTAAGCTTCCCGTCCTCCCGCCCTTATTTTCAACTCATTGGTGCCAGGTCATCCCTCCCACAATTGGGAAACTTATCGTGCCTGTAAATTCGTGTGTGTGTGAACTACTCGGCTCCTATACATGGCTACAGTTGCAGGCATCCTCTCTCTCTCTCTCTCTCTCTCTCTCTCTCTCTCTCTCTCATGCTCATGCTGATAGGTGTTCATTTGCTGCCGGGATGACGGAGAACGACCTGGCCACCCCCTGCAGACCAACGCTGACGGCCCCTCTTCTTAGCCTTTTTGTTTTCTTCGTCCTTCGCTAAATGAGAGAGACAAACTCCCTTACCCAACCCAAGCACTGCTGGCCCTGCACCTGGCTCTAGATGATGTAGTCGGGTTCCCTTGTACCTTGGTAACGTACACTGACGGCCTTACCTAGTACTTACGGGGTTTGACAAACCAGGAGCGAAAGACAGCCTTGATCTCGGCCCGTTCCACGGCGGAAAAAAAAAGTGAAGGCTGGGTTGGGCCGCCATGAGAAATCTCCCTTCCGTCCGTCCTCTAAGCGGCTGCCCATCCCTCGTTCCCGTGAACTAAAAAAAATTTTAAAAAAAAAATTTCGGCCATGATGCATTTCGCCTTCCTTCGTTTCCGGGTTAGGGCATGACCCCCCCCGTTTTCTTCTTGCTTCTCAAACGTCTTGTTAAACAAGCCCCCCTGTGCAGGGCTTTATGCGGCCATCGTCGACTTGCGCCATTGCGCATGGCTAAGTTCGCGCCAGAGAGTGGGCAGTCCCAAGGGGCTCCATTCATCTGCAGGTCCAGCGGGCCTCCCGCAGAAGGACCAGCAGAGTCTTTTTTTTTCTGGGCTCTCTCCACGCGATGTGTGCTGTTGGTGGTGATGACGGTGTGCTGCGGCCCTTGTCCTTTCGAGAAGCCTGCTAAATATGGAAGGGCAAGGTAATAAGGTGGACTCATTTGGCGAGGCTTTTAAGATCTCGGAGTGCCGTCTATCTGATTAACCACCCACCGTTCGAGATGAATGCCCAGTACCTTCTAACGAGGAAGATAATTATTCGAAGAGGAAGTACTTGTCTGATGACGCAAGCCTCGGCGGTATTTTTCCTCTCGTCCAACTCCATCATAATGTTAGATGATTGCCGACAACGATTCTGGTGATGAAAGAAGAGCCGACTTTTGGGCTCATCACATTGCACTTTATCGACTACGGCAAGGTATCGTGCCAAGTGATTTCAAGGAATCAAGTGATGAAAGAGAAGCAATAATCAAGCGGGAAAGACGTGGGAAAAGATTCGACAGTGGTTTTCTGCCTCTCACCAAATTAATTCCCGGAAAATTCAACCAGCGACCCTTACCTCGAATGACACTGCTTACACACCATGATTGATGATTGAATCCGATCACTCGGCCGAGATACTTCTCTGGCCCGAGTGATGGAATTCAGTTTACATACTCCGTACACAATAACTTACCCAAGGCACTGCAAGCCTTGCTATTCAAAGTTCTTAATATGCAACCCCCTGAAATAAATCATGCAATCCGTCTATAAGACTCATTCTGCTATAATGGAATAAAAACTAAAAATTTGAATCAAAATAAAGGAATACCTGTCAATCGATATTTAGTTCTCCCATACTTCTCCAAAACCCTGGATGGCTGGGGCGTGACTTTGGTAAGAACGCGGTCCAGCCAATCAGAACAGCCCGGACCACCTCCACGCGGAACTTTCCAGCTTCGCGCGCCATGTCGCAACTTCAACTCCAAAGGTCAATCTTTCTCCGTCAGCCTTTTCTATCCCATCCATCGAAACAATTAGCACCTGTACTTATACTCTTTTCTGTTCACAACTTAGCAACACTTAGAATCCCGTCGCTCGAGCAGTCTGTTCGAACCTGTAGACTCTGTTCCCTGTAGAACTGCCCCTGTCTCCCAAACAGTACTCTCACGATCCCACGACGATGAACAACCAAGGCCAGCCTGGCCAGCCGAACCCGATGGCCAGTCAACCTGTGCCAGGGACACGGGCGCCCCCCATGTATCGACCCGAGATGATGCGAAACCTCCCTATTCTGAATGACGAGGAGAAAGCCAAGTACGAGCGCGGCCTACGCCAGCTTTGGAACCATTACGAGACGCACCCCGAAGATTCGGCTCAACACCAGGATGCGAAAAAGAAGATCCAGGACTTCACCAAAATGCTGCTGAATAAGTTGCAGCAACGGAGAATGCAGGTCCAACAACAGCAACAGGCCCAGCAGCAGCAGACTGCTCAGCCTGCCCAACAGCAGAATCAGCCCGCCCAGGCACAGGCACCAACGCCTCAGCAGCAGCCGCAACAACTCCCCCAGCAGCCGCAGGCACAGACACAGGCGCAGGCACAAGCCCCGGCTGCGGCTCCAGCTGCGAACCAGAACGCCGGTGGTGCTGCGATCAAGACTGAGCCAAAGCCCGAAGGCACCCCATCGACAGCCGCTGAGCCTGCACATGCTCCCACGCCTGCCCCTGCCCCCGCCCCCGCCGCCGCGCCGACTCCTGCTCCCGCCCATCAGGCTCCTCAGACGACCCAGTTTCCAGAGCACATCCTTGCGCATATTCGACAGATGACTTTCAACCCTCCAATGTCGATTTCTGATAAGGGCCCCGAAGCGGTCACACGCTGGTCCAACGACTTCAAGGCGAAGTATCTTCGAGCCCTGATGCAGATGGATCAGCAGGGAACACAGATGAAGCGCATCGATGCCGTCATCAAAGACAGACAGGACAAGGGCAACCCATACAACGCCGAGGAGATTAAGCAGCTGCAGATCCGACGCGATCACGCCCAGAAGATGTATACCGAGGCGCACAAGTTTGTTGACAACTTCCGTAAGAGTCAGGACACGATCAACAAGCAGCGCGCTGCCGCTGGTCAACCTGCTGGTCCCCAGGCGGCTGCTCGACCTCAGCAACAGCAACAACCAGCGCAGCAGCAGCAGCAGCAGACTCCCCAGCAACAGGCACAGCAGCAACAGCAGCAGCAGCCTAGCCCAGCTGTGGCGGCTGCGCAAACTCCTGCTACGCAGGCAGGAGCCCAACCGAGCCCCGTGCCTGCCGCGGTAGGAACCCCCGCGATGCAAAATTCTCAGACAACTTCGGCGGTGAATGCAGCTATCGAGGCTGCCAAAAACCAACAGATGGCGGCTGCGGCGGCCGGACGAGGCACTCCTCCTCAACAGCAGCAGGCACACCAAGTCCAGCAACAACAACAGCAGCAGCAGCAGCAACAGCAACAACAAGCCCACGCTCCTACTCCGTCCGCGCCTGCCCAGACCCCGACTCCATCTCAGCCTATTCAACCACAACAGCCTGTGTCTGCACAGCAGCAACAACAACAACCCATGGGTGCTCAAGGTCATCAACAACCTCATCCTCCTCCTGTCAATACTGCCATCGCTTCAGTTTCTGCAGGAGGTGGTCTTCCTTCGGCAGGTACACCCACTCAAAACCGTGTCGCGACTCCCCAATCCGCCATCCCCGCTGGACCTGGCCAGGCTCTTAGCCACTCTGCCGCCGTTTCGCGCGCCAACCAACGCGTCAACTCTCTACCCACTCCTATGCCCGCTCAACAACAACAGCCCGCCCAAGCTCCTGGATCCGCCGGCCCTCAGAACGTGATGGGCTCTGGGGCTGTTCCTCACCAGCAGCACGCCCATCCGACCCAGCCTACTCAAACTCTTCAGTCTAAGCTGCCGATTCCCAAGCAACTTCCTGAAAAGGCCACTGCTGTTCCCCAGCCTGTTGCGATGAGTGGTGGTGCTGGGGCCGGTCGTCCCACATACACCGGTGGCGGCGGTATCGCTGGAGGTGTTATGGGCCAACCTGCGATGGCTAAGATTCCTGCCTACGTGCACGAGGCTGAAGGTGACCACGTTCTCAGCAAGAAGAAATTAGACGAGCTTGTCCGACAGGTTTGCGGTGGAAGCGGCGAAAGTCAGGATCCTAATTTACTGACTCCCGAGGTCGAAGAGGTGTGTTTTTTTTTTTTTAATCATCATTTGTGGTCTTTACGTATGCTAATATGAATACAGAGCGTCTTGACCATGGCTGATAGCTTCGTCGACAACGTTTTGGAGACCGCTTGCCGCAACGCCAAGGAACGCGGCTCCAAGGTTCTTGAAATCCGCGACATCCAGCTTGTCCTTGAACGGACCTACAATATCCGTGTTCCTGGCTACTCTTCTGACGAATTGCGCACCGTTCGCAAGATCCAGCCCTCGACCGCATGGATTACTAAGATGAGTGCCATCCAAGCTGCCAAGGTTACCTCTGGCAAGGGCGAGTAGTACCTGCCCGTAGACGTACCGAAGCCGACGTTGAAGAAGAAGCGGAGCCACGTTAAGCGTGGCGTGGCCAAGAGCGTACGCTTCTTTGCTGATGAGAAAGAGGGTGGAGTTGATGGAGGAGTATCCAGGCCCAATACCCCTACAAAGCCATCCAGCGCTGGCACTCCTGCTCCATCAGGATCACATGAGACTGCTTCTCCCTCTCAACAAGCCGGCCAAAACCATTGCCAGAACGAGGCACAGGTCACACTCCCTGTCAGTGGTCCACCAAAGATTCAATACTCGACCGAAAGCACCCAGCAGGGTGGAATGCAGGCTGCTCCTCAGCTTGAGATTAACTGGAAGACGGGATAAGACGGTTGGGGGGGTTGTATCATGATTGAGGTGGTTCATCTGCTTGACATGGTCATAATCATTACGGAAAGGATGGGAAGATATGATTAGGCGTTCGGAGGGCACTATATGCAGTCTTTTGGGGGTACCTTTTGACATCCCGAGTGCCGCAGAGAATGCTCTTTCCTTAGTGTAGGCTATACCCAAAAATTGACAACAGGACATTTACGATATTAACTATTTCACTAATGACGTCTCTCTACACATTTGTCGATATGATGAGTCGCTGGCATGAGTCAGCTCTGCCAAGGACAGCTGTTGCCAAGCCATGTTCAGCTGGTGCCGGACCGCCAGACCGTGAGCATGGGAGTCCGGATTCGGCTGGACGTCACACGCAGACATGTAGGTGGCGCCGCATTTCATACATGTGGTCTCTCATCTTTGGACGAAGACAGAGAAGTCGCGTTAGGTCAACAAGACAAAGTTGGGCTCTTGCATATTGAAGCTTTTCATGCAAGACTTTTATGCGAAGGAATTGGTCGACGCATTATAACCACCAACGTTTTTTTCTTTGAGAAGATGCGCATAAGAATTGAGTAGAGGCAGCTTACTATGTAATTAACTGCTTAGTAATTCCATGTTGAAGTGTGGGAGGTGGATGGTGAAGGTGCAATTCGTGAATAATTACATAATTCAAGCTGAGAGCTGCACAAATGTGGCACTGCAGACAGGCAGGCAGCATCGACAACGTCACTCGCGCCTGAGACCCGTGTGGCCTTCCCTCCCCCATTCAGTTTTGGGCATGGTTGCTCTACGCTCCCAGCAGGCCCGGCAATCTCGCTCGCTTAGCTAAGGTACATCAAGGATACCGCTGCCAGCCCTCTTCTGTCAGCTTATCCCGCGTCTCATGTATGTACCCGACCCACCTCAACAAGGTACCGTGACCTGGTTCCAGGCGGGCTTGGTGTGTGTGTCGTCGCCCCAAGGGCCTGAGAGCAACAACCTAAGCCTCAGGTATTCAATCTTTGAGCTCTCCTCCATCGAACCTTCTTGCATCACGAGGCAAACGACCACACAACATCCACCCATTCCCATCAACGGTAGCCGAGTTCGACGGAGCTTCGACATCGACCTGAGCACATCCTACCTCTGTCACCTGACTTTTCTCCATTTTCCTCCGGTACGAGACACCTGACGGCGCCCCGTATCTACGCAAAACAACCCACCTTTGCTCCCTCCTCTCCGGGCGCGACATCACCAAGCGACACCCGGCCGGTGCCATCCTAAACAGCACCCAGATCACCTCTCACATATTACCACAGCTAGCCCAGTAACCAGAAATGCCGGGCAAAACACCCTCGCGCAACGGGAAGGAGCCCCTCGAGAACGGCGTCCGCAAAGACGAGACCAAGGACGCCAAGAACAAGAGCAAGAAGGCGGCAAAGGACGGTGACGAGGAGATGACTGTTGTCGTTCCCCCCTCAAAGAAGGCTGCTGCTGCAGCTGGTGATGCCGATGGTGACGTTGAGATGGGCGATGAGAACAAGGATGACGCAGAAATCAAGGTCGACCCGGTGGTGCAGGCTGTAGCAGGTACGCGAAGACTCATCATCTCCGAATTCGCTTGGTTTCCCCTTCCCGCCAAAGCTTCAAGCTAATGACTCTTCGTTGAACAGATATCAAGAGCAATTTTGCTCTGCTAGACCGTGCCGTTGTCCTCTTCGATGCCAGATTTACCCTCCGGGCCCTGCGATCAATCTCAACCATTCGTAAGCGTCTGACGCCCGACATTATCGCCCAGGTCATCGTCGAGACCTTCCCCGCGACCGTCACCTCTGGAAATGTTGCCAAGCAGCTTCTGATTGCTATCGGTCGTGAAAACGTTCCCCTGGGCCGCTCCAGTGGCCAGGAGATGGAGGTTGACACCGAGCCCGCGAAGACGACCAAGAACGGCCAGAAGAAGGAGGCAAAGGAGACCATCCCGGAGATTGACATCTTCCTCGGTATCCTGGTCCAGGTATACCTCTACGACTCGAAGCAGCACCAGCGTGGAGTCGACTTCTCCAAGCAGCTGACCGACCGCATCCACACCCTCAACCGCCGCACATTAGACTCCCTCTCCGCCAAGGTCTACTTCTACTATTCCATGTTCTGCGAGAGCCTCGCTCCTCAGCACCCTTCTCCTCAGTCTCCGGTTGTGGCTATCCGGCCCACTCTGCTGGCTGCTCTGCGCACTGCGGTGCTCCGCAAGGACATTGACACGCAAGCATCAGTCATTGTGTTGTTGCTTCGCAGCTACCTGTCCACATCCCACATCGCACAAGCGGATCTCCTCGTCTCCCACACACAGTTCCCCGAGAACGCTGCCAACAACCAGGTCGCTCGCTTCCTGTACTACCTCGGCCGCATTCGCGCCATCCAGCTGAGATACACTGAGGCACACGAACACCTGACGGCTGCCACGCGCAAGGCCCCCTCAAGTGCGGCCGCTGTGGGCTTCTCCCAGACCGCAACCAAGCTGTTGCTTGTCGTTGAGTTGTTGATGGGCGATATCCCCGAGCGATCCACTTTCCGCCAACCTACTCTCGAGCTGGCTCTGCACCCCTACTTCCTTCTTGTGCAAGCCGTGCGAGTGGGTAAGGTACAGAACTTCGAGACTATTATTGCCGACCACGCCGATACTTTCCGCCGTGACGGCACCTACAGCCTGATCCTCCGTCTCCGCCAAAACGTTATCAAGACTGGTATCCGTATGATGTCTCTGTCATATTCCCGAATTTCCCTGCGCGACATCTGCATTCGTCTCGACCTCGGCAGTGAGGAGTCAGCTGAGTACATTGTCGCCAAGGCCATCCGCGATGGAGTTATCGAGGCCACCCTGGACCGTGAGCACGGTTACATGAAGAGCAAGGAGGTCGGCGATGTCTATGCCACACGAGAGCCGGGTGAGGCTTTCCACGACAGAATTCGCGCCTGCTTGGCTCTGCACGATGAGAGTGTCAAGGTAAGTTTGGACAATTCTCTTGAGCACTACCCCCCAGACTAACAGTTTTGTTTTCTAGGCTATGCGATTCCCCATGAACCAGCACCGTCTCGAGCTCAAGAACGCTCAAGAAGCGCGCGAACGCGAACGTGAGATGGCGAAGGAGATACAGGAGGGAGACTTGGACGAGGACGACCTCGGTGGCGAGTTCGAGGGCATGTAACAACTCTATTCTCTACTTGTGTTGTTGTCTTATCAACTCTTTTGCCGATGCTTGCTTGCTTGCCGGCCCCTTCCTCGCACTGCAAAATTCTCAACAATGTGGCATGGAGAAGGAAACGAATGGCAGGCGCAAGCTCTTTCTGGTTCCTTAATGAAGAGGGCGGCGCTGGGAGGGGGGAATGCCTTCCGCACACGATTCAGGGGCGGTGATGATAGACCTTTTTTTTTTGTTTTTTTTACTCCTTCCAAGTGATGCGGGCATGCGCGGGTGATGGTGGTGACCTCCGGGTAAAGGAGATTTAAGGCGACGGACGTGTACGTGTGAGAGGCAGGGTGTGTTGCGGCTGCGACTCTGTTGTGTGTGTGTACTAGATAACGCAAAGACATGGAGGAGGTTGCCAATTTCAGCAATGCTGTTCGTCCCAAGTGTTTGATTTCAACTGTGAGGGTTTGTGTCCATGTTTGTAAGTTGGTGAGACTGTGAGTTGAAAGATGGGATGTATATTCTCGTTTACATTAACGGGTCAATTATCGTAGTGCCTGGATGGGAAACGTCACCCCCCGGGTTCCGCGTGAGGGTCGCCCTGCTGCTTTTTTAAAGGAGTCCTGAACACGGGGCGGGGGGGGGGGGGGGGGTCCCTTAGTCAGGCTGTTTGACTGTAGGGTACTGCGGCGGGAGTAAGTCATTTGGAGATATCATGGCGGTTGTATGTCACGATTAGACTTGTAGTGATGGGGGGAAAGCAGCAGTGTGTCATGGTATAAGTGACTAATAGACTTGATTTGTAGTGCTGCAGTTGTCAAGTTGAGGATTGGGGGGTTTAACATGCTGGTCTTGGTTGGCAATGTGGCACAAGGGCACGGCTTGACGGTTCGACCGTGGATATCTAGCGTGAGTCGAGGGTCACGTAAGTTTAGTGCCGGCGAGATGTTTCTGGGTGTTGATGGGAGGATACTTGGGCGCCGCGTGAGGGTTAGCGTGACGATGAGGGACCTGGTAGGCACATCGTTTATTCTTGCACAATTGCCGTTTTCAAGGCCTGGTGATATGGACCCCTGTTGGTACCTATGGACTCATCGAGTGTGGCGGCATCTCTGTTGTGCTTGATATACAAATTTCAGGCTTAGATCGGTTGCTTGCGGAGTCTTTGGGTAGATGAAGGGGATAACATGATGCGAGGGAGAAGTGGGAAAGTTGAATATGCTGCAGGCGACGACTAATTTCATGAACGATTTTTTTTTTTTTTGTCATTATAGCATAATCTACTCTCACAGCACGAGTATCGATGAAGCCTCGGGGTTGAGAATTGTCGGTTTGTTTTTGAGATCAAGATGCTGAGCGGGTGCATGGGAGTTATCGCTGTAGCATAAATATCCAAGTTTGAGTACAAAAAACTCCATTCTTCCATAGTGACATGGCTTTATGATAAATTCGCGATGTTGCTGAACTCTTCTATCCGCGTCGGGATGGGTGACAGATGCGGCTGGCCCACGCTTTGCATGATGGGAGAAAGAGGTTGTCATATGAAGCTGCCACGATGCATAATATGCCGCTTTTCTGGGATAACGTCGCACACCCACTTCTCGCACACCCCCACATTTCGCACACCCATAAATCGCTCATGTAGAATTTTACCCTCTTCAACATTCTTTAATATCTTCACCACTTTTACAGCGATTATTATAATTCTTTGAATAGTTACTCTTATACGCTTAATGGGCCAGTATACGGAAACAGAAGTCAATCAAGCTCTCAATGCAGTTGCAAGTGGGCTGTTACGACCCGTCAGATGCACTTAACAGGACCCACTCGGTTGGGCGGTTATGACAGGACTTTGTATGCAGGGCCACGGGAACAAAAGGTAACCTCTCGGAACGGAAGAACTATAGAACGGAACAAGTCACGTGATGAATCATTCTAGGTCAGAATGATCCAAGAAGAGTTGGGGGCCAACGGATCATGTTCGATCAATATGATCTCCAACGACTACAGACAATACGTGTAGATAGACTCCTATATAGACCAGGACTTGAGTACCTGCTCAAGCCCTCTAGATAGTTCTTCAGCAATCAACTTGTGATTCATCCTCGAATGACTTTCAGCTTACCTCTCAGTATTGTGAATACTAAGAACCTCGTTACCATAGTGTAAGACTGATCACCTTACCCTAACCCTACGATCTACCAGAACGACCTCTACGAACCAGTGTTAGTCTCTTACTGCACCTTCTGTTAGCAGAACCCTACTGTCAGATAGCTGGCCGTAACATGGGCAGAGTGTCCGAAAGGCAGCTCATGATGCTGGAATTCCACCATCAACCCTCCAGTCTCGATTAAAGGGTTCACAGGCAAGAAATGTAGCTTTCTCTAGCTTCCAGAAGCTATCTCCAGCACAGGAAAGTCACTTAGCTGAATGGGTGCGTATCCAGGCGGCGTTAGGGCTGCCGCCAACACATCAACAACTCAAGGAATTTGCCCAGCGAATCCTAGACATCAGAGGCACTACCCAGCCACTTGGGAGAAACTGGATTCAGTTCTTTATTAAGAGAAATCCATCAATCAAGGTTCATAGAGCTAGAGCCATCGATTCTAAGCGTGTCAATGGGGCCTCAACTAATGTAATCAGGCAATGGTTTCAACAACTCGCCCTTCCAGAGATCAAGGCGATCAAACCACATCATCGCTATAACATGGATGAAACTGGTATCCTAGAAGGCAGAGGATCAAATGGCTTAGTACTGGGATCATCAGAAAGCTCATCAATGCGAAAAAAACAGCCTGGGTCTCGGGCTTGGACAACTATGCTTGAGTGTGTCTCTGCAACTGGTCAGGCGCTTCCTCCACTTGTTATTTATCGAGGGAAATCGGTTCAACAACAATGGTTTCCTCTTGATATCCATAAACGTGATATTTACAGTGGTTGGAAGTTCACAGCAACTGAGAATGGCTGGACTTCAGACTCTACAGCTGTGGAATGGCTTGAGAACATCTTTATCCCTCTGACTAAGCCTGATCATCCCTCTGAGCAGAGACTATTGATCCTAGACGGTCATGGCAGTCATGAAACAACAGAATTTATGTATCTCTGTTATAAACACAAGATATATCTCCTTTTCCTACCGCCACATACATCCCACGTTCTCCAACCTCTAGACCAAGCAGTCTTTGGGCCTCTCAAGGCGACCTATCGAAAAGAGCTTGGATACCTCATTCAACACAACGATTCTACAGTTGTAGGCAAACGGAACTTTCTTACCTGCTATGGAAAAGCACGCCAGATGGCATTTTCAAGCAAGAATATCAGAAGCGGCTGGAAAGCAACAGGACTATGGCCCATTTCGATAGCTCGACCGCTCATGAGCCCTCTACTGCTTGAGAATGCTTCCAAGCCCTCAAAGCCAGGCTATTCTACGCCTATGAGGGCCTCTGATGGTGGAAAAGACGAAAACTGGGCATCTGCTACATCCATAGTAGCCTGGTCAACGCCCAAGAAGACAGTTGATCTATATGATCAACTTAGCTTATTCAGCAAGTTGGATAAAGATCAGCAAACGCAGCGACTGTTGTTTCGGAAGGTTCAAAAGGGATTTGATGAAAAGGACTATCAATTGGCTACAGCAGAGAAGAAGATTGCAATGTTGGAAGCAGAAGTTGAGGCTGGAATGGTACGGAAGCGGCGTAAGGTCCAAATGAGCCCAAATTCGAAGTTTGCCAACATTGAGGCAATTCACAAAGCCCAAATTGAGGCTGGCGAAATTGAGGATAGCTCAGATGAATCTAGCGAGCCTGAATTACCTATTAAAACTGGCGATAGTATCACAGTTGCAGGAGACGAATCAGACTTATAGTTATGAAGTTGATGAATACCTCATGATGACCCAATTTATGGGTGTGCGAAATGTGGGGGTGTGCGAGAAGTGGGTGTGCGACGTTATTGGTTCACTCTGGTCGATTCTACGTCCTTGAGGACTGTTAAGGTAGCGACACTAGCATCAGGAATGCCTTTTCCGATGCCGAGTTTACTCGGCCATGACAATACGGAACTCATTAAAGAGCTGGGAGCATTGATTATTCTAAGCAGGCAGCTACCTCTGTGGAAACACCTGGAGCTCAAAATACGTTACTCCGGGCAGCTCGTACGTTCCCACCAGCTGGCCGGCGCGCAAACCACTCCTTCACCTCCGCGGAGGGTCGTCTGTGCATTAACGTTGCGTTGGTGGTTGTAGGTGATGACGACTGCGTTCGCGTGTTGCTTATCCCTGTCGGTGTCTGTACAGACAACATTCTTTGGGTTCCAATAACCCGCTTGCAGGTCCAACTCGTTTCTTCGGTTCTTGATCGCCCACATGATGTTGTCGAAGCTAAGCTTGTTGCCCCTCTGGACGCCGGAGCAGATGAGGCGGTATGCGGGGACGGTAGCCCCGATGGCCGGTTCCGGGGCGGGAGCTGGTGCGGCGAAGACGGCGCTGGCGGCCGCGACCAAGAGAATCTGAGGTTGCATGGCCTGTACAAAGGGGTCCTAAGTACACGCAGATTCTCTCATTTCAGAGATACAGACGGAAAGTCTAACTTACGTGGGCGGGATTAGGTTAAGAGCAATGTGTGATTGTCTTGGCGTGGGATGATAAAGTTGCAACTCTGGAAGGACGTCTTCTTTATATACTTGAGAGGATGTGTGTGTTGTTTATAGCAAGGGGCCTTGCATTTTTAAAATGCAAACCGCCCCCTCTAGAGTGGTTATCGCCTGGTTCCGGCCTGCAACCAACCCGGCGTCTACGAAAGACTGCCCTCGATACGCGGTTTAGTCACTTGACAAACAATGAGATACCGGACGGGCTGCGGAAATCCAGGGCTGCAGGGCCAGATGCAACCTCCATTTCCAACGAGTCAGGTTTTGCAGTAAGCTTTGAAAAGTCCTAACAGAGAAATCTGATAAATTGACCAAATGCAAGACAAGCCTATCATGTTCAATATGCATCTGCTGGCCAGGTGCCGGAGAATTGACCCATTTAATTGAGTTGGCTTCTCTCAATTGTAAAATATGAGATACCGCTGCTGACTTGCGCAGATACGTTAGGCGTGATTACAACAGAGAGATAGTTCTATTTGCTGAGTCAAGAGAGGACCAAAAGTTGCCCTGTTTGTTCTGAAACGGCAACTCAACCGTTATTGCCGAAGATAAGGTTCGCAACTAGTATAAGTACTCACAACTCATCCCAGAGGTTTGTTCCTCCTCTCTACACGTTGTCAATAGCCCTGGTTGTCCTCAAATAAGGTAGATTATCAATGATTCTTTCAAGGTCTGAGTAATGGAGATATGATACTGGTTAGATTCGGACTATGAGACAAATTTTTGATTGCAGCCCTGGACCGTTTGTTACATAACATCGTCGACGGTACACGGCAAATAGAGTATATTGCGACGCCCCGCTTTCTCTGACCTCGTGATGGGTACACCGGCGTGCAGGTCGACCGCACGTAAACATGTCTAATCACAAAACAAGCAAGACTCACAAACACACAAATATAAATTCCTGATCGTGTCCGTAACTCTTTCCGCAGTTCCGGGCTATGAAGGAACCTCGGCAATTATATGCGTTTGTCCATAATTCTACCCGATATCTCTTACATCCAGGTAAATCCAGGCCTGCAGCCAGTGCCTCGATAATTTCAGGCATTTAATGGATCGTCTGCTACCAGATTTCTAGTTTCATGACGTCTGCCTAAGGTCTACAGCTCGTTCGACTTATAATAGAAATGTGCGATCGACCACAGTACCGGTAAAGATGAAATCTTGGACCATTTAAATTTGACATATTCTGATAAAGAGTTGAATCTTTGATCTGACCCATGAACCTAAGCCAACCTAATCTTAATGGGTCTTCCTACTGTTGCTAACCGATCTAATTCTTCTCCTTAATCTTCTAGGCGACATGATAATAATGGTAGATATCATTGGCAAAGCAGCACTCTCAACTAGATTTATCAGGATCATCAGAAGGTAGACGCGTTCGATTCAATGATGGTTACGTCATGTTATTCCTTGCCATCCTAAATACATCCTGTTCGGCGGACGAAGCCATTTAGACAGGTGTGAACTGACTATACTATGTAAAACCGTTCTAGTGCATCTATGGACATGCTCTATTATGTCTAGATGAAAAGAAAGATTGGATTGATCAAGATTTCACGCGGCAGGGAAGATGCCGAACGAAAAGAAGTGAAAGAACCATTGCTAGCTAGAATAAAACTCTGTTTCAGTCGGTTCTGATAAAGGACTTACAGAAACCTTATTTTTCGCCTGCTGCAGCTTCCTCGTTGGTGGGTTTTCTTCCGTAGATTGTCCAACTGCAGTCATGTTAGTGGTCATATACAATAAATGGTCTGTCAATTGAGACGTCGGCCAACCTACAGGGAGAAATACGCATGAATGCTTGTGTCGTTGAACTCCTTGCGAGTCTCAGCCAACAACACCAACACTTCTTCCCTTGTCCACCCTAGAGCTCTTGTAAAGGGTGCCATGCAGACACCCTCCCAGCCTTGCAAGATGTTTTCGTTACTCCACATACCAAGCTCCTTGAAGCGCTTGTCCTTTGGCCAGGCATTGGTGGGCCATTTGTATTGAACCATGACCACATCTTTGAAACCGCTTTCAATCATCACGGGCTTCAATTCTTTGACGTCTTGGACAGACCGACCCAACTTTTGCGAAGCCTCTCCCAAAAGCCGAATGGCTTTCATAATCTTGTGGTCTGACTTCAGAGTGCCATCATCACTAAGAGGGAGGAAATAAAGCTCAATGAGCTCCAAATATCCACCTGGGGCAAGATTACTTCGCTGTGGTTAGCTGGAGTCGTCCAATTCTCTGCAAGTCTGACTCGGGCTTACTCGTAACACTTCTGGATATATTCTCCCCAGTCCTTGATCGAAGCGTTCATACCGCGGCTATGGATGTAATCGAAAGGCTTTGAGAAGGTCCAGGGCTCGTCCAGATCGTCAATCTCAAATCTAACATTTGGTGGTGCACTTGATAAGTCAGTTACCAGCAAAACAACTAGTTGGAGTGTCTGGTGGATGCCTCACAACTCGGGCTGGGTTGCGGAAAGGTCGATGCCGTAAACCTCGGCTTCAGGATGTTCATCTCCAAAGTCCATAGCCCAGATGCCAGTACCTGTTCCCACATCCAACACTCGACCGACCTTGGCCCCAGGATCGTTTGGTGGAGCAGTTCCAAGCCTGTTGTTGAAAGTAAGCAGGAACAAGTGGTGTTGCATGTCTAGTCACGGGGTTAGAGGCAGTGCACAGAGTTGGAAACGGTACACTATTGGTAATCACCGAGTCTATCAAGCTCCCTCTCATCGTTGGGAAAATTATATTCTGGATGTATCTGCGGTTAGTGCCACTTTTTCTCCATCAAAGAAGGGGTTGTCAATAGTTTGGACTTACTTCCATCCTTGTATCGGTGGTAGGTTCTGCCATTCTCAACACGATAATCAAGCATAGAGCTAGTCACACTCGTGCTTGATGAAGCTACGCTTTGCTTGATGAAGTTTCTGAGTTAGCAACGTTTAATGCCCCCTTTTAACTATTTCTTGGACATCTGCGTATTAATTACCAAGTCAACAGATGAAGTGTCGCTCTCACCAAACGATTAGTAGGTTTTACATGCTTAGATTGATATTGAATGGCTACCTGGTCATCGGCCTGGATGAAAATTTCATGATCAACTGCATTGTTCGAGCGAACGTCGGTTGCAGCTGCCTGAGCGGCACTGTCCGCAGCAGTAGCAGTCGACATCTTGAATGGACAGGATTTAAACAAATGTGGCTCCACTGGTAAAGTCTTCCTATAACCTCGTCTTTGCAAGACGTTGTTTAGCCTTGAGTAACAAAATAATTGAATGGAACAATGCTACGGAGTCATAAGATTTATTTCTACTGCCTGATACCCCTCTTTTGAGCCTTGAGCACAGGGTTCTGGGTGATGAGAGTGCAGTTAGCCGAGGTTTTCATGAGCGGGTACTGTTGGTGCAAGCGACCAGCCTTCGTTGCTCAGAAGCGAATGAAAAGACCAGGAAATACAAAGGACTCTTGTATGATAGATGACATGTTTGGTCTGACTTACCAACAAGTGTTTCCCATTGGACGAAACTGCAGAAAGCAATTTCTGCACACCCATGGTTCCAACCGCTCGCTTGTTCATCACCCAATCGCTAAGTTGACGGAGGTGAACGGGATGCATTCAAACTCCCAGCTTTTGCGGAGCATTCGAGCTTCCAATATGAGCATACCTAGGTCTCACCATCCCAAGTCAAACCAGGGATGAAGTACGCAATCAAGCCCAGTTTTCGTTGTTCCCAACCAATCCCGCTTTTTCAACAAACCGAATACCAAAGCTATGCCTCTAACAGCCAGCATTATCTCCCTCCGTATCCAATGCGGTTTTGCATTGAGCGGTCAGTTTTTCTATGCTATTTCAGTTTCATATATGCAAACAATTTCATGTTGGAGGAGGAGTGAATGACTAAATAATTCATGGAAGAATGATTTAACCTCCGCAGTTGGAATTCGCATAAATAACCCCTCTTTTGAGCTATAGTTTAGTGGTTTAAATATTCAAAATCACAAAAACTACATATGAAAAGATTGTTGACTTGCGCTGGCAGGCATGTAACTTCTTGCATTTATCTATGTGGTATCGTGCGCAATGCGCACCACATTTGCTCAGAACAACCAGGAGAATCCCTTCCGATAAACCTTGGTTAGCACACCTTTCTTACCTGATACCAACTCCTTCTCCCTGCTTGCAGCTTCAACTGCTGCTCTCTCCTCTGCGACTGTCTCCCGCGGAACGCCTGTTACTAGATCTGCCACCTCGGCCCGTACGCGGCGTGATTTCCTAGCCACCTTGTAGCCAAAAATGCAAACAAGGTAAACAGGGATGCCGATATACTGCACGATGAAACTCTTGTAGTCAAAGGTTCCGACAAACACCTCAACGCCCTTTGTAAGGGTCAAAATTATGAGGAAGATCAGTGCGATGTAAGAGCCCCATGCGCCAAATGGGGCTCGGTAAGGGATATAGGCTGAGTCGATGTGTTGAACCTCGCGAGCGCGGCAGAAGAAAATGTGAGATACAAGGATAGATATCCAGGTCAGAAGGCCTAAAAGGTTGGTGTAAGTATAAGGTAGCTGTACTTCTACTAAGCGTTGTTTCCTTACCAAAGACAGTGACAATGCTAGTAAGGTTGTTAAATACTGTGGCAGCATTCGAGCTGACAGACATGTAAGCCAACCCACAAAACACGCCACATAAAGCCAGCGACACAAAAGGTACGCCGGATTTCGTTGTGCGCGTGAATATTTTGGGAGCCTTTCCGTCGATGGCAATACCGTAAAGCGTGCGAGATGAAATATATATGTCCGAATTTGCCGCGGAAAACACGAAAACAACAAGACAGCCGTTGATAACATGATCGAGCCCTTTTATCTTTGCGATCTTAATGGCTACAACAAATGGTGATGCAGCAGCACTGGTCTTGGCTCCAACAGCAAAGGCGAGTTCCTGACTGTTGTAAGGGACGACAAGCCCCAGCAAGAAGACTGAAATGACGTAGAAGAACACGATGCGAAGGAAGGTCAGACGAACAGCTTTCGGCATGCTTAGGCGCGGGTTCTTTGCCTCGCCAACAGTGACTCCCACGAGTTCTGTGCCTGAAAAGGCATACACAGCTGCAACCATGGCGCTCCAAACACCGAGTAAACGTCCCGTGGCGTCCTCCGTCTTATACTCTGCAAACGCTCCTGGTTCAGACCAGTACCTGAATCCAGGACGGTCACCGGTCGGTCCACCGCCCACCGCAAGGATGAAGAGGAGGAGGATCACACCAATCATTATCAGCACCTTCAAAGACGATAGCCAGAACTCGAACTCGCCAAATGCCTTAACACTGACGCTGTTGATAGCAAGAATTAAGACAAGCGCGATGGTGATGAAGACCGCGGGGTTGATACGGTCACCGACCCAGAACTTCATGATGAGGGCGAAGGCGGAGAGCTGGTTTGGTGTAGCAAGAAGGTACTTGAAGAAATACGAGTAGCCTGTTGCGAAACCTAGAGCTGGGTCGACGAAACGGGTTGCATAACCACCAAAGCCGTGAGACAGAGGCATATAAGATATTATTTCGCCAAGGGCGGCCATAACGAGGAAGACGATGCAGCCAACGATCGTGTAGTCGATGAGGATCCCCGCTGGTCCGGTTTTGACGAGGGCAGATCCGCTGCGGGACATTTGATTAGCTTTGAACAATAACGACACCCCGTTACTTCTCAAATGTACAGTCTCTTGGACTTACGTTCCAATCAAAAGACCTGTGCCGAGAGCTCCGCCCAAAGCGATCATGGTAACATGACGAGTTTCAAGGCGCTTGCGAAGATCGTGACCAGGTTGACTTGCTGCATCTTGAACCTCGCCGAGCTTTGCGCTTTGCTGATGAGATAGGTTCTCCAGGCCTCTGGGCTCCTTTTCTTCGTGTCTCATGGTGTTTGGAAAGTCTTAGGCAATAGTGTGTTGACGAACGTTTGAAGTAGGCAAACCAAGACGAGAGCAACTCTAGCCTTTCGAACCGACAGTATTTCGACCGCAAGATTGAACATGAGAACAGTTATACCTCAGCCCCAAACCTCAGAGTCGCCTCTCCAAGTGTTTGATACGCCAAGCTTGGTCATTATTCCAACTGTTTGGGTCCGGGGTAATGGCTCGGGAGTGGGTCCCGAAACTGGGGGAGTGCGGGGAGTCTTCCTCGGTTTCTCATCCCGCAATCAGTGGTCCACTGACTCGGCAAGTCTTTATCTGGAGCTCCGCGGATTCGATTGCTTATCATTTTCTAAGTCAATAGTAATTTGCCTCTGTTTAAGATATATAGGCTGCTTAGCTAGGCTTTCCCATGCATCTACACCGATCAGCCACGATGAGTATCAAGTCTGTAGCGATAAGTGTCACCTGATGACGCCTGGAAGCCCTAGAGCCCTCTCGTTATCTGGAAGCATGGCTATCTTTTGATCAGATACGTATCGGAATGAAACGTCCGTGGAGTTGCTTGAAGTAGTATCATAGCAGGTCTCCACTGAGGTCGAAGTCATCAGCAATGGTGTCTGTCCACAACCAGCTACCGACAAGTTGATCGTCGCTGAAGGTAGATACGTTCGGCTCCCAGTCAAGAAGCCCTGCTATTGATAGTATTTGCTCGGATGCCAGGCCGTTAACAGTGCTGTCGGTTGGGGGCCCTCCTCCTGAAGGATTTATATCCATCCCAGGATTCTGTGATGGTTGCCTGCCTCCATTGCATGTTGCTGGTGTGGTATCTAATTCAAATTGGACAAGCCGCAATATCTCCTGCAGCTTCTCTAATTCCTCCTTTCGAAATTGTGCAACCACGTTGCCACGAAGAATCATGGCATCAAGAATGCTGGATGTGGTTTTCATATAGTTACTTTCGCGATCGGGAAGTCCAGGTATGGCACCCATAAGCGCGAGAACAAATGCAGATGAGAAAGTGTGCTCTAGGTCGAACGGAAGGAAAGTCTCTGCTGCCAACTTAGCCATGCTATGTTGTCACAGTTACGGGCGATTTGCCCTGGAAAGAGCACGCCAACTCAACTTACCTAGAAGATGTTGTGATTTTAACCTAGATAAAATACGAAGGGACTTGCTAGCAGATTCTGATGATGTTTGAAGGAGTGCCTTTATTGGGCTTGCAAGGTTTTGATGTGTGTGGTCTTTTCTCGCCAAGAGGTCTTGCAACAGACACATCAGTAGAGGACGAGTTGCAAGCACAACACACTCGGAGTAGTCAGTCAAGGCTTTAATAATTGCGCTGAGACACGAACCTGATGATAACATAAATTAAGAGTGGCGGAAACCCTGGAAGCTGGTTCGCTGCTGCTAAACTTGAATTCGAAGCCAGCTGTAAGCTGCGGCACAAGTCTGGCCATGTCCCGCAGGACTTCTTGAACGTTCCTCAAAAAAGATGGATCAAGCCTCCCATCTACACCATATACGGCTAAGGCGATGTTAGATTATATCTGTCTTACAGTTTGGAGTAGTAGCTAACTGTTCAGGACTTTGGCCAGTAGCTGGGAGACAACTACATGGATACCAAGAGCTTTATACTTGTTGATCGCCGGATCTGGCTTGGGAAGCTGCACAGTTATGTCGCTATCTTGTATTGAGTTTGGAGCACCCATCAAAGAGGACAGCTTTCGATCCAGGATGTACAGAGTCCACCATATGCAACGGAGGCGGTTGGCTTCATTCTCACTCAGAAGGTGCTGTAGAGGCTCTCGGTGAAGGCCTTGTGTGAGAGCAATGCGAAAGGCTATCCCGATCTGATCTCATCAGTAGGGTTCAATAGCAACAGTAAAGAGGGAGTTATCAGCTTACATAAGTATACGCACTGTTTCTGTGATCGACTGATTGCAAGTACAAAGCAAGGCAGCACAGTATCTCTACAGACAGAACCGGATCTTCATAAAGACCATGAGTATCAGGCAGTAGCTCCAGCGCACGAGAGACTAGCCCGCTCCCGGGAGGATTTTGATCTGGTGTACCTGGAACGAGGAGGGCCTTGCCGAAAGCCATGATGAGAAGGAAATGAATATACCACAATCGGCCATTAGCAGTTGATCCTGTCTTCAAACCACTCCTGTAGAATTGATACAACCCATTCATGAAAAGTTCTTCCTCGAAGAGATGGTAGGTCTGACCAAGATGGAACTTCACAGTATTGGTGAGATAGAGGGCGTAATCTAGTGAGGGAATATCGACTGGAGGTTTCGATACGACTTCTCGAGAGGAAGGCCAGTCTAATTTAAATGCCTGGGCGTCGACCTTCAAAGGAACCTCAGGTGATTCATGCTGAACTAGCTGTCCTTGAATCATAGTCAAGACTTGCCGACTGTATGCCCAGGTTGAAGTGGGACCAAGCCAACCTAGAGAAGGTCAGAGACAACATTCACAACTAGTAAGAAGACTCACGTCGTCTGCCCGTTGAATCCGTCAGGAACCTGGAAGATCCGCTTGCCAAAGGGTTTCGCATTGTTTCAAAACCTTCATGTCGCCGATCGCCCAGGTCCTCGTCTCCGCCAACAATTGTGGTGCCATCGTCAACAGCAACAGAGGTGAACGCTTGGACAGTATCACCATCTGCATTTACTCGAGAAGACCTGTCCGTCTTAGCTGCAAGGTTAGATTAGTGTTAGAAACTCAATATTTCCTGAATGATTACATACAATGCTGTCTATCGTCTGCAGTGGGCGAAGGAGTTCGGTGTAATCGAGACCGCTTCGCAACGGGCGATGTTGAAGGCCCACCGTGGTCTGCATAACCAGACTTGCGCTTCAGCTCATTTAAAAACCTAGAGAATGAGAACCTTATGATAGATATGTAGGTAACCAGAGAAGACATGTACCTCTCAGAGACCATAACCTTTCTATCCTCCTTGTCGAACACGCATTCGGTTGCCTTGCGTATGCAGTTAACGCAGGGCACGGAACCTGAGCATTTGACCTTTCGTTCTCGACAGCGAATGCATCTTGAAGTCTTATTAGTCATGCTGCTCTTGGAGTCTGATTCATCTATTAAGCCTGGCGGGACTCACGCGTTACTTGAGCGTTTCCCCCGCGACCCCGAGGCTCCCATCTCCGTTTCGTTATCTGCCGCATTGCCAGGACTTTCCCCTTCTCTAGTCATTATGAATTAAAGGTGGCTGGCTCAGAAATCTTTACTTTCAACGTTGAGACCCAGTTGGCCTTCAATGATGAAATTCTCGACAAAGTGACGAATGGATGCGACCGCCAGCGCACTTGCCCTCTGAAATCAGAAGACCCGCAGGTGCCGTCCAGCCACACAGGTGTGGCGCATTTCTCTGCCGGAAGGCGGGCGGGCCATCAGATTTCTCGGCCTGAAGTTCCGCATTCGTTGTGGAGATTTAGCTAGCTTGTTGTAGAATTGAGCACCTAACGGAATGGATTGCCGAACAATTAGATCATTGGCTACTGGTCCGATGCTAGGCAATGTAAGAGAACAACAAAATCATAAACGCTCCCCGATCTCGGAATAGGTCCCAGGCATAATTATATCTGTCGTACAGCAGCTATACCGCAATTGGATCACCGCAACTATGGGTCCACTTTTGCACCACAATATCTGTGTTGCGTGTAACTCAACACTTCTATTCTATGGCTCTAAGTGGCTCTGGGGGAAGGCTTGCTTTTTTTTAGAGTTCATCAAAATACTTACCAACTGCGACTTTACAGGTTCGTTCATGTTTAGGACAAGTTTTTGAGTCAAGATGTTGCCTGGCGGATTCAGTATGACCACTTTCTGCTGATATGGTCGAATACATTAGTAGCATTGACTCGGGATTGCAAGCAGTGTATTCGAATCAGATTTCTTTCACCCAGGTTTCAGATATCGAAACTTGTTATTAATGGACATACAACCATGAAATTCCTCCATTATAAAATATTACGGCCTGTTTTCCCTCTAGGCCTTAGCCTTTTTTTTTTTTTTTTTTTTAAATGAATAATTGCTTTTGTCCTCACAGCATGTTTTCAACTCGGAATCTTGATTTCCCGTGAAGGATGTGCTGAGTTGGAACTTCAGCGAAAGAAGATATAGAACGAGAATGAACTACGCCAAACTTCGGCTGTGAAATATTTGTTGCTTTCTGTTGGTTTGAAGTAAAATTGACCTAGCTAAATATTGCTCCACGCAGCGATATTTAGGTGGTAAAGAAGGATATCTTTATCCATCACCAGTTAATTAGCTTTTATACCATTCATAAAACCCTCCAAATATTCTCGCAACAGCACTTCTGGCAATAGCACGCATACATCTAATCAATGATAGTGCTTTGATGTTATATACCTGAGAATATATACAAGTAATTTGAATGTATGTACAAAAGTTGGCCGACCTAAAGTAAAGCTATCATTCCAATTCGTGAATTGCAACAGAACCGTAAGCTTTTGAAGTGTACTGTTAATAGAGCGTCATCTAACAGTTGCCGGAAGCCTTGAATTGGGCCTTCTCCGTAGTGCCAACGTTGTTGACTACTACTTGCTTGCCGTTGGAGCAGGTAACACGAACACTGACAGTGTCGACATTGAAACCATCACCACTGCTCTTCTGCCAGTAGTTATAGTCCTTACGGACGGTGTTTTGCCACGTCTTACCGCCATCGGTACTCACTTCGAACTTGGTGACGGGGTAGTTGTGGTTCATAACTTGCATGGAGAACCTAGTGTTCAGGTAAGCATTTTTGGCCGCAGAGAAACTTGACGCCGAAACATACCACCACTTGGATGTGCCTTCCTTGTTACGAACCACCAGGGGAGTAGTGATACCGCAAGGTACCTGCTCCCACTGAACATTAATCAGACCCTTATCCGGGTTGTCTAGTTTGGCGAAGGCGTCGGGAAAGAGGTCAAGCTGGCCGTTTCCGCAACCCTCAGGGCATTTGTCAACAACCTGGCTCCATTTTTAGCTAAGTTCTTCCAGTAAGCATTGCCGAACAGCTTACCATGACCTTGATAGTGTTTCCTTTAGGGCCCTTAACATTAAGGCAAGTGCCGCAATTACCATTGTAATTGGTGTAAGACAAAGCGGTTCCGAGGACTCCGGCGGGTAGAGTGTAGCCGGAAAACAGGCAGTTGCCTCCGTTCAAGTTACCGCCATACCAAGAAGCGATAGCGCTGGTCGCAGCATTTGTGCCCTGGATCATGACGGCCAGAGCCGTACCCATGGATAGAAGGCCGTGCATGATTTATAGAGAAATAGTCCTATCAAGTTGTTTGTTGAAGATAAGATGAGATGTGAAGATTACTTCGTTTAATTCAAGGAAATCTGCGGCCTTTTATATCATGAGTGACCAGCCGACTACTAACCAATACGATCACGGGAATCAATCAAATACAGAAGGTCACAACGGGCAGGCCGGACAAGACATGTTTGCTGTAGGGCAGTCCGCAACAATGACCTTACTTTGGTGTGTCGACCTATACGGCCTTACCCCTCAAGCTCCTGGAGCATGGATGTTGATGAAGTCTAGCGCCCAGTCTCAATCAGAAACCCGCCACTCAGACTAGCCAACCCCCTCTCATAACCCTGAACAAACCTCCATGTTTCAACACGGCCCTCTCATTCGCTGAGACAGGTTACTAGTGAGTATGAGTAGAAACACCACAATTGCGCCAAAGAGGTGGTAAGGTGACGTTGTGTGGTAGGGCCTGCCAGTTTTGTCAAGGTTAAAGTTAGCCGCGGCCCGTGATTCTCGGCTTCGGCTACATTTAATTTATAAATTGCAAGGCTGTTGGGCCAGGTTCTCAGGTGTTTGCGGGTATGCCTCGTGTTTTGGTGTAGGGCTGCCTCTTCTGCTTGGTAGGAAGAATAAGGATCCCAACTCGGGGATCATTTTCACTCATACAGCCGAAATTAGACCAAAAGAGCGCAAGTTCACTATAGGCCTAGACCAAAGTGGATAGAGAGCATGAGTCGTGATGTAGTGGACTGATCCATCTTCACAGCCTGGTTGTTACGCTAGATTTCCACTTTTGATACTACCCGGACGGGCTATGATGTGGGTGATGATACTTTAATGGCTAGCGTCAAAATTCCCATGCCTGAAGAATCCTTCGTATTCTTTGATCCTTTGGCGGACTACGTGCAACAGAAACAGCCTCAGAGGCCTTGCCATCGGCGTGGCCGCTTAGAAGTCGATAGGAAGAAAAGCTCCTCTGTGTGGGTAACATTTTTTGCTCATTCTTGCTCCTCATATGTTGATTGTTCAATACTTTACGACTGCTACCGGATTGTTCGGAACAGATTGTGAAATGTGGTTGCATTTTTGTAACAGTCTGATTGCATGGTTTATTAGGTTAGATTGCTAAGAATACAAGCAGTGACCTAGGTCCATCCGGATTACTTCGCTGCTGATGATAGCATTCTGAAAGGCGATAGTAGCTTTACAAGTTGACTAAGCTACTCCCTACTTAAACCTTTTACAGCCGCTCACGATGGTCTTGCACATGGCAGGCTTCTTTCACGGAGGACACTTTCGGCAACAAGTAAGCTGCCGATGTCGGGACACGCAGATGGTGTCTATTCTCCTGCTCTGGCTATTTTATCAATATATTTTTTTCTTCCACAATGGTTTCATGCAAACTTCTAACAGCTGTTCATGCCAAATGGTATAAGAAGTTAAATTGGCTTTAAAAAGGGCATCTGAAATGGATTCGAGGCTCACTCTCTTGCGTTCGCAGTTTCCAGAAATCTTGTTCTGTTAGCAAATTTGATTCTATTGTCTGTCTCTACACTAATGTTTCGTTTGTATCAATTTAATTATCACTAGCTGAGAACAGGAAGCTATTTGGCAGTGTAGCATGAAAGCTGGTATCCTTTTTTCGGGACTTTTCTGAAGTTAAACTAACCATTGAAAGGTCGTTTGTGAAGCTCGAAATTCGTCTGATACCACAATTTTATATCCAGGCTCGTGCATCCAGATTGCGTGACGCCAAATTTGAGGTTTTTGAATGAGAGTTGATCTTTTTAGAAGAACTTAACTTTCTTGACCTGGGTTCTGCATCGGAAAAAGGTAATAATCACACATGCATGAATTATATCGTTTTTCCTTGTACATAGTTCAGCCAAATTCATCAATATTCAAGATGTTGTCCATCTGAACGCTAACCGGTGATTGGTAAGTCATCATTGAACGACCACTAACTACATCTTCTCTTGTCTCATACGAGACTCTTGCTGCCGCTTAATCTCGTCAGTCATTTTAATGGGGTATCTCGTCGGCTATCATTGGCCGGCGAAACGGCGACATTCGCCGAAATTACTACTAGCACATCAAAGTGAAAGGGAGAAGGCTGTATTGGAGTTGGGGCGCGAGTATAGCTGTTTGTGTTTCCGTTTTCGTCTAGAAAGATGGTACAGACTTCTGCGGAGCAACCTCGGTTCTAGAGCTGTGTGAGATTGAATCGGTGTATGTTAGTCAGCTACGCCACTATTCAACCCTTTCCCGTCGATCGAAGTTTGGCCGGGCCGCTTCCGGGATTGCGTGACAAGTGGGGCCGTCACTGCGCCGGGGTTGAATGAGGGGCCGGGAGGTCAGGGGAGGAACTGTCAGCCATCTGCTCTTAGATGGTTTCATATTAATATTTATCAAACAACGTATATAACATGAAATCTATCGACGCAGACAGGATACGTGGTGAAGTAAGATCATCATGCATGCACCTTGTTGTTGGAGTAAGACACCAGGCCCGCGCTCCTAAGTGCACACCTGTTGCGTTCTCAAACTATGTTTGAGTCCTCGCCTCACTGGCCCTTGAGACAAACTCATTAGAAAAATCCACATTAATAAGTAAAATCCGCCAAACCCATCGCTTAATCCGAATGACCCGAGAGGCTAGCCTTGGCCTTGACGAAAGTGGACAGCCCTGTCGTCAAGGTCTCACTACGTCCGTAAAATGCCTAGGATGGTCGGGTATCTTTGTTCATATTCAATCACGTGCAACGGATAGACAGTTAAAGGCGCATGAAAAGCCTAGTTGCCGTTGAATTAAGTGATAAATAGGCTGGCCCACGTGCTTCCCCCGAATCCAGATCTTGGCCCCGATTTCAATCGGAACCAGTCGTGCCAGTAGACTAAAGAGGAGTGGAGGCCTAGATCGTATTTTTAGGGACCTTCCAGGGATAGTGGCTTGGATTACGTGCTGAAGCTGCGATGTGGCGGGCAATCGGACAGAGTGGCGCAGCAGCTACGCAACCGGCTCATGAGATCGACACGGAAAGGGTCACGGTTACGCACGAGATGGAAAGATGAACCACGCAGGCAACGCCGACAAGCTCGTAGAGTCTCTATTCCCCCATATTCGTACCGCTACAGGCGTTCAAAATCTTGCGGCTCTTTCCGTATGGTTTGTATAAAGCTCTTTGGAAGAAGACAAACAGATTAAGTGATGCAACAATCAGCCCGGGGATTTCGACGAGTGAGACTATTTACGCCTCATCAACAGAGACTATGTACCACTCAGAATGTGGAGCGTCTGAGACATGGGCTTACTGTGGAGGCCGAATGGCATGCCAATCACCGCCAAGGCAACCAACACAATTCTACTCGACTATTCAATGCTGTAGAAGGAACAAATGTACGTTGATAATTTCAACATATATCTTCGGCAAGGAATGCATTGAATGAGGTTTTTTTAAGCGGATCGTCTTCATCGTCATTGTTTTGTTTATTACGCTTTCTTATACCTCATATGTGACGCTGCCCAGATTAACTTCTCCGGAGAAATCCTTCAAACACTCACTTGTCGATGATACTCCGTAGGTGGGACAATCCAGAACGGAGTTAGGGTCCTCCTGCCGAATCCGGACGATGGATCCGGCCGAACAGAAACTTACAAAACGGAAACGGGCCACGCAGAGGCATGGTTTCGCAACGCTAGTGAAAATACGAACTAGTCAATCGTAAGGCTCAGCTTTATGTTAAGGATTACTTGCTCTTATATGTGAAGGCACCCACTGGCGAAGAAAGCATTTCGACGAGCGTGTTATGAAGATGTGATGATGGATAATGGCTCACTACCCGACCCCGAAGGGGGTAACAATCATAGTGCGTCGAGCCCCAGATCTCGGCCCTTCCAACCCACAAATACTACCTATGATGTTTCTTTGCTGACATTTATCATACGCGAGCTATAGACCACCGGATGGTTGCTGATTCTCACTGCGGGTGCAGTAATTGCTGCATCCCTTCATCTCCGAATCAATATTCAAGGGAGGAGATTGCTCACGAGCGATATACTCCTTTGTCTGGCCTGGTGCTCCGCGGTGGCGACGGCATCTTTCGATATTCAGTTCACGGTTATGGGTGCTTTAAAACAGCATGTGAAGATAACATTGGATGGCTACGATGGCAGTGACGCTGACACTGCCCTAATCTTGCGGGTGAGGGACCCCACTGATACTTGTCACGACGAAGTCCGGTGTGCTACTACACCAGCACCTTATTTGAACGGTTGCTAACATTGGCTGTCATTCAGCTTTTCTGGGCCAGCAGTATTCCATTCTTTACGACATTTTATCTTTGTAAAGCAGCACTTCTCGTCATCTACCTTCAATTTTTCCCACTATTCATGTATTATCGAAGGATGCTGGTTTGGGCAACGATTGTTTACACTGGGCTTGCATATCTAACCAGCATCTTGCTGTTGTTTGCGATTTGTTTACCTCTCAGTAAAAACTGGTATGACATATTGCCTGTTTCGAGGACTACAGGGCCATTTACTAAGTCTCAAGAGCCATCATACTGACTGTTTTGTCACTGTAGGGCGGTACAAGACCACCTTGCCGAGACTGACGATGTGATGTGCTCGGCATCTTCGCCAGCCATTGTGTTCCAGGTTGGATGGGCGTTACACTTCTTCGGGGATGTTCTTGGTAAGTCGGAATGTCATGGGAGACCATCTACTGGGGAATTATGAAGCTGAATTTTCGAGCAGTGTTCTTACTCCCATGGCTCATCATCCCAAATTTGAAGATCAGACGAACATTGAAGATGGGGGTCTATTTTACCTTCGGCCTGGGGATAATCAATATGACATTTTCCCTGGTCAGATTTATAACGATTGAAACCGTTCCCATTGATGATTTGCCTTTTGGCTTAGTCGGTAAGTTATGATAAGTCAAAATCTTGCGCTCCGACTGGGCACATTACTGAATGCTCTAACCTACATTTAGAACTGTGGAGCGAGCTGGATGTCAACATTGGTCTACTGGTTGCTAGCTTACCATCACTACGACCATATTTTCGATCAAGTCGTATGTTGGGCTATTCCGATGGCTCACATGGTTACAACTACAAGTCAACAGTCAAGACACCAATGCGAGCTTCTTGCATGACTGAGTTCGATATTAGGACATTACCAACCGTTACAGAAGACATCGACCTCGAGAATGCTGCCGCGAGTTCTTCAACACAGTCACAAAAGTCGGGCCTCGAGGTTCAGAGCATCTGTTAGCGAGGAACTATCAACAAGCCAATTTCAAGTATCATAATTAATGGGCATGCTGGGATTCAAGGCGTGGATTTCAAAGCATGGCTAAACTTTATATAATGTAGACAAGAATACGCGCCTTAATGGTGCTTTCATGTACATAGGACATGTGTGAACGAATCTATCACGAAGAAGTTTCCTAGATTTGTTCTTATAGAAGAATATCTAACTTACACACTTATTTTCACCTCCAATGTTTTATATGGCATGGTTCACGAGCATTGAGCTGCGATTGGTTTGGTCCACGTATCGGACAATTGTCTGTTGATGGTGTAATTTAAGGTCGTGCATCATAGGTAAAGAGCTGATATTTCAGAAATATGACGACTTTCGATATTTCAAGTATTCAGAATTGGTAATATAGGTACCATTGTTCAGGGATATTATTCTCCTGAGAGTCGAACAACTTTGTCAATGGCCTCAGCTGCACGTCCGACATTCGCCTCGCTCAAACCCGCTATATTGATACGCCCAGACTGCGGCAAATATATGTGGTGCGTGTCAATTAAAATCCTGCATTGAAATGGGGAAAGTGCAAGGCACCTATCTCATCTAGTTAGTCTGATAATACAATAACCATTGTATAAATGTCACTTACGAAAACAATCCTTTCTCTTTAATAAGATGGTCCCAATTCCCAGGTGTCTGGTTGAAGTAAGCTCGATGCCTCTTACAATAAAACAATTCATGTAACTCTCACCCCTAGGACTTGTGTCAAATGGTAATGCAGGGCAGATCGGTTTCGCTCCAGTCGCTTTCTCATGCCTTCAAGTTCCATGGCCCTAATTAAGAAATGAGTTTACAAGTCCTGCTTTTGTAAGAGAAAAGACTTACCAGGCTGCTCTCAAGTCAGGACTTTTCAGTACAGTCTTGACCAAACGGCTCCCATATGCTGGGGATGAAGAATATGTATGACGTATCAAGCTCCGAAGCTGGTCTTGGACATTGGCAGCCACTTGAGTGCAACCAGCTACCACATGCAGTGCTCCACACCTTTCCCCATACAAAGCAAAGTTCTTTGAAAATGACTGACAGACAAACATTTCTATGCCAGTATCCACAAAGATTCGAACGCCGGAGGCATCTTCGTCAAGCCCATCTCCAAGACCTTGGTAAGCCGTGTCGAAGAATGGCAGATGGCCATATGATTTCATCTCCAGAGCTAGTTCTCTCCATTGATTGACACTCAAATCTACACCTGAAGGATTATGACAGCATCCCTGCAACACAAAGACGCTACCTCGAGGGGCTGTTCGCACGGCATTAAGAATGGCAGAAAGATCTACTGCGTGTCCTGTCGAGTCGAGATAAGAGTAGGTGCTTGTTTCCAAGCCGACGTTCTCAAAGATCGGGATATGGTTTCCCCACGTGGGTATGCCGATGTAAACTTTAGGCTTAGGCTGCATTGTCTTTGCAATCAGCAGAGCGCCAAGAGAGTTGGCACCAGTGCCAGAGATAGTTTGAACAGATGAAATCTACTACATTATTAGCAAAGTCGTGTTTCATACGCTGTTAAAGCTGATTGATAGGTATCTTTTAATTGTTCTTAGGCTTTAAGAGCTTACCTTTCCGCATGCTAAAGCTTGAGAATCATCTCCAAACATTACACCTGCAGCAAGTTTAAGAAAATCTGCATCTCCAGTCGTCTGCTCATACTGTGAAATATTTAGCGGCTAGTCATGTACTAGTATTCAACTGATCTCCAAGAGTATGTCTTACGTCGTGTCCTAAGTGAAGATGATTAAGGTGTATTTTGGCCTAGGTAGATGGTGGTCAGCATTTATTTTATCCGGCAATTACCCAACGGAAGTGGAACACCCACCTGCTTAACAACGTCTAGCTCTTGATAAGAGCCAGCTTCGCTCCGGTAAATCCCAACACCCAAATCAACTTTCCCTGGGCTAAGATCATTGTCTGCAATCTTTTTAAGAACAAACATAGGGTCCGGTGGGCCCGATTGAATGTGTTCCAGCATCGTAGCTAACAAAGGTGCTTCCAGGTTGACAGAGCTAATGTCTATGAAGATGCCGAAACGACGGTTTTTTTTTCAGCAAGAGTTCCTTGGCAGTGATGTTAGGTTTAACAGGCATAATATCTCATTGCAGACGGTCGCGGTGGTCGTGCCCGAGATCACGATGGCCCAGCCTCCCGAGGCCCCACTTTGGACTTACAAGCGCTCGGTAAGGGAAACCGAATCGTGCATGCTGACGGAAACACTGGCCGAATGCAAGCAGTCTTTCCCTTCAGCCATTCAGGAGTAACCTACTTTTATTAATCAAGAAGTTTTTCCCTAATTTTTCTCTGTAAGGCGGCGACTCGTATCTTTACCCGTAGCATTTGTTGTCTATTCCATCATTATGGCTTCTCTCTTTACGAATAGCTTGGTGCGCCTTAACGCAGCTGGCAAGCTGTGTACAGTACGTTGAATTTCAAGCCACCTTACTCTCTGACACCGCTGCGTGCGTGTGTATCGGGAGCTCTTGGAATCTGTTGTGTATCGTCAAATGCTTACAAATCTTAGGCTATGGGCATCAGACTCGTAACCGACACCCAGGTTGTTCATCTTGCAGCCAATGGAGGCTTTAATGCTCTTTTCATCGATCTAGAACATTCAACATTGTCTATTAAAGATGCAAGCCAACATTGCATTGTGGGCCTGCAACTAGGAGTCACTCCTTTCGTCAGAGTACCTCATCAGTGTGGTAACGGCTTCGTCCAGAAGGTATTAGATGGTGGAGCGATGGGGATAGTGTTTCCTCACATCCACGGTCGAGGTAAACCTCATAACGTCGACACTAATATGCAAGATGGAGACTGATGACTAAAAATAGGAGACGCCGAGGCGGCTGTTTCGATATGCAAGTACCCACCCCAGGGGAAGAGATCTATGACTGGACAGTTACCGTTGTTCTCTCTTAAGGGAACACCGCAAGAGACAATCATCTTGGAGACCAATTCACATGGTTCAAGTGTCTTTCTGATGATTGAGACAAAAGAAAGCATAGAGAATATTGATGAGATTGCTTCCATCGAAGGTGCGGATGTGCTGCTGGTCGGCTCGAACGATCTTGCTATCGAGCTTGGGGTGCCTGGTCAATTCAAGAGCGAGGCATTCCGAGCGGCCATGGAAAAGATTAGCGAAGCCTGTAAGAAGCATGGAAAGATTATGGGGCTGGCTGGTATTTATGACAATCATGAATTACATGATTGGGCAATCAACCACCTGGGTGTACGGTTTCTTCTTGGCGGGCAGGACTCGGCAATTCTAGCCAAAGGCGTAAAAGCGGTTATGTCGGCCATTTCCAAAGTCCCTAAATAACTAAAGGGAAACATTTGCACAGCCACCAACAACCCATCTATTTCTACTACCCCAACAGAGGTACATTAAGGTCATGCGGTGGACTTTCAAATTTTGTCAGCATCAAAATGGGCCGCGTAGACGAGGCTTTTATGTTGAAAGTTCATGCCGCTTTGATCGCCTCGTTACTAGTTTCACGACTGAAGATACCTCAGACAATTTGGCAGCATTCCATCCAGATTTTAAGGTCAATAAAAAGGCAGTCAAAGCCAAAGTGCCTAGTGCCGCAATGAGAACGTTTCGCGCTTTCCGACAACTGATTAGTGAAGCCATTAATTCTAAGCCTAACCGCTTCGTTTGAAGCCGCGGTAGGCAGAACTTGCTAATTTGGTTACAACTATGGAAATGCAAGAATCTTTAAAAAAGAAAATGATTTACTAATGGCCACATTGAAACATGCCAGGGGAATGTATAAGCAAAAGATGAAAGCAAAATTCAGAGACATGCCCGGCTTCCTGGCAAAAGTCCACTAAGAGTATTAAGAAAGGCAGTGTACATCCGTGCAAAACAATGCAAGATTGAAACATTTATGCATACTTGGACGAAACACATCTCTTGGCCTGCTACCTACCGACAAAAAGATCAGACATGCACTAGCTGACCTGTGATATGAGCCGCAAGTTTTAAGAGAATATCACCTCGACAAAAATTGAGGAAACAAAAAAAGAGCGCAGTGGTGTGAAAGGGTGTAGCGCCTCACAAGGGAGGATATGCTAGCGTTTGTGACTATGGCAAGAAATCATAAGACATCTTATTTCATGCCCAATCAGATTCGACCAATCACGGTGCCTGACGTCACTGATCAGGTGACTGTCTGAGACCCGCTGCTCCCTCAACCAACCAGATGCTGCACTGTTGATGTCTGAAGATGGGCATCAAATGCGAGAGAGAGGAAGCACATCAAAGGATAACTTCAACGACCCGCCGTGCCAGGGATAGTTTAATGGCATAGGAAACACCGGTAACATTTTGTTTTTTAAAAAGATCATATTTCAAACCCTCGTTTCGCACTAGCGATCACCAGCTCACAGATCCAAAAGATTTGCTTAGGCAGTTCATGCTTAACGCCACTCAAGAATCTAGACGTCTTCTGCAAGGCCCAGCATGTACTACTCTCTCACCGCTGGGCACCCATTTCGACCAAATTTACCTAAAAACGACCTGAAAGACGACCAAGGTAGAAGAGACGACGAGGGCAACGAGTCCGTCCCTAAGCGTCGGAACGTATCTGTTGCTTGCGAAAGTAAGTTGGAGTCGGGTAATACACCTGTGACAAAACATCTCCTGGCTAACATTTTGTTACAGTCTGCCGAAAGAAGAAAAGCAAGGTTAGTATTTATTTGGAATTATTCAAGTATTTTATATTTTCTTATACCTCGTAAATTATTCCATCCAAGAATCCTAGCTGAGTTGTAATACCTATTCAAGTGTGATGGAAAGAAACCTACCTGCTCCCGATGCTCTGTATTCAATTTGATATGCGAGTATCGCGAAAGGAACCAAGAAGCTCAAAAAAGGAGGCTTGAGGAGGTCTCGAGAGCCCACGATGACATAAAGACTGTCATTGAGCTCATTCGCAACTCAAGCATTGCAGAGGTGGAGACCATCATGCGTCACATAAGAGAGTCGCCAAGCGTAGAGGATGCTATTGAATCAATTCGATATGCGACATTACTCCTTCCTGATAAGACTGGAGGTTCGGGTAAGGTCTCCTAAACTTTCTGCTCAATATTTCGCTAGGTCAGTCGCAGACAGCTAAGCCAAAGGTTCAGCCTCCGATCCGATTTCCTTGACAATTGAGAAGGGCACGGCATACCCGTCAACTTCGAGTTTCTCCCCCAAACTTCTCCCTTCAAGGTCGGTTTATCTTTTTTTAATCTCAATTTCTTTATTCCACTCGAAGAACTATCTAAATCATGGCTCTAGATTCGATAATCCCGACTTCGTGTTTGAACAGCAATATGCTGGGCATGAGCGCCGCTCAACAGCAGAAAACCTCATTGTTGACATACCCTCAATTGCCCTACCAGTATCCAAGTGGATTAGCGCTACCCAGGATGATGGGTATCTCACCCATCTTCTAACTCTCTTTTTTACTTGGGACAACACGGTCTCCCATATGGTTGACCGAGCAGCCTTCATGGAAGATTTGAAATCGATCGACAGAGACATTGCCAATCAACGCCAAAGTTTTTGTACGCCATTTTTGGTCAACGCCATGTTAGCTATGGGATGTGTAAGCAAATTTCCTTTTTTTTTCCTTCTCAAAGATTATTAGTTATTTGAAACTTTGCACCTTTCAGTTAACATCGATGGAACTCGCAGGCACACTCCGTGAACTATCAGTACTCGACAGGCTTAAAAAGCAATGCTGAAGAAGGTCTCCGCTTTTCGAGTGAAGCCCGTCGAATAATCGAGAGCGAATGCCCTGGTCCATCTATACCGCTACTTCAAACGTATTGTTTGTTGTGGTTCTTTGATGGGGTATGTGGTGATGGTACTTTGGCCGTACAGTACTTCAACGATGCCTGCGAAGTTTACAGGCAGCTAATGGGCAACTTCGAGGGATCACTTCACCCAAATCAAAGAGAACAGACAAGACATAGAGCCACTCTGCACGCCCTATGGGGCTTTTGGTGTACTAATGCGTATGGAATTCTATGTCACAGCTTCCTATCCTTTATAGCTCATCAGTTGTCACAGGAAATCATGTCTCGCTTTTGGAGAACCGGCAAAAGACGTGCCGCAACCACGAGAAGGTTATCGTCCCACTTTTCCAGATGACGACAGCCGTTATTGGTTTGCATATCCGGTCTCGTTGAAGCCATTTGACTCGCATCTTGAAGAGCTATTTCTCGCCGAACAAAATCTTTCCAAAATCGTTCACGACCTTTTGGTCACGTGCCAAGAGGTCAAACGAGCAACTTCTCAAATCCACAAGGATGTTTTCGCTGCCAGTTATACACGACTTCTAGACTGGAAAGCACAACTCCCGAACTATCTCAAGGTTGAAGAAAGTGTTCTTCCTTCTGTAATGGTCCTTCAGTTAGTCTCATGTATCATCATGCCTCCGATTTTTCTAATCTTTCAATAGCTCCACCTTTGAGGTCGCGGCGATGATCTTGTTGGAGCCTATGGCCATGGCCAAATTTCCGCCTCTTGAACGGCAGCTAGACCCAGTCGCCCTGAGTGAGGCTCATGCAGCATCGGCTATGGCGATAATTTGGAAATACCGATCAATGTACTCATTGCGTCACGAATACTGGTTCTGCCAAGGCTGCGTAAGTGCTGCAAAAGCTGTGATACAAAAGCTAGTACCCGGCACGCCGTATGTCGATATCTTCGTCAAGGCATGTCAGGCCTTAAGAGAGATCGGCGATAATGTCAACGTTGCCAATCAGTACCTTCGGGTGATTCGGGCTCTTCTCACTGCGCACAAAGTCAAGCTTCCGAAGGCCCTTGTCCAATACCTCACAGGCTTAGAGACTTTGGCGGGTACCGCCTATATTGACAAGGCATACATGTCTGTAGACTCAAAGTCTGTCACGAAAGGATCCTCAAGTCTAGAGAAGGACCTATTTACTGTCTCTGAATTGATCCAGAGTTACGACGATGCAGTGGTTGATGTAGAATAACGCACGTTGGATAACGGTTATATAACGTCGCACACCCACTTCTCGCACACCCCCACATTTCGCACACCCATAAATCGCTCATGTAGAATTTTACCCTCTTCAACATTCTTTAATATCTTCACCACTTTTACAGCGATTATTATAATTCTTTGAATAGTTACTCTTATACGCTTAATGGGCCAGTATACGGAAACAGAAGTCAATCAAGCTCTCAATGCAGTTGCAAGTGGGCAGAGTGTCCGAAAGGCAGCTCATGATGCTGGAATTCCACCATCAACCCTCCAGTCTCGATTAAAGGGTTCACAGGCAAGAAATGTAGCTTTCTCTAGCTTCCAGAAGCTATCTCCAGCACAGGAAAGTCACTTAGCTGAATGGGTGCGTATCCAGGCGGCGTTAGGGCTGCCGCCAACACATCAACAACTCAAGGAATTTGCCCAGCGAATCCTAGACATCAGAGGCACTACCCAGCCACTTGGGAGAAACTGGATTCAGTTCTTTATTAAGAGAAATCCATCAATCAAGGTTCATAGAGCTAGAGCCATCGATTCTAAGCGTGTCAATGGGGCCTCAACTAATGTAATCAGGCAATGGTTTCAACAACTCGCCCTTCCAGAGATCAAGGCGATCAAACCACATCATCGCTATAACATGGATGAAACTGGTATCCTAGAAGGCAGAGGATCAAATGGCTTAGTACTGGGATCATCAGAAAGCTCATCAATGCGAAAAAAACAGCCTGGGTCTCGGGCTTGGACAACTATGCTTGAGTGTGTCTCTGCAACTGGTCAGGCGCTTCCTCCACTTGTTATTTATCGAGGGAAATCGGTTCAACAACAATGGTTTCCTCTTGATATCCATAAACGTGATATTTACAGTGGTTGGAAGTTCACAGCAACTGAGAATGGCTGGACTTCAGACTCTACAGCTGTGGAATGGCTTGAGAACATCTTTATCCCTCTGACTAAGCCTGATCATCCCTCTGAGCAGAGACTATTGATCCTAGACGGTCATGGCAGTCATGAAACAACAGAATTTATGTATCTCTGTTATAAACACAAGATATATCTCCTTTTCCTACCGCCACATACATCCCACGTTCTCCAACCTCTAGACCAAGCAGTCTTTGGGCCTCTCAAGGCGACCTATCGAAAAGAGCTTGGATACCTCATTCAACACAACGATTCTACAGTTGTAGGCAAACGGAACTTTCTTACCTGCTATGGAAAAGCACGCCAGATGGCATTTTCAAGCAAGAATATCAGAAGCGGCTGGAAAGCAACAGGACTATGGCCCATTTCGATAGCTCGACCGCTCATGAGCCCTCTACTGCTTGAGAATGCTTCCAAGCCCTCAAAGCCAGGCTATTCTACGCCTATGAGGGCCTCTGATGGTGGAAAAGACGAAAACTGGGCATCTGCTACATCCATAGTAGCCTGGTCAACGCCCAAGAAGACAGTTGATCTATATGATCAACTTAGCTTATTCAGCAAGTTGGATAAAGATCAGCAAACGCAGCGACTGTTGTTTCGGAAGGTTCAAAAGGGATTTGATGAAAAGGACTATCAATTGGCTACAGCAGAGAAGAAGATTGCAATGTTGGAAGCAGAAGTTGAGGCTGGAATGGTACGGAAGCGGCGTAAGGTCCAAATGAGCCCAAATTCGAAGTTTGCCAACATTGAGGCAATTCACAAAGCCCAAATTGAGGCTGGCGAAATTGAGGATAGCTCAGATGAATCTAGCGAGCCTGAATTACCTATTAAAACTGGCGATAGTATCACAGTTGCAGGAGACGAATCAGACTTATAGTTATGAAGTTGATGAATACCTCATGATGACCCAATTTATGGGTGTGCGAAATGTGGGGGTGTGCGAGAAGTGGGTGTGCGACGTTAGTTACTTTCGTACATTGAGAGGATGTGACAGGATTGACTGCTAGTGCGCTTGATATTCCAATTGAGTACTACGCGTTCTACAGAAAATCCGTCGCTCTTATCTTCGATTTTGTTAGCAAGGCTGAACACAATGTGCAGTTAGGAATGGTTAGGAATGGCTTTGGACATTGCTTTTGGCTCAAGCGGTAGGAATATTCGTGATTAATTAGTACTATCGTCGATAGCTAAATTAAAACCCATACTCAGCCCACTGACTATCCACCTTGTCCTGAAGTGCCTGTGGGTATGAACCACGGAAAGAACCATGCTTCCATTCTATTCTGGAGTCGGTAAACTCCATAGGGAACATGCAGCACCGTACAACCTTGACATGGTTCTTATTCTCCTTAAGTCCATGACTGACATAAGGGATGAGGGGAATGTTTGCGTAATCATCAAAGAAGAACTCGTTCACGCCTGGCTGGCACCTGGTTGCTTCTGCCCAGATAACATCATTTAGGTTAGTCGGATCGATGTCCTCTCCAACCAAGTAGATCTTGGGGATATAAAATCCAGGCTTTGATGCAAAGACTGTCCGGCCGACCTTTTCACAGAAGTCCTTCATATTGGTGTTGAGGGCTTGCAGCTTTGCCCAGTTGACCTGCAATACGAACCAGAGACAATGAGACTCAAACGGACTCCAAACCATTTCAATAGGTAGTCCAGCCGCTTCACAGATGTTGAGCACCTCCGCCGTCTGTGTGAGAGCCCACACAGTCTCACTTTCCTCTGTTGCCCTTCCAGCAACGCAGATTGATAGAATCGGGTCTTTTTGGTAGGTGATGGCGTTGATCTTGAAAACTGGGGCTGGTTTACCCGCACCGGGGAACACGTGGCCGTGATATTCGACAAAAGGTCCTTCGTTGGCAGTTTCGGTACTGGAAACGACACCTTCGAGTACAATTTCCGCGCCACGAGGCACTCGAATATCGTTGGTTTCACATTTGACTACTTCCACGGGTTCACCGAGCAAACCACCCACGAATCCGCTTTCGTTGACGCCCTTGGGAATAGGCATACCGCCGACCATGATAGCCGCGGGGGGTACACCAAAGCAAAGTGCAAAAGGCATGTCCTCGCCCCGGTCCTGCCACATCTTCCTGATAACCCCAATGTCTTGAGCCGACATCGTAGGCCCAACCAAGGAGCGTTTGCCATTAACCATGCCGCGGGTAATCGACCAGTTAACCCATGAGCCATCGGGGCTTTGTACGATGTACATGCCGAAAGTCTGGAGGTACTTTCCGCCGTCATCTTGGTGGAAGAGAGGAACTGGAAGAGTCTCCAGATCAATTTCATCCCCAAATAACTTGAAGTCTTTGACGGGGCCCGATTCAAATTCTTTTGGTGGAATAGGATCAAGCTTTTTAGCGTGGTTGATGGCATGGACAATATCCCGGCCGCTAGCTGTAGAAGGCAATCCCAGAGACTTGGCGATGCGGATGAACCGCTTTCCAGGGAGGCTGCTGGCTCCTACAGGAGCTCCCAAGACACGGAAAAGCCCATTTTCATTGCGTCCCTTGACGTTTTCAAACAAGGGAGCTTTGTCCTCGGTCTCGTATACCTTTCGGACTATAGCAGCCAGCTCAAGGTGAGGGTCGACCTCCTTGGAAATCGACACAAGGTCACCCTCCTCCGCTAGCTCCTGAACATACTGGCGGAAGCTAGCAGCAGCGTGCTTGTTGCTCTGCGGAGCTGTATGTTCAGGCATTGTGTAATGTTGAATCGAAGGTTGGTGAAATCTTTCAAGGAGGTCTCGTTGGTAAGGTACAACACGATTATTTTGTGTGTGATAAAGCTAGTTCAGAATATTGAGTGAATCCTACTGCCATGAGCAGAAACCTGGCAAACAGTTATAGGTCAGAGCGGCCTTCGAGAAGGAGACCATTCCATTCGTAGTCGGCAGCCACTGTGGCTTCTAGCACCCTCCGAAGCCCACCTGAACGCTTGTGATGTCTGAGGGGCTTGTTTGTCTGGTCAGCCGAAAGAAGCCTAGGACATAGCCTTCTTTACTGAGGCCCCTCCTCGTTTGTGCTCAAGAGAGGGGCATTATGGGTCCTTGGAAGTGGTGTCATGACTATCAAATTTTATCAAGACTGAGTGATGGTTCTTTGGGCCATGAGCGAATTAGCAAGATCTTAAGATCTTGATGCACAGTTATGTTACAAGCCGGCCCGAGACTGGATCTACGGAGAATATGCCCATGGGGACTTTCGGCGTTTTCCGTATCCATATGACAAATCGCCCACTTATGACGCGGCAAGCTCCTTTGAAACTCGGGACAGCTCCCGTAGTCTTCATCGGGAGGCCATCCGTAGGGAAAAAGCACTGGGACCCAGCACCGCTGGATGGGGAACACGTCCATCAACTTACGTTATAGTTGATCGAAAAGGGAAAAGGCTCAAACAAAGCTTTTATATCCGCGAGTATTCCCAAAATTCCCCACCGAGGAAACTAAATATCGACCTCATGTATAACGTTATTATTGCCACGAACATTCCCGGTCTTGGCGGGGCGACCGGTGGTCTTAGTTAACCGCTATTACGTGCTGAGTCGTTGTTGGCTTCTGACAGGGTGGAATCTGCAGCATTACCGCGCATGTTCCAGCTCCATGGACCAGGGTTTTCAGCTGGATGGATCTGCGTCTCCTTGTGTACTTAGTCGAGGTTTGGTAAGAGCTGCAGCTTGCTTGCTCAGTCTTGACCCTCAACCTACACCAACATACCATTATCTCTTTCCTCAAGTCGATGGCCAGCCCTCTTCTGCTCAACTACAAGAGCCGTTAGTTCTCCGCCCATGCATGCATGTTTATTGCTCCTTTGTAAGCCTTCATTAAACAATCATCATCTATCATAGTTTATACTTTTGGGCCTGCACAATGACCACCGAAAACAATCACAATGGCGGAAACACTCATACACCAAGACGCAAGAGAATGATTGTAGCCCTGACTGGGGCTACCGGCTCAATTCTCGGCATCAAGACCTTAATTGCCCTCCGCCGCCTCAACATCGAAACACACGTCATCATCAGCAAATGGGCAGAGAGCACCCTTAAATATGAAACAAATTATACTGTCGCCAACGTGCGTGCACTAGCAGACCATGTCTACAGCAACCACGATATGGCTGCGCCAATCGCAAGCGGATCTTTTCGTGTGGACGGAATGATCGTCGTCCCATGCAGCATGAAGACCCTTGCTGCCATCAATACAGGGCTCTGCGATACTCTTATCGCCCGAGCCGCAGATGTCATCATTAAGGAGCGCCGCAAACTCGTTCTTGCAGCACGTGAGTGCCCTTTAAGCGGGATCCACCTCCAAAACATGCTCTCCCTCACGCAGAATGGGGTCATAATTTTCCCGCCGGTCCCGGCTTTCTACCAAAGACCGGCAACCATAGACGACATTGTGGACCATAGTGTAGGGAGAATGCTGGACTTATTCGACTTGGATACTCAGGACTTTGACCGTTGGGACGGGTTTCAGAAAGATTAGCGCAATAGAATATTCCTCTTTTGTTTGTTGTATTCTTTGTTTTTTGCATCGTTACTTATATGGCTTGCTACGTCTGACCATGGCTTTTCGTTACTCTCCGAGTCATAGCAACACCAACGACTGACCACCACAGTGCCCGGTTGCCTTATTAACCCGTTCTTTTCCCAACTACCTACCCTGAGGTAGAATGTGGTTCAACCCATGTGTCCACGTTGACCCATCAACCATCACATGGGCGGAACTGGGGATTCAACAGCATCAGTATCGCAACAGCTGACCACCACTCTTAGAGAGGTAGTTCCAACTTCGTTTACACTGGCATCGATTGTATGCAACTCGACGAGCTCATGTTGCAAGATTCGAACTATCTATGAGAGGACGTTTGATGCCCAGCCAGTGCTGACAAATGCAGAGCACAACTATGATACAAGGATGAATGATGCGTTACCATATTACACACGCCCAATGCTGGTATATCATGTTGCCCCACGTAGATTGTTTGCTTATTTTTTAGTTCTACGTCTCGCTAGAGGCTGAAAAGATAGATGAACTCATGTCAAAGCTAGGCAACGAAGCCAAATCCCCTTCGTACCGGGGACACACGTGCCATTTCGAAAAATTGAGTACACTTCTTGAAGAATTTACATCATTCGAGAACACAGTGATAAGCCTACGATAATCCGTTGAGCGGGATCCAACTAAGAAACCCAGTCTTTTAGCCTAGCTAGGTACGCTCCTTCAAATCAAGAGAATAAGTTTGTGGTATCCAAGCCTTTCGCTTGCCTCAGACGAACAGGACATCGTAAACATACATGTTTGACAGAAACCTGCTGGAATGCGCCGCAAGTTAATCTAGGTCAGGAATTGGTAGGTCATATTTATTGTTACTATCCGCGCGAGTTCTGCACACATATGCTGAATACCAACCTCGGCGTAAAATACGATTCACATTTATGCTTCTACGCCTCCGAGAGCAAAACAGTTTATATTGATTGCCAGATGTATAGTTAGCACATAAATTTACAATTTATGGTAGGTGTTGCGACAGTTAGAATAAGGATTGAAGTGGCAGTCTGGGGGAAGTATCTCCCCTTACCAGTTCAATCTTACACTTCTTCATTTCTTATATCCAATTAGCTCCTGTTACCACCAAAATTCTTTGATTTCAAACCTTCTTCCATTCTTACGGGCATTTTTAATACAAACAATCGAACAAGGCTGGTACATCGACAACCATCAGTATCTGGGGGGTAAACTAATCTAACCTTTATGCGCAACCATCCAAAACCACCGGGGGATTGAGATGAATCGAATGCCCAGGTGGCGAGCATTGTGATGTGATGATTTGCACTTTTTTCAACTGGGGAAATGCCGGTAGAAAGTGTCGATAGTGAAGTTCAGCTAATAGTGAATTTTATCACGCATCCTGTTGCAACGTGTGCCAAGGAAACCGATGACAGCTTCGTAAAGACTGCACTGTACTTGTACAACTCTACTTTACTTAATAGCTGGTCCACGAGTCACATATTCATTTGCACAATAGTGGACTCACGCTCTCGGCCTCAACAAACGCATTCACAGACCACACCTCGCCTACTTCAAGCATAAGGTGAACATGAGGTGACTTGTTTGAATAATCATATCAAATCTGAGACCATAGCCCCAAGGGCCTCTGTTTGAATAGATGGCAAATCACATAGCCCTGGGTCTCGAGAATCTCTTAGTTACTCCAGTGGCGTATCGCTCTATTCAAAGTGTAATTCAGAGATGATACGTTCGCTACACCTGAAGTCGATTTGGATCCTATTAGTTGCTGAGGTTCGCTCCTTCCTTACAGATATCATTTCATGAATGCTCTCAGAGACTGATTTAACACGATTGTCACCTTACTTCGGGGGGTTGTAGAACTTGCCCCCGAGTACTTCCAGTATGGCATCTTCATGAAAGTTTCAGGAGTTCACTGAGGCAGCGGCATCTGAATCGCCAACATCTTGAAACTTGAAATCGTTAGTTTATCTTTCCGGATAAATCATTTCTACGACGTCTAAATACAAGGTATTTGATGTAGCACCAGTGATTAAACGAAAAAAATGCAGGTGTAGATTTCCGGGTACGGCTGTTTTATGGCGCAATTCAGACAGTGCAAATACTAGCATCAGCTTCATTTGGCAAAATTGATTGTATTCATGTTCCTTATTATCTATATAACATGAAAGATGTTTATTTCACCGAGTCATCACCTTTGTCATCTCATCCTAAGTAAGAAGGTATACAGTAACTAAACTGTGACGGACTGCGGTGTTTGATGAAGTGAACTTATTCGTTCTGTCATAAAGATTCCCACTGTTTACTCTCCGGGAAACTAATTTAGAAACATTTCTCGTCTTCTATGCGCTTCATTAAGCACTCTTGCTCTGCAGTTGTAACTCAAATGTCAAACACTGACCTCCGAATATCCACAAGAAGTATTTGAACAAGCCGGGTTAACTTACGACATTTTCCGTATTTTGGGATCAGTATGATAGTTTTAAAGAAAATCCCGCATAAATCATCGCATTCGTACCAGCATGGCCAGGGGACATAATCCGGCTTGTGTTTGTGTCTGTTTGCTTCTGCCATTGACGCCAGCATGGCATTAACGATAATGAGTATTATCAATTCTACCCGCATTTTGGACGCAAGACGAGTTTGCAGTCCAGTTGTTTGAGGTCTGATGTGAGATAGTGTATTGTCGCTGTCAGGTGGTTGAATGGCATAAGTGATGAAAGAGAAAGGAACAGCTTAGTGTGAAAATCTGGTCTCAAGCCTAGCTTTATGTTGCATTAAACCTGTCACACCAAGCCCTGGTCAACGTGTTTCCTCACTAGCACCTACCAGATCAAAAGGCCATGTTCGTTTGGACTACTTATAACCCGTCATTAGATTTGTTTTGCGTTCTGACCTTGATGACCGCCCATTACTCAGAGCATTATTTCCAAGAGAATCGTAGAGTAACTTTCACAGGCCCGCAGTTTCTGAGCTTCTGCCATCGACGCAGCTAAGGATATATGAGTCCAGGCTTGCGCAAGGTTTAAGGTATTTATGGTTAATCGGATTGCATGAACAAATTCAATCTCTATCATCAAGCCATTATATCAGTATATTACTGATAATCCCCAGCCACCACCGACACCTCTTGCTGCGGTGAAGGCCAAAAGAGCCAATACGTACAAGCCACCAGCAAAGAGAATTATGCCGTAGTAAGCACCACCGCAAAACTGCAGAATAGCTCCAGCTAATGGCACACCAGCCAATGCGGCGATGCTGGAGATCGAGAAAGCGGTTCCGCTTCTCTTGCCTAAGTCCTCTGTTTTACACACCCGGCCGATACAAACTGGCGTTAGACTGATTGCGGCGCCCGACCAAAATCCGAAGAGAACGGCAAAGGCAGTGGTTGCTGCCTCACCGCCTTGGGCAGTCAACCATAAAGCGAAAATGAAAGTGGAACAGACAAGAGCCGTAAAGCACATAACGTTGAATGGACCAAAGCGGTCGGCAACGTAACCTGGAAGGGCACGGCCAGGGATAGCGCCGGTGTTGAGAAGGGCGTTGAGAAGCAGTGACTTCTGCAGTCCAATGCCACCGTGGATGGCGTAGGAGCAGATATAGGTGTATGGGATGAAGACGGCGAACTCAATGAGAAAAACAGCCAGAGTTGTTAAGGCGAACTTGGCGTCTTTCAACGCCTTGATGTCTATGGCCGCACCCGCTTGCTTATTGTGAGGTAGCCTCTTCTTAAGAAGCAGGCATGCTAGGATCGACATTACCACGCAAATGAAGCCGACTATCCGAATAGCCCATGGAAATCCCTTTCGAGGAGCCACGTAGAGGATGATGAGAGGGAACACCACGCCACCAACACCCCCAGCAGTACAAGCGATGCCAGTTGCAAGTGCGCGTCGCTTGGAGAACCAGTGACCAATGGAAGCAATGCTTGGGTTGAAAAGGAGAGAAGCGGATATACCGCCAAGCACACCAAAAGTGAGCAGGAACTGATAAAACTCTGTTCTTGGTTAGACTGGCGAAATAGGAGAGGATTGTATGAGGCATGATACCTTTGCAGACACTCAGCAGCATGACAGATGCCACGATACCAATGCATCCGGGTACCACAAGAAACTTTGCATCATGGGCATCAAAAATTGGACCTAGTTAGGTTAGCAGGTCCAGCCCTAGGCATTGGGTAGTTTCCTGTGATAACCCACCAACTTGAGCGCCGCAAAAATATAGAAAAAACGCATATGTACTGAAAATCCAGCCAATCGTCGACTCTGACAGTCCGTGGAGCTCGTACTCTACTACCCAAGCTTGGAGGACAGCCAAGGTGTTGAGAAGACCCATGGATGGTATCATGGCACACCAAGCCCCAGCCACAACTAACCATGCATCTTTGCCGCCTTCAGGGTATGAGAGCTCGTCCAATTCCAACTCTACCAGCCAAAGGGTTAGCTTCCTCAAACGTAAGGTTTCAATTCAAGAACTTACCATGTGTAGTGGACCGCGCCTCTTCCTCCACATTCGAGTTCGGACGTTCGTTCACAAGCATGTTGGTTGAGCCTTGTAGTTGCGCTAGTAATTCAGGCTCTTCTCTTTCCTGAGGCAGGCGCTGGCTAAATTTTATACAGATGATCCCCCAGGCTAATACTTACACCAACCTAAGGCTCATACTATTTTTTCGGGTATTTCTCAGCAAGTGGTGCCTGTCTATACAGCTCTCGTCCAATCACGCATCCGAACTTGACCCGATCTCAACCACTTCCCGTCGGTTTGTAGTTGGTAGCATAAGTAAGATATCGAGGTGGTGTAGCTGTGGGCCCAGCGAAGCCGGGAAAACGCAAGCCGTATGGCGTGGTCTCCACTGCTCGTTTCCTTTTGTAGTGCTTATAAATACGAACGCTAGTCTGAGGTTGTTTTGGGCGTAGTTGACAGGTGCAATCTCTTCACCGCGGCGATTATTGCTTCAATGGAAACGGACCAGCCGTATGGGAGCCATGCAAGGACCAATTGTGTCTTGCACTCTTTATTGTGAGTCATCGGTGGATTGAATGACGATGTTCATATCATATCCAAGCCTCTTGATTGATAGTCATGGCTGTCAATCTCTCCTGCACACTTCTGTAGGGTTTATTCGGTACGGAGTAATTCCGGGAGAATGCGACCGAGAGGCCGAAGCCGATCTTTATGCTTAATGGCTTTCAGGTGGGACTAGCAATTGTCTGGTTGAATCTGCAAGTCGCCTCCCGCGTACTAAGCCGGAATGACGTGGTTGACTTGCCCGAGCTAACAGAGGTTGATAACGCCCAAGCAAAACTCATCCCCCGCCGTTCCTCGTGAATGAATGGCAAAATGGACAGCCTAATCTCCAAGTATCAGTGTACAGACTGTACGCCATGGGTACATCACTATTCTAGTATCAACTTCCTCAAACATTGCTAAACTGCCATTCATATCTCCAAGGCTCTCACAATAGTCTATGCAGCATCATGTATGGCAAGGCTTCAGTGGAGTCATGATGTAGGGCTGGGCCGTTGCCTCAACCTCTCCACCCTTGAATAACGTTACTCCTTAGGAAGTCCACAAATACGTATGTCAGCCAGCAGCTTTGTTTACATAAAAAAAAAAAGTCTCCTTCCGCAAGTATGTAAAATAAAATAATTATGAACTATGAATGGTCCACAAGTTACGGAGCCAACATGTCATTTCTTACCAGTTACCCCATGGGATCGGGGAGTTCCCAGAACATTCCAGTCGCTCGCGCCGACCATGGAATATACAAATAAATTGGGTTATAGCGCGCATCCTCCAAATACTTACAGGAATAGGATTCGTGCTTTGATATTATTTATACAATCAGGGATTTATCAACTAAAGCTATTCAGCTGGCTTCGATTTGATATTGAAGAAGAGGGCCCCCTGCCAATCACTGTCTTTGATATTGGATACTGTTTATTTTCAGAGAACGGAATCCTGGGAGTTCGGTCTATGTTATAGCAAATTAGATCAATCACAGACTTCGGCCCCGAAAGTCGGTGGGCTGTGTTCGGCTTCGGCCAATGTTTAATGTTGACGCTAGCACACCCCGAGAACCCATTGCCGAAACTTTCAAGAACTGGTGGTCTAGGAAAACTGTTGCCCCTTATTGAGTAATGCCAGCACTGCATTGCAAGGGTATGCTTGCCGATATAACCGCAATTCGTCTACAAAAGCGGTTGCATGCAGCAATCCCGGATTACCGATTTGAAGCGCTTGTCCTCTGGTCATGCTCGACGATGAGCGTTCCACGAGTAAGTTGGGTTGATCAATGCACCTTCATTCCCTTCTGGGTCATCCAAAACAACTTGAAGACAATGCAATGCGAATAATATCAAAGACGTCGAATAAAGCTGGAAGCTGAGAAAGTTGAAATCACATGTGTGTTGTTTCGAGAACCCAATCTCACCTTTGCAACCCTCCAAAGCTACAACAGTATTTTTATAGTTAGCTGTTACTTCTCATGTCGATGGCGTATGTTCAGAGCTCAGGTAAGGTATCTTATCACTCAAGAATTTACTTTGTAATCTCAAGGTCAACTGATGCCCTCAACAGCGAGACGTAGGAGGGCTGTGATCCGTGTGTACTTTTACTTCTAGCTTCTGTTATGTCTCTATTATCAGCAGCTTGCACCCCATGTGGTCTCACCTTGTGTGTCCGGTTTCTACCTCACTAATACTATTTCTCGGCGCATGAACCGAAATACCACAGCCGAGAGCTTAAAGATCAGAGTTCGAACGTACATATATTGATGAGTAGCCCGCAACCTTAACAGGTTCTATTCTGGTAAGTGGGATGGCTCGTGGAGATGGCTACTGATAACAATAATCCTCAACCCTTACAGCATCTTTCGTACATCAGGGTTGGTATAGACTGCATGAGCTCAGACTTTACATTAACTTTGATACCATTGAAATCTTGAAAAGCTACGTAGGACAGCGAGGGCATCATGGAGTCTCATCATGTCCCATTGTAGAGGTCAAATCCCGAGTGTACGCTTTACCGTCATAAGTGTCTTGAGGTTTTCACATCCAAGACATTTACGCTATCATCCCGGTTGGCATCATAAAATGCACGGCGTTTCCATCCCCATTGGCAAATTTCCCGCGCTATCATACATACATCTTCGTTAATATACCACACGTCGCTCCGCGAACACACAATCGTTACCGTCTTCACGGCCAACAAAACAAATATATGGCAAATCATTTTCTATTATAATGGAACGTTTTGCAGTTAGAGGCAGAGCCTTCAAAGGTCTTCCCCCACACAAGGCTAGCGGCGAACCCCAGTTGTCAGACGGGCGTGAGGCAGAGAAGAACTACTTTGCTGTTAATCTGGACAAGTTTGATAAGCATGACAAGTACCCAGAGGACGGCTGCTTTCCCTCAGTTGCCCCCAGCACCAGAAAGATTAGATTCATCATTTCACTCGTTGTGAGCTTGGCGACAGGTTACATTGCTGCAGAAGTAGGCAGTTTGTATTTGATATATACCTGGGAATGGAGTCCTTCAGAAGATGAATATACCCTTCAGTTTTCGGGCAATCAGATATGGTGTCTTTTGGGAATTTGGCTTGTGGTGAGCCTGGTGACATATAGATTTTTTTCACCTGTTATGCACCCTAGGCTGCATCCAACGAAGGTGCATCATGTCTGAGTCTTTGTACGTTAAGGAGATGTTCAATTTCTCGGAAGCGTAACTGTTACATGTTCGCATTAATTCGCCGTCAGTACAGTGCTGTTATATTTGCGTAACTGAGAATGATGGCGACCTAGTAGACATATGAGCTATCTCACTACTACGACGCAAGCGATAATTCTATTGCCCTTCTCATGCTTCGAAGTAATGGCACCCTTCTGAGTATCAGAAGGAACAGCATATGTAATTCGAAAAAAACAGCTGAATTGGCAACATCACAGCTCTCTAACTTTTCCAATTTCCTAGCATACCTAAGTCGGCCTACGGTTCTCAGACACCCTCTTTCTATCATGTCAAGCTTAAGGGTATGCCACCCTGTGGGCTATTGCATGCACGCACCAAGATGCCACAACAAACCAGCATGACCAGTGGAATGTGGTGGGATGATTTTGGGAGAACTGCTGCTTCAGCTTCAGTAGGAAAATGAACGTGATGCTAAAACTCGGCAAGTCAACTCTAGTTTCTACCTTTTCCTTGCATTTATTCGAGCCTTTCCAAGCGTCATCTCATCCAACATCAACAGTAGTTGCATTAAACTAAGTATGTCGACTACAAATTCAAGAAGTAGATACCGTAATCCACGAAGGAATTGAACTCGTACGCTTCTGTTTCTGGAACGCAGCCAGTGTGGATATCCGTCGAATACTTCCTGATGGACAGAGAACCTCGCTCCATCTAGCGGTACTGTACTATCATAGTTATTCTATCAACAGGTCTGCCTTCTGCACTTGCCAAGCGTCTCTACCCCCGCAGCCCTTCATCAATTTGTTAAGCGCTGTTACATGAGCTTTCTTCGAAACTGCGACTTTGACGGTCTACATGGGCAGTTTAGAGAACGTATGAGATATGCTTTTCCTAGTGCAGTCGTGATGATCAGCTACTCAAACCACATACATGGTCGCATTAAGCCCTTAGACATATCCCCTATCGAATTCCTCGGTCTCCCTGCGAGATTCTTCTTAAGCCTCAATCCTAATAAAACCCCCCTCATAGCCTTCTCATAGCCTCACTTCTAGCCTCTAGAGCCTTGTTAACCCACCGAATCGTCGGCGCGCTCTCAAACCCATGCGGCAGGCCTGGCCACATGTGAAACTCAACCTCCACATCCGCCTTGCTCAACTTCAACACATACTCAACACACTCGTCCCGGAACAAATCCAAGCTGCCAACGTCAACGTACGTAGGTGGCAAGCCCCTCAGGTCCTCCACCGTTGCTCTGCCAGGAGCCGCATACAACGACACATCCGCATCAGGATCACCCGCCTTGCTCCCGAGCACAGCATCCCACGCGATGCGGTTGTCGTTCGTCTTCCACGTGAGAAACTTGTATATGCCGGACGTCTCTTCGACTTTGGTGCGGTCGTCGAGCATGGGGTATACCAGCACCTGCTTCCTCAACGGCGGGTCGAGCTTCCTGTCGCGCGCAATGAGAGTTGCGCCGGCCGCGATGCCTCCGCCCGCGGAATCGCCCATCATGACGATCTTGGTGGGGTCAACGTTCCACTCCGCCGCGTGCTCTGAGAGATGTTTCAACCCAAAGTACACATCCTCGGCGCCCAATCCGTCCGGAAACTCTGGCGCGAGGCGGTAGTCCACTGCAAAGAACGGCAGCCCGATCTGGTCAACAAACCGCTTGATTTGCGGGGCAAAAATGTCGACATCGCATGTGATGAAACCGCCGCCGTGCACGTAGACGATCGCCGCCTGCGGACCCGTGGCCTCGATCATCTCCTTCGTCGCATACCGAAAGACGTTGACCTCCTGCCCGTCGTGACTTTTGAACGGGATCTTGGTCTCGAGGACGTGTTCGGGGGTGGGCTGCGCGCGGAGGACGGTCCGCATCATCGGCTCAGACCAGGCGCGGAGTTCCCAGACGTCCTTGAATGGCGCCGGGCCCTCTCCTCCATCTCTGGCGGAGATGACAGCCAGGTATTCCGGGTCGTAGCGTAGTTCGTTGGCGGCCATGGTTTCCAGACTTTTTCTCCTTCTACAAGTCTTGACTGATGCAGCGAAGATGTGTTGTCGTAAAACGGGCGTCGATAGTTAGGTAGATGCGGTCGTATGAGTCGTGGCCTTTTATGAGCAATACATCCGCCTGTGCCATGGGTTCTGGGCGAGCTGCCCGTAATCCCGAAATTTGGCGCCAACGAGCGCATCCTCCTCCACTTCAACTGCAGTGATTACACAACCCGCTGCCTTTCAATCGCAGCATCGCCATCGTACCGCCGGCAGCGGTCGCTTCCCGATTAAAGTAACGCTTTGTCAGCCACTTGTATCCTTCCAAGGAAGAAACTCATGATACTAGGACAGAATACGTGGTAGGTGCCTCGTTGACAGGGGCCTATTGCCGATTGACACCAGACACGGTGGGACGCCCCTTGTTCTGTGTATCATTGGTTTATAATCGCGGATGGCGACCACGGACGAACGCCTCGTCGGTCTTTTATCGCGATAAAGATTTCAAGGGTCTGAGGAGGATCCCTCGCTTGTTCCGCGGAAAATTTACATCGTATCTTCAACAATCCCATGCAAACGCAGTTTAGAAGTGGGGTTGAAGTGCGATGAAGTAGCGAGGCTGAAGTCCTTCAGTATGGTTAATTACTGGCAACAAAGGGAAATCTAGGATTCGCTTTCCAGAAAATATTGTAGATAACCAATATTCAAAGAGTCCCTTTCCACTGTCAAGAGCGTGGAGGACCCGACTGGCTGCCAGATGAGTGATCGTGAGGCTTCCTGGAGGGACACCGACCGATGATCACCATTCTTCATACCCATCAAGCACTCGCTTGTATGCAAGATATTGATTGACCTGTCCAATCTGTTTCGCAGTGCCAAATCTCCAGCGTCATAACCCAACCTGCACTGCCCTAGAGCGAAACTGAGAGTCACCGTATCAGTTTACAAACACCAAAATACGCTTGTAAAGCGAGTCGAGGGCGGAGCGTTGCATGACCCAGCTCGCTCAACAAATGACATATGTATGTATGTCATCAGAGCCGCCGACTAGGCGGAATGACCATACAACTTGTATAGCGCAAAAAAAAAGAAAAAGCTGTTGAGATTGTGATTCCTGAAACGTCCGGGGTCCAGAGTACGGCCCTTTCTCCACGATCGCAAGTTTCGATACGGGGCAGAAATCGACAACCCCCGACTGCATCGACGCAACTGCAGCCAGTAACAGTTCGTTCGGCGGTTTGTCCGTCAGTGCGAGCTATCTGCACTTGCAGGATAGCTCTGGCGGCGACGAAGACGACGAAAGCAGATTGCGCTAACGGCCAGAGGGAACCACTACGCGCCCAGAGGGTAATCCGGGGAAATATAATAATCTCATCTTGAAGTCATGGTGGTTAAAATCAGAAAATCCTACAAACCCACCGATCCACAAAGCGCGTATCTCGGCATCGTGTATGATCGGCAATCTTCATCTTGGAGTAACCTTAACCCCCATATTGCCACGCGAGAAAGGGGAAATGAGATCGTGCAGTCAGATGCACTATCACGAAATGCTTCTCTCGCGGTGACGATTAGCTGCAGGATGGGGGAAGGAGGGAAAGAAAGATATGTATAACCTCCGGCCGTCAAGAGGTGGAAATGATAAGTAATAGGTTGCACGCATGCTTGGAAGCCTCCCTCAACCGTCGTCGATCGGCGACGGGGGCTTTCGTCCGAGTGATGCAGGGTTGATGGGAAACTGATAGCGAGATTTTGTCATGCTCGATCTAGGAGCCGGCAGACAGTTGCGATCCAGCACGTTGGAGACGGGGTTCCTAATGCTCCGATGGTACGTCAACTGGTTCGATCTGTCCAACAAAGGAACCAGCTCGTGGAGCCAGGGGGTGAAAGAGGGGGAGGGGGGCTATGTACACCACACACAGGTAGTAGGCGATGCAGACTCCCCCAGGGTGCCTCAGTAGATCGCGAAATTCGGCACCGTCCGATCGACGAACACGTCCAGTTAATCCGAAACCAGGATTCTAGAGCTTGCCAAACGCCCCGACCACGAGCTTTTCGCGTCATACCTGCCTGCCATTCTATAATTCCCGGCCCCAATACCTCCGGATTATGCAGTGAGCCTGTAGTGAACAACATGTGTGTATGTGTGTGCGTGTAACTGGGAATACGAAGTTTACGAAAAGCGTTTATTTACGAACGGCGGTAACATCTAATTTTAAGGATTTTTTTTTTTTGAGTAATTGGAGGTCTTGGGGGAAACACTCAATTAACAGGTGGCATGCGTTTCTCACCCAAAATAGCACTGGCATTTAAGGTGTTCGAGGTCTCGGTGGTGTCCCTAAACCAGGATAAAAAAAAAAAAAAAAACCAAAAGGCTATACCTTGTCCGGGAACGGTGCCGTCGATTGAGATGAAAATGACTCAACAGCCAGGAACGGGCCCAGCTTGTTCAACGGTCTATTGAAGGTACGAAAATCGATAGGTTACTTCACGGAGGACTCGGGAGGTAGTAGTAGTCTTTGCGACCGCTTCAATCGAGCCACCCCTGAAGGATGCTCTGCATTTGACGAGCGACATTCCCATACGATTCAATCTTTCTTTCTTCTTCTTCATCCAGTCCAGTACATCCATCCCCTAGCTTCGAGAATGAACAGGTAAATTCAGTGCTGTCTCGTGCCCGGCCAGTTACGAGGAATGTGGGCTTCCGGAACGCTAGTCCCTTTCCCCCCACTGCTCTCGACTGATCGAGGAATGGGTAGGGTTTCAGTGGCCCAATGGACGGACTAGAAAGGAATTGTGTGGAAGCTGCCATCGTCCTTTTCGACCACCATCGACATTCTTGAGCGGGAAACGAGTGTCAAAGTAGGCATTGTTAGTCTCCTCACGTCCTAGCGGCTATGCCAGTCCATCGGTTAAGGCTCTCTTACAGCAGTAGTCATGCAAGCTAGCGTTGGCAATCACCTAAAGCCAAGAAGGAAAGCTCTCGGAATGGTCCGCGGTCAGGTAGTTGGTGATCAGCATTTGCAAGTGGCCGTAGTCGTCGTGTTCATTGCGACTATGAGGAATCAACGTGAAAGATACGTGTAGGTTTGACCAAGATCACTCAAGATCTGAACTAGAATCAGCCGTGCAAAAGTGTGCCTCGAGGTACCCACGAGCCTACAATCACAAGCAGCAACGCTTACCGCCGGAGCACATTGCACGGTCTCACATTGGGTGATGGTCTAGACCATGATCTGTGAGGTTGGGGGATTAGAGTTGACGTAGGGGTCCGAACAGAGTGCATAGTTGGCATCCCACAGGACACCCAGCCTCTATTCCCATCTTTCAGGGTCCATGTTTTGGCGCGCCTTCTTCCATCAAGGCTGCTGCGGGCCTGATAATGAATGGAGACTTTGGCGTATGTACCGTACCGCCCGAGGGTGTGAATTGATTATCCCAGATCCGTTCTGAGCACACCATGTCGGAAGGGCCCATTACCGGCCCAAGCAAGACCCACGAGGCTCTACGTCAAGGTTCAGGAACGTGGCGTCAACTTCTCGTTTGATTGTCATCAGGAGACCCTGGGGTGTGCCAGTACCCAAAGTGTATCTGCCGGCATCAGTAGTAAAAGTGTGCTTTGTAAAATGGCCGTCGTCGGGGTATAACTTGCCACATGCGGGGGCGTGCCGAATAGGAGCTGACGCTGCTGCCCGCCGTTTTCTGTAGTTTGCTTATGGAAGGGAGCATAGTATGAGCATAGAAGGGCGTGTCGAACTTGGCTCAAAGATGGGGATCTGATGTAGATGATCAATCATTCCCCAAGCCTCCAGGTTACTGATGCGCGCTCACTCGGTTTGGAGGAAATCTCTTATTGTTTTCCCGAGAATTTCTTCCTATGCCCAAAATTACTTCGCAGCATGTTCAGGTCGAGGGTGTGTACCAAGCTGTTCCAGGCAGGGCAGGTTGGTACGGGCAACTCTTACAGCTGATTGAAGCAAAGGGCTAACAAAAACATGCACTGTAGGTTTACCGTCATAATCATGTGGGTGTGCTCGGTGTGAAGTACATAGTAAAAGCAAGCTGCAAACACCTCTGCCGATCAGGGCCGGATGAGCGGACAGCGTGAGGATGTCGCAGATTTGCAGTTGGGGAAAGTCAAATGCCATGGTTCGAAGCATGGGAATTTGCGGGACATGTGGGTGCTCGGTTATCTTTGTGTGCCGCTTGCTTAAAATTATGGAGGGCAGAGATCGCTCTGCATTGGACGATTGTCTCTGTTGTTCCAGAGACTGGATGGACTAGACATGTTTTTTTTGCCATATTTGCCACATCTTGCTGGGAACGTGTTGTATAGCTCGAACGGACACCATTCCGACTTGTCTCTGATTGGCTCTGCATAATGATATGCTGGACGTGGCAAGGCACTGAGATTGGCTATCCATAAGTGGGAATCGGTGTGTGTTTGACTGGGAATTCTTTTGCGGACGTTTCTCTGATGAAAGGACGATGTCATTTCTTGTGGGTGGCTTTCTGCCGACGAACTACCTACAACCGAAGGCCTGTGGCTGAAGATCCCGACTTCAATCTGCCGTGTCGTGTGTAGTGGGGCGAGTTCCCTTGATTCTAGCTGCCGACGTTAGGGATTCGTAGTGTCTAATCCCATCTGGAAGGGGAACTGGCTGTGGCTGGAAACCGGAATTCGAAATGTCGATGTGATGTGTGTTGGCACTAACAACCAGCGACAAGAGGCTATTCCTCTGTGCTCTGTAGATCAACAGAACCTGCTGATTGGTTGAAGCGTAGTTCATCCCTACGGTGGGGGGATGGCTAAAGAGCGTATGTACTTCAATGTATTGTTTCACAAACGACTTGTGTGAGTTGCGCGGACTGTTTGCTCCGTTCTCGCGTAGGGCAAAGACGAGACAAGAAATGGGAGTTGCTTCTGCATGCCTAGCCAGCCACGGCCAAAGCAAGCACAGGGCTGTTGCTCGAGACAAGCGAATTGCACACCCGGACAGGACCACTGCCATTAACTGCCCGCCCATCTCTAATTCTATACCAGCTGCTACGTCGATCTCTATGTGACGTCAAATTCCAGATATTTGGGTGCCTCCCAAAGCGCCGGCTGTTTTTTCTCGTAGTAATAGTCGAAGCAGCCAGCCTTTACTGGATGGTATCACGTTCACGATTATAAGAGAGATAGCAGTAAGTGCCTTTCGGCAAGCCCAGTCGCTTCTCGGTTGGACTTACGGCTAGAAGCCCACCGCCAAGGTTGCAGCCAAGGAAACCTCTCTCAGGGGCAGAGCACAAGGGAGTCACCTTGAAGAAGCAAGTTTCTCCCTTCTGTTTGGCGGGGTAACAGCTGTTTGTTCACACAGCTTTTGTCGACTGTCTTTCTCCACCGTAGTTTGTTCTTATAGCTAGCAACTGCAAGGCTAGGAAGCACAGGCTGAATTCCATGTTTTCGTAGCATTCCTAGCTAGACGTGTGGTAGTCTCTGAGCCATATGCCATCTCGTCAAGACGCGTGTATACGCCGCCGATTGCGAGCTTCTTACTGCTTCTATTCCGCCATCAGATCCATAGAAAGAAAGAACGCTACGCCTGGAGGACCAGGCTTATCTCCCAAGTTAGGGTCGAGTCAGATTTAGTGGTGCATCATCCACACTTACTGCTCTCAACCCGCAGGCGCCACGTTCCCAGGCCCCTGTTGCGGGCAGCCACCCCGTAATTTGGCGCATCACCCTGGTGATACATTTCCATGAAAGGTCGGTCTTGCGAGTGAGCCGAAGCCTCATGTGGAGGTCGCAACACAGCTACTCTGATCTAGCTTATACCACTTGTCGATCAATCTGACGAGTACTCTGTAGCCATTCTGTGAACTATGAATTTGGCTAGGTCTATGATCCATCAGGCATACAAGCAGCCGACCGATCTAATCCAACAAGTGCTCATTTGCAGAGCGCGGCAGCTTAGGTTGGTTCGAACCTGCTACCGCAAAGAAGTCATTCTTTGTGGACATCGGTGCACTCGAGCGTGTCATATTTAGGGGGGAGCTTATCCTTTGAAAAGTGCTGGAATATTCCCCTAAAAATGCGATGCCACATAACCCATCGCTAGCAGCTTGGGACCCTGTCCATCGACACCCGACCCTTAGATCGATCGCTGGGGTCCCATTGATTGAACCCACCTTTTTTTTCTCTGAGGAGCGGACGCGGAGGGATTAGAATACCGAGCTTTGAAGGGGGGTCGGACCAACGAAACAGAGTAATTTCCTACCACGGTCTGCGCCTATGGCCCTGATTCGGTGCATGCAATCTGATCCCACCGGTTGCTCGGCTTGGTACAAAGAGGTTAATAGACAATATTACCCGGCGTGGGAGTGCAGCTTCGAAGACGGAAGCTTGTAGACTCAATAGGTGGGTGTGGTCAACTCAGAGCTGTGTCTGTACAGCTAGACCTTGTTAGCCCGCCAGTTGGGCCGTGTGTGCCATCCACATGTGTAATTGGTCAGCTTGTGTCTTACTGAGGACGTTGGCACACGGCAAGGTTTTGGAGCGGCAAAGCATGTCGACTTACAACGCGGAGAGGTGGCACCACACAAATCCAAGATGGTGATTCTAGGTAGTCAACCAGTCAAATTTCACCATCATTCGGAGCCAACTCCATGAAACCGAACCGGAATGCGAGGTACAAAGTTGCCTGCCAAGGCCCAGAACCAGTTTCGACCAAGGTGAAGCAGAAAGCGGCGTCTATCCGCAAATGCATCTCTTCTTAAGCAGAGGCAGGGCAACCGGTCTGTATAGAGAGATGATACGGTATGCATTGCTGTTTTGTCTTACACTCCGCATGTTTGCAGCGAGTTGTTACAGTTAACTATGGGTAGATAAAATAAATGCTGTACGTCGGTCGTGGCAGCATGGCGATGAGGCCCGCCAAAGGCCGAGCAAGCTGAGCAATCTCAAAGTGCTGTATAACAGCCCGGGGCATAAAGGTGGGGGCTTGGATTCCAAAGTTTTCTGTCATAATCAGTAGATCATGGAAGCATCAATAAACATAGCCAGCAACTTGAGGGGCATGGTGAGCGTGGGAAGGGCCACCAGGACGGCATGTCCCTTAGTGCATTCTAGACCAGCCACTGTAGCATGCGGGCAGTTCAGGGAAAGGATTCCAATGCAGATGCAGGTGATAATGGGAATGTATGTGGGACAGGAAAGGTGGCGGTGAGCTCGTTTCCATCGAATTCCACTCCGATTGTCCCAAGCTAGGAGTTTTTCAGGGCTTCCATTGGCACAAATATTATGTTCAGCGGAGAGGAAAAGCAAAGAGGGTAAAAGGGGAGCTGGCATGGCATATGGGTTACTTCCTGCCCCCTCCTGACATCAGGTTTCGGTAGCTGGGGATTAAGAGCATCATATTGAGGGTTTGAGGGGTGTGACTGCTTCCCATTCAGTACAGCGAGTTTCTGGCTTGCTATCCATTCAGCAAGTCAACTTCATACTATTGATGTGCTGCAGGCAGGCAGAGAGTTGTTCCCTCCTGCTGCACAAATTATAATACTTGCGTAGGTGTGACTGGAACGCCCGGAAGGTTCCCAACTGGGATACAGCCTGGACCAAGTGGCCCGGGGGTTCTTTCCCGCCCTGTCGGTTGCACTTGGTGGGGCTCGAGCCCGAGTTGGGATCGCCCCACTTCCGGTGTGCCCCACCCTTCCTTCCCCAGTGTTCAATGTCTCTCGCTACTGCCCTTCTGCGACCCCTGCCCTGTTCTGCCCGCGCCTCCGTGTCGCCCAATAGACGGGATGCTAAGCCTCTTGCGGTAGAGCACGAGAAAGAGGGAAGCAGAAAGCAACTGGCAGGCGCCTTTTTGGGTTAGGGGAAGGGGCCCTTCCCTCGATTGCAGAGTGACTGGGTCGATACCTCGTCGGCGGGGGTCGCTCTAACACCTCCCTCTCATCGAGATCGATCAGCAGAGTATAATCCGATCAAAGTGTACCTAATACACAGTACACTCAGATCGCCTAGCAATCGAAACCAGGTAAATGCCACTTTCCCTTTCCGCTACCACATGCCTGTCCGCCACTGTTCGTTGTCACTACCACGTCTCGCAGCAAACGCCGAAAGCCTGTCCTGGTCTTTCTGTCTGCAGCGTTCACCTGCTCCAGCTCCAGTAACCGTCGCTCCCACACCCATACCCATCCCATCTGCGGTATGGAACTCTGCTCCATTTTACTTTTGGCCCGCTATGCTGCCTACTCCTCCTCCCCAGTCGTCCAGCCTCCAAAGTCCAAAGTCCGAAGCGCGAACCCTACGTTTGTATAAGACTTGGATCTTGCCCTGTGCCCACCTTCGCCTTCCCTTTCCAACACACCCTTTTGGTGCCCATTCGACGGAAAAGTTCTTTCATCACCAGAAAGGTATACAGGAAAACGACCGCAATAAAAGTTGAAAGCAGCAAGCCCTGAAATCTAATCCCCTCAAGAGCCGAGCATATCAGGTGGCTTAAGTTTCGAGGTTCTAGCCATTTCGAAGCCTACTCGCCGCCACCTCTGTACTTTTCACACCTGACAACGACCTTTACGGCACGGCTTGAGAACCTCTCGAGATCAGCCACCAACAGGCCTTGATATTTTATCGGTTACTCATTTGTTAAAACCGTCGTCGATCCTCGACGTCAATAATAATGCCGAAGCGATCACTAGATGCTAGCAGCCTGTCGCCCACGATGCCGTTGGACAGGGGCCAGAAGAAGGTACGAAACCATTCCTAGACACACTTTCTGGGCTGCAACCTATATATGCCATCTCTTTTATCATTGTTCCTTTTGCCCATGATCCATTTGCCGTATCCTTCATGTGAAAACTTTACCTGCAGCCACCTTTCGTGCACACTGGATACAGTTGACTCAAGTTTCTGGCCCGAGCTGACCAATATCCCGCTCCACAGACGGAGAGATCTCACGAAGAAAACCAAGAGCGAGCTTATATTGCTGCCTCGCGGCGGGCAGACCGCAGCATCGAGGCGCGAGTGCAGTCCGCCAAGATGGCCAGCGAAATTCACAAGAAACGTACCGGCAAGGGCTTTAAGATTTCCGAGGCTATCGTCCAAGCAGAGGAAATGTACGAGGAGGAGGAAGATGACATGCCTAGGTCCTATCGCATGCTAGCTTCTCATTTGCAGACCGGCTCCGCCGAATTCGATTATCGAGTGAACGCCTTCCTTGCGAACCGAGTCGCGATGGCCAGCATGGTTGCAGGTCTTCGTAACCAAGAATGGGCAGAGAACCCCATCAACAAGATGTTCGCGGAACAGTTTCCCAATGCCAACAAGCAAGCTCAAGCACTGTCTCGTAACCTCACGAACTCCATGTACTATCAATCTGTCGCCCCAAATGCCATGCGCCAGCAGCAGGCTGAAACCGACATTTCAGCTGCAAGCCCTATGTCCCCGACTTTTAGCACAATGAGCTACCAGCAGACGCCGCAGCAGCAGCCCAGAGATCGATCACAGTCGGTTGCCTCACCTATGGCTCTCTCTACGCCCGTAATGCGGGACAACGTGCAATCGCCACCAGCGTTATCGCCGTCCTCGGAGGCTGCAGATGCTACACCGTCGAATCATTCCACGTCGACCTTTCCGTCGCCGATGCCAAGCATGGACGCAAGTCTGTTCCCTCTCGAATCCTCTTTCACTGCAGAATTGCCCATGGACGCCAAAATGATGGCGCCTAACTTTGACATGAACGATCCAATGTCTCAAATGTTTATGGGAAACCCGCTACAGCAGCAAATGTACTACCCGGACATGGCTGATTTGAAACACGATTCTTCCATGGGTGATCCGAGCTTGTCTCCTCATGAGTACTTTAACGGTCACCTGAACCCGTACACACAGCGTTACGAAGGCCTGCAAAGCGAGTGCGCCACTCCGGGGCCGGGGGTTAACGACAATTGGGAAGCATTCCTTGATTTTGGCGACCAGAATGACACTGGAGCTGTCGACCCGGCATTGTAGTCGGCTGTCTTCTCACAAGCAGGGGGCTTTGTGTAAACTGAAGGATTATAATGAGGAGGAAAAGAAGAGAAGAAACTGCGGCATGATATGATGAAGGGGCCCTGGCTGGTTCATGAGCATGACTTTTTAGAGTACGCGTTGCATCGGTCGGTCCACAAAAGGCGGAGCATGGGATACCCAAGGGGGAGGCATTTGGCAGCTCAATGGCGGCGTTATGGATTTTGGGACAGTGTCCTGATGACTTTTTTCTATTTGCTTTCCCAGTTTGTAATCCGCCATTTGGATTGTGGGCTATTATGCCCTCGTATTTCTTTATTAACTAATCCGTCGTCGGAGGGGTTCGGTTGTACACACCAGAGGAGGCCATATACACGGAATGCTTGGCCGTGAGGAGGTGTTAAATATGGAACGTGTAAGCAGGCAACGCTCTGCTATGATGAAGAGAAGGAATTTATCACAAGAAAGGAACTATTAAGGACAAGGAGGACCGGCGACGAGATGGGAGGAAAGAAAACTTCAAAATCAGACGAATGGGTCGTTGGCAAGGCCTCGCCATATGGCGACTCAGCGGAAGCAAGTGCTGGTAAGAGGCACGAAACCCGGCGAGGTCGTTTTGTAGTCGAGACTTTACAAAAAAAAATCAGGAAAACACGAGAAAACTGATTCGTCACAAACCATGTCTTTGGAAGCTCCACGTGAAATCTTGCAAACTAAAGTGAACCTGCCAGATTTTTTGACCCACTGGCGAGGTCTCAACGCAGTCTAAGGTTGTTTGACTGGGAAATTGAACATCAAAGTAGTTCTCTTCCGTACTGAAAGGATATTTCTGGAATCTTTCGACAGTTTAAAGTCCGCCTGAATGGCCATCACCAACGCAAGTGTTCCTTCTGAAAAGTTGACCAAATAGCTTATCGACGGCACGTAATGCTGTGAGAACAACATGCATAGATGCCAAGAAATATCAAGTATTATTGCATTACATATAAGTTGAACATTTCAGGTCTCTCTGCTCCCATCACATCACATCGCTTGTCTAATTTCACTCATCCTTGCTTGACTATATAATAAGTCCGGAGTTGAGGGCCCACTCGCCGGGCCACGGAGCTGGGTGGGTACACACATACGGAGCGGGGCAGAGACGGAGCCCTCGAGGCGCGGCCGGAAAACACACTATTCGTTCGTTTCCATGGAAAGTCGGTGGTCCATCTTGAATGTAGAATTTGTGTGTTTTACTAGGCTTCCCGACGAGATACCTGACGATGCCACATCTCAGCTATTGGTAAATGGAAGATTTCCAAGTCAAGCCGTCGTCTGGCGGTTTCAAGATTGGGAAACATTGTCAAAACAGGTTGGTTGACAGATTGAGGCAACATCAGCAAGGGACTTGGCTTTTGAACACATCGATTCATGGAATAATTTTGGTGTCGCCACCTATCATTACGTCCTCCTACCCACGCCCCTATGCCCGCCACCTTCCGGTCAAGTAGAAAGGGGAAAGTTTTTTAAGATGTAGGTAGATGTTGTTCATTTTTGATGCCGGGTATCATACAAAGGCTACATTTATTCCCCGTTCTCCTCCACGGGTTCCTTCTTCTCCTGCGGTCTCGACAGGGGCCCCTTCTGCTGCTGTTCCAATTTCCTCCTCTCCCACGGCTTGAGCCTCGTCTCATCCGCCGGGCCGTCCACCTCCTTCGCCCACTTGACCCAGTCCGACCGCCTCGTCTTCCACATGTCACCCTTCCACGTGCGCCACACGCTGCGTCCGAACCACGAGTCACGCAGCGTCCGCTCGTGTTCTGCCAGAGCGGCCATGATGGTCTGCTTGACGTGGAACGGCACGGAGCGGTCCTTGCCGCGAGAGGGGATGTCGATGATGGCGTTGACAATGTTGTGACCGTTCTGCGACTGAGCCAGGTCGCCAATGTGCGGGACGAGGGCGCCGACAAGGGCCTTGTGGAAGATTTCGTTCTGCGGGGCGGCGGGGTTGGCGAGCGCTGTCGTTAGGACGTTGACTGTTGCCATGGACTGCGTCGCGAGCTGGAGGAGAAGATCGGAGGGGAGGGCCATGAGCGACTTTTGTGCGGCCTTGGAGGGGTTGCCGGTGGTCTTGAGCATGGCTGTGACGAGATGGGCGCCGTGCGCGGCGACGGCAGTCTTATTCTGCGTCACTTGCTGGAACTCCTCCTTCTCGGCGGGCTCATCCTCCACCAAGTGGCAGAGCTTCGGGACGAGGTCCTTGGGGTTGGGGCCCAGGGCATTGGTCAGGGCCCTGGTGAGGGCGGACTTCTCCTCGTACGCGCCACGGGCCTCGCAGCGCTCGAAGAGGGTCTTTAGGACGTTGTATCGGGCCTTGGTCACCAGGATAGGGACGGCGGGAAGGATCTTCTTGACGGCTTCGACGAGGTCGTCCTTGCTGAAACGGTTGAGGACGCGGAGGGCGGGGTACGAAGCGATGTCGTTTCGGACGTAGGTTGCGATGCGCTCACCAAAGAAGTTCTGCGAGAGTGCCTTGAAGATCTTTCCAGGGCAGTGCGTGATAAGGGTTTCGAGGAGGCGGGAACCAATTTGGTCGTAAACCATGCTGTTGACGAAGTCTGCCGCCTGCGAAGTGCTGTCGCTGAGAGATGCGGGGGCATCCGGCAAGAGTCTATACAGGAGAGTGTCCTTGCTGGACGCGGCGGACGACTTGTCGCTCTTGTGGTTGAGGGAAATGTCGAGTTCCAGCAGGAGCTGTAGGAGGGGGTTGCCAGTCGGGTGCTTGGCGAGAACGCGCAAAGCCGTGAAGTCCATGCCGGCGACGGCATCCTGGATGATCTTCTTGGTAGCGAGCGTGAAAGACTCGGGGACGGCTCTCAACTGGTGGCTGAGCTCGTTGGACGATGCCGCGGCTCCGTGAACTGAAATGTGTTCCTTCTTCTTGCTCTTCAACATCGACTTGGTAGCCGAATCCTCCAGCGGGCGACCAGAAAGGACAACGAGGAGCACTCGCAAGGTGTGAGAGCCGAATCGGTCGGTGAGAAGGAATCCCATGTGCTGCTCGAACTCGTCCAGAGTCAACAAGAAGAGATTCTCCATGGTGTTTTCCGCCGGAGCACCCTCCTCGCCCTCGTTTTGTTCTTCGTCGTCCTCGGCTGTCTCATCCGGAAGAAGGCCTCCCAATTCCTGCGTAACCAAGGGGGCGGACTGCAAAAACAGCGTCTCGCAGCAATGGCTTGCGAATCGGTGCTGAACAAGAGACAGAAAGTGGCCGGCAAAGGCATTGAAGATCTGTTTCTTTTGCTTCGTGTTGGACAGGAGAATCAAACGCTCCATCAACCGTGACAGCGATTGACTGCTGGCGAGCTTGAGTTCCTTACCCCGGGCCTCCTTGTAAATGTTTTGCAGGAAGACATCGCGCTCCTCAGAGGAGGGGAACTGGTTCAGCTCGAGCAGTTCGTCAGCGCGACGGAAGTACTCCTGCTCTTCGTCGGCGAGCATGCCGAAGAATTCCTTCTCGGGGCCATTGCTGGGGAAGTGTTGCTGTTGCTCGCCCGCATCATCGTAGATGGGCTCCTCGGTTTCTTGCTCTTCCCCCTCAACGCGTCTGCGCTTCGATTGCGGTTCTTCGAAGTTTTCCTCGTGAGCCTCTCTCCTCTTCTTCTTTCGCTCGTCGCGAATGGCTTGTCTTTTCGTTCTTGGCTTCGGCATTGTGACTGAGCGTGACCGGTGCAGATGCGATTGAGTTGCTGGGGAACACGGCGGACTGTCGCATGTGCTGAGGAGCAGATCCGAAAAAAACTTTTGGCAGAGGCACTATCTTATCTGTTATCTTATCGTACCCCACCCGCCATGCATATCCTTGCTGACCCCGGCGTCCTTTGTGGAGCTTCAACATTGCAGCGGAAACTCGCTCTTCGTAATCGGTTCTTTCTTTCTTAGTCGAGCTTGTACTTAATTTTGTTTTCGCTTTTCAGTTTGAAGTGCAGATTTCTTTGTGAACAATCTCATCAATTAACAGATAAATAGGACGAAAATCGATTTCTGGCTGAGCTGTTACGACATAAAAACCGCGTGAATGAGGTGTCTCCACACAATTCAAATAAACAAAGGCTAGCATTTCCTCCAGTATACGTCTATCTTTCTATATTCTTGTGTCCAAAATACGCTTATTGACATTCCAAACGGTCTTACATCATCTTCGTCGCTCATACACTAGACCACGACCTCCTTACCCACCTCCTCCAACGCCTTGAAAAGACCCTCCACGGTTCCCTTTAAGGTCTGGCAGTTGACTACCACACGGAAGAAGCTGCCCTTCTCTCCTGGGGCGTAGTCAACCATGAAGCCGCGTCTGATGAGTCGGGACACCATCTCACTGGTACGCTTCGTGTTTGTCGCAGGGTCCTCCGCCAGCTTACCGTTCGGTGCGTAGTAGAAGCAGACCTGCAGGCATGGCGGTGGGTTTGATGACACCAATACAAAGTTCTCGCTCTCCTGGACGAGGGTGGCCAGGTGCTCTGCCAGCAAGAAGGCTTGGTCAATCTGCTTCTCGAAACCGCCGGCGCCGTAGTAGATCCAGGCCAGGGCCAGTTTGAGACTGTCACCCCTGCGACCGCACTGCAGAGTCAGGTCGGCAAGGTCCCACACATTGTCAGTTTCGTCGACGTTGTGGAAGAGATATCCTGCAGGCAGGGTGTTGGCCTTGTGGAAAACCTTCTCATCCGGCGTCAGAAGGAACGAGCACGTCACCGGCACGTTCAGCATCTTGTGCGGGTTGACCGTGATGGAGTCGGCCAGGTGGGAGCCCTTCAACTTCAACCTCTGCTTCTCCGAGAAGACGACGGATCCGCCCCAGCTTGCGTCGATGTGGAACCACATGCCGAATTCCTTGCAGATGGCCGCGATCTCTTCAAAGGGGTCATATGAGCCCATAACTGTCGTTCCGGCAGTAGAGTTGACGTAGAGGGGCGTCTTGCCTTCAGCCTTGGCATGAAGCACTAGCTCCCGCAGAGCCCCTGGAATCATACGACCCTCAGAGTCGATCGGGACCGCCCATACGCTTGAGGCACCAAGGCCGCAAGTCAACGCGCTCTTCTCGACGGAGTAGTGCCCGTGGGCACTAGTGAAGACTACAAAGTCATGGGATCCGTTGCCGGATGCCTTGGTCTCGGGGTAGAGAGCGCTGCGAGCGACGACCAGCGACGTCAGATTGGAAGAGCTGCCGCCTTGACATGTGACTCCTCCAGCACGGGGGCCGGTGAAGCCGAACAGATTCGCAAACTTTCGAGCGGTAATCTTTTCGATGATGCTCAAAGCAGGAGAAACTTGGTACACATGGAGCTGTTCCAAGTCAACATCAATTCCAAGCATGAAGTAACAGATGACTCACATTGGTGTTTAGCACGGACAAGAGAAGATCAGAAACCACGCCGACCTGGCCAAGTCAGCGAAGAAGCACTAGAAGTCGACAAGCAGACATACGGGTGTGTTACTGGCATAGAGCTTGTCCATGAAGCCTTGGTCCCAAGTGTTCACGCTGTACCTCAGGATCTTCTGCACCACATCAAGCAAGCCATCCTTGCCAAGGCCATCACCCTGCGGTAGTAAGAGCTTCAGCTTCTCTACCAAGGCCTCCGGCTTTTGTGTGTCGACTAGTACGTTACTCGGAACACCGGGAATGTTCACCGAGGTGTTCCCGCCAGCCTTCTGTCCCGCGGCATCGTCGGCAGCTCTGATGTAAGGAACAATCAACTCCTTGACGGCATCGAGCAACTATGAGACAAGAGAAAAGGCGAACGTCAGTTGATTTTGTTGCAGTGAGACATGCACTCACTTACAACTCCGGGATACTCACATCCTCGACTTCCTCAGCCCTCTTGAGTTGCTGCGGGACAGCATTTTTTCCGTTGATGCCGTTCATGATGATGGTTTGAGAACCAGATGAAACGAGGCAGGCCAAAAAAATTCTCTCGGAGAAGCTAATTACGATGGATAAAGTTTAGTCACTTTTTTTTTCCTGTTAGGGGAAACTTTTCAGTGGAAACGAAACTGCCGCCGAACGAGACAACTCCGATGGTAGAAATTCCTGAAGCTTGCCCTGGAATTGTTCGGTACTGCGATGTCCTGACCTGGATTGGGAGATTATGGAGAGTGAAAATGAACCCAGAGCCCGGCTTCTTGTCTCCTCCTCCCCCCCGATGACGGCACACCCAGGCAAAAAAATTGGCGCGAACGCGGCCGGGGTGTTAGCCGCCGTGGCCGAGGCGGCCGACGGATTTCACAATCTGCGGCGTATTCTTCGTCATCTCGATGGCAACCAACCCCGAAGTTCGACCAAAGCCGGTAGCTAAAGAGTTTTTAGTTTTTTTTTTTTTTAATCTCTCTAAAAAGAAGACGCTAACCCGCCGCTGAAGAAATAAGAAAAAAGGAACAGGCACAAGGGGCTAAAACAAATTTAGCACGTTCGCCTCTTTAATTTTCAGCGTTTTTGACAGCACTATGGGGAAGAATCAATCCTTCAGAGCCCGCTGGCGCCGCCGACAGGTCAGTGCGACTCGGACCCGACAGCCGCGGGCGGCAGTACTAAAAAAAAGAAAAGAATAGAAAAATTTACAGCCGTCCCCGCCTATCCCCGCGCCTCCGTCCTATGGCTTCCAGCTAGCCGTGTCTCACCGTGGCGCCGGTCTCTGCAGGCCTTGTCTTTGTGATCACATGCAACGAGGCAGATTGGCTGCGTTTGTTGCAGCTCACTCGGTGTTTGCTTGGTTTTTTTTTCTTTTTTTCTTTCCTTCCTTTTCTCGCTCAACGAGAATGATACATGATTCGGGACTGTTTGTTTCCACTGCAGTCGATTGATTATGCGGATGACGCTGCAATCAATGCAGTGGCGAAGCACGGAGCATGCCGACTAACACTCATCGTCCGATATGCCACAAGTGACTGATCATATGCCGGGCAGTTCCTGTTTGTAATCGCCAAAGCATATGATTCTTAGGACAAGATCTTTGTGATTTTGCTACCGTAAATAGCAGCACTCCATTGAAGAGATCCATCCGATATGGCTGGCAGTCAAACCTTAGCTGTCTCCCCAAAAGGCCACATCACTTTGAGGAGGGGAAAAAAAAAAATAGACTGTAGGATATTTCCTCCATGTATAGTGTGGCGTAAACTCTCTGCATACAAGCCCAACAATCCCGTCTTCCCCGTTTGCCCCGTATACTTGCAATAAATACGGCAGCTGCATGGACGGACAGTGTCCTGACGAAGAGTGATGTTGCTAGCTTCAACCGCCCGTCCGTGCGCATATTTATTTGAAGGCCGAGCGGTGGACTCGCCATCTCCCGAATGTCATTAAACCGGAGATGGCTCCGCATGGCAAGTCACCGCCGGCCCATTTACTTGCTTCTTGGAAGGGGGCTTGACTGGGCATGAAAGGGCCTGGGAAAAATGACCAAAGAAACGTTTGGTTTTGGATATCATGAGGGGGGAAAGTTTCAACGGGGTTCCCATGCACTGAAGGGACCCTTTTGAGATTTGCTGGAACAAATATTCGGTGTTCATGGTGCCGGGTGTAAGTGTGATCAATGCAGGTACGTGCCATCTGACAATGGCTTGAAACAGGCACTTGCGTCGTTGTGATGTGCGACCAGCATGTGGCCTCGACGGGGGGCAATCGTCACGAAGAAAATCAGATACGCAGTGGCAGTTAATGTAGATCTGCATCTACGCTATACGGCAGTCTCCGTGTGTGGCTTGCATGCAGCCGTCTTTCCGCGCAAGTTCTATGCAATCAGACTGAAAAACTGCAGCATCGAGTAGACATTTGTTTGGCACCGCATCTTGACGCGGTGGCTTACAGGGAGCTGCTACTGATGAGCCGTGAACCGACGCAATATTGCATGATTGGGCGTGTAAAACGGCATCCCGGTGACACACGTGGTACGAATCTCAGGAACCAGGAACCAGTGATGCCCAGAAGAAGATGAGGGGAAGGGCGTCTCGAAATGGTAAGCTTGCGTGTCCATCGGTCATGGAACTGGGGGAATCGGGCCAAGACGATCCGACGGGAAGAGCGTCATCAAGTTTCCGTCATACCGGACTCGCATGTTTCCTTCGCCCTGGGTTACGCCACTTTTAAGGGGAGAGATCGCTGTACTGGTTCATCTCCTTGCAAAGAGCCCTGCCCTAGCACTGGTCCTGTTCTGGTCTGCAGCACCAGACTGTCGGAGCTCGTTGCATATTGTTTTTTTCTTTCCCTGCCCCTATGTGAGAAAGGATTCAAGTGAGATTGTCGAGTGAGGACGAGATATGCTTGTTTCTAGTTGCGAATGGCATTTCCGCAGTCGATGAAAAGAAGGCTGGGGCATCCCTGACAATGGCGGAACCTTTGTTTGCAGAACAATGGCACGAGGACCCGTAGTCCAACGGGCATACAACGACGAACAAACCGGCCGCTAACATGCCCAAGAGGAATTTGGAAGGTTTCAGTGGGGACCCGCTCCAGTTAAGGAATCTCAGCAACGGTCTTGGTTGCGTTTGTCACTGGTCAGGTCTTGGATCCCGGGCCATCTGCGGACGATCAACTGCCGTGTTTGGAGGCGGGCACTAAGAATCAGGGCGGACGAACCAAAGCAAACGAGGTGGTTTTAGAGTGGCTGACATTGGGGGCCAGCTCGTTGATGATTTGGGCGGCATGGCGCAGCGTGGCGGTTTATTATTATCTTTCGGGGGTTCTCGGTCGAAACAATAGCGATTGCGATGAGTTCCGGGTAGCTATTTGGACGGTGGCGGGAATTCCACGTAAGCGACGATGTTTCCTAAAAGGCGAGAGATGGTTTTGACATCTTTCATCTACCTGGTATTTTTTATTTTTTTCCGAAGGTAATTTAATACGGCAGCGGCAGGAAAATCGGATAATACGACTGCAAAGGGGGAGAAGGATTGATGACATGTCCTAATCGAGTGCCCCTTCCCTCCCCAGTCCCTGACGCTTTCTTTTTGCTACAGCCGTTGAATTGCAGTGATCCACGCTCATTTCGTGAATCTCTGCCATGTCTGTTTCCAAACAGGTAAGAGACTTACACAAAAGGGCGCTCTCAGATCTGTATCCAGCCACATGTAATCGTTGAATCGGCCTTACTTACCCGCAATCTCATTAAACCCCCCCGTCGGCGCACCGACAACATCCCGGACGAGCACGTACAGCGACACCCTGAACTCTCGGGACGACATCTCCAGAAACAGCAAAGAGTCCCTGTCCTTATCCGCTTGGGTAAAAAAAATTGATCAATCGAGAAATTTATTGGCAGATGTAGACCGTATTCATCCTCACCGTGTACGGAAAATAGTACGTGAGAAAGGGGGGAAGGAAAGGAATACATCAAATTTTCATTTCCTCATCTTCCGTGCATGCATTGATTGATTACCTGGTCCTGATGTCTTCCTATTCGAATCCGTATATCTCATACATGAACAAACCGCCCGCTTCTCTCTGTCATTTTGGTTACATTTGTTGATCTCCCAAACACAACCCACCCACACACACACACATACCTATCCCTCTCTATCTGCACATTTGTCACCAAGACAAACCGTGACCGTATCTGTATCTGTCCGCAACACAACAAAACAACAAAACGCTTGTCCACGCAACAGCATTATCCCTCCCAAATCCGAGCACAACTCATCGGGACTGCAAGAGGAAAAGACACCGCGTTACAAGGAACCCCCTTCTTGGAGCTGGCTCCTCCATAACTCCATAGCCCACAACCCGCCGAGACAGAGCCGCGCAGCAGTCCGAGTCGCACCCGAACCAAGGCGAGCTAGGAGCTGGGGGCGGTTGACTGTTGTAGGGTCTCACAAGCTTCATCCCTCAACGGCCTGGACCAAGTGCTCAAGCAACTTGGCGATCACGCGAACAGGATCAAAAAGGACAAGGCAAGGGCAGTGTTGTATTTACCTTGACCTTCCCTGCTCATTCGTGTGTGCCTTTATTTTTTTTTTTCTTTTCGCCTCTTTGCCTCTCCCCATCCCTCTTCGCCTACTGCTTATTCCACAAGGAAGGTCAGTGTTTATTATCACAGCCATTATCACTCTTATTATTATTGGGGGGGTTATTTTGCCATCCCCGCCACCAGTCGACCAAGTGCACCTGCCACTCCTGTTATCCGTACTTTGCTATTAGAAGGAACGAGGGACGCGGAAGGAGATATACGGATACTTCCTGCCGTTGTTCGATTCTTCTTTTTACCCTATCAAAATCAACCAGATTTGGCATTGGCCACAGACATTCGTAACTTCTGCAACCACACAAGCAATACGTCGCTCAGAAAAAGCAAGAGCTTCTCCCCTTCCCATTCCCCTGCGCACGCCCAGCCGTGTCCATCCATCCATCCACTAGCACCATCTGCCACTGCGCATGCATCTACCACCAGCACCATCGTCATACCTGAGATTCCCGCATCTGACTCCCGCGTCTCACTCCCACCTTTTTCCATCGCGCCTCTCGGGTGTCGACTGCATCGCGCTGCATCCAGCTCAACCTTCGACAAACCAACCACCCCTTACACAGGCCCCAGTTGCGAACGAAAAGCAAACGCGCCGTTCAATACAGATACGTTCTTTGCACACCTCTCGCAGCAACGTCTGCCCCCCGCATAAATAAAGTACGGACCATCCCCAGCTACAACCTCCACACACACACTATCGCAAACCATCACCAACTCTTCCAACAAAAAAAGGCTTTGGCGAACTGGACTCGACAGCTGAACGCAACACAGACGCACGCGCTTATATTTGTTTCCCCCGCTTGTCATAACAAGGTCCAAACGAACGAAACCTTTTTTCGTCCAGGAGACGCAGCCTCAGCCTGTGCTGCTTCTCTTTTCTTTTCTTCCTAACTCGAAGAAGAAATACGATCGAGCCGCGCGCGCGGTCTGAGAGCCGAAACGAAGCTAAGCTACATAGCCTGTCCGATTGCCCAGGATAGGTCGCCCAATTATTGCCCTTAGCCTCGCTTTTAACAATTACCTTCCTCGACCTGCTCGCCAACATCTTTCCCCCCCAATCTCGTCAACAACTCTTGCGGAAGCTTGATTCTCTTGCTTCCCTGCTAGGCTCCCTGCATTCTCTCCATCCCGCTCTGCGACATCCACGCAACTTGGCACCACACAAGCGACCCGCATCGATTATCGACGATCGCGAATCTCCCAACCGCACGCGCACAACACCCTGTGACGACATCTCCCACAGGGAGGCAATCAGACTCAAAACTACCACCTTACAAGACATAGGAGCTACCTCCGGCGCCAATTCAGTATGAATCAACCACACAAGAAGATGTCACTCTCTCAGCAACCCCCGATACCGATTTCCATTACCATCTGCGGCGACGGCGGTTGCGGAAAGTCCTCCATAACCCTCCGCCTTGTGCGCTCTCAATGGACATCCGAATACGACCCCACCATTGAGGACTCGTACTCCATCACCCGCAAGATCGACGGCCAAAACTACCACCTCTCCCTCACCGACACGGCGGGTCAAGAAGAGTACCGTGGTATGTGGGCCTCATCCAACCTCGGCGCCGACGCCTTCCTGCTTGTCTACGACATCACCTCTCGTGACTCCCTCGACGCCCTGCAGTACTTCAACGACCTGATCGACATGGAGGCTGAGACCCGCCTCGACAATGCAGACCGCGCAAAACGCGCCGGCATCTCTCCAGCGTCATACCGCGACACTGTTGCCGCCGGCCCGGGCGCTAAGACCGTCCCGCCCGTCAAGATCGTCGCCGGCAACAAGTGCGACCTGCAGGAGTCGCGCGCCGTGCCTGCCACCATGGGCCTCGACTGGGCACGTCGAAGGGGCTGCGGGTTCATGGAGACCAGCGCACGTTTAGAGGTCAATATCGAGGAGACATTCGCACTCATTATCCGGCGCGTAGCTGAGGCGAGGAGGCTGGCTGAGATGGGCGTCAACGAAAACATGGAGATGGACCGCCGCGGCATGACGAAGCCGCTCAGCCCCTTGCCACCAAGCGGCTTGGACGAAAAGCGCGGCGCAGGTGTGCGACCACCGAAGTTAGAAGGCGGCAAGTACAAGAAGCCTTCGGTATGGAAAAAGCTCCGGTGCTGGTGAGCGTAGTTGCAGTTAGGGGGTGTATACGATTAGAGTGGACGGGACCTCGACTTGTCCCGCGCATCCCTTCTCGGCTAAAGGTTATCATTCACCATGACACAGGCCATAGACAGGCAAAGAAACGGAAAGAGGGATTCATGTAACCGTACACCGGAAACACATTTAGAACAGGTAAGGTAAGGGAAGGGAAAGGAACGGGAAAGGGAAACTACGAACGAAACGTCATGACATGCGCCAACGTTGTATGAAAGAAAGGGCGGGAGGAAAGGGCGGCGGCACTGGAATTATCACTTTGTATTTGGGTTTTTGGTGTTTTGCAGAGTTTGTTATTACTCCCAGACCGGTCCGGTTTAGACGCACGCAAGTGTCTTTTTCTTCTTCTTCTTCTCCTTTGTTCTGGTATCTGAGTTTTTGGTCATGCATTCAACAGCATACATGTAAACACACCACCTCCTCCCCCGGACTGAGTGGGTGGTAGTTGTACAAGGTACCGAAGGCGTACATGGAGTCTTTTTGAGAAGATAGAGAGAACCAGCCTCTCAAATTTACATCATTCGAGAAAGGAGCTAGCTTTCTTGGACTTTTTCACTTCGTTCATGTTTCCGTTTGTTGCTTTTTTTTCTTTTCTTTTCTTTTTTTTTTTTTTTTTTTTTTTTTATATTCTGGTTCATCTTGTACTGGTTCTGGATTTGTACCCGCCTTTACTGCATTGTCCCATTGACGTGGGCCTCTTTCCGGGCTCAGTGTGTTTGTAGTTGTGTGGTTAGATACCAAGGCTCATCAGTCGAATCGCAAAAATGAAGACATTACTTTTCATAATTGGCTCAGGCATCGATTTGATTCGTGCGTGGACATGTTGTATATATATGTGTGTATGTTCATAGTGTATATGTATTGAAAAGAATGTATTCTAACCAAGAAAGCAAGCTACTGAATTCTTTGTTTGAGCACAAGTTACCACCACCGCCGACCTCGATTCCAGGCAAAGATATTTCCCCCGAATTTCCCATCCAACGCCATCAAATAATCATAATAAACATGAAACTCGTCTATCAACACCCTCCCCCTTTTACCTCTAGGTAATCCGTGCCCTGTGTCTATATCACTCTAGTTGGTGATCTTGGAAACGGTCTGCTTCCACAGGCCATTGTGGGACCACATCCAGTTCTTAAGGAACGGGGGATCCATGCCAGTCTCAAAGGCTTCGTTGCGGGCGTGGATCTGCTGGTTGCGGAGCTGCTCCCGAGCCGAAGCACCCCGGTTGTGCAGATGGGGCATGCGGTCGATGGCGTCCATGGCGAGGGAGAAGCGATCCGTCTGGTTACGGATGGCAAGCTCGAGGGGCGTATCGATGTTGCCCTTCTCCTTGTAGCCGCGGACGTGCAAGTTGATGGAGCCCGGGCGCTTGTAGGTGAGGCGGTGGACGAGCCAGGGATAGGAGTGGAAGTTGAAGATGATGGGCTTGTCGTCCGTGAAGAGGGAGATCCACTCGGCGTTGGTGAGGCCGTGAGGGTGGTCCTCATGGGAGATGAGTTTGAAGAGGTCGACGCAGTTGACACAGCGGATCTTGAGCTCGGGGAAGTGCTGGAGCAGCAGGTCAATGGCTGCTAGGGACTCGTGCGTGGAGATGTCACCGCAAGAGGCCATGACGAGGTCGGGCTCTTCGCCCTGGTCGGTGCTGAATTGAGGCCAGATGCCAATGCCCTTGGTGCAGTGCTCGACAGCCTTCTCCATGCTGAGGTACTGCAAGTGCTCCTGCTTGTCGGCAACAATGACGTTGACGTAGTTGGAGGAGGCCAGGCAGTGGTCCATGGTGGAGAGGAGACAGTTTCCATCAGGCGGGAGGTAGATACGAACGACCTCAGGGCTCTTGTTGGCGACGACGTCAAGGAAACCAGGATCTTGGTGCGTGAAACCATTGTGGTCCTGGCGCCAGACGACGGCGGTGAGGAGGATATTGAGAGAGGCGATCTTGTTGCGCCATTCGACCTCAAGGGCCTTCTCAATCCACTTGCAGTGCTGGTTGACCATGGAGTCGATTACATGAACTGCCTGTTGTTAGCGAAGTGTTACCAGGTCTGTTGATAGGTGACTTACTGAATGGTTCGTAGCTGTTAAGCAAACCATGACGGCCAGTGAGGATGTAACCCTCGAGCCAACCCTCGCAGGTGTGTTCGGAAAGCATCTCCATAACGCGTCCCTCGGGGGCGAGGTTGCCGCCGTTGGCATCCTCTTCAAAGTACTCGCCCATCCAGACCTTCTGGCCGGCCTCGTAGACCTTTCCAAGCTTGTTGGACTCGGTCTCATCAGGACCGAACAAACGGAAGCTGGTCTGGTTGAGGGCAATAACATCTCTGAGATAGGTCGCCATGTTGTTCATGCTAGCGGCGTTGGTAGCGCCGGCCTTGTCAACCTTGAGGGCGTACTCCTTGAAGTCGGGGAGCTTAAGCGGCTTCCTGAGAACACCACCATTGGCAACGGGGTTCGCACTCATGCGGCGGTTTCCCGTGGGGCACAGGGACTTGAGCTCGTCGGAAATCTTGCCGTCTTTGAAGATACGATCTGGCTCGTAGCTGCGCATCCAGTCCTCCAAGATCTTCAGGTGCTCTGGGTTGGAGGCGACGCTGGGGATAGGGACTTGGTGAGCCCTCCAGTAGCCCTCCATGTAGTTGCCGTCGATCTTCCGCGGACCGGTCCAGCCCTTGGGACTGCGGAGCACAATCAAGGGCCACATGGGACGGAAGGCCTTGCCAGAGTCACGAGCCTGCTTTTGGTACTTCCGGATCTCGAGAACGCAGTGCTCGAGGGTGGCGGCCATGGCTTGGTGCATGGTGTTGACATCGTCACCTTCAACGAAGTAGGGTTGCCAGCCATAGCCCAGGAACAGGTTCTCAAGCTCTTTGTGTGAGATTCTGGCCAAGATTGTAGGGTTGTTGATCTTGTAGCCGTTGAGGTGTAGAACGGGCAGAACCGCACCGTCGACGATGGGGTTAAGGAACTTGGTGCTGTGCCAGGCAGTGGCCAGAGGACCAGTCTCGGCCTCACCATCACCGACCATGGTCAAGGCGATGAGGTCAGGGTGGTCGAAGACGGCGCCGAAGGCGTGGGAGACGGAGTAACCGAGCTCTCCACCCTCGTGAATGGAGCCCGGAGTCTCGGGGGTGGCGTGGGAGCCGATGCCACCGGGGAAGGAGAAGGACTTGAAAAACTTTTGCATGCCCTCCTCGTCCTCTGACTTCTCCGGGTAAACCTCTGAGTAGACACCTTCGAGGTATGACTGGGAGAGAACGGCTGGGGCGCCGTGACCGGGACCAGAGATGAAGATAGAGTCGAGGTCGTATTTCTTAATGAGGCGGTTGAAATGCATCCAGGTGAAGATCTGGCCCGGAGCTGATCCGAAGTGGCCGAGTAACCTCAACTTAAGATGCTCAATCTTGAGCGGCTCTTTGAGAAGAGGGTTTTCCTTAAGGTAGATCATACCTAGTGACAGGTACAAGCTAGCCTTCCAGAAGTCATTGTACTTCTCGATCTCCTCCTCCGAGAGAGGCTCGCCCTTGATTGTTGAGCGAGCTGGTCCATATGGACTGATGGACTCGACCTCCTTGTCTGACATTGTCGAGGTGGAGGGAGGTGTGTAAGTAATGGGTGTAGAAGATTTAGCTGTGTTTAGGCTAAAATGCCTTGGGAGTGGTGGTAGAAACAAGAGACAGAAAGACAGAAGTGACTTGAGATGGCTTGGTCTTTATAGCTCTCAGTCGAAGCAGAACATGATGGAGTACATACAAACCCGGAGGTTAGTTGCGGTGTCTTTGCCCAGAGAATGGACGGCAGGCGGACAACTCAGCCCAGGCTTGGGACTGATGCTCATGCTCATGGTGCTGATCTCAGGTGGGAAGCAGACATTATCCAACGCGACGCAGGTCCGGGAGCTATCAGTCGATGTTGACGGCCTTGACCGGGGTGGGAGGAGGCGAGGGCTGCGGGCTCTGCACAAGAGAAGATGCGAGTAGGGGGGGAGGGGTTACGAAGGAATGGGACAGGGTACGTAGATGTCGACACTATTCTGGTATCTGTCTAGAACGTATCGGCGGGCCAGGACGAGGAGGAGTCCAGTTGACTGGCAACGTGGGGGGTGGTGGTCTCTATCCGTCACGGTATTCTCCATTGAATGTTGGAACCATGGGCTCTAGTGGTGCTGGTGGCTTCTTCTGCGGAGCTCGGAAAGAGCCTATAACAGGCCGGCGCCGGGGTGTTGGTGGTGACTAGGAGCGGCTGCAGGTGAGCTGAGGACTTTTCGGGGTTTTCCTGCCATGGTTTTGACGGTTGAAGGTTGATCTCTGCGTGGTTGAGCGTGGGGAGAAAGGTGGTCTGATTTTTTGAAAGCGCTCGACTGCGGCCATGGCGCCGGCCGACATGTTGCCGACGTCACCTTACGCCCCACGCCGGTGGCTTTTGTGATGATTACCGCGTCATTATGCTTGCCTATCTTGACTATCCATTTCTTTCAGATGCAGAAAAGATGGTTTTACCAGACTTTTGGCTGTATTGCATGCATGTTGGGCGGTTGTGGTCTGAATAAGCGGCTACTTAGGTGGTAGGAGCGTAGAAGTTGGGAGGGTGTCTAGGTTGAGGTACTTACTGTTTCCAGCTGTTAGGTAATGAGTTACGTTGATGGGAAACGGTAAATGGTAAACGGTGAACGGTTAACATGGCGAGCAATATTAAGTAGAATAAAATAATTACTATACGCAGGAAGTTAGCCTACTGGCCGGGTCATTGAAAACCCCGTTATGAAAAGGACCGGTTTAACAAGTAAGGAAACTGCCACCGCGTAGAAAGGGAAGAAGCAAGGTCAACACGAGGAAAGTGCTTTGGTGCGGGCCATCGGGCCTTCCTCAGACTGCTCTTGCAAACTAGGGCTCCGCTACTGTTGACTGTAAGGCCACTGGAAAATAGCAATCACTACTGTAAGTGCCACTACCGGAAGAGGCTCTGTTTAGGCTTCCGGCTTGGTCAGTCACACCAACCACCAACACCAACACCACAATCCACACAATCCAATCTAAACCGCCCGTTTCCTGTCGGGAGCCTCATTTTGTCTTCGCCAAGTGGTCTCACTACCTAATCTTCGGGAATGAGATTACCATGTCCCAAGATAAAAGGATATTGCCAGATACAATTCGAAGCTTGGCGTGGCACTGAAGCAGATGGCCTCTGTAGAATGTCTCCCTATCATCACGGGACTGTGGCCTCTTTTGTTCGGAAAACAGCTGGAAACAGCAGAATGCTCTTCATCCCAACGCACATAGACTCTAGGGCCTCCGTTCTGGGTTAGTCGCCGCCCACCGCCATACCGTCTCGGACCGTTTGCTCGTACCAGCGCGTCTTGCACTCAACCTTGCCCCTGAGCAAACCAGAGCACACCAGGCCATTTCCCGCCAACTCACCTACCAGAGCAGGCCACTAATTCAGCATCGGGACCCAGTAGCTATCAAAAGTTGAGCATCAGAACCAGCAGCGGCACCAGCAACAGCGCCGTCGATAGAAGCAGAACGGAGCAGAGGATAAAAAGATGAATATCGAAACATAACTTTACTTAGTGGCAAGTAGAGATAGGGAAACGGAACTTCAATGATTCAACGGTCGGTCAGCCGCCGGCCTTGTTACTGGTGTCAACTAATGGAACCCAAGGCACGCAGCAATGTCCCGTCTATTGCATGGTGTGTTTCTTGGCCACGCAGTCGCAGTGCACCTCAAAGTCGACTATGCCACTTACGCTGAAACACGCCTGACTACCGTATCTGCATGGCAGTTGAGTATGTCATCTTCGCCGGCGCCGCAGGCCATGGGCAATGAGCCCAGCGGAGGCCGGCAGGCTCCTTGCCCAAAATCAAAAGCAGCTGATTCCGGGGGTGGCCTGAATCGTGGCATATGCACGCAGATCATGGCACCGCTACTCTCCTGTCACTCTTTGCCTGCCCTAAACCTGGTTAGTACCCCTGCCCACCCTAGCAGCCTGCCTCACCCCGCCGAGTGTCAATCCTGCAGACATCACCCCACCAGCCTGAGTACGACGGGAGCTAGGACCAACCCCCGACAAAACAAATGGAGCTTGGAGCTTGGTGTTAGTCCATGGAAACCGGGTGGTGGTGACATGCATCGAGATTCAAATATCGCATTTTACAGATTTTTTGCTCGGGGCGATTTTCCTTCCTCACTACCGTTTCTTTCACCCACGACTGTTGATTCTTCTCTTATGCCCCCTTGATGAATATGCCAGCCACAATGAATCATCAAAAATTTGGACGCTATGGATATAGAGGGGTAGCAACAAGCAGCGTGCCAGTCGGCTAGACATCGTCAACAGAGGGGTAACACCTTGGCGGGACATTGGCTAACAAGGGGAAGCTCAAGCTATGGATTGGAAGGACAGATATGTATGAGACACCGCCCTGTTGCAAGCCACCTGGCAGCTCGCATGAGCATTGGATTAGGTTGGAACCTACCCTTAAAGCCGACTAACCGCTCGAAACGACGGCACGAGTAGAGTGCATATCACAAATGAGCAAATACACATCTTGACCAGGGTCGGAGGGATTCATCATTTTCGGGACAAGCATCAGCAACCAATGCGAGGGATTGCATCACAACGCGGGGCTGTCGGATAAGGGTCTTTGAGAGTTGCAATGGAAGATATGAGACAAAGAACTCGTCTACTTGCTGGAAGCTACCAAGTACCATCTCAACGAGAGCTGTTTGCAGCTCTGCCTTACTAACCTTGTTGGCTACATGTGTAGATCCTGGAAAGTCACTCGAATCCTAGCAACTTATCGTTGTGGTCTGAGCTGTCAGTGACCCCAGCGGCCTTTCTAGCCAAGGTTTCATCAGTGACCGAGGCTGAATGATCCTTTGAAGAGCCTACAGAAAACGGTCTTCTCACCGCAACATCGCAGACGAGAAGGCTACGGTTGGCTCGGGACCCTCGGGGAGGAGATCTCCGCAGGAGGCTTTGTCGTCGGTGGGGTTCCAAAATCCGATGTTCTGATGTTGGAGGGGCTTTGACAGCTGTAATCAGTGCTTTGCCGCATGCAATTCGCATGCGGGTCACCCAAGATGGGGCCCGGAGAGACAGGGGTCTATGGGGAAATGACTGTCAACATGCGGGAGCTAATATTTTACAAGCACCTTCCAAGAGGTTCAACATTGTGGATAACTAACAAGACACCAGAGCTGCCCAGTCGGGAGACAGCCTACCGTTGCAGACACAGTTATGAGGGGCTCGCTGATCAGGAACTAGAATGAAAGCCTTGGAAAGTTAGGACAGTTTGTGTAGGCGAGAGCTGCGCCATGCTTGAAATCTACTTTGTATGAAAGGCTTACTATGTAGTAGGACTCTCTGTTTTTCCTTACCCTTCTACAGTTGTCATTGGCGATCCTAGTTGGCAGAAGAGTGTTTGTATCGGATCCGTTTTAGCCAGGGTCGCTGCCCAGCGACAACATCTCACGCTGCCCGCTGCTCGCTCTGGTCTGATCCCAAATGACAATGACGGATCAGTAGCTTCCTCTCATGCGAGATTACCTCCGAGGTCTCGTTCCACCGTCCATAGAGCGCATTCGTGAATTTCATCTGTCGAACACCTAAACCACACACTTTGGACACTTTTTGGACCCCTCTGTTTGTATACTCGTTCCCAATCCGTTTACCCGAAGCTGACGACCACTTCGAGCTACGAACACCCGGAAGGACCGCCCAAACAATAACCGTGCTTCAGTTAGATTATCTCCAAAAGTCGTCGCACTCCCACATCATGGTGGCCTGACGTCACGTTCCCCGCCGATCAATGGCGCTACCGATCTCCGATTATTTGATTCATCGCAGAGGCATATAAGGTTTCCCATGTCGCTGTCGCCATCGTGTACGAACGACAGACGACAGAACTTTCTTCCAGTTTTGCATCCCACAACTATCAGACAGCGATCAACAATTTGATACTAGGTAGAGTGATCAAGATGAAAGTATCACAGTACCCAGCTGACAATGTGTAAATTGCCACAGATAAAGACGACATGGCATCGTACCCAAGTCATAAGCCCCAGACCCCGCAACCTCCCCCTCCTATTCCCATCAACGACGGGGACGACGAGCAGAGCGATGTGACAAGAGACTACTGAATGGCGAAAGAGGGATAATCAAACCAGATGCAGATCTTCTACAGGATTTGAGGATTGTTGCAACTGGCCTCGCAATTTTGGACATTTACTTTATAACTGGGACAAGGACACGCATCATGAAGACTGTGATATCAACTCGAGAAATCTGTATTAATTATCTTGGTTCAACGCATATTTTCTACCGCTCTCCCATATGCCGTCTAGCTCTGCACCCTAGTGATTGAAACCCTACTCTTCATGTCTCTCAGTATCCGTAGACGCTGGATCTCGGTTCTCTTCCATATCACTTTGAACTGCCATGATCACCGCCCGCCCCCCCAAACCCCGCACATTGCTACGGTTCCAGAAACCCGGATCAATGTACGCCACCGACTTGAGATCAGACCACAGCTCCCGCCGGGGTGACTATATGCCCCGTGCTTTTGACGTGAGTATTGCATAGAACGCAAGCCCCCTGACGATGCAGTCTTCCATTCATCCGTTCGGCGGGCAGGCGGCGGGCCCCCCTTCAAGCGAGATCTTGCAGTCCAGGTACCCAGATACCGGCGACTTGCAGCAGCGCTCGCATACATCTGTTTTCTCATCTTGCATGATACTGCGTCAGGGCTTGGATCTTGCAGGTTGGGTTGAGCTGAATCTTGCAGCGGCCGGGACAGCCGATGTGGGAATGGTAACTTATGGGAACTGCAGGAAGGAGCGTTAGAGGATGGAATAACTGATATTTGATATTCAAGGTAAGGGAACGTCCGGGAGGGGGGGGGGGATCCGGGGTGCTAGTTGTGATGCAGTAACATCTTATTAGAACACTGCGTGGGATGGACGTGTCTTGTTGTCTGATGCTGGGTGCCGACATCTCTTCAAGGCATTTGGTTAACATTACGTTGGGACAAGTCATCGTATTCATATAGACTGCCGATGGAGAAACAGTGAGCACAAGGGATAAATACATACGACCTCCGTGAGATACTGACAGTTTAATGTATACCAGATGCCGCGGCGCTATGACGACCTGCTTCTCTAGTTACGCTGGATTCTGAGGTGTCGCTACATACTTGACTCTTTTGGCTCTGCCGAGTCTACAAGGCCTTCAGATACTTATCCTGTGTCGAAGCACTGATTCTGGTATTCCAAGTAAAACACATTAGCAAATAGTCGCTAACCACCGCATGAAGCTGGGCGTGTGACATGACCGGAGCCTCTTTGACGCGTTATAGGTTTGCCATTTCCGCCACTGGTGCTTTGGAGCAACCAAAATCGTAGACTGCTCTAGGAAGAGCCAACGCACTCAAGTTGTAAGTAAGTAACTAGGTATTAGTTAGCAATGATGTCCGGTCCGCATCTACTACATTCAAAAGGCCAAAGCCGGCAAATCTCACTCGAGCAAAAGCTGAAATCCAACTCCATCCGGCAAAAGAGAATGCCCCCTCACGGGATTGAACCGTGGACCTTCTCATAATTCGCACACGATACGAGTGAGACGCTCTACCACTGAGCCAAAGGGGCGTGGACTTCGTCGTGGTTGGACGGTAATGCGTAAAACATCTCCACACTCGCTCAATCGACGATGTTGCAGATATCAACCGATTCCCAATTTCGATCGGGCATGGAGCGGGGCATGAAGAGCGGGGCTCGCACTCCAATGCATAACGCAAGTGAGGAAGTCAGTATCAGTTATGACAGTCAATAAAAGACTTCAGAAAAGAGAAATGGTATGGTTCGTGAATCGTTTTCTTGTCTACATATGGGTATTGTACAGCAAAAATACCATGCTGCAAATTTATCCGACCACCATGCCGCCATATTCTTCGTTAGTCATGCTGGTGGTAGAGGCAAGACCACCAAATAGCTGTCGACGAAAGCTAGAGCTCCCGTGTGCGTCCGTCATCGTAAGATCCGCTGTCTTTAACCCATTTTAAGTACTATTATGGCTGGTCCAAACTTTCTCGGCCTTTTTGCTTCCAATAGTCTACCAGAACAGGGGACTCTCTTCGATACCTGCCAGAGACCATATTGCTTTGTTTTGGCCCCGAAATATTTGATTGGTGCAATATCACCAATCGCGGAGTTGGCCTAATTCTGCGGCGCGCAATGAGCTTAGAAGCCCGCAGCTCAGTCGAGTTGGAAGCGCTGAAGAGCTCTTCGCGCCTGTGGAACAGCTTTCGAAACTCAGCTTTCTGTTGACGACGGTTTCTCCGGTTTTCGTCTCGCTTACCTCTCTCGCCATCGTCATCATCTTCATCCACGCCGTCCTTCTAAGTCCGGTCGTTGCTCTGTGACGGTACAGAATCATGCTCGACCACATTGCGGTCGGAAGCCGTCTCGTTAGGAATTCCTTCTCCATCAGCCCTCGCCTCTGCCACGTCAATCAAGTCGATATCCCCATCGGTGTCCTTTTGAGCCTGGCCGGATGTTGCCTCTACTCGTTTGGGAACTCGCACCAGGTCGAATCTCATTTCGTCTTTGACGTAGCAAAGGTAGTATGGGTCACCATTGCTGTTCAATGTTTTCAGGACCTCTTCAGTGTTAGCGTTTTCGGTAACTATTCCGTCATTATACTTTCGCCAAATGCCGTCCTCGAAGTCATGAATCCAGACCCAGTAGTGACCAGCTGTCAGCCGGCCACTATGGCAGATGACGGCATGCAAACGGTAGGCCTGCTGTTTGTGCTGAGAGAATAATTCGTCCAGCTCAGCTTTGTACTTCTTCACTTCGTCTTCACGCATGTTGTTGATTTGTTCTCGTGCAGCTGGAGTAACGCTTGCCGCAGCAGGCGGCTCGATCTTCTCAAATGTTGGCTCCGAATGAGGCGTGTAGGTTTTGAATGGAGCTTCTTCCCCGGCAAAGCTGAGCGATGATACCGGCTGATCTGCTAAAAGTGAAGGCTCAAAATCCGATTTTTCAATGCAGACAAAGTCTTTGATAAAGCCATCCATGATTTGTAGGTCTTCGGTAGTGGTCCTGGAAATGCTGTTTAACTGCTCCAAGCGCTGCTGCAGAGCCCATCCTTTTTGTCTCAGCTTGAAGAACTCAGGGTCCCCAGGAGTATCCATGTATCGATCAAGATAAAGCATCTCCGATACTTCGACAGGGTTCATATTCTTGTGCCCGTCATTCTTGGTTCTTTGGATGAGTACGTGCAAGATAGGAGGAAGATTCTTAATCGAAGTAAACCGCATGATATCTTCACCCTTCTCAACAGCAACTCTTTGCAAATCAAAGTTCCGACTGAGGCCTTCGTGAATTGTGCTTGGGCCAGTTTCCGCAGGGTATGCCGTGATTGCTCTTTCTAGGGTTGAATCCGGTGTAAACTTTGTCTGACTCGGCATTCTTGTGTGGTTCGTCAACTCGACGTAGAATGTTTTCATAATAGGTTCCCACTGAACTCCATCTTTACTTATTTCAGTGGGCCGGATTGCTGCCTGCAGGCGGTTGATGATACTGCCCATGACTTCTTCCACGTCTTGTTGATCGGTCCCGGAGGAGCGCTTCTGGGTCTCGAGGGCTTTCAGTACTCTCTGCTCGATCTGCTGGACAGATAGGATTGGCGTTTCGGCGTCGATCATTTGAACATCGTTATCTGGTACAAGTTCGGGTGCCGGCTCGTGTTTGTTCGAGTTGAGTTTGACGTCGCTCTTCTCCTCGTCAGCATCTGGCAAACTGACCAAGGTCTGCGAGCTTACGCTGCTTGCAGATTCGGAGACAGGGTTAACAGAGACGTTAACCATGTTGACATCTTCTACATGGTCCACGTTCTTAGTAGGTGGTCCAGGAGCCGGACGTGCTGGCAGGGGAGGAGGGATGGGGAATTGAGCACCCATAACCTCTTGTGTTCTCTGTGCCTCGGGCTCTTTAGCCTCTACCGCGTTTGACTCCTTCTTGATCTGACTAGTGGGTAACAGAACGGCGTTGGCAAGACGTTGGGATGGGCGAATTGCGATCTCCTTGGTGTTATCGAGGTTGTCTAATAGTCTGTCAAGCTCTTCAACGACTTGCGAAAAATCAGCATCAAAATCAGTAATCGACGGTTTCGCGTTTAGACTCACAAATACGTCCAATAACGGCCTCCGCAGTTTCGACCTTGAGCTTATTACCACCAATAAGTCTGTTGGTGATATCAGATTCCTCGAGTCCCAGCTGATACTCTGAATACTGAGCGAGCAACACTCTAATTGGGATAACCGTCCTCAAGTACTGCAAAATGCTGTTCAGGTAACACGTGTTACCAATATTTTCGAGGCCAGCGGGCAGATCTAGACGGGGCTTGGGATCATTTTGAACACTGCCAGCATCGACTGAGAACATTTGACCATCTTGCGATTGCTGCTGCATGCGCGAAAGATCTGCTTTCAGAGAGATGGCAGCTTGTCGTAACTCATCGCTGTTTCTGTCGGCAGCGATAGCTTCCATAGCCTCAACTGCTTGCGCAACAACAGCTTTATTTTCGGGGTGTTTGTTGAGCTAAACTGGTCAGTTACAGTCTCAATCAAGTATTCGGCTTCGTTCAACAAACCTTAACACTGCACATCATCGATATAGTACTGTCGGGCCACTGTGGATCCGCCTCAAGAATGCGATAAGCTGCAGCGACATCCATAGGGCCACTTGCATGATTGAGAATCCTGTCATTGGACCTGTGCCGCCCAATTATTTGTAGCATCTCGCGCGCTGAGTCAGCCTGGGAGGGCGAATGCTCGATTTTCTTGTTGAAAGCATGGATGACAGCGTCGTCCGTCGCTGTGTACTGCAAACTGAAGAAAGAATATGCCTGCTGCTCCAACTCATCACCCGCACCATAATGACCCGCAGTGGGCATTCTCTCTACCATGGTGAGCTCCTGAATTGCCCGGGTTTGGAATTCATCATCAGCAGTTTCTTGAGCAATATCACGAAGTGCCTGAACATAATCAGGCCGACGTTGCTCACATAAAATAGACTGGCGGTTATAAGCATAGAAAATGAGTGCCTTGTCAAAGTCAGGCAGAACACCAAGGGTCCGATGAGCTTCGACTGGTCGCGGGGAAACCTTGTTCTGCGGATAGTCCAGGCATTGGAGCTCCTTGAAAACACGATTTCCTGCCACAGGCCGGTTTTCTCCAGGTTTTCCATTGCGAATAATGAGACTTTCCGCTTCAGCTTGCATATCCTCCACGAATGCCCGCAAAGTACTCAGTCTCGTTGGCGTACCCGCAGTGCCAGGTTCCAGAACAGGAGGGATGAAGTAAGGCTCCAGAACGCCATCTTTGTCGAGTATTTCCTCAGAAAACTCAATCGCTTTAAAGATAACATAGCATTCCTCACCAAAAACTACCTGGAAACGCTTGTTGCGTTGAGAAATATTGCGTGGGTTTGGCTTATCCAGCAGGTCTCTCAAGTACGTGTTCAGCGTTGACGGCGCGCTGGTACACCAATCATCCCTAGCATCTGAGAATCGGTCAGGCGACTGTTTTCGTGCTCGCGCTAGGTTGTCCAAAATGCGTTGTTGGTCGGTTAGTAGCTGTACCCACTCGCGCTTGAGGCGAGGGCGTGATATCTCGACCGTCACTTGGAACGTACAACGGGGAGCTGAACAACCGAAATGTTCGACGGCAATCAGAGATTCCCGAATCAAGGGATGATAGTCAGACGTGTAGTCTTGGTTTTGAGGCGGCTGCTCAATATTGACAAGGTGATGTAGGTAAAAGTCTGTGTCCTTTGGCGGAAAGTGAACAGGAAACGGTTGGCAAAGACACACCAACTGGTCAGCATCCCAGGCCGTCCTTATGAGAAAGTGAAAGTCACATGTAGTGCAAACGCACGAGAGGACGCCAGGGTTTCGTCCCTCGGCACTGCTTTGATTCCCAACAAGAACGAGAGTGTGCGTTACGGTCTTTCTACTGCAGCGTGCGTTCGGGTCCCATTGGATGTTTGTGAAGGAACCGACGTCCAACTCAGAATTCAGAAGATCATGAACCCATCTGGGAGCGAGTCGACCTATAGAACAGTCAGCTTATATTCCTTGTCCTGAGATCATGGCGTTTCCAGTTGCAATGAACATCAGCACTGCGACGACCGCAAGGCCGTATAACAGCTATAGCTTGACATACCCGACTTGCCGGCCATGCTCTCCTTTATCAGAGGCGAAAAGCCCTCCCAGTGTTGCGCCGTTGGAGGTGAACCATGAGGCGACATTATGCCGTAGCCGTCGGTCGCAACCATTTCTTAATTGCCAGCCAACCTGCAATTGGAGTGAGGATGACGGATCGTAGCTCAGTCTGTGGTGCCGCTCTCGTTAGGTCTTCGATCGATCGCTGTCGTTCGCTTGTGTCAAAGAGGTATTCCGGGCCGGATATAGTATCGCTTTTCGAAGTTACGTGCTGAGATCTGTGTTCGATCCTTGGAGAGAAGGTGTCGTTCAGCGGGGGCTTCTGCGCAAGAGTCAGTACCAACACGTCTATATGAACAATCGTGAAATCAAAACATACATGACTCAACAACCTCTCATCGACAAGTTGGATGTGCCGGCCAGGTAGTCTCCGACTGGATCCAAACGGAGGGTGCCTCTGTTTGAAGGGTTGGAAATCTGAGCGACAGGAAGCAGCCACGGCTACTAGCTGTAGCAACAGCGGGGCGAAACAGATGGAGGAAGCTTTGGGTATCTATGCGCGAGGGCAAATAACATAACCCGGGAGAGAATATGAAAACCGTGGAAGCTGTCCCAGCAGAAACACAGCAAACATTACGCCAGCTTTCATGCAATGCGTCAAGGGTAAATAATGGCGGGCCTAAACTATGCGCCAGCTTCTAGAAGGTGGCCCCGGGACCTGGTGAGGTAAGGCAAAAAGGTGGGCAGGTGTGGCGGGGAGGAAACGTGGACAGGCTGACGCAACTGGCAGCCTCGCACAGCGGTAGCTGTATCGGCTGTAGTGTGCTAGTGTACAATGCAGTAGCGCAACTCCTAGGCCGTCAATGGTACTGCTGAGATGTAGCTCGGCACCTGCGGTGACTGAGGTAAGGCCGACCTTGTTCCCGTGCTGCTTCGTTTGCCCCCCCAACTCGGCGTGGAGAACAAATAGCTTTAAGGTACTACCGCTAGGTTCTGTGTGGCTAGAATCACATGGAACGCAAGGATATGGCTTCCAAAGCAAGGATTCACTTCATACATTACCACAGACAGGCAGGTGATTTGGCACGTGACCTTTGACATCCTTCAGTTGACTACAGAGGAAACATCTAAAGCTTAGTCATCTCAGCTCCAGCCAATAGCAAGCGCCGCTGTCATTTCATAGTAAATATGAACCACAGTTCACCAACTTTACAAGGAAAAAAAGGATCCTACGGAGAGTTGTTGATAATTTGAGGGATCTTGACTTTTAAATGCACTCAATTGGCAAAATAGCTTATTGGAAGTTTCACTGAGTCCAACGCAGGCGCAACTTTCTCAGCCGAGTTGACCATCTCCTGCACGCTGATTGGCCTTACACCGATAGAAACCACGTGACTAGACCACCGGATGTGGAGCACCTTTCCGTGGAGCTTCAACCCGACCTCAAACTTCCGCAACATCCCTCACCAACTTTCGTCTTTTCCAATTGAGTGTTTGGCCCGCAGAGCCCCCCCGAACCCACCATGGCCGGCGACGACACGTACCACCCCAAGGATGCCATCAAGTCCGGCATCACGGCTGCCACTGCCCTAGGCGGTACTGGTTTCTTCCTGGCCGCTGTCACCAACGCCCTCCAGAAGCAGAATGTCGGCGCCATGTCTGTCTTCACACGTAGCGGAGGCATCATCGCCGTCATGAGTAAGCCGTCTTGGTTTTCTTGACGAGTCTTGTCATGGGACCGAGGAATACATTGGGACGTATGGCTGACGGGGCGTAACAACAGCAATTGGTGGAGGCGCATACGGCTTCACCCAGTCCGCAATGGCCAATCTGAGAGAAAAGGATGATGCGTGGAACACCGCGACTGCCGGCTTCGTCGCAGGTTCTATCTTGGGAATGACAAGTACGGATATTTCCTCTCCCTAAACCCAATCGTTGCACTAGCGAAGGACACGTACTTACGAGCCGACTAAAATACAGCCAAGAAGATGCCCGTCGTGCTCGGCCTCGGCGCTGGCTTCGCCGCGTGGCAGGGTATCTTTACCGTCACCGGCAGCCGCTTGAGGGGATGGACCGACAGATTAGACGAGGATGAGTTCGAGACCAAGATCGCCCAGCGCGCGGCCAAGAGACGTCCGATTGAGGAGACGATTGCAGAGATTGGCGAGGGCCGAGGTACATTTTCCCCTCCCTCCTACCAATTTTACCACAATCCGTGTGTGGAGGCTGACATATGTTAGGCATCCGGCCACCCGGCTACGAGGAGCGGAGACGTGAGAGACTTAAGGAGAAGTACGGAGTCGAGATCAACCCCGTCAGGGCAACTGTCGAATAAAGGAAACATTCCCCAAAACCCCACCACCACTACGAAACACCCAACCCGCCAAGCGAGGCATGCTCTTTTTTTCTTCCCCGTTTGTATATACACAGGCCCGCGAGAAAAACTGTGGGCATAAGAAGAGGAGTCTCATCGGCTAGAGGAATGGAGAACTTGTACTATTTTTTCCAATGCTCTTTGAGCTTTCTTTCGCGTAGCTTTCGCGTGATGTGTGCTTGTCTCTAATGACGCACCGCCGACTGCGTCATCAAAACGGTACGTCTTCTTGCATGCTAACTTGCGCTACTACCCTTCATGATGATAAACTAGCTTCAGAGGCTGTTTATGAAAATTGTTATGATTCGACCCATCACCGTTCTATCATTTGTCTGATTTACGCTCCTTCATTCTCGATATTGTTGCTCTTCAACCTTGGTAGCTTTTGCTAATTACGTCAAGTTAGATCTTCGCGAGCCAAGATGCAAAAACATCGACAAGTCTCCTCAACTCACAACATAATAGAATGTAAGCTTCACGCCCATGTCCTTTCCTTCCTCACTCTACATGATGATATACTAGCTTCAGAGGCTGTTTATGAAAATTGTTATGATTCGACCCATCACCGTTCTATCATTTGTCTGATTTACACTCCTTGACTCTCAATATTGCTGCTCTTCAATCTTGGTAGCTTTTACTGACTACGTCAATTTAGATCTTCGCAAATAAAGATGCCAAGACATCGACCAGGGTGTAACTCACGACAGATGTAAGCCTCGCCCCGGCTCTTTTCTTCCCTACTCTATATGATGATACATTAGCTTCAGAGGCTGTTTATGATCAATTATGATTCGACTCATCACCGTTCTATCTTTTTGTCTGATTTAGTTCTCCTGTTATCGCATTGCAAGCAACTCGAATTAGCAACATTCACTGACTGCTTCAACTCAGTTTCACATATTTCCATACACCCGTCTGTCTCAAACTATGAGACTCTCTTCGAAGTAGCTCAGGGTATGTCTGCTCGTGGTTTCTTTTTTTCCTCTCCATGATGATACACTAGCTTCAGAGGCTGTTTATGAACTTTTCATGATTCGAAACATCACCGTTCTATCTTTTTGTCTGATTACTACACCTTTCACCTGCCTTCTTTTACCGCTATCATTATTTGACAATGGCTAACTTAGGATGCTCAGAATAGTTATGGCTGTTCAGTTTTCATTCTCGTTCTGTTTCTGTAATTGGTCAGTTAAATGGTACGTTCCCCATCTTATGAGTCTCAAGTCCTGCCCTTTTACCATATGATGAATCCTAGCTTCAGAGGCTGTTTATGATCAATTATGATTCGACCCATCACCGTTCTATCATTTTTCTGATATTTTCCCAACATCTATTAATATTCTTGCTCTTTGTTTTACGGAACCGTGACTGACTGTGCATCGGTTTATAGCGTCCTCTCGCATCAAGGTAAAGCAAAGCCATTCACATCACACAACTTAAACTCTGAGGTAAGCTTCTATTCGATACATCCTTGCCCCCGTGTTCTTTCCATGATGAGACTCAGCTTCAGAGGCTGTTTATGAATTATTTAATGATTCGAAATATCACCGTTCTATCATTTTTCTGATCCCTTGCACACTACAAATTCTTGCTACGCCTGACGCATCCGGAACAGACAGTGGCTAACCCCATATCTTCAGTTCTTCATCATACCTCAATGGACCCCGCCACCTCGATGTATCCGATACTTTTCAGCCATACTGGTAAGTCCCAATCTCCTACCGCAAACACCCAATTTCCCGCTTCCATGATGAGATTCAGCTTCAGAGGCTGTTTATGATTACATCAATATGATTCGAAACATCACCGTTCTATCATTTTTTCTGATTTCCCAACCAAACCTTCCATTATTTGACCATCATGTGTTCAAACGTTATCCTAACTCACGGTTTTAGATTTACCCCCTTGTTCGCCGGCATTTCTAATACCTCTCTTGCTGACGTCGTTTGGACGTGGCAGGTGAGTACAACCCTAAACTATCTGGTAAGTTACTATGCCATCCTCCTCAGCATCTTCCACCCTATTACTATGATGATACTCAGCTTCAGAGGCTGTTTATGAACATCGTTATGATTCGAAACATCACCGTTCTATCATTTGTCTGATCTTTTTTTTTTTTTTTGTACTTGACACCTTGTTAGCATATGTTTGGTTTTACCATGTACTGACTGATCCAAAGTCTAGACCCCACGACATCTGCAATCATTGACATCTGACCATGTCTTATTGTTTAATCTTATAAGTTATCAGTGTATTTCTACAGATGTAGTCCTATATAGCCATGAATCCCTTTAGCCATTCCAGTAGAGGCTTGCCAATATCATTACACTGCCCCGTGCCCAGTGCCGGTTGTCAAAACCCCTAAACGCCGTGCCCCAAAGTCGGACCATTTTTAACACAAGCCCCCTTACAAAGTCTTGACAGATTGGAAGAAAGGGTTCGCAAGCAGCTTCTCATCCGCCATAACCAAACCCTTCAACTTCGACACCATCTCCTCCTTGCTCATCGATCCGGCAGCAACCTCCTCCTTCCACTTGAGGAGGATCTCCTTCAGCATTGTACTGCCCTCCTCCATGTCCGTCTTGCTGTACTTCAGCCCCAAGTCTTCGTGCTTGGACGTAAAGTCCTCAAGCTCATCGGCCTTGCGCTTCGCCATCCGCACAACCTTGTCGGGAAACCTGACGAGCTCAGCAACATGAATGCCGAAACTCTGGTCGCAAACTCCGTCCTCAACCTTGTACAGCAGCGTCACCTCGCGCTTGTTATTCTCGCCACCGCTAATGTGCGCCGTCACATGGAGGTTGTGTACCTGGGGATGCTCATCCGCCAGCGCAGTTAACTCGTGGAAATGTGTTGCAAACATGGCGAAACATCCAATCTCCTTAACTATATGTTCGGATATGGCCCACGCCAGTCCAAATCCGTCATAGGTCGAAGTACCACGACCTAGCTCGTCGATGATGATGAGAGATTCCGCTGTAGCCGACTTGAGAATATTGGCCGTCTCAAGCATCTCAGCCATAAATGTAGAGACACCCTTGAGTTGCGAATCGCTGGCGCCAACACGCGCAAGAATCGAGTCGAAGATGGTCAACTCAGCCTCGGTACATGGGACGAAGCAGCCGATCTGAGCCATCAGAGCGATGACACCGATCTGGCGAATGTAGGTCGATTTTCCGCCCATGTTGGGACCGGTGATGATGAGGAAGGACGACTTATCCCTCGTAAGGGAGACGTCGTTGGTGATGAACTGAACGTCATCCTGCATTTCCAAGCATGGGTGTCGAGCCTCCTTGAGGATAGTCTGGCCCTCGCCACGCGCGTGGATCGTGGGACGGACGTATTCTGAGGGCGCATGGACGGAGCAGTGAGCAAAGGAGACAATGACGTCAAGGTGTGCCAGAACACCGGCGAGCTTCTCCAAGACTGGGGAGTAAGATGCCGCGACACCGACAACTTCGTTAACTAGGCTGCTTTGGGTGCGGTTGTAGTTCTGCGAGAGCTGGTCGAACTCGCGGCGGAGACTCTGAAGGGTTTTGGTCGTGAAGTAAACTCCGTTCTTCTGTGTGGAGCATTCTTGGTAGCCCGACTTATTCCGGATAGCACCAGCTTCCTGTCTGGTAAGTCTCATGCAGTAGCCGTGGACTTTGTGGTTTTCGAGGAAGATTTTCTTGCCAACTTCCTGCTTAAGGTCCCGAGCCGAGTCAGCGAATTCCTGGTCGATATCTCTCTTGAGCTTGTCGAGTTTTTTCCTGATGATCCGCAGGCTGTCGTCGAATTCAGGCTTGATGATGTACTCGTGGTTATCCAGCGCGTCAAGGTCAACAGTTGTCTCAACCATTTCTGCAAGCTTTACGAGACTGTTGGAGAGCTCACGGAGCGGGGCTGTGTAGGCTTCATCAAGAGGATCCTTGTACTGCTCATCCATGACACCCTCGAAGGTTCCCAGGAAACCAGGCAGGCGAATAACGACCTGGTACGCGCGGACAACGTCTTCGAGGTTGGCCTTGCCTCTCTGGAAGCGCTTGGCAAGGCGATAGAGATCCGGTACAGAGCGAAGATGTTCCTCCTGCATCGTCTGCCTCAGTTCAGTGTCGTTGATAAATGCTTCGACCAGCTGCTGACGCTTCACGATATCCGCTCTGTTCATTAGCGGCTGCTTCAGCCACTGTGAAAGCAACCTGCTGCCCACTGGGGTCTTGCAGTGATTGAGAAGACCAAAAAGACTCATGCTCTTGGCGCCATCCCGAGCGCCGGGCATCAGGTTGAGAGCCTTCAGAGCGGCAGCATCCAGCTTCATAAATTGAGAAAGGTCATGTTGGTACAACTGATACTGCCCAAAGTTGGAGGGGTCATGAAGCACGCCGAGGTACTTGATAAGCGCCGCAGCGGAACCCATTGCCAGCTTGAGATCGGTCTGAGGAAGGAGGCTCGAAGCTCGCTCATCCTTCAGCAGTCGCGCCAAGTCCTGTTCGATATCCTTAGTGCCGAACTCGGTACCAGAGCGCTCTGAAATGGCAACGCCACAGTTGACGATGATCTGCTTCAACTTTGCCAGATCAGGGTCTTTAGCCTTCTCAGCCTTGTCAGTCTGAACAAGACACTCCCTGACCCCAAGCTGAATGAGCAGAGCTTCAAAGTTGGAGAAGAGATCATTGTCGAGGAACTCGCTGACGCCCAGTTCCCGTACGCTAGCGTCTGCAAAGCAGACGCCCACACTCCTAGCTTCCGAGGCCTTGGTGGAGATTTTGACAGCAAGAATCATTGGTGCAGCCTCGATTTGACCCCCGAGGTCCTCCTCGACGTCCTGCAGGTTACCTGGCGACGCCTGCTTTACGACCTTCCAATTCATGCGGCCGCCAGTGCTCTCCCATATCTCTAGTCTCTTGCCGAGCTTGAAGAGGGCTTCTCGGAGGAATTGTCGAAACACCGTAACAGTCATGGTCACAGAGGCGAGTCCGGTCTTATCATCTCGACCTAGTGTCCTTACAACGGACGTTGTCTTGTAAACCTAGAGAGGGTTAACTCAGACAAGAATACCTGGAATTGTATATCATACTGTGCGGGCAATAAAGTTTGCATCTTCGCCATGTGCAGTGTACCAATCACCTCGATCGAATATGCGGACTGTATCTTCGTGGACGGCTGGAAGGGACTTGAAGAAGCGGATGAAGCCATGCTCGTCATCGACCTGGTGAACTTTGATTTAGCCAACGGCTTTGAAAACATACGAAAAAGCATTACGAACCTTCAATTCGGGTCTGGAAGACATTTTGTAAACTGGTTAAACGCTGAAAAAGGACAAGTGAGAAACAGAACAAAGTCGGAAGCGAAAATGGGTGTAACCAGAAAGTATTACACCCCCGTGTACAGCTGCTCTAGAGGGCGCGGGTGTTAAAGTGGTTTCTGGTGGCGCGTCTTCTATGCCGTTTAGCGGGGAGACGCGTCGCGATCGCGCTAGTCCCGATAGTGATTGACCGCCTAAATAAATCTGCCGTGTCGGGGAGCAACTGGCTTCAGAGCGGGAAGCCCCTCTAGCCTAATAGAGCTAGACTACAGCAAATCTTCCTGCAGCTTTCTACTGAAGCCTTTCCTTTTTTTACGAGTACAACAGACCAGGGAGAGATTCTGCTGTGATCCAGGCCATATCTGAAGCATTACTCGTAGTACTCTTAACACCATATCGTGTTACTATAATCCCACAGGAGCATTGAGAATGTGTCCAGGTGTTGATTTGCCAGGGGAATATTAAAGGTCCTAGTTACCTTATGCTGTGCAGGACACTGCATCTCAGAGCGCGAGGTCTCAATTCTAATGCTTCCGCCCCACTATATACCATAAAAGATTTAGTGCACTTCTCCAAAGCGGCAGCTACGCAACGGCTGCAGGACAATCATCGCAAAGTATCGACAAAATTTCCAAAAAGTCCCCCACTTCCCACCCCAAACTTTGCAGTCATAGCCAACCTCACGATCGTATCGATGGCCAGCACAACTACGGAACCTGTTGGTCAGCCAGCAAAAGATCTCGAAATGACTGACGTTAAGCAAGACCAAGCTACCGTTCCTTCCACGGTCCTCAATGGCGACGAGGCGGTGCCGAGTGGTGGGGTAGAACAGGCAGAAGGACCGCAACCAGCTGCTACGTCCTGCGATTCAACAGAACCCAACGACCAGCAAGGACAAGGGAGCAACAACAACGGCGACGAGCCCAAAGTTTCTAAAAATCAATTGCGCAAGATGAAGCGCAAAGCAGCATGGGAAGAAGGCCGTGAGGACCGCAAGCGCAAGCGCAAAGACAAGCGCGCCGACCGCCAGGCCGCTCGGCGCGAACAAATCGCTGCCATTGTCGCCGACGCCGAAGCCAAGGGTCTCGATCCCTCACAAATCGTCATCCCGCCTAAGCGCAAGACGCCGAAGGTGCCTGCCACACAGGTCCCTGTCAGTCTGATTCTCGATTGCGACTTTGAGAAGTACATGATGGAAAAAGAGCTCATCTCGCTGGCGAGCCAAATCACGCGGTGCTACTCAGATAACCGAAATGCCCGGTACCGTGCGCATTTGTACATAAGCTCGTATGGTGGAAAGCTGAAGCAGCGCTTTGAGACGACACTAGCCGGTCAGCATACGGGCTGGAAGGGAGTGAAGCTTGTCGAGGGCAACTTCATTGAGGCGGCCAAAGATGCGGGTGAGGTAATGAGCGGAGATCGTGGCGGTGAGGTGATTGAACTCCTGAAATCGGAGGACGCAGAAGGTGCTCCAAAGAAGCCTGCTGTGTCCTTGGACGTGTACGACAATGCGCCCACTCCCGCAGCCGAACCCGAACCCATCGATGAGCTGAAAAACATCGTCTACCTCTCCGCTGATTCGGTCAATACTCTCGATCGTCTCGAGCCTGGTGTGAGCTACGTCATTGGTGGACTCGTCGATCGGAACCGCGAAAAGTACCTGTGTCACCGCCGCGCGCGTGCGTTGGGGGTTCGTACTGCGAAGCTGCCTATCGGAGAGTATATGAACATCTCTAGCAAGCGGGTGCTGGCAACGAACCATGTTGTGGAGATCATGCTGAAGTGGCTTGAATCCGGAGACTGGGCCGAGGCATTCACAGCTGTGATTCCCAAGAGGAAGGAGGCGAAGCTTAAGGGGGAGGTAGGCAGCGCCAGTGGTACACCAGCTGCTGAGACAGGCGAGGGTGAGGAGGAGGACGACGTCGAGGATAGCAGGTTCGAGGAAGAGCATGACGAAGACATAGACGAAAAGCAGACGATCACTGAGAATGTCAAGGTGTCTCAGCCAGAAGCCGAACCTCGGGACGAAAAGACAAAGGAGGCAGAGAGCGTATCATAGCCTACGTACGGGCAGGCATTAATTAGATGAAGAATAATACCCCCAGTTGCTGTTACCAAGTCAAAAACACCGACCCATTTACCCGAGTTCGCCCATCATACAAGTCGTGTCGGATTTTATCTTCAAAACTCCATCGAGTCGTCTTCCCTCTCTCTCTTGACCTTGCCATCCCTCTCTTCCTTCATCAATCCAATCACGAACGATCGGAACTGCTCCACGTACGGCTTCAAGCTCGTCTTCTCCCAGTCCTGCACGCTCTTCTGCTGTGATCCTTCGGCATCGTCATCCTCGCCCTTCCACGCATCAATCTCTACGAGCAAACTCTGCACCGTTGGCACGCCAAGGGGGTCAAAATCCTCAAGATTTTGGGTGTCGATTGGCACACACACCCGTCCTGTGCCGGGATGCACGACAAAGGGCGACTTAAGCAAATGGTTGAGTTTCTTGCTGACCTCGATATCGAGGCGAGGGTAGGTATACTCGAGCACAATATCCTGCTTGGCCTCGAGCAAGGCTTTCGCGTCGAGGTTTTTGCTAGCGCCGCTCTTGGCCATGGTGTCGATGTCAGCCCATTTAGAGATAGACGAGCGCCCCGGAGCAGCGTCCCACTTCCTGCGGAGGGACTCGTTGAGGTTCTTGTCCGGCAGAAGCTGGAGTAGGCGTTCGGCGCGCTCGTTAGACGCCCACGGGTCCTGTGCCTCGAGAACGTCTTCTTGAAAGTGGGCTTTAAGAGTATCCAAACTCCGTCTGCGCATGGTGTCAGCAGCTATAACATCAGATTTTAGAGAAAGGTTCCATACGAGATGTGAGGGTGCAGCGGTCGCCACAAGTTAACCTTCTTCCCGCTCTGTGCACCGCCCTTAATGACCTCCAGATACCCCGCGATCGACCTTCTCATTTGGTCTCCCATTGTTCTTGCTTTCTTGTCGCACACCCATGCGTGGGCACCTCTTCGTCCGGAGTATACCCACATGATGTGCTTGAAACCGAAGTCGTCGCGCAGCGCAACATCAACAACCTTGATCGCCATAGTAATGAACTGCCAGCATTTGATGCAAATATTGGCCTTGTCGCAGCAGGTTCTGATATCGTCGTAGTCCGTCAGATCGATATCGAAGCACAGCTCCTTTGCAAGGGGCTTAAAGGCGCTGGCATTACGGATCTCCTTGCGGTCGCGCGGGTTTGTGCTATAGACGGGACCAATTTCGAAACGGGAGGGCATGAGACGAAGAACATCTTTGCGGAGGCTGTTGAGATTAGCATGGAGTCATTGAGCACGGGCAGGACTAATGAGTAACTCACAGGTCGTGACTTGGAAATGATTGGTATCGGAGATATGCGTCGTTCTGCAACGTGAAAGCGAATTCTCGGTGTCTGAAGTCGTTGGTTGGCGAGGGGCTATGGTTGAGCCATTGGAAAAGGTATCTCCAGGGGAAGAGACGCTGGTAGAAACTTCTCATTACTTCAGGATCTGAAGCCTTCAAGTCTGCAATGTCTCTGGTCCGTACATCAGCATCATACCCTAGAATTGGCGCCGAGAAACCCACGTTGGAGAGGGGGGCGTCGCGATCCCTGGGGGACTTGAGGATGGGGATTCTTGTGGTTTTGAACTAGGAAATTCGTCGTCTGAGTCTGCGTCCGCAAAGAGCTCTTCCAACTTGACATCTTTCTTCTCTGCAGATGCAGCCACCGCTGGCGCATCGACCTCGGCCATGGCGACATCGCCGTCAGTCGCCTGGCTGTTGCCGTTGACCGGGGATTCAGCCATTGTATTTTCGGGGACCGCGTTTGGTGAGTTTGCTTCTGGTGTCACGGAATGCGGCATATCTTTGACTGGAAGTTTGAGTAAGGGGCTGTGATTTTGGCGACGTGATCGAGTCTTCAATTGTCGCCTTGAGCTTTTGGTGGATGGCAGGGTAACTTGAAAATGCGGGTGGGCGCTACTTTGAGGTCGCGTCTGAGGCGCGTTTTCTCGCGTAGATTACCTGGGAACCCCTGGTTGTGCTTAGTCATTGAGTTACCCCACCATTCATCATGTCCCTCGCGTCTCCTCGTCCCTAGGAGCAAGCTTGCCAAGTCGTCAACCAAAATTACCTTCACCCTTATTGGTTATCCAGTAAATACTGCGTCGAGAATACCTTATGAACAGAACGAAACACTTGAGTGAGAAGGTTCGAAATGCCCGTTTGTTGTCCTTGCCTTGAGTCCTTCCTGCTACAATTCATTGTCGCCGTCTGTTGCGATCCTCACCATCGATCTCACCGTGACTTTTTTGTGCCTTCTGAAGTGAACTGTACTGCATAATAACGCAGATAATGTGACTTGTTTATCTATCAAGCTACAACGGAGTTTGATCAATCTAAAGTGAAAGCTTTACTGATGTCAGCTTGAAAATCATGAAAGCTTTCATCTCAAGTATGTATGCAATAGTAGTCATTAGGGCGAAAGTGTGCGGCAAGGCTATATAATTGCACTCAGTCTACCTAGTGTCTGATCTACATGTTCACAATGGCAATTTAAAGAAATAGACGCCAGAGGGCGGGGAGGTTTAATGTTAAGTTATTACAGAACAACGGATTCCGCGAGAAGTAAACGTTAAAAGAGGTTGCGAAGCCAATAATGTGCTCTCCCTGAAGGTATCTCCCTCTTGCCGTACCCTTCTTGTCAATGGTTCCCGAAACGTTCGTGATGGCAAAGATGTTGGTGAAAAGACTGCCCTACGCTGCTCTCAGGCTGGCTTGCTGGTTTTACTTTGCCTCCTTCTTTTGACGAACCGATGCCATATTCATCTCTACAGAGCCTTGAAGTGTACAAGAGTTGATTCTTCATGTTCTGTAGATGTATTGTGCTACGTTTGAAGTCTTTATTGTCTTTATCTCCAGCTTCTCGGACTAGCTATTCAAGTTGATTCATGAAAGTTCCCGTGCAATTCAGATCATCTAAAAACGTATAAGCCTTCACCGCATGACTGTCACACGTTGATAATAAGGAACAAAACTTACAGAAAGCTGAAAACCCAGATATCAGCTTTCAGTCAATGTGGGATAAATAATGTAATACATGACGTGTCATTGATTTGAAATATTTGGCGTTGTTCATGTCATACAAAGTGGAGGAAACATTGACCCACCTATTATTGGAGGTTACCTCTACTTATGCCAGTAACCCAATCTCAGTCTATTGAAGTATAAATCAACATAATTCACTTAAGCCTGCCGGTATTATCATGCTTGCTATGTTACCTCATCCTCCTTGGATGGTATTTTGTAAGATCACAATTAATCCGCTTGATAGGTGGTCGTAATGATGAAACGGAGTATGTGTGAGGTTTCTTTTACCAAAAGGCATCCGCAATTGCAAGAGAGCTTGACAAACCTGCATATTGTGGCTGCGGTGTTTCCCAGTAGTAAAAATCAGCAACTTCCATATTTCAGTAGCAACTCTAAATTTGCCGAGATTTGGCTCAGTCAAATTTATTGCGTAACTGAAGACCCTTGTTGTTGAGAGATATCGTGCTCTGAGCTGTTTTAGTTCGTACCAGTCTTGCCATCGTTCATTAACCTTGACTTACCTTCAAAACAGTGATGTGTCTATCGACCACGAGCCTGCTTGGACACCTACGCGCCAGAAAGCCTTTCGCAAAAACCTCTCTCAGCCTCCTCCCCAATCCACTAGGTTTCATTCAAACTGACAACATGGCATATTTCCAAGCTAAAATGCCAACCGCACAAGCAACGATCACTGTCAGCTGGCGCAAACCTAGCTTCCATCACCCAGAGCATGTGAAACCGTCTTAAACTTCTCTCGCCGGATTGGGTCCTTAACGTCCGTTAGGTTGAGTTTGAGGTCCCCTAAGCGCCTGTGAAAATTCCATTACATCTCTCTGGGCGTTTCGCGCACCCTTCTCGCTCTTTTGTGAATAAACCAAGGCCCGCTGAAAGGCAGATGACCGTCCCTGACTGGGCCCCTGCTTGTGGTGTCTATCTAGCACTCTTTCTCATGTTCGAGGACGTCTCTTTGGGGTCAGTGTTACAGGTCTTGAATGTACATGCTTGCCTGCCGGCACATCTAATGGCAACATATTCTAGAAAGGCGTTGGTCTACTCTTATTTTTAGAGGTAAAGTTTTCAATCAAAATCCCCTGTGCAGGGTTTCTGCTAGCATTTCTCAATAGGAATGTAACCAGCTTTCAGAAGACACCTGAAAGGTTAAATTTAGGGGTTCATTTTTCTCAAAGAGACATTCCTGGTGGTCTGAAGCTCCTAGGATGAAGGGCGGTGTTGCATGGTGTTATTCGCTATTGCCTTGGGTGAAGAATGCATTTGTAAATGCAGATGCCTTACAGATACATCGGGTGGGCATGACCACATGAAACTGGTTAACTTGGAAGTTCCAATGTTGTCAATTTGGATGAGTTTCGAAACATTCACTCGTATTCTGCCTACCAGATGTAGTTCGGAGACAGGCTCTTTGACCACCTACCATGTTGTATATTCCTTTCACAGGAGTCTGATATAGTTTTGAAAAAGCCAATTAGGGCCAGACGTGATTCTTTCCAAAGCTGGCTCCCTACTTTGGGCGTGATACATGGGTAGGCCACCCAGCAACCGCCAAGATATCAGAAGCATGGAAGGCGTTGAGCATGTGCACAGGAGTGAGCTACAAGGTTTAGGCACATGCTGATAGTATCGGTTTGTTTCGATTACGATCAATATGATTGGGTTTCTGGAAATCCCATAGCCGTGTTAATTTTAAGCAAGGCATGTTGTAGGCAGGGCCCTGTGCCGGGGGAACCCCGCCTCTCCCGCTGATCCCGTAGGACCCTTTTTCACATACTTGGAAAAAGCCAGCGCCACGTAAGGGTCTGATTTTAAGCCATGGTCTTGAAAATCCTGAATACAAATGAATAAGGTAGAATATCTGTGAAGGACAATGAAGATGGGCTCTCGGTTTTAGTTACCTAAAAATGAAAGCTTGCGAGGAACCACGTCAGGTAATGTAAAGCGTTGGCCATTCACCTCCAGCGTTCCAGCATGTGCTTATTTGAAATTGGGTTACTGTAGTCTTTTCTCTTTTCTTGGTCTTTTCTACCCTGATTTTACTTTGCTTCTGAATTACAGACACCAATGAGCCTAGGACCCTTTTAGAAACAGCGCGGAAAGATACCACTGAACAGACTCGCGGGAGGGGTAGACCTCCTCATCACTTTCCACCCATGTGTCTCGAAGGCGTCAGCCACACCCTCGTCGGACTCACACATGGCATGCTTTCAGCCAGCCTCATACCCACGGCCTTTCGCACTCGCTAACACCAAAGCCCAAGACACCGCGAGCTCGGAATTTCATAACCCAGGTAAATTCCATCCACGAACGTATCGTATTTTTGAAGGCATCGATCCCTTAAAGCTGTCAAGGGGTTTGCGTTTTGGGTAAAGCTTGGCTGGACGCAATGTTAACGCCATTTGCTTCTTGGCAACGAAAAGTCTGCGGCATGGTTTCATGAGTGATTATTACGTCTTGAAACAAAGTAAATGGAAGCCTTCTATCCTTCGTATCCTTACTGAGATGTATGGGCTTCTGATCTTCCTTCAAAGAAACATCCTGTCTAAGAGGTGTGGTCGGTACCACCACTCCGTCAATTAAGCAAATGATCACTACCTTCGTTACTACTTGTTCAACTTGTGAAGTGGCATTACAGCGAGCTTATGCTCCACCAAGGACTATATTAGGGTGGATGCTGTAGATCGATACCAGGAGCCTGGGTGTTCGGAGACATCTTGCAAGAAATTGACTACATCGTTCTTTGGAGAGTATCTGTCGACATGAAGCTTCGAGACTTGATAAGATGCGTTGACTCCTGCCAAGGTCATGCCACGCGCTGCTATGCCTTTGTCTCATGAGGCGAAAAACAACGAATGAGTGTGTTCCACGACAGAAGTGGCGATATTACGTTTGGTGTTATGGTAGAAAATCATGGAGAAGGTTTCCATAGATGTTGGCACTGCAGGCAAAAGTTTTGGGAGCATCAAAAGTACAATAAAAATCTAACTGATACAGATCCATCATATTTGGTCAAGCCACTTAAGAACAAAGCTGCCCAGTTATTGTGTGACTGGCTTATACCCCCCAGTCAGCACAGCTTACGATAAGCTGAAAATGGGACACTGCAGTGGATGTGTAACAGGGATGGCTGTCTTTCAGCACTCACATGGGGAGTCACAAGAGGGAGGGCATTAGTCAACGCTCGCCACTGACAAGAGACAACTGGCTGCTCGGGCTTGGAAGATAAAAATTCCCGCATGCTTTCTGATCTGTATTCTTCTATCTTCAGTTGAGGCAGAGTGGTATGCCGGTTCAGATTCCCCGAGTTCTCAGGTCTTGGCCCGGTTACAGCCGTTTGCGGACCTAGTAACAGACACCTGTATTATGGGCAAGAACATTCTTGTTCCAGTGAGCCGTTTTTCAGTATAGTGTTGCTTGGTGCCTTTGCACACGTGTCCAGACACGACTAAGCAATTTACGGTTGGGAGGATCAAGTCGGCCATGCGATAACTCAACCGCGGAATAAGACGACAAACGGGACTTGTGTTCTCAATACTCTACAGTTTTTCTTCTACTTAGGTGGGATGACTAGAGAAGGTTCCGCAGGCGAAAGTACCATCTAGAGTACCATTTGAAGTAATTACAAGAGCATTTCGTATGTGTGTATGTAGTGAGTAGGACGAGCTGCAAGAGAAGGCACCCGACAACGAGACTTTATGGGACCGAAAAACAAGAATCATAACAGACCACTCTCTTTTACAAGTGTAGCACTCGCTAGCATAGCTTTAGCAGTATTTGAGGTACCGCAGTAGTTGGCTCGTTTGTCAAGAGCTAGCACCACGGAGGAAAATGTCCTGCTAAGACATTGCGACGTGCTTTAGCGTGTCTTCCCCGGGCTTGCGAGCCGTTGACTCATATCAAAATCAGCATAGGTCTTCAGCCGCACAAAAGATCATAGGCCAAGACGATAGAGTCAACCCGCTGCGCAGAACGATGGAAGGGAGGCTCTTCCTATTGGCAGTGCTACGTCTCGCTTCCCCCAAATTGTGCCATACCTTCCTTTCCCATACCGATGGCTCCACGCCATCGAATGACAACCGGATTTTGAAGGCTCGAAAATCACCTGTTTTTCCATGAAGAAGTACCAAGAGCCGAGACAACCGGGTTAGATCACATTTGAAGGGAAGGAAAGAGTTGGCCTATCCAGGGCATTGCGATGAAGATCAGACAGGATCTCAGTATATCAGCAACGCTGGAATGAGTGACTGGCGGGGTTTCGTGTCTTCGTACCTGGGATAAGCGGAAATCCGCAGAGAATCTCAAGTGGCGAGAATGATAGGCGGCCAAACAAATACAGCGGGCAGCATGAGGCCCAGAACGGGCCATGCAAATCGTTGTGTTGCTTCATACCCCGACACGTTATGCAAAGATACAGAACTGAGGGCATGGGTCAGGCAAAAAAAAAAAAAAAAGAGTGTCGAGGAACACAGCATGAACCAAGGTAGAACACCATCCGCCTCCCTGTCATTTTCAACCATGGCTCATTATAAAGGGAACGCATACTACGTCGGCGGCGTTGTCCAGACTTCTTCTAGACGTCTGGCGATCACAAGAATCAGCCCTTGTAAGGGTCGAACAGCCATGGCTGAGGAGGACATGAACCATCATGCAGGCCCCTGCACACTACGTGGTCGCTGACCTTATCAATCCCTCCTCCACGAACGTCCAACCCTTCATTTTCACCGCTAGATCTCAACTCAGGTGCTTTAAGAACCCTTTCCTTTCCCAACCCATGATCAATCCATCTAGATCCTTGCCATAACCTCCAAAATAGCTTAGCCGACATGTAAGTACCCGCGCCTGCAGAAGAAAAACAACCATCCTTCCCGTCTTAAAGAGCCTGTCCACTAACACAACATGCCAAGCCGAAGACCTGCTTAACCGCTTACGCAGTCGTCGCCTACCTTCCCTTATCATCACCTTGTTCCCGCCCAGAGCCTCGGTCTGGACCATCTCGGAGCCTTAAAGGGCTTCGTTGCCTGCATGGTGTTCCGGAAGAGAGCGGCCTGGCCCAGTCGCTGCCGCTCCCGTTGCTGCCGATGTCATACTAGGACTTGGCCCATGCACCCTGCCATCCTAACTTTCTGGCGGCATTAAACTCTGGGGGTTTCCCACATCAGACGACTCACATGAGGGAAAAAATAAAAGACACCTTTTCTCTTTCTCTTTTCCCCCCTTCATTCATCCTTTCCTCGGACGCCACTCTTCAGATTCGATTCTCACTTGGAATCTCTCATTTAACATCCCCGTCATGCCTCGTCGCTGCTCCACAGCCACGATAACGGTTCACCTCCATATCCATCTCCAGACGATGGAACCCGATTCTCGGTACCGAACATGAGAAATTCTCCCCGGATGACACTCAAATTCTCCCTTCAAGTTCGCCCCGACATCCGAGAAAGCGACGTGGAGAGACAGGACCCCTCAAAACGGTCAACAGTGGGCCACCTTTCCTTCCCGTGAGGCGCAGCAGAACCGGGCCCCCTTCGGACGAAGATCCCCGAAACATACATACAACAAGCAAAACTGCCATGTGTCGTGGTACCGTTGAAGGGGGACAAAAAAAACAATCCCCCGAAGTTCCAGACCCTTCCGGACCGCCTTGGCAGGGACCCCGGCCACATCAGACCACTGGTGCCACACTGCCGTGGTCCAGACTGCAATCGACCACTCCGTGCGTGCGGGGAGGGCCAGCGCAACACAACCAAAAACAAGGGGGGGGGGGGGGGGTTTCTTCTTGAGCGACACAGTTATACCCTGCCACTCGCTGGAAAGGGCGGCTGTTTGTTCTTTGCACCCATCCAGGCGGTTGGTTCTGCGGCCAGCCCATGTGCCCGCCGCCTCCTGCAAACTGCGCGTCTACCCGCATGGCTTTCAGGGTCCTTGAGTAACTCAAGGACCCTGGGCCTTGCATACATGTCAAGTGGAGGGGGGTGAAATGGACACTGTGAAAAGGGCTTACGTCGAAGTCCTGCGTTTGCTACATCACACGCGTGTTATTTATCCCCCACCTCCTGGGCAGGGAATAATGACGAACGAAAGAAAGCAGGTCCGGGCGTTCCGTGCTGACAGGCAGAGAACTGTTCATCATCAAAAGGCTCACATCCCGCGGCTTCACGAAATCCCCTCCCTTGCACTTTGCAATTCTTTCTGTCATTGTCTTACGCAGTAAGAAAGGTAAGTATGTATATATAAATTGGTGACGAAAGAGTTGATCTCTCCTTGTAGATGGCAGCATATATGTCTTTCCAAATTTGCCCGTACATAACCGTCACAGGTTCCAAAAAAAGATGTGAACCAGAAACTCCACCAACGCCGATCACAAAAACGTGTTTACCACAGAGACGGGGAAGCTCTCTGCCAATCTCTGGTCATCATCCATGCCGGCGCCATCAGGCGACATGTCCTGTCTTGGGACATCATTAGCCGCCATACTCTGGGCGAACTTGTGGTATCACGCGCCATTTTCCCTTCCCAACAATCCTCCTCTTACATTTCGGCCTATATTGCGGCTTGCTGGACATCCTGCCAGTATCTCGGGCACAGTCTCACCTCGACTTCGGTCTGCAGACCTTTCCTTGTCGATGGCATATTTGAGATTTTGCTTACAACATGTGCAAGCATGGTCCAAGTTGTATGGCCTCAACAGAGACACAGACTATTTTGTCATGAGAGACGCATGGCGCAATTCGTTACTCAAGCGAGACCCGGGACGTCATTAGGCGTATCCACCTTGCGGTCCATACAGTCTCTGCCTCTTTTCTGGCCGGTCGTCACCCCCAGCCATGTGGTCTGGCACACGCATTTGCTGCATGCCTGTAGGCATGCTCTGATGAAACGTTGGGCGTTGTGCTGATGTTGGTGTCATAACCATCTGAGCTGTGTTGCCCATTGGGTAGCCTGTTTCGATATTGGTGACGTTGGGAGACGGTTGATGTATTTGTCCCGGCGAGTGCCAGGAAGTAGTCGTTGCGGGAGACTGGCTCGGGGTTGAATCGAACTTGACGCCAGGGTTCATTGCTGGCATGCCCATGTTGGCAGCGTGCAGCTGGGCGGCTCCGTGACCAACTGCAAGGTCATCCGGTGGAGCGTTCTTGAGAAGGTGTGCTACATGCTTGCGAAGAATACGCAGCATGCCGTCTTTTGTGAAAGGCTTCGCTAGCACATCGTTCAGACCTGTATTCGTGTCAATGACTGCTCGATTTTCTTTTTCCGCGAGAAAATAAAACGACTTACTCCAGTTGAAATAGTGACTAATATCTTCAGGTCGGATGTTGGATGTCATGGCAACAACAGGGACATCAGGGTGGACTTCACGAATCAATTGTGTTGCAGAGACACCGTCCATTTGAGGCATAACGATATCCATGAAGATAAGATCGAAGTGGCCGGACGGGACTTCTTTGCACCTATTAACGGCATCGATACCATTTTCCTGTGGAAAGTCAGTCGAATTTTCACAATCATATGGCAAGGGCCACCTAGACCCGAGAGGATAAGACGTACAGCAATCTCAACAATGCACTCCATTTGCGTCAGGAACTTGGAACCGATTCTCGAACATGTGCGGTCATCTTCGACAAGGTACACTCTCGGCTTCTTCTGTCCCCATAGCCCCTTGTCGTTGGAAGGCGGGCGTGGAGGTGCGGCTGCAGCAGGTGCGGGCGTTGCTGGGCCCGGTTCAGGCTTGACGACATTTTGGAACTCGTTCATCGGCAAGGAATTCAGAGTGTAAGGGATGTTATTGAAGTGATCCTGAGAAAGGGGGTCGATTCCTACGTTCTCGCCAACGGGGTAGACAAGGTGACGCATGTTGAGATGCTCGGCCATCATGGGTGGCATGCCGGCTGAGCCCGCCTGGAACATGAGGGAAGAAGCAGAGTCTGGAGGTGAGCTTTGCGCGTATATGCCATTGAGCCTTTCGAGCTCTCTGTCTACCATGCTGTTGGTTGTCACGCTTGAGAGAAGTTCTCTTGCCCTTCGTAGTTCAGGAGCTTGGTCGTCGACAGCACCGCCGTTCATCTGCGGGTTCTGGCCTGGGTACCGACCGCCTCTCCATCTGTCCTCGGCATGTGACATATAGTTGAGTAATTCGTGCTGTGACTGCCTCTGGGCATCAATGATCTTGTGCATTGCGTGGACCTCGTGAACAAGCGTCTTGTTGGCGCGCTGCATCTCGCCAACCTGTTCCTGCAGCGCTTGTACCTGCTGCTGTTGGGCAAACAAAGTTTCCTGTAGCAAATTGATGGATTGATTAGTCGTAAACTGATCTTCCGTCTGCTGTGTCTTTCTATGCGCGGGTGCCTTTCGCCTGATGTTGTCCAAGTTATCTTTTCTGTCGGCCCGGAAAGCTGAATGTTTGAATTCCCAGGCCTGCATCGTGCGTTAGCAGGAGCCGCCGCGTGCATATTTTGTCGTCCTTACCTGCTTGCCGTAAGGCGACTCATTGTTTTCATCGTTGCGCCGCAGCTTATGAAAGTCGTACTTGTTGAGCTGTCGAACGAAACTAGAAAAATTGCTGTGCTTGAAGTGTTTTGGGAGAATGTCGTTGGTGAACTTGTCAGTCTATCAGTCAGTTAGCATTTCCTTTCCTTGCAGTCTTTTTTGAGGTATCGCGGCCGCCACGCACCTCCAAAATAACGAAGGTGTCGCCCTCATTTCCCCATCTGACAATGTTCGAATAGGCAGGATCTTCCAGCATCCTGTTACATATGTTAGCAATGGGGCGGTGGTGTGCATTGAGGGGCTATCCGAACTTGTAGAGTTTGCGAACCTGCGCGCAGAAAGTTAGCATGGTCAATCGCGGTGCGAGAGGTGGTCGTTGGGTCATAGACTCACAAAGTCGCTGGAGTTGCTGCCACCGCCTTGGGCGGCTACAGTGTCGGGCTCGGGCATGGTGGGCGCCGAGGTAATGTGAACAGATTGTAAGTCGATACGCGTCGGTCAATCCAGTTCAACGATGCGGGTGACGATAGTATATTTGGGGTCGTGGTTTTCGCGGCGATCTCGGGGCGATCTCGAAGGTGTAGAGATCGTCAACGTGCTTCTCGAAGTTTTGATGGACGGACTGTCGGTCCGGCAGATAGGAATTCTTCGTCGCCAGGTCGGTAGAGGACAATTTTTGAGAGGTTCGGAGTCCAGACAGGTCCAGGGGTTTGGAATCGAAACTCGGGCGAGGGCACCCCAATCTCCACCGAAGCTCTGCCAGAAATGTGGTCGTATCCGGTTGCGGTCGGTTGGGGGAATGGAGGCTAAGGGTAGTAAGGGACCTAAGACAGTAGAGGCCTTGAAAAAATATGCAGCCGGTAAATCGTGGAATTGGGCCAACTGTAGAGGGCGCTAGAGTCGAGTAAAGGGAAGGCCGCGCAAGGAGGTTGAAGAGCTCAATCGGGTGGAGGTTTGGTGTTTCGTGCAAATCGAGAGACGAGATCTCAGAAACTGGGAACTGGCGCAGGGCACAGAGATGGATGACCGACGTGGAGCAAGGTTATGGTGTCGGTCTCCCAGTCTGTACTGGAGTGTGGTGCTTTGCTGGTCCTGGTCCGTACAGATTGGACCCGGCCACCGAGGGAGAGGGAGGTACGGGGACGGACGGGGGTTAGAGGGGAGGGGTGTGTTGTGACTTGGACGATTTGAGTGACTTTGGGTGCCCCGACAGGGAATGGGGGTGAATTGGATTTGCCCACCTGCAGTTGGACGAAGATTGAGGAGGATGAGGAGAGGAGAAGAGGTGGTGTGGTGCTGTGCTTGGTGGTTTTGCCTGGTATTTCGGTACCTAGGTACTTGGTACTTGAGTCTAGTGCGAAATCGTAGTACATCTGCTTGTACCTGTTTTCGTTGGCACTTCCAGGCTGTTGCCGTTCGCGCTCGAGCTGCCGCTGCCGCCGCTGCTGGGCGTCACGGTCACTGGGCTCAATTTTTTATTTTTTATTTTTATTTTTAATGTATTTTGTGCTAAAGCAGAACAGGATGGATGGAAGAGTGCTGCCTTACCCTTGCAAGTCGAGGAGATGCAGGGCACAGGTGGCCGTCAATGGGGGCCGGGGGGAGGGAGGGAGGGGCGGGGAGCCAAGGTGAGGCGTGAGCGTGGTGATGGGAAAATGCCAAATGGCGGGCGGAACTGATAGGGTAATAAGATGGGGCATTCGCAAGTTTGAATAGCGTAGTGTAGCGATGAGTCGGTGGTCGATGAAAAGGGAAAATGTAAACAGTAGAAGAGCAGTGGAGGCGATCCGTATTCGTACTGATATTGATCAGTTTTGCCTGTGCGCTATAGTTGGGTCTGCCTGCGCTGAATTCGCCTTTTTTTTTTTTTTGTTCTATTGTGGCCTGTCCCTTGCTGTGCATGTTGGTGGTTGTTGAGGGGTGTGGAGGTGCTCGAAATGGGGATAAATTGGGCTGGATGGATGAATTGGGCCTGATGGGGACGGACGAGGGCGACAGACTGAGCGAGTCCTTGATTGATGCCTTTCTCTTCTTTTCCTGCTGCTGTCCCTCTTGTTGTCTGTGACCCCGTTCCTTGTGCCTTGGCCTGACTTGCAGATGCAGTGCGGCGCATGAGCTGCTGTTCCAGTAAGAGCAGTAGGGAGATGTACTAGCTAGCTACTTAGTAAGGTGAGATAGGTAAGAGGTACACTACTGATTACGGTTCCTTAGAAAGCTGCTGCGTGGTGCGGAAGCGGGAACGGTGCGGGCGGCGGCGGGTGCCAGGTGCAGCGAAGCAACCGTGGGGCGGACGGGAACATCTATCTGACAGAGTGGGCAGTAGGATTAGACAGGTGGGTGGGATAGGCCAATGTGACTTTGGATTTGTGTATGCGAACTACCACTATGAATAAGGCGCATAGCACTTTTGTTAGGCTCCATTAAACAGCTGGGATGGTGAAGATGGGGAGCCTCTTACATAGAAACTTGAACCGGAGAAGGTCACAATGAAAGCCCCAGGCCCCAGTTCAGTCCCCATTTGACGGAAAATGCAGTTACATTGGGAGTGGCAGACCCCGTGGATCAGCCCTCTTTCAGTTCTGGCTTGTCATTGGCCATGATGAAGATGCTGCCTCCTCTCAGAATTGGGAAATATCCAGCTGCTGCCGGCTGCACAGATCCACCTATGGTCCGTGTCGACAGCCAATGACCTCATACTGTACTTACGGCAGTATCTCGGTACCTCCCCTTTCCTACACACTCTTGGAAAGTAGTAGTCCGTAGAACACCCGCCTACCCTTCTTAGCCAGTTCTAGTGGACCCTTCCCGGCCGATTATTGCCATTTTTTGCTCTCTCATCCAAACCTCAGGCCTCAGGTACCCACCCCTGGTCTTCTCACTCCTATCACCATCTTAGTATAATTATTGTGTTGCAAGATGTCAGGACATTCCCGGCTTCCATGCCGACTAGGCTCCGGCAACTTGGACTACACTACGCTGAGAGAGAGTTGAGGTGAAGCTAGCGAGACGAGCACACACCGCAAGGGGCCGTGACACTTACTCACTACACACGCTGCGGCTATTGGTATTCATCTCATCAATGACGGCAAGTCATGTTAAGGATTAGAATACCCAGCGCCTACATCTTACGTTCCAACCATGCACTCCAAGAGCTTTCCCAACGCCTAGCCTATGGTCCAAGGTTTGGCGTAACATCCTGCAAGCCATATTGAAACTTAACCGTGGAGCTGCTGATCATGCGCCGCTGTCTCTGCCTTTGGTCCCTGAACCAGCTTGTCTGACAGCACAAGTGGACGGACGTATCGTGGCACTAACAACGCCGAGTGTACATGGTAGTGTTGAACCCACAAGGCGATCCAGATGAGTAGTGCACGCGAGACAACCCAGGGAGCCCGAGACACGAGGAACTGGGAATGAGTACCAGCGGGACTCAGGCGACACCCTAGAGGTATTCCAGCGAACACAATTCCCACATGCCATCTTTTGAGCCCTTTTTTTTTGTTTCTTTTTTTCTACTTTTCTTGGTCTAGGTCGCGTCCTGAAGGGTTCGCTCTGTCATGCCCCCTTCAATCCTGTCCTATAGCCGTCATTCGGAGGCCATCCCGTGCTTGACAGGACCAGTCATTGACGATCGGTTGTTTCCGTCGCAACATTCCACATCGACTTTTCTCAGCTACTCGCAAACAATAATGTCGCAGCTGTTTGTCTCGTCATGCTGGCACCGTCGCATCTCCACGCCCGCGCCCCGCGGTGAGCCCTGCATGGCGGCGGTCAATCTAAAGCCGGAGGAAATTCTAGGACGGGCAAGAAGAGGAGCACACCCTTACCGAGCGGTCAACATGAACAGCGAATAGGCGACAGAGGGTGTGGATGGAAAGTAGTGGTGGATTTGGCAACCCACGGCGTTTGGCCTACCGCCCAGCCATCCTGGGGACACTAACACGGCAACGATCCGCGATGACTGCCTCAAGATTGGCCAGCCTTGATTAATTGGATCTCCCCAGGACGTTCCGAAAGAGGCCTCTGAGTGCTCCTAAGCTGACTAGACAAGCGGCGGTGCCTCCTGGCTCCTTCCGGGCATCCTCCTACCTGAAGACGGCGCGCGCACGCCGGTCCCGCTTGGGAGAGGTGAACCATCTTTTGTCACCCTTCGGCGCTACTGTGCCGGGCTTCGGTTGAACACTACGTAGCTGCGGATGGGGACCTGCGGCGGCTGAATGGTGAGATCAACACCACAGTTTACAGTTCAAAGTTTGGGCGCTGCCTCCTGAAATCTCTTTGACGATGCAACATGCTCTAGTCATCCTCAGTCGTGGTGTCGCTGATCCCAATCTACAGTAACATTCGGGGTAAGCTTTTATGCTTTGCGGAGATTGGGAATACATTCCGATAGTTACTGGAGGGCTGCAGTGTTTTTTGACGACGTGAGAACGACTCGTCTTTGACTCGAACGCCAGCACGGATGCTATCCAAAACCCAGCTCCCTGGGACAATGCTGTCGGTTTATACCGAGTACAAATGCAAGCTTAGATGCTGTCAATGCCAATAGTTCAGACGGTAACGTTTACTACGTGCAGTGTCACGCTGCCCCCAGGAAAAAGGGAAACATGTAGTCATGCTCCGCCCCGTTCCCCTCACCACTCTCCATCAACGCAAGGGATTCTGGCCCTGAGGCGTACCAAAAAGAAAGAAAGAAAAAAAAAAAGGACAAAAGGTTCGTTAGAGGGCCAACCAAAAAGACCCAGTTATGGTGCTTCAAGGTAAATTCCGAAACGGGCAGCATTCCATCCGGTGCCAAGATCGGCAAACTAAGATGGTGAACTTGGACGGAGCTACGGCAGCGCCAAGGGCTCAACGTTCCCAGACGTAGAGGGCTGGGATGCCGGCGAAGCATGCTGCTGGCGGATGACGCAAATCACAGTAAGATTTAGTTT